TGCAATACAAAGTTTCTCTCCACTTCCTCTAAGCCTTTTTGTGTGTTTAGCTAGCTAGTTGAAAATCTTGAGGTACTAAGGATTTTAGTAGCCAACGAATTGAGGTACTAAGGTGCGCACCGCACTCCCAACTCTCTGCCTCATTAAGTTCCCTTTCTTTCTCAGTGTTTCGATTCACTACATGGCCCTTATATACCTTTCCCGGAACAATGACCATTATACTAAATTACAGACATGGCTATGCTCGTCTGAGTCTGAGCTTGTGCATGATCATACCTGTAAATACTGCTCAATGCCTTACGCTTGCACCTGGAGATCTCTTGATTGCATCGGCTCGTTCCCAATCCCCTAATTTCTTGGCTTCAGCAACCTCAGGATTCTGCTCCATCATACTCATTGTCAGCCACCGCATCTTGGGAGCATTAGAGTGAGATGAATTGTTAGCTAAAGCGGGCAGTGCAATCAGAGTGCACCGATTCTCCGAGACAACCCAACCAGCTTCACTGCAGTATCCACCAAGTCCTTGTGGTTGAGACACAACTTTCTTGCTGCTGGATCCACCTCTTCCCTTGATCCACCTCTTCCCTTGACATAAGAGAATTGTAAACTCCTTGTTTGGAATAACTGAGAGTTGTAGAGGTCTTTGAAATATATTATTTCAAATTCATTGCATTGTTTGTATCATATGATATTTATAGAAACATTTTAAATATACATTCGGCTAACATGTAAAAAAATAACACAAACATGTCATGTCACAAAAAAACCAAAGATTAATTAGAAACTGGAAGATAGATATATAGAATTGAAGTGACGGCATCTAGGAGGATTTTACATAAATAGAAATGCATTGTCAAATACTATATTACTAAAAAAATATATTTCGCATTGGAAATAGCTTCGGAATCAATTAAGATACTACAAAACTATAAAAATGTAAAACAAATATTTTAGTCTATTTTGACTCAGAAATTCCGATACCATTCTACAAATAATACTCCATCTGTCCTAATTCAAAATACTCTTTTTACTATTTTAATTTATCCCGCTCAAAATATCACTTTCATTTTTTAGAAAAATTAATCATATATTAATATCAAAATAACCTTAAATTTTACTTAAATTATAAATATATCCTTCCACGTATAATTATTTTTTTATACATAAAGTCAAATGAACACTTCACTCACCAATATAATATTATTGTTTCTTAATCTACTTCACAACCTCAAAAAGCCCCGATTGAATGGTTTTACCATCAAGTAATGCAACCATGAACTAATAATTTGAATATAACAAACTATATATATATTTTTTTATTTATATTTTTACATATCAAATAAGTTATATATATAAATATTATACATATATAATATAATTAAATATAGAACTCCCTATTTATATTGGGCCCTGGGCGGATGCCTTTTTGCCCGGGCCATGTGCTGACCCTGATTAATAGTACAGTACGAATCATGTTACTTAGCCTATATTATCTTTGTTATATCTTATCCGTTAAATATTCACATAGCTAATCGAATAATTCATATTAAATTAGTTATTGCCATAGTATGTAGAGTATCACATAAGCCTTGAAAGACTACCAAAATAAGTAATTAAAATCAAAGCTTATGGACAGTGCAATCACAGAGAAGATAGCATAATCATATTTTGCAAGTCATGCAATCCATAAATAGTAATAATGGATTCTTGGCATTCAACTTAAAGTAAATCTTTTACAATTGTTGAATAATGTGATTTGACGTCCAAGAATTTGTGTTAGAAGTTGAAAGATTATATTCAAGATATTGTTGAATAATGATGGGTGAGTTAAATAGTAGATAACGAGTTAGTTTCCACTATAATTTTTTATCCGACACTACTTCTTTGGAGCGTTCAAGTCATATCATCGATTAGTTGAAGCTCGGTTGTCATTAGTGGCAAAGCCGAATTATATATATATAATATATACTAATTTTAAAATTATTATAGTTAAATACTTTTTTTTTAAAAAAAAAATATACAAACATCATTTTAGTTGGTTTTTTCTCATTTTATTTTTATTATATAATTCTAAATATTTAAGGTGTTTGAACCAAATTTTTTGATTGTTTAAATTAAATGTCTAATAAATATTTTTTATCAAATCCATAGTTGTGATTAATTACTTAAAATTTAAAAGTCATACAAATACTATATAATAAAAATACAAAATTAAAATAATCAAGGAGGGTCCAACAATCGTGGGCTCCCGGCCCACTAGCTACGCCACTGGTTGTCATTGACGGAGGCAGAAAGGGATATCGAAGTGACATTTTATTATTATCTAGAACCTTCCGGGGGCATATTGGTGGATTCACTCGTTGGAGAAGATTCTAGACTAAGAATATTCGGGAATCCTTCTAGAACAAGGCGGAATATACGACAGAATATGCTTCAGAAGACTATGGAACATTATAGAAAGTTGTACATAATGCATAACTAATTGTACATTCTTAGGTGTTCTAGAATATTGTCGATGGAGTCCTTAACCTATAAAAAGACCTCGACCAAATTCACTTGCAATTCAATGTTTCTCTTCGATCCACTTTCTCTCAAGTAAAATTTCTTGAGCCTTTGTAGGTGTGTTTAGCTGGCTAAGTTGGAAATCTGCCTTAGTAGGCAACGAATTGAGTTACTAAGGCACGCGCACGGCACTCGCCACTCCCAACTCTCTACCTCTTTAAGTTCCCTTTCTTTCTCAGTGTTGCGATTCACCGCATGGCCCTTAATTCTATACCTCTATCTAACATAAAATCGTAATCAAATCCCAAAAAAATGAAGGACGTCGTAAGCGACCACCTTAGGGTTTCTGGTTTCCTGGTCCAGAAATGGAGCAAGATTAGCAAAGCTTTTCCTCACATAGATCTGTTCACTTTCTTCCTCCAGTTCAGCTACAGCTTCTGCCAAAACTGCTGCAGAAACACAAGGTTGGAAATGGTGCACCCCAATCCGAACAGAAGACGAAGACAATATCGAAGAAACAGTCACACACAGTCCACAGGTACTGCTGAGTCTGATTCTAGCATTATATTTATAGTAGGGTCGACTTGCGCCAGCTCTACTTCACAGTTCTCGAGGAAAGACTCAATGCGGAAATAATTTCTAATTTTGGTTCGGAAAGTGGTTAGGGTCGCTGCCCTTTGCACGTTTATTATTTGGATTTATAGTCAGACTTAATTATTGTTTAATTATTACATGTAATAGGCCTATGAAAAGACCAAACTATCAAATATAATAAAATTATCCACTCCTTGTAATATAAAACTTTCGAGATACTGTACATTGTCTCAAATGTGTTGGATAATGAAAATGTATAAGATTCTTGAGAATGTCCAAGATTCGATATTCAATGATTCTTGATTAATTATAATATTATTGGACCCTCCCAATGTTGGATAAATGGAAAGTAAACTAATTAAGGCCAAATCTTAAACCGGAAATTGATATCAAACACAAACAAACAGGGCACCAATTAATGAATTGAATTAAAGTGGAAACTTCCACATATACACTTCCCCGCTCGTAGATGTCTTCTTCCAGACTAAGGAAGACGATGCCTCTGTCCAAACCAGCAAATCGGACAACAACGGCGGCTCCAAGTAGCAGGTCCGGTCAAACTCCAATCTTGATCTCCGAGGTAACCACGTCCCAAGATTGGAGGTACGGAACTACACTTGGGTTTGGGGCAATTGCCTCCAAACCCAATTTTTTTGATTATTTTTTAGTGTTAAAATATTAATTTTTAAAATTATTTACATATCTTTGCCCCAAATTTTGTCTAAATTGTGTCACTCTGTCGTTATTTTATAATTTTTATTTGTAGACATTTTGCCCTCGAAATTTAGAACCTAGTTCCGCCATTGTGACAGCACTCACTCTAAGTCTCAACATCCATAATCCGCCATTAAAAAGGGTTTGAAATTCACCGGAAATCACTTGTCGGAGACACTTCCAGGCGCAATTTTCCCTCACCTTTATTTCCTTTTTTCTTTTTTCAACATCAAATGTTGATGTAAATTTAACTTTGTATATTTATTAAAAATAATCTTACTAAATTTACTAATGTACATATGACGAAATTACACAAATACAAAGAATATTGTATAAATAACATATAAAAAAATCTATTAAAGGAAAATAGAATTGAGAAGAAGCACAGAAGGCGATGAGGTCTGGTGCAACAAATATACCGCCAAATAAAGAAAATACTAATCCGTGTTTGGATAAAAAGATTTTATTTGAGAGGTGAGTTAAAATCAACATATTCAAAATTCATTAATTTAAAATTATCATAAATTCAATTTCCTTGTTTGGAATAATTGTTTGGATTGTATTGTATCTATAGAAACATAGATAGAATTAAATTGAAATGACTTCATTATCTAAGGGGATTAAAAATAAAATAGAAATATATTTTCAAATACCATATGAACTTTAAATATTTAATCATTGAATTTGAAATATATACATTTAGATCGTATTATATTTATAGAAATGTTTGAAATATACATCGTACTAAGAGCTACACAAACATGAATATATCACAAAAATAAAATTAATTAGGAATCTAAACATGGATAGAATTAAAATGACGGCATATAGGATTGATTCAAAATAAAATAGAAATGCATTTTCAAATCTCTTACGAATTTTAAATATTAAAACTATATCCTAACCCAAACAAGATACTATTAAAATTCCATCAAGAATCACACTCAAATATCATGAGTTTTCCTCACAATAAATCTCTTCAAAAAATTATATGAAATATTTCTCAAAAAAATGACAAGAAAATTCTCTCTATGAAATTTCTAAGAGAGTACCAAAACAAGAAGAATTCTAAGCTTAAGCATGAATATATATGAAAAGTAAAATCATAGAGAAGATAATCAGTTCAATCCACAATAATCTGTTCCAACACAGGCAGGCCTATTTATGCATATAATCGAAACTAAATTGCTCAGCTCGTGCGTCTGCCTAATCCGACAACTCACAGTATGATGTCTGCAGTGATGGCTCTACTGCAAGGCACCGTCGATCTTTCCACGGTTTGAAGCCTCCTTCTAGTGTCGGATTCTGACAGCCACAAAGGAAAATTATTTCAGAAGATTCACTACAAAAAAATTAGTATATTTGTAACAGAATTCCATTCCTAAAGTTGTAATTTCATCTCTAATTTCGTCTCTAATATCATTAGTAACAGAAAAAGTGAATTTAGTAACGAAAAAATCTCGTTACAAAATTGATAATTTCTTATAGTGATTGTAGTATATATTTATATGCAACTAATATTGTTACAAAAGAAATATCGAAAATCATGATATTTGATATGAGCAACCGTGACTATTATGTGTATCCAAAGAACTTATGATATGCACTTTTTTTTTCCGAATCTATGGAAATTCCTTTATTTGTAATTGATATGATCAGGAAAATCTTTTCTAGGCCTTTGTGAATGAAGAACAAATAAAAGCATACAAAATACAATTAAAACACATCAGCAACCTGGAGCCAGAAGTAGAAGCCGCGGATGATTGTTAAGAGTTTTCCCCGGCTAAAGCGGTGCCTTCTCAGTTTCTTTTTGACATCTGCAAGCATGAATTGTATGTTAGATACCAAAAATTAATCCTAGAAATAAACTGAATGTTCTAAGGAACAAGTAAAGAAAGATTGGCATAGATTTGATGCAGCTAGACTTGAAAAAACTAAAGGAAATATTTTGTGAAAGGAATGCTCATTGATGTTAAAAAGATGATGATAGATTTCAAGTAAATGATCAACACAAAAAAATTTTTGTCTATAAGATCTTTTGGTGATCTTCGCTAACCGGGATGGTGCTCGAAGAAGTTTCCAGCCTTCAGCTCCCTGAGGAGGCTGGCGTACTCCCCCTTTTCGGCTGGTCTCTGAAGAAAGCGCATCACTTGCCTTCGAAATTTGCTTCTATATGGCCCGACTCTCTGCAATTCATCATGTTTTATTAAGATTACAAGATTAAGGCAGAAAAAGAAAAAGACGAAAGTATGGAAAAGGTGATTAGGACAATGGTGAATTGTTTCGAACCTCTTTATTCCGCAGCTTCTTGGTAGGCGCTGGGGGGCCTCTGGCTGCAGCATGACTGTCCGGGTCTCTAGCCTCATGCTCCTCCGGATTCGTCGGATTCTGAGGATCGTGCTCCATCATGCTTCTTTGTAGCCACCGCTTCTTTGGAGCAGTGGGCAGTGCAGTCAGATTGCATCGATTGTCCGCGCCAGGGATCCTAGTAAACTCGCTGTCCTGATTCAGCATAAGGCCATTATCCATGGAATCATCGGAATCCAAATTATGAGAAGGAGAAGGATGGGGAGAATCAAAATCAGGATTAGATGTATGCAACGAGGCAGTCTCCTCGGACTGAGAATCATGACAGCTGCAATCACATCTGCGACTTAGCGGGTTTCTTGATTCAAACCCTTCGTCTCCACCCTGCTCCATGGAATTACTGTTATGAGTGCTGTCACTCATCTCTTCCCTGCCCCATTCATGACCTTGTGACACAGTAGTCTTCTCCAAGTCACCTTGCAGTCTGCCTCGGCCACGGCCTCTACCCCTACCCCTACCCCTAACCCTACCCCGGCCCTCAGTCTGACCCTCACCTCGGCCTTGACCATCCCCCTCGCCCCGGCCCCAGCCCCAGCCCCGGCCCCGGCCCCGGCCACGACCCCTACCTCTTCCTCTTCCTCTTTGAACAAGGCTGGATTCATTGAAGGTGGAGCTTCGACCTAACCCCAGTGGTCGAGTCTTCTCTGAGAAAACTCGACCAGCTTCACTGCTGCTCGAATCGCCTCTTCTCTTGTCCAGCTGTGCCACGGATCCAACTCTCTGAGGACCTCCTGTCTCCCTCACGACATGGTTGTCGATGCCCTTTCCCTTCTCGTCAGATCCAATTGCAAATCCTTCTTCGTGACATAGAATCGACAGCAGGGTTTCCTTGTAGCCCTTTTCCATAACCTCATCCTCTAGAACACGCTTAGCATGTTCCGCCAATTTCTCGGTCGCCCAAACATTGGATGCAATGGCGTGCTTGAGGTCCCCGTAGATAGCAAACGTCACCACGTTCACCATTGTTTCTTTGTACAGATTGTATATCTGCAAAAACACAAGACTCCCCTCAATCGCAAGCTTAACAAGTAGAAAGTAAATGAAACCCAGATCCGCTTAATAAAGTATATAAATGGATCCCCCACAACATTTCTACCTCAGAAAACCCTAGATCTAACATAAAATCATACTCAAAGCCCAAAAAACGAAGGACATGGTAAAAAACTAAATAACAGTATATAAAAAATAATATCTTGCCATAAAAAACAGACAGGAGAAATCTGTCAACAGCGTAAGTGACGACCTTAGGGTTTCTGGTTTCCTGATCCAGAAATAGAGCAAGAGTTACAAATATTTTCCTCACCTTGACCTGTTCACTTTATTCCTCCAGTTTAGGTACAGCTACAGCTTCAGCTTCAGCTTCTGCCAGATAGCACTACTGTCTACTGCACAACACAAGGTTGGGAATGGTGCACCCCAATCCGCAGGTACTGCTCAGTCTGATTCGGCAGTATATTTATAGTAGGGTCGACTTGCGCCAGCTCTACTTCACAGTTCTCGAGGAAATGCTCAATGCGGATAAAAAAAAAAAAAAAATCTAATTTTGGTTCGGAAAGTGGTCAGGGTCGCTGCCCTTTGCACTTTTATTCTCTGGATATACAGTCAGACTTAATTATTGTTCGATTATTACATATAACAGGCCTATGAAGAGACCATCAAATATAGAAGAAAAAAAAAAAAATTATCTGACACCTTATAATATTAAAAAATTCGAGGGCAAAAAATAAGGTCCATTGTTAAAAAAATTCACGGTACCCTACATTGTCTCAAATGGGTCCGATAATGAGAATGTCTAAGGTTTGATATCCAATCATTGCTGAATAATTATAATATCATTGGACCCTCACCATGTCGGATAATAAGAAGCATGCTCTTGATGTAAAGATTTAGTTCGAAACTTTTACTAAGCTCTAGAAACTTTATAAGTACCTCGACATTCTATATATATGTTGTGTATTCAATAATCATTTAAATGTGATATTCTAACTCTATATTGTGTTGTGATTAAGATTATAGTATCACTATCTATGTATCTAAGATTCGATATCCACCCCCTTGTCGGATAATGCGACGTCACGTGCTTGATAGCTTATATATATAAGTTACCGTATATTTTGAATCTTTTAATTGTATGAAGATTAAATTTATACTTTTGGTAAGTTCTCGCAACTTTAATTCAACTAGCTCGACATTCAATATGCATTGCATTTAATGATAATTTAAGTACGCACGTGACATTTCAACTTTTAGATTGTCGTTAGTGATCAAGATCTATAGTACGACTATCTATCTTTATTTGATAATAATTGCATTTATATCCTTTATTCTAGATGTAGTTTTATATTGGTGTTAGTAATCATGAATTGTAGCACTAGAATATACTTTTTTTTGTTAATTTGTTGTATGAATATCTATATTTTTGTTTTGAATGTAAATTTATATTGTTTCTTGTTATTAAGAATGTGGCATAATTATCTATTTTTATTTGTTAGTCATCGTATGAATATCTAAGTTTTTCATTTCAAATATGACTTATATTGTCATTAGTGATCAAGAATATAGTAGAGCTATATATATTTTTACTAATGCATAAATATTGGATTTATGTTGTCGTTGGCGATCAAGAATTATAACACAACTTTCTATCTTTATTTGTTAACCCACAAATATCTATATTTTTGTTTTGAATGTGATTTTATGTTGTCTTTAATATCAATAACTCTAGCACAACTTTCTATCTTTATTTGTTAACCATTGTAAGAATTTTTATAATTTTTGTTCTGAATCTGACTTTATGTTGTTACTATCAACCAAAAACTTGTAGCATATAACTATCTATTATTATTTGGTAATCGTTACATATGAATATATATTTTTTTATTTTTGAATATGGCTATACATTCTCGTTAGCAATCATGCATAGAACTATACCATACCTATCTATCTTTATTTGTTAATTGTTATACAAATGTATGTTCTCCGTTTGAACGTAATTTTATGCTATCATTAGTGATAAAAATTAAATAAAATAAAATGGTGTTTTATATTGTCTTCAGCTGTCAAAAATAACAAAAAAAAGAACAACTAACAAACAATCTATAGCACAATTGTCTTTCCTTAGTTATTAATCTTACCCAAGACCCCATTATTTATATTTTCATGATTTCGAATGTAATTTTATTTTGTCAAATTAGTGAGCTATTCGTTATTGTCACATTATATATATTACTAGTGTTCTTGAATTTTAGCCGTTACATATGTAATTCGTACAAATTATTGTATTTGTTATTAGTAATAATATTGTAACAAAAATCATGACATTGGATTATTATACATACCAAATATTAAACACATTTTAAAATGGTAATAATCATGATATTGTAACAAAGATTATATGATTGGATTATTATACATACCAAATATTTAAACAAATCCTGTCACGACATCATGAATTTTCCTTTTCAGTTCCTTAATAAAGTTTCAACCATTATTATGTAATGTCCAAATTGTCTGTATCTGATTTCAGTGTGGCTCAAAATTACTAATTGCTTGAAAGAGCAAATTCATAATATCGCAATATGATTTGTTTAATAATTCAGTATGTATAACAATCCAATATTGTATTTGAGTTGTTTTTTTAAAAGAAAATAAGATAGGACAATTATATGGTTACAAAAAAACAATCAGGAACACCCCTAGCTGTTGTAAATGGCAGTGTAAGAATTGTACAAATCCAAACATATCTTACAACCTTTTCTCACAGTTCAAAAGTTTCCAGTGGGAATAAGGGCCTTCTTCAGAGTCGAACATGAAGGTCACCCATCCCATTGCCTTTGCAATTTCTTCAAGCTCATAGATCACAACAATGGTGTCTCGAATGTACACCCGTCCACCAGGCCGTAGCATTCGATCCATCTCCAACATGATCCTCGTTATGTTGCATCTGGACACACAGATGATACAACATTCACAGATAAGGTTTTCATGATCTTCGGATGATCAGAAACCAATAAAAGAAGATCTATAAGCATTAGTACCTTCTCCGCTCGACAGAGAAAAGCCCGGCAGCATTCAAAAAATCGTAGCTTCTAGGATAAGTGTCGAACGGCTCACACCTACGAGATATCAGTTAAGATCTGCATTTAGTCGTACAATGGTTAAGAGCGCAGCGATATGTCATACCAATCGTGCATTACGCCAATTAGGCCGCGATCGTATATTACTGGGAGAGTATTCGAACTGCTGACTGGAACAACATTAATCACCCAGCAATCGACCTGTAAATCGAGTAAAGCTGCTGCAAACCTGTTGCGCGCAAGAAATCAGAAACAGGGCCGTCGAACAAAATTAAATTCTTGCAACAGATATATTATTACCCTCCGTATCCAGCTTTCATGTCCATAACATTTCGAATATTCAGCTCATTTAAGTGAAATACGCTTATGTATCCTTGCACGATATCATTTTGGTATTTCGAATCTGCTTTGTATAGTTCCATTCTGGATTTAACTGCATCCATTTGTATGCTGAAAAGCCTATCCGGCGGACTGTGTAGGCGAGCAGGCCAGTCGGTAACATTGGCACCATAATCGTTCTCAGGTAAACGGGCAATGCATTTTTTCAGATTAACATGCCTGCAGAAGAACAAACAAGACAGCAAATTAATACTGCCAAGTATATGTTTTTAACACCACTGTAATTTATACAGCACCGTATATCATCTGGATCTTCGTCAATTCCACATATTGAAGGCTGCGCGACAGCGTCGCGGTTGAGGTAGCAACTATTGTTTCGAGGTTTCTGCCAAATAGCAACATAACCTTCTTTATTTACGAGATTCCAGCAAATATTGGCAGCTAGTTCTTCCATTTCTGTGATAAGATAAGATCGAGAAACAGGGGAAATTTTTAGTAAAGATCAATTGGATCATAAACAGAAACGATTTCAAAGATGCTGAATACCTTTCCATAGCTTTGCCGTTTCCTCGTGAGATTTATAAACTACCTCCGATGCCCATACAAAGTATCCTCCGCCTCGGAGAATTCTATTCGTCTCAAGAAGAAGAACACCATCTTCACAGACGCAACAAAATGGGAATAAGGAATAACTAAGCTTTACTTCATTTTGCATACTTAGCTCCAACAATGTTCGTCATATAACACAAAGAAAATAAATAGTTAAATACCATCACGAGTCCAATTGATCTCCCTAGAACAATGAATTAGATCGAATGCTTGGCTTGGGAAAGGTAAAGAATGAGCTCCGAATCCTGCTACCATGGCAGGTACACCTCTTTCTAGAGCCAACTGAATTTGGTTCTCACCTATAGACAGAGTGGTCACATTCCTCTCCATTAAATAGGCACCGAAACTTGCAACACCAGAGCCAATATCCAGAGAAACCCGAGTACGTTTGCCAAATGCGATTTCCGGAACCATCTGTAGGCATTTGTCTCAGAAATCAAATTAAAGCAAAGCACAAAATCCAGAGGGTTGAGGTGATGCAAACCTTGGATATCTGATCCAGATATCGATCAACATCGAGGATAAACTGATTTACACCCCTTTTCAAAATTATCTTGTCATCTTTTCTTGATATCCAGTTTTGATCATCTTTATCGAAATCCGAATGCACAAATGCCAAATTGTCAAACAACACCTGTTGAATGGACACCATTGTTGTCTTCATATATTCGATCAGCAATCATGGCCTCCTAAAGCTAGATTTTTTTTTTTTCTCAGGAATTCATACTTGGATTGAATCACTTCAGCAAATGTGATTCGATTTTAAAGAAACAAGAAAACTGAGTACCTGATCACGGCTTTTAGGCCATGGAATGTGAAGCTTGTATCCTTTTGGCCATGGCACCAAACAATCCAATCCTCTGCCATTCTCATGGCAATGCCTTTTGTACTGTTCAACCTTGGTCGACGAATTTAACCTAGAAGAACTTTCTGCGTTGCCCAGACAAGGAATATAGTTGCTCAAACTATCCTCACAAACCCTAAATTTCTCATGTTTAATCACTTTCTTGAAATCGCCCCTTTCCTTGTCGCTGCTGCCATTGACATCGGCATTCATTACCATACTCTGTATGAGCCCTTCATCAAATTCTCCCACCACAAAGTCATCAGTCATTATCCCCATCTCATCTATGATTCCTGTTCTCTCAAACAACGGCCGAGGAGGAGGCGCCGGCGCCGGCGGTCGATAGTCGGTGACTACAGCGGTGAGGTTAAAGAAAGAAAGATTGTGATTTTGGGGTGTATGTGTTACAGAAACAGAGAAATACTTGAAGAGAAAGAAGATGGTGATGGGAAGAAGCGAAAAGGCTACGATTTTCACGAATTTTGGAGCAGCAGCGATGATCGGTGCCGGCGAAGCAACTTGAGAAGTGGACCTCTTGAACATGGCGGCATTCATAGTTCGTCTTCCGGGAAATCGCGAAAGAAAAGGAGAAGACTTTAGAAAGAGTTTCAGATTCTTTGCCCAATTCCCACTGCAGAGTGACAAAAATGGCGGTCTTTAGAAAATGTTCACAACCCAACCCTAGTTAGGTTAATCGAGACTTGTGCATGGCTCTCATTTGCTGGATACTGGTGGGCCTCTCCAGTCCAGTACCTTTTGGTACAGTTCTCTTCAATTTCAACAGGGAATCGGCAGATGGAAATAGAAATTCATCCCGCCGATCACTGCATAGTTAAGTACTTGCTGAACGTTTACGCCAAGACGATGATGGTCAATTGCTTTCATATTTGTTTTGGCAATATATATCTGTATATATTTATTGACATCTGTTTTCGAATCCACAATCAAGTAGATACCAAAACAGGAGAAAATTCCGACCGCCGCCGACTTACCGGAAAAACCTCGACTTTTACGGGCAACGTTGTTGATTCGAACCATTACCTCCTTCATCTGAAAAAAAAAAAAAAATCATTCCAAGTTCAAGACAAGTTCAAGGTTGACTAGAAACTTGTAGATATGTAATGCCTTGTTTTAAGACTAATTCAAAACATGCATTTCTTTCTTGACCTTTCAGATGATCGATCGCCTGGTCAGAAATTGTACCCCAGAAATTGAAAAAATAACATGAATATTATCAAAGATGAATTCTCCATTGTTCCAAAGTGAATAATTTACAGTGAAGAAATAGCAATTCGAACACAAAATTAGCTAGCTAGCTGTCTCTTCCTCCATCATAAGATTCATTAATATATATATATATATATGAAAATGGAAACAAGGGGATCAATAAAATACTGGTGCAATTTCATGAGTAGGAATAATCAGAAGCCATGGGAGCAGACATCATGTTCTTAAACTCTTCAAAGTCGAGCATGCCATCGGAGTTCTCATCATACACATCGATCATGTCCTTACAATCCCGGCCACTCCTCTTGTCCCAAAGTCCTAATCTTGACAGCACGCTCTGCAGCTCCTCGCTCGAAATATAACCATCGTTGTTAAGGTCGAACACCTTAAAGGCCTGGACAAGATCATTCTCTTTTTGATCCTTACTGTCGTGATCATCGCCCATTCTTGCCTTCACTGCAGCCTCGTAGAAGAACAAGAATTCAAGATAATCGAGGCTCGTCCGCCCCACCAATTTCTCCAACTCTTCGAGGCTCGCATGGATTCCAATCCGGCTCAGAAGATGGTGCAGCTCCTCAATGCTCACTTGCCCGCTGTTGTTCCTGTCCAGGTTCTTGAAAATCCTGTGCAGATCGTCTCGACTTATCGGCGACATATCGATTTGATCGATTGGATAACAAGTAACAACTAACAAGTCTTGTTGTATGTAATTCAGCTGTATGCAAATGTGGCATTGAGTTTGTTATAATTTATATAGGACAGCAGAAACCGTGTGGATTTAACGGTCTTATGAAAGACAATGTGGCGGGCCACTAACTTAGAAATGTTAAAACTTTCGAAGAAAATAGAGGGAGGTTTCAAATTTTAGGTGTAATTTATATGCTGTGCCTTGTTCCTTTTGGCATCGTTTTAAAATCTGTGTTCTTTATTTCCCCTTATCAAAAGATTCAATTCTCCGTTGTATTCTGATCATTATTTAAACAAGATTTACCTCTGACGAATCAAAACATTCGTGGGCATTTCAGAAAAAATAATAAGATCGCCGCAGGCCATTTGCACGGGAATCACGGAGGTCAACGTCGACTCAATCGAAACCGTCGAGAACATTCTAACCAGGTCGACCGTTGAAGCGGATGGACGGCCAGGATTGAAAGAGATGGAACAGCGCCGGCCAGATTATATAAACGAACAACATCGTTATCAGATGTCTTCTTCTTTTTGGGTTTTTAATTTACGAAAGAAGGAACACGTTTTGCTTGGTCAGTCTCCATTCCAACAGTTTGTTGTCACTGCAAAGTCAGTCAATTGGTTAGACTTCCATTGATGAAGATTTGTGTGGTGAGTGGTTCATCACTTGCCAAGAATCTTCAATGTAAGATCCTTACTGGTATTGTAACGATTTCAGAGTCATTTCATCTCTACAAAGTGGGAATTTGCCATCCCCAATTGTCCAAATAATCAACTCATTAATTCATTCTAAAAAAATCCCTCAGCCACTGCGCAATGATTCAAGAAAATCAGAGCACAGAGGCCTTATGCATAGATTATTTGATCTCAAAAATTGTGTTGATCCAAAGATCATATGGTAAAAAATGATACAGATGAAGAACTCGGGGTTCAGATGCTTAATAATACAACAAAAGTTGTCGAAAGACCTTTTCCGAAACGGCACTGCGCTCAAGGATTCAACGTGTACTTCCCAGGCTCGTCATATGTTCCTTCCAACTGCTCGAGTTTGTTTATTTTGAAGCCTCTGATTCTCAATTCTTCCGGCGCTGAAGTGTCTTTATAATCGACATTTTCGATGGTCCAGCCTGCATTGTGGACAGAACCTCCAACTTTCACCTGGCAGAACATAGAATTCAGATCTGAATCATTTTTTTTGTTGGACAAAATAAATTCGAGTATGAAGTAGATTGAGGAAGTATCCACGCACCTCGGCACTGTCTACTGCATTTACAATAAGGGCTCCGTCGAGTGCCAGATTCTCAAGATGGATGTTTTGGCCTTTTATGGCCATGGTAGATCTTTGTGTAACGGAACAGTTCTCACCAATTTTGCGTTTAATATCCGAAAATGCGATCCCCCATTTAGGTTTCCACACAATCCGCGGCCATACATCCACCTCCTGCCCGTTGTACACTTGCTGAATCGGATCATCTATCTTAACACCAGCCTGCGACAAACAAAGAACATTTCATTTGCATACGCGAACTCTCGATTCAATAAGTGAAAGTTACATGCTGTAGATATGTAGGATTTGATTTCGAGAAAGCTTCATAAAAAGAATACCGAACCTTTCTCAAAATAAGGCTGTTCGCTCTATATATGGCCATCTCTCCGGATGTAGCACTGTGATACGGATTACCTTTAGGTACCTAAATTCCGAATTCAAAGATTCAAGAGATTTATGATTGAAATCAAACATATATAGATTAAATGCAAAATCAGACCCTTCCAGCGAAAAGAAAATGGTTTGATGCATACCTTAGCTGCATCTTCAGGATTGTTTTTCACAGGTGCATAAGCCAGCCAAGTATCCATTACCTAAGTGGTTGCGCCAAAATTAATACATACAAAGCCACATTTTAAAAATACATCAAGTTCAAATTGTCAATCAACGCAGCACTTATGCTTACAGTAAATCCAACACGAGCTGAGGGTGGCAGTGTTTTAGGGTAATCTTGCATCATGCATTCTAGTCGAGTAGATGATTTGAACGCAGTTTTGGATGCATCTTTGTATCTGAAGTAAAAAAGATACTTATTAACACATTATAAAACCATCACGAACAAATATGACAAGTGGATCCGCACTTCCTCTACCCCGGCAATAACATAAGCATGTAAGCTAAAAGATAATGGATTAAGAAGCACTAAAAAACAACAGCTCAGATAAGCCATATGAGTTTCGTACATGTTATTTTTTAATATATTACATAGAAAGCGTAGACATATATATACCGATGATATTCGCCTTAAATTTTGTAATCTAATTGTTTCAATTTTGCGTTAGAATGTTTAGGTGTTAATTCCTTCAGCAAAAAGATGGCCATTTGTCTCATCAACAACAATCAATGGCACTCATTCGATTTGGAATATGATGTCGCATAAGATAACCATCGCCAAATAGGTTTTACTTAGACAGAGGGCTTACTTTGGATTGACAAATTCCTTTATTGCACCCCCAGTTTTTGTAAGTTCTTCCAAGTAAGGGCCGATTTCAAAAATTAGCTGCACAAAATAGAACAGAAATCATCACAATATCCAAACAATTTGAAGTGCAATATATCACCTAATCCTAATGTGCAATGATTTCATGGCTCCTTGTCTTACAGTTACAAACTTACAACAAGGGAAACTCTACAGAATGCAGGCATCCAGATAATGCAGGAAACGCATAAAACAAGATTAACCGCTACAATGACCCCAAAAAAAAAAAAAGTGGTAATATGATACACTTGACTTGGATCAGAAATACATATATCGCACATCAATTAGATACGAATCCTCTTGGCATTGCAATTGTTTGAGAAACTCATTGTCATTATTATCTTCACAAAAGTTGAGTCTAAGAAACAAATGCAGAATGAATTTTGAATGAAATATACTTGATTGATGTTTCCTGGGAAAGGGGAAAAGCCAGTTTCACAGTTGACATCGCCTTCAGAATGTCCTGTAGCTCTCAGCAATGGATCAAGTTGATTGTACTCTACATTGATCACCATAGTCCTCCCTGACCAAAATTTGGGCAATAAGCTCAGTGAAATAGACATAATGCTACACCAAAAGATAAGGTACAACAAATTCACAAAAATCACTTAAGCGAATGCAGCATCACATCTCCTTCTATTAGACTGCATAGATAAGAGCTTGATAGGTGCGTAAATAAAAGTGAAAAACTTATGCTCCAAGGAGGATAAAAAATAAAAGCTTTTATTTGTAGCTAATGATCATCAATAACATGCATTCAAACATATCGAGTGTACTGATCAAAATTTGTGCCTTCCGATGTGACGCCGTGAAGCTAAATGGATTGAATATAATAAACTGAACCATGGTTACTTATTCTTAGATTTGAACGTGATACGTTCATGTAAAAGCGCACTGCTACATGATTATAAATTAAAATTAATGCACAAGCTAGTGTCTGAGAAGCTATCATCTTCAAGTAATCAACAATTTCATGGACAAAGACCATAAATCGGCAATAGGATCAATGACTGCAGTTACTACAGAGCAATATGGCTTACCATCTTTATGAGAGAGCTTAGTAATCCCTCCAATGGCTTCCTTAGCTTTCCTGGGCACTGCAAGAGAATTAACATGGTACTCTTTGATGGCACTGACACCCAATGCAGCTGGAATTGCCTGTATTTGAGAACAAAATGATAAGGATTTTTAAAATAAAAATTACTTAAATTGAGCTTAATCATTGCAAGGAGATGATGTTTTGGCTAAACCTTGAATAGGAGGCCATTAGTATCTTGGAAAAACAAAGCCCACTTTCGACCAGCAGCAAGCCTAGATAGCAAATGTTCGGCATTAATTATAATCACATGATACAGATTTAGAATAAGAGAAAAGTAGGATCAAGATAATAAAAAATGCTATAGAATGAGAAAACGAGAATAATGATTATAATACAAAATCTCATTTCAATAGTAGGAAATGCACAGTGGAGAGGTCTGGACCATACCATTCCTTGAGGAGACCACTTGAATAAAGAAGTGAATGAACATCACCATGGCCATGAGGTTTAGTCTGTAGAGAAGTTGGATAAAAGAACAAGAAATATGTATTAAAAATAGGAGTCACGTGATTAGATTTCAGCTTACTAGAAACAATCAGTGCCGGAGCTGTTACCTGGATTCTATACTTATTATGTGGGTCCACAGCCAGTCTAGCATCATTATCATCCAAACAAGCAACTTTTTCCTGGAAAAAAGAAAAGTAAATATTGTAATCAATCATGATTTCATGAAAAATTTCTAAAATTTTGTTAGCAGACACAGTGAAGTACCTGCTTCAGCAATTTCACTTGTGAAGGCTTCATTCCAAAGTAAGCATTTTTCTCTAAGAGGTCTAGAGTGCGTGAATGTGTGTCGTCTGACGTCATTATGGCCAAGGGAATATCTGTAGGTCCTTCACCTACAGTTACCACAGAATTGAGAAGATATGGGTTGATTAATCTTTGTGTAGTTAGCTGCTGCTAAGCGAATAATTTCCCTATGCAGAAACTAAGGCTTAAAGCATAACTAAAAGACATCAGAATCTATTCTCACAGAGCAAGATGCCATGACTCTCGTGTGGAACCATTTTCAAAAAATTCTGACAAAGATTCACAATCAATATGCTTAACTCAAGAAACACACAATAACTCTTAAATCCTTGCACCGAAGTAGATTAATAACTTTTCAAGTCAAGCAGCTCAAAATCAAACCTTGGGCCAGCTTACAGCTGACATCTTGTAAGGCCAGAATAGATTCGATGTAATGCTGTAAGAAACATGTTCCTGTAGTAGTCTCTACAGGCAGAGCCACCTGCAAATGGACATAAATCATAAGTCACAATAATTTTTTTCATTACAACACATAGTAGTATACAAATGCGGCATGCTAAAAGAAAAGTGCATGACCAGCAGAACATCATGGCGATAGAGAAAAAACAATTATATATTATAGAGATACCAAATCCAGAGTTATACTGTTTTGTATATATATATATGAAAAGGCAGGTCAATATCATGAATCAAGTGTCTGACCTTTATTCCATTGTAGCCAAGACGCTCTCCAAGGCCGCCAGCCACAAGGACAAATGCAGCCTTCCTTGCCTCACGTATGCCAGCTTCTTCGAATTGAATAAAGTTATCCTCGCCAAAAGTCAAGGTCTCTCCAGATGGAACCTGTTGAATAACAATCAACATTGAACCAAAAGGTTTAATCCCTTGCAACACAGATAAAATTTTAGTTGAGAGCAAATAACAAAGTATGCACAAAGTCAGAAAGTCTTAAGTGAGTCAAATTTTGCAAATTACAAAATCATGGAGACTTCAACTTACAGAAGGGGTAAATCCATCATATGGGTTCTTCCCAGCCTTCGAGTCTGCCAAAAGTTCCCTGGCAGTTTTGATGTACGATGCAAGGCCCCCAGGATAACTTCCATTGAGCCGGTCAATCTTCAAGAACATTGCAAGAGAAATTACCACGCTAAGTCAAGGCATAATCACATGACATGTATTATCTTGAATAATTTTGTCATCAGGAACGGAAAATATATATATAAGCACTTCAATTTGAAACAGTGTAAGTGAAAAGCTGTACATTAAGAAAACATAAACAACGATAAATAGAGCATTGCAAGAATCTAAACTTTTTAATATCTCAATATAAATTAAGAAATGCATAATCATCCTTTTTGTAGGATACATGAGCAATCCCATGTATATAGAACAGATCAAATGTAATGTATAGCGGAAAGAACAATGACGAATTTTATTTTTCTTGAAGAAAAAATATCATAAAAGTTTATTCACATTTCACACTTCTGGATTGCTTTTAGCCACCCATACCTTAAAAGTGCACTACTGACCATCTTCAACAATTGATTAGTATCACATTGAACAGTTAAACCCCAAATATCTTCAAGAAATTCATTTTCAAGAAAAGGCACACGCACTAAAAGAAAAGAAAAAGTAACAAACATTCAGATGTTAAACAACAATGCAAGCAAAAGAAGTAAAATTCCAATTTCTTGATCTAATTTTGAATATTGCATAATCAGAATCCAACAATCCAAATGAAGTAAAAAATATCACCACAAGCATAATTAGAAAGATCAGAAAAATCCCACAAAGTATAAGATTAGCTCGGCAATCAAAACTACTTTTTCAAGAAAACAAGTAAAATCCATCCTCAAACACACCACGAGATTTGCATCCCAATTCCACGATCGCAACTCGCCATTCAATAACACTATACAATCTCAAAATCTACCAAATCACCTGATCAAAAAACGCGCGCTTCTCGTCGTCATCAACCCCTGGCTCAGGCCAATGCTCAAACAGATGCGTCTGATTCGCTTCCAATAGAATCTTTGCCAATTTCACCTAATCAGACACGCCCAAGAAACTAAGCACATAAATCGAGAAAACGAACCACAATTCAACCAAAAAAAAGAACCTGTTCGGGAGAGAACACGGAAAGATTTTTCAGGAGATTCGGCGCGGCGGAGGCCCAATCATCGATTTTCAGTTCGGACAGCGCATCGGCGGTTGATCCAGCCATAACGTCACCTTCGAGGCACAACTCCCGACGGGAAAGAACAGATGAATAAGGAAGATATGAACGGCAGTAAAAATAATCTAGGCAACGGCTTTCGAACGGATTATTATTCGATAATTTATCCGCAGAGAGTGCAGTAATTAGTCAACAGGCATATGGAAAGATTCCTTATTTATGACGAAAACTCATCCAAGAAACAATTTTATAAGAGGAAGGTTAATTATAATGAAGTTAGGTTTTAATATACACATAAACAGAAAACTAAGTACGGCCGGAATTTAGACAGGCTATTCAAATCGTTGAAAACTTCTACTGGTGAAGTTCAGTAGCATGAAAAGGCAACAAACCCACGAATCTAGACCGTTGATTTTAAAATATAAAAATGACAGGCGAGATCTTACGGCTGGAATTGAGCAGAACTGTGTGGATCAAATCTGTGTTTGGCATATTCGTTGGAACATCCATTTTTTTCATCAGATTGTTATTTTTTTTTTTTATTCTTCAGACAAAAGTTGGCTTTGGAACGAAGCTAATATTATATGAAAAGGCATTCAAGAGAGTGACTGAAGGCCTTCATTTTAGACCTTATTTAATTTATTTTGTGTATTTATATATGAATTTGTAGACATATATCACCAGACAGGGGTTTAGGTTAATATTTTAAAGTATAATAATAATTTTAATTAAAACAAAATATAAATAAATTATTAATATAATAGTTTGACAAAAAATTATATTTAAAATTATTATCAATTTCAGTGAATTTAACGTAAAATGAATATAAAATTCAATAAAATAATAAATATATATATATATTACAAAATAGTAGCACACTTAAATAATTATTTAAAAATGAAAAAAAAAATAATTAAATAAAACACAATAGGTAATCTGTATATTTTAGGATGGAGTTGGGCTCTATGCGTTTTTTGGGCCCAAATAAAACCACGAATTATGATCTAGCTTACTTGCCTGTATTATCTGGGCTTGCTTCAGAATTCTGGGCCCACAATACGGGGTAAGTTAAGTAATTCAAACTCATGTTATTATAAAATTGATAAGAAAATTTCTATAATGTCTATATGATGTTTCGTGCATGTAGCTTATTCGTTTCTATTGTGCTGTTTTTTAAAATAGAAAATAAAATAATTAATGTGCTTACATAATTTTTTTTTTGTGCTTTATTTTACATAAGAGGTTGTTGATAAAGAAAAAAGTCTATACAATAATAAATAAATAAAATCATAAAATAAAAATGAAATGTTGAAAACAATAACTACCAAAAAGAAAAATGAATATTTTTATCACGTCCTTGTCTGAGGATGATTTATTGAAATTTTCTTCTTTCATATGCTAAATTGCTACACATAAATTATTGTCTTGAAGTTGAACCATTATTGTTTTTATGTCTATGTTAGCCTAAAATATTTACTTGTTGACATGCAAATGAAATAATGGTTTTAATTACAGTATATCTCAGTTTTGACAAATTCAAAGTAGGAGGATGAGTAAGAAGTCATTTCGATCAAATTAAGTGCATGAAATTTAAAAGCATGAACAGAATGAATTATTCTAGGGTTTATAATTCACGACATATTCATAAATTAATATAGTTTTAATTTAGTCTCAAAAGTTCAAAGTCTTTCCACAGGTAAACACGTACACGCGCTGCTTATACTCATTCAAATTCTCAATCTCGACCTTCTAACATATATTGTGTTTAATTTACTTTAGAAACATATGAAATTTAATGAAGTCAATTGGTGGTGAACTTTAATTTTTAACTTTAGATTTAAATTGCAAATAATATATATCCATGTATTCATCTTTTTTTTTTTTTTTTTTCCTTCCATTCAATTTTTATGATTCTCTATAATATATATATATATATATTTTAATGTAAATAAATATCATATTCAAGTTATTACCAAAAAGAAAAACCCAAAAATACAAATAAGTAAATAAATAAAAATCTCCAACTAAACAAACCGAATTACTAAATTTAAGATTTTGGTCGACACTGCATCTTATACACACAAATCAATGTTCTATTTACATACTCCCTCCTTCCCATCTCTGCTACACTTTAGACACGATATTTTAGGAATGTGTAATTAGTAGATAATTAAAAATATATTAGTGAAAATAATTATGCTATAATATAAATAATTATAAATTAAGATTAAGATAACTAATTAATTTAATTAAAATTTTAAAAAAATAAAATTAAAAAGTTTAAAATAAGATTAAAGTGTGTAATCATTTTCAAAAAAAAAAGAAAAGTGATATGATATGTGAGACGGACAGAAACGGCAACGTGGACATGGTATGTGGGACGGAAGGAGTATAATTTTGAACAACTTTTGTTCCTATTCATCAAAATTTTCTTTGTAAACCCAAGTTTCACTTAAAGTATTATACTAATAAAACTTTATTTTCTAAACAAAATATCGACCAACACTTATTATTTGCACCAAATTTTATTTTATTTTTTTTACCAATTTAAAATAATAATAATAATAATAATAAAATTCTATAAAACAATTTCAAATCATATCTAAATAAAACTTGAAATCGACTAGAAGCAACAATATATCTATGCTCTTTAGCTCATCTCTAATGGTAAAGTGTAGGTTTTTAGTTTTGGGAGTAAAAAAGAAAAAGACCTCAGAACAAAACGTGTACCGTGTTAAGTTCGGACATGCAGAAACTAAAAAAGCTGACCTAGACACACGCACACACATGTATATGTGTGTGTGTGTGCTCATGCACATACCATTAATCTCATCTACAAAAATATAAATTTAGCCAAAAATTTGAATTGCATCCATTCCTTTCCTGGAAATAAAGAGGAATAAGCACCAAAATTGCTTCTAATATACTTCCATTTTCTCTCTTTTTTAGAAAATTAAGTAATATTTGGTTCCTATATAAAGCCCCTCCCCTTTCAACTATCTCTCACAACACACATAACAGAAAGATTTAATCTCTCTCACTCTATACACACACATATATATACAGAAAGTGAAAGGAGAGACTTACAAGATCAGCAGCCATGAGTTCCAACGGCAGCAGCAGCAGCAGCTATGCCAAGAGTAGTGGGAGTGTTTTTCCTAAGCCAAAAGTTCCTGTTATCAATATGGTGGGCAAGAAGATCGTCAATGCAGTTTCCAATACTGTCAAGAATCACAATGGGAAAGCAAAAGTAAATCCTCGTTGATAGTTATACATATATATATATGTGTGTGTGTATACACATGTGTGTTTCGATTTATCTATGTTGCATGTAAGCTCACTTTCTATAGGTTAGAAATAGTTGAAGTGTACACTTAATTGGGATTTGTATGGTTGCTGAATTGTGTAGTGTACGTTCGAAATATGCGTGTATGTTGTACTACAATTTGTTGTATTGTAAAAACCAGGAAAGATTATATTATATACTGAATACCTTGTGATTGATTAATCCCAAGCTTGTCTTTCTCAAGATCTTTTCATCCAGGGATTCCTCGTCGATTTTGTGGCCACCATCCTTGTATAGCTGGAGTTGCAACATTCCCCTCATCGTCTAAACCTTAAAACAACATATCCTAACCATCCATCCAGTAATTATAAGTCAGCATAAACAATTTTCAGGTGATTAATTATCATGCTTGAAAAGTTGAGATTTAAATTCAATGAGAGAAGGTTTAGTGGCTTATACGGTTCCATCTATCAAAAACAACATCATCCATAGCCCTATCAAATGGGCATGTGGATCATAAATCAATAAAATGTGATTGATGATCCATTTATGCAAACCAAGGCAAATCAATTATCAACATTTCTTCTTTCCCTGTTCAAATTAATCCTTCTCTAGCTTGCTCAACGAAGTTTGGAGAAGTAAATATAACTAAATAAAAAATTATGTGTCTTCTCAATCGAAAAACATATAATTCAACATAAGAAATGGTCCAAGAAGCACAACCGGTGCAATACCTCCTTGGACAGAGGCAAGTTATTATCTTTCTGGTTTTGAAGCAAATTGGTAATTGTTCACTTTCCTATTGAAGAGTATACTTAACTTTATAACTTTCTGAAAATGCCCTGAATCGATACAAATAGTATGGTTAACTAATTATATATGCATTTTGTAGTAAACAGTAAAAGTAAAATCAGAAGTTTGAATCCATGAACTTACTAGTCTTAATTAACAGTGAAGTCGTTGCCTAATTTCTCTCTCTCAATCTATGCCTCTCTTTTTCGAAAAATGCCTTCATTTTTTCTTATTTTTGTACTCTAACCAAAATTCAGAAAATCGGAAACAATTAGATCCAACAAACAGAGATGGAATTGAGAAATCAAAAATGAAAAATACAGGGAAAATGAAGGCGATAGCAGATAATAATTATACGCAAAATAGGAAATAGAATTGAAGTTGCGAGAGTAGGGCTGCCGACATTCCCAAGTGAGAGACAGTTGCAACCAAATCCGACTACCAAAAGTTAAAAAAATTGAAAAAGGAAACAATGGCTTACGTACGCCTGAAGTAGTTACCAACAGCCACAGCGGAAGCGGCGGCCACAGAGAGGTTTCGATGCGGGAAGGCAGACCGCTTCTCGGATCATCTGAAAAGTCAAATCCTTCATCTGCGTTGTTTCAATGCAATGCTCACCTCCATCTCCACTCTACCATTACATTTATGATTTACCTCCTTTAACTAGTTTTACTTTTTTCTTAGAATAATAATAATAATCTTATTATAAAATGGATAAAAATATAAAAATGGTTTTACCTAATAAAAATAATTTTAAAACGCATGATGCATAGGTCCAATTAATATTGATATATATATATATATATTTACAAATTTGAAAATGCGATAAAGGGTGACATTTGTTTTTTTTTTTTTTTTTAGATTTTTTAATATTAGTATTATATTAGATTTGTAGTAAAAAAATAAGATAAAAATACCCCTAGTGTAATATAAAAGTAATGGTATTTGTGTAATATAATGTAAATTAAAATGATATTTATTATGTTAGGTAGTATAATTACTAAATTAGAAAATGGTAACTTTTTTTAGAGTGACGAAAATAGAAAATTGTAATACTTCAATGGGAGGGAGGGAGTATATTATATTAAATACTACTTCCGTCCAGCCATGAAGTAAATATAGGTTTTTGCATGGTTGTATTTAACATTAAAGATATTCTTATATATTATATAGTTTACTCCAAATATATGATTATATTTTAGTCATTTTCTTTTTATTTGTATTATATTTTGTTATAATAATTAATATTCAAATATCAATATAAAAAAATCATTTATCCTCTGTTGTTGCTGGACGGAGATAGTATTAACTTTTAATGATTTTGAAATTTTCTAATTCTCAAAAAATGTATATCTAAATTATAATTATTAGCAGTTGTTGAATAGATCGAAATAAGCTTTAGAAATTCCCAAATTACATGATTGCAAGAAAAGTAAAATTTGTTCTTATTTGCTAGTACATGTCAATTTATTAACATACCCAATCTGAATCACCTTCTCACCTACTCCAATAAAATATGTATTATTATCATAATTAATATTCTAACTAACTATATATTAAATGATATGGTAGCTGATCCAAGGAATAATATGTTAGTATTATTATTATTATTATTATTATTATTATTATTATTATTATAAATACAAAATTATTTTAGATATATTCTTTAAAAAAAATTAAATTAAATAGTATGATTATCCCAAATTTATTATTATCCTTATTTTATAGTTTAAATGTTCTATTTTATTTTAGTTAACTTTAGGATGTATTGATTTAGATATCAAATCCCACCTGATTACATTGTTGACTATAAATATTCTTATAAATATATTGTGACTAATTTATAAAATATTTTAAATACAAATATGTAAAATAAAAATATATCAAACGATATATAAGTAATATATAATAATAAAATGTGGCATAACTCTTAACTAGGAAAATAATAGTAAAACCTATATAGTGTATGTATATATATAATTGAATTTCAAATATTCAATTTAAAATTTGAAGCCAACATAATAAAATTATCAGAAATGGGACTTAAGAGTAAACCAATTTCAAGCCATATAATTGACTTTTACTAATTCAATCTATGTTCTCCCTTTTCTTTTTATTATTATTATTATTATTATTTTGGGGTTCTCCAAAGACATTGTATTAAATATTTATTTCTAATACATCAAAAGAAGGGATTTATTTACTTTGTATTAGTTTTTTGGTTATATTTTGATTCTTGAGTGAAACACTGAAATGCTTGTTACAGTTATATGTTTTGCATTAAAAAACCATACATAATTTTTATTGGATGTCACTATTTTATATAGTAAATGTTAATAATAATAATAATAATAATAATAATAATAATAATAAATAGTTAGGTAAATTGAGCCAAGACAACCTCAAATAAAAATTAATTATATATTTAATTTTTGACACATTCAAATTAGGGATGGTAATGTGTATGTATGCATAAAGCAATGCATGGATTAATTAGGGTTTAAATTTCACCAAAATTGTTCAAAGTCTTGCGCGGATCGATCTACAGTAAACACGTCTTCAATATATTATTTATTATTATTATTATTATTATTATTATTATTACTATTATTATTATTGTTTTTTATATCTGCATGTATATACACATTAATTTGTATAGATTCATTTTATAACACCATAAAGAGACTTGGAAACTTTTGTATAATGCAGTCGTCTTTTATCTGACCATTAACATATTACTGAATTTAAAAATAATAATAGCAATAATAATAATAATAATAATGAATTCATCTGTGTCATTTTCAGACCACATAACAAACAGACCTGTTGTGTTATGTTGGTCTCTACAAAACAAACCGTGTACCGTGTTAGTGTTGCATACAAACCCTTTCAGACATACATACATACATGGCCGTAGCAGCAGCGGCCAATATATGATCAAGCAAGGCAACATCGTACCAACAAAGAACCAAACAAACACAACCTTAAATTTCATCTATTCCTTCCATGAAATGAGGATGTAGTCACTGCAAAATTACCATTTTCTTTTTTTTTTTTTTTTTTTTTTTGAGGAAAAACTAGACCTCCAAATTTCCTATATAAAACCTCCAAAGTGTGTTTGAGAATCACACCAAACACATAACAGAAAGAACATAGACAGTTCAGAAAGAAGCATAAGTTAAAAAAGAAAAGAGCAGCAGCAGCCATGAGTTCTAACAACAACAGCAGCAGCAGCAGCTATGTTAAGAAGGGGAGCCCGGTTCCTAAGCCGAAGGAGCATGTTTCGACGATGATGGGAAAGGCCATCGCCAAGCCCTTTGTCAATGCTGTCAAGAATCACAAGGAGAAATCAAAAGTAAATCCTCAATGATCGATGCTACTGTTGTATATATATATATATATGATGAGTAAGAAATATATATTTGTGTGTGATTGATTGATCGAAATAATTAATATAGGTTACTTTGCAATAATTAATATTATTTAGGTCATTTGCATTGTTGTTGTATTATACATGTAGGAGATGGACACTGTGTGTGTGTGTGTAATTGGACATGCTGTTCTAGGATTTAAATTTGTTGTTCTTGTAATATAATGTCGATGATTGTTATAATTCTATTATAGACCACTTATTTACTCTCTCTCTCTCTCTCTCTCTCTCTATATATATATATATATATGTATGTATACCTTGTCCATGAAATCTTCAGATTTCAGGTCCATAGATCCTCACACTGTCACACAATAAGCATATAGATAAGATCCTCTTCTCTGATCTATATATGATCATGATCGTTAGTTGTCTAAAAAGCCTTAAAACAATGTCCTAGCAAAAGATCCAATAACAAGGATATATTTCAATGAGAAGCACATATTAAATAGGTGATTCTTGACAAAAGATGCAAACAGCAACCATCTTTTTTCGATGCAAAATTATATAATTCAATCTTCCCCTAACGTCTATTTGTAATAATATGAGGATCCCGGATATTAAAATCTACGAAATCATCAACTATAACGCTATAGCATGAAGTAGATCATTGATCTAAAGGTAAGGGAATAAGATAGATAACATCCAAACTTCCGGGTTCTAATAAGCTAACTAGCTTCTTACATACATGGTAAAATTTCATTTTTTTTTGGTAAAGACATTAATCTTTGTGTCGAAATATTCAACATTCTTATTTTTTTAGAGCAGTATTTGATATACTTAAGATTAGCATATAGCATTTTGAATTTAAATTATTTATTCATTAATTAAGATAAAATCAACATATTCTACAATATTAACACAATAAATAATCAATAATATTCCAATTAAAGTATGGAATCATTCTCTCGCTTTCACATTAACTAATTGCAGCAAATAATTACTTATCTGCTTTACCATATAAGGATATATGTTTAATAATCAATACAGTAATAAGTGGCTTAAATGATGTGTTAAAATAATACTTATATTATTATATCATCATTTAAAACTATAAACATGTCCCCAAGTTTATTATTATAATTACCAATCACCAGCAGTAATTTCTATGGAAAAAGGTTTTGTTCGGACAAACTACCTTACTTACTTACACACGCAGATAATTTTCGAGCTTTTCTTTTCTGTCCGAAGACTTCTTCCCTTCAAGAAGAAAATCACCAAAAGGAACCCAGAATCAAGAACATGGATCAAGTTTTAATTTGTAGAAAAATTATAACTTGTTTATGGTGGCTACTGTAACTGGTGAGAAACGATGCATAGACGACAAACCCAATTAATTATATTAATTAACTCCGATCCGCCATGGAAACTGCTGCGAGTGTACTGAACAGTTGCTGACAAGTCTACCCAATTACTGCTTTTTTTCTTCTTCTTCTTCCTCAGACAAAAGTAAAACAAAGAAAGGAAACAATGACGTACTATTGAGACAATTCGCGGCGGCGGAGGTGGCCGGAGAGGCTTTGGTGCGGGAATCGGGAGGGCGACCTTCTTAGCTTCTCACATCTGAAAAGTCAAACCATTATTTGGGTAGTGTGTTATTACAAGAATTCTCAATCCCTAAATTATTACATGGTTTTAGGTTTAAAATGATACTATTAATGAGCAGACAATAAAATCTGTGGTGGAAGATTCACTTTCACATTCACATTTATTCCCACCAATCATCCAATCCCAATCCAAATCCAAATCCATATTCGGGTCAGTACATTTCACATAAATGTAAGAAATGTTTCAGGGAAGTCAAAATACCACTGACCTTGACACGTGTCCACACCCTCTCTCTCTCTCTCTAGAAAGCCTTCACGCCCAAGTTTCTTCTCACTCTAAAACCATGGCGAAAACCCACCCTATTTCAGCCAAATTCAAGATTCCAAATTGCTATAATATCTTCACTCGATTAATTAGGGAGAAGATAACCTAGAAGAAATGAAGGCAGCGGCTGAGAAAAAAGACGTAGCTTACATTGCGCCGGCGCCGGCGGAACTTCCGGGACGGCGTCGTTTTGAAGCTAAGAAAGGAAGTGTATTTCCGGCAAGGAGAAGGCTCGTGAAGAAGATGGTCCTGGACTCGATTCTCCGATTTATCTTCCCATGTTTTGCAATGGCGGCGCAGACAAACGGAAGGGAATCAAAACCAGGGAGTGCCACTGTTTGTCCGGGCACCTAATCTGTAACAATTATAAATTTCCATTTTTTAGTTCAATGTAAAATATGAACTCTGTTTATCACTTGCAGTTGCATCTGATCTGATTTCCTTTTTTGATACTACCCCCTCTATACAATCTACTTCCGTAAATTCCTATGAATATATATATTCTGGATATCAATACTTCTTCGGACAAGACTCACAATAATGTCATTCCGACAAGATAATGATACATACAAATATATACATATATATATACTGAACTACTGGAAATTTGGGGATGAATCTTGTACTATGATCAAGTGTGGATTCAATATATATACTTACATGTACGCATACAAACAAGAAAAAATTCTACCTTTATCAATCAGCATCCAACGTTTATACAATTTATGCATATTCCTGAAATCTTACATCAATTATTCTCCATACTAGAAACGAATCCGATCACTCCATAGTCAGAACAGAGGCGAGCTCCGGCGAGTGCGGCGCGATCAATTCCACGGACCTCCTTCACAAAAAAAGATTTGATCTTTCCCACCATCCTATAGTTAGTGAAGTTAGCTATAACTGATTTCCTAATCATTTCCTCCGCGGCGCAAAGGTATCGGCTTCTTCATTTCCACAGCTTCTGAAGCTGTAGTCGCAGCATTCGAGCCTTTGGATGGAGCTGAAAACGGGATTGGAAGCTTCTTAGGCAGCATTTGCTCCCAACTGTACGCGCCAGGGAATGATCGCGCCGCTTCTGAGATGAGAAAAAGTGTAAGGAAGGTGAAGATTAGGCACTTGAATCTCCACGACCTTGACATGATGATGAACAATAATATGCTTCAATTCAGCTCAAGAACAGACTTCTCAGGCCCTCCCTTTAACTTCCTGAGGCTTGCTTTTAGGCAGCCTGTGGTAGCAGACAGGTCGAGCAATCTAAGTAGTGCTGCCAAGTTGGTTTGTTTGAGGAAATTAAAGATAAAAAACGATTGGGAGACAGTGCTGCAATAAAATACTTTGCTGATGCTTTAGTTAATTGTAACTTATCCAAGAAAAGGGTTTTGTGTCTTCAAACCTGAGAGGAATGATCGAACGACAGCAGACCCCACAGGAGTAGGAACATCTGATCACTTTTATACTGGCAAGAATCTTTAGTTCGACGACAGAAACATGGCATTAATTAGTTAAGGCTAAGAACAATTCAATTAAGTCTATTTGGTAAATGGTAATGCTCCCATGAAAAGCAGGAAAAGGTTTTGATTAAAGTTGATAAAATAACCGATCTTGCTTTGAATCTTGGGGTTTAATCATGCAAACACGAGGTGAGAATGGATTTGAATAATGGATGAGGGTGTAGGGAAGGAGACAAGCCCCAGATCAAAAGGGATATATAATCAACCTACTTTGAGACTTGCTGTCTGATACTTTTTATCATTATGGGGATTTTCTTAATGCTCAAATAAAGGGGGGTCGAATGGGATGAGTGCCATTGCCAGCAATGGTGTCTTTCTCTGTCTGCGCCGGCCGAGTGTTCTATTATTTTAACCTAATTCTTTGATTGAAACGGCGCAGACTGATGAGCAACTTCTCATTGACTCCATGGGACAGTCTTATCATTAAACTTCTCAGCTAACCTTAGCATTAACTAACCGTGACTTCTTCTTGTGTCTGAACAGGTTGATTTTGAGTTATGTTTAGTTCCGTTAGGATAAAGAATGTTAATACATATGAAAGTAAGTGTATGTGGTCCAAAAGACACCTACTAGTTGGTGGATTGTCTGGAAAAACACTGGTTTGTTTTCCAATAAAATTTGTCTGTCATCAAGACTAAAGTGCTTACACCTTAAACAAGAATTTACAATTTTATTTATATATATATGAATTTGTGTTTGGGAGGGTAGAAAAATTCGAAAGAAGCAATGTGATTGGATGGGGTAGGATTTTGTGGGCCCAAATTGCTAATTTTGCAACTCCAACTGGTCTCATCACCACTGTGTTTCCTCCATGTCCACAAATCAATCAGCCCCTTTTGCTTCCACCATCACACAGATTTCTTCATTGAGAATGCAAGCCAAAGAAATACTATTAAATTAAATTCTGGGGTGGGTTGAGAAAGGCGTGTGGACAAAAATTGAAGAACAGAAGCAATGCAAGAAAATAATCATCAAAAAGGCTGAGTAATGTGTAATGATGCAGACCATGGCTGCCACTCACAGTGCACCTGCATTTTCTTCTTCTTATTACATCCATAGCTGCAAGAAGATGCAGAAGCCTTCACCACCATTGCCCCACGCCTGGACTGACCGTACACCTTCTTACAACTCCCTTGTCTTCCAGGTTAATTTTCCTTAATTTCTTATCCATTCCCATTTTAGGTTTTCAGGAAAATGTCTGATTTGGGTTTTCATGAAATTGCAATGAAATGTTCTGAGCTGGGTAGATCAATCTAATTGCGTGGTTCTGTGTGCATTCACAGCTAATTTTCGAATTAATTAATGTATGATCTTCAACAGGCTGCAAGGCTTTTGGGTCCTCCAGCAAGATTCGAAGCTTCAAAGCTGAAGGTGTTGTTCATGGGAAAACAAGCTGGAACGCCTACCAAGATTGTGCCAAGAACTTACACTCTCTCCCATTGTGATTTCACAGCTAATTTAACGCTAACCATTTCAGACATCATCCTGCGAGATCAAGTAACTAATGTTGCCTTAACTCTCTTGTCATCCACCATTCTTAGCCCTTTGCTTACAGCTTTTTTATCTGCAGCTTAACGGCTGGTACAATAAAGATGATGTCGTCGCCGAATGGACACAATTGAACGACAAATTGATCCTGAACGTCCATTGCTATGTGAGTGGTCCACATTCTTTATCAGACATGGCTGCAGAGTTCAGATATCACATATTCTCCAAGGAATTGCCGCTGGTAAGAAAAATTCCATCCCTGTCCGAGCATAATTTGGTCTGTATTGAACTTGTATAGACTAACTTAAGTTTTGTGGCATCAAATTTTTCCAGGTTCTGGAGGCTCTGCTCTATGGAGATTCGGATCTTTTCCGACAGCATCAAGAACTGATGGATGCTTTGGTTAGAGTTTATTTCCACTCCAGCTTCCAGAAATACAACCGCGTCGAGTGCTGGGGGCCGTTGAGGGATGCTGCTCGGGTAGGTCAAAATCGGTTATTACATTCATAGCCTCTTGTAACAATGTGATGATTTTTCCGAATGCATTCACTTCAGGGAAAGGGAGTCGACAAGATCAATGGATATGTAGCTGCAAGCAAAGAAAGGCGTTCGACTCACAAATCCCGGGCAAGGCAAAAGTCGATCTTTCAAGCAGTTCTTACCTTCCTGCTGTGATTCGGCAGACAGTTTATAGTTCAGACAAGATATCCAACCTGAAAAACAATAGAGCTTTGCAGGACTATCTTCTTGGGCAATGAATGTTCAATTTTTTCTTAAAAGAAAAGGAGCAAGCTGTGTAGAAAAACAGTAGTGTAGAAACAAGTAATATAGTAATCTAACAAGCACGGGTAAAGTGTCGTATATACGCAAACTCGTCTCGCAGCAGTTTCTCATTACAATGTCACGCAGATATACAATACCATAATAGCCGGAGGTCCATGAATATCGTCACATAATGTCTGAATGATAGGTAAAAACAAAAGGGAAATCGAGTAATGCATCGTGCTTAAATATCAGCACAAGAGAAATTTGAACTCAATATAACCTTAAAATGACCTGTTGGATTTAGGCGACGAAGATTTGGCTTTGGCAAAATCAACCAAGTCTCTGAAAAGAGCATCTTCTGGTTTTTCTTGCTTAGAAGGGGCAGGCGATTTGATAGAGAGATTCTGTGTCTGACCGACCAAACTGTCGTAGGAAGAACCCGATTCACTGCTTGAATTTGAGGGGCCGCCGCCAAAAGTATTGTTATGCTCAAAATATTGTTGCCGCTGGTTGTGCCTTGAAGGTGGAGGCGGAAGATTACCCGGGGCTGGAGCATCCCATGTAGTCGGAGGTAAATAATCTGCAGATTTGCTCGCCGGAGGAACAGGTGCATCGGTGGTTGATTTTGGAGCAAACATCGATGCTGTTGGGTTGACGAAATCATCAGGAGGTGAGGAAGGATGCGTTAAATTTGGCGGAGCAACAGTGTCTCGGCTGCTGGAATCAGCCGGGACGGTGGCACTCGTGAATCCTGATGTTCTAGTGGTTTGCTCTGTCCCGTAAAGATCGCCACTCAGGTAGTCAATTTTTCCGGCATCAGTGGTTGGCTTCTTTGAGGATGGCGGAGGAGGAAGAACTGTCGCTGGTTTAGCTTGCGTATCCCTTGATGATCTGGAAATCATATTCAATTTTTAGTCGCTTGTAGTAATAGTGTCGAAAACTTTCATCACATAAAAGTTAGCGAGTAGCGACACGTACCTGCGTGCTAATTGGGAAAAATCATCCTCTGTTTCGTTGTCCTCGTGATTCAGGTTCATCAGGGGTGTCACTGTAGTTGATCTACTGACTTCAGAATCAGCTGGCATTCCGCTTGCAATATCATCATGCTTACGAAGAACACGTTGCAGATTATCATTCAATGTTAGTCCCTTACAGAGAAGATCCTCGTCTCTGCAAAGGAAAAGAGAATGTACTTCATTGTTGATTTAATTTGAAGGACTGATGAGTTAAAATAAATGGACATATTCTTACGCAGTGTTATTCACAAGCACAGTGACACGCTTCTGGTACGAACGGCACTGGTCAACCAAGTCAACAATTATCTCGTCCTTCAAACCCTATTTGTTGGAGAAAATTCGTAAATTTAAGTCCATACAGCTTGTGGTATTTACAAGCTGATATGAAGGAAAATAAATGGGATTAAATGCTTGCTATCAATGATATTATTATAGTTCAACCTGAGGATTGTTTGGACCCAAAGCAGTTAGCATTTCTAAAAGAACATCAGCAAGTCCATCAGCATTTTGCATCTCAGGTAAGCTGCAAGAAAAGAAAACATACACATTTTGCGTAAATTAAAAGATCAAGAACTGTAAATTGACAGAACACCATGCATCAGAAAGAAATCTAATTAAGAGAATGAAAGTAGTAGAGAGAACCATGCACCTGAGTCCAGAAGCATCGGATTCTAGTGAAGCTTGAACGGCAGCTTCCTCATATGGAGAAGTTGGGTGAATGATCGGATGAGTTTGGGGAGGAGTGAACAAAGGCACGCTGCTTTCCTCTCTGATGGGGAACTCTACACCAGCCGACTGTCAAATTTGAAAGAAAAAGAAACATGACATTTGAAATTTCAAATAATTCGACCACCAACTTACAAGTTCATCTAATTGATTTGGTCTGATTATATTAATCATGGTACCAATTGAGGATTAAGAGTTCTAAGTGTAAAATCAAGGAGAAAATATGAAAAGTGATGGAGAAACTTATAAGAAACAGACAGAAAAGGCAACAATCAATGTTTACTAGCATAAACCTTCAGATTGTCTGGTAGATGGATTGATATATAAAAACTATTTAAAGCTGAAGAATTACAAAATAGATTCTTACTACCTTCAATTCATTATAAGCAGCATAATATTGCGGAAACCTTCCTGTGGGTCCACCTAAAGCCTCTTGCCAAGTATCGATCAGCTCTAGAATCTTCTCCCTCACGTTCAAATCAGGCTGCAAATGGTTATCACAAGGAGGATGTAAAAGGACCATTGTGATGCATAAAGCGAACCATGAAAATGGAGATGTAAGGTAAAATAGTCGCAGCACCTTCTTCTTTACGATTTTGACCATATCATGCAGAATGTCCCGTTCGACGATCAACTGAAACACATGCTCCCCACAATTTTTGCTAAGAGTCTCCAACACCTGGTACCATAAACTATCAGGTTTGAATAGGCTTAAATAGCCAAACACAAACATACGCACAGAAGAAAGAACTAAATAAAATGGTTACAAGGTACATCACTGAATAGGTTATTTGAAATAATACAAATTATAGTTGAATGAATTGCACAACGTTATCAGATATTACACAACAACCTGGGAAAGATCCGGTCGCTACATGAACAGCTTTGGAAAATGCATTATGCAGAGGAAAGCAACTTACGAATAGTGCAAGGATCTGAATTTTAGAGCTCTTATTCCCCAATCTTTTCTTGAGTAACTTCAGGGCATCCTTTGCCTGCCTGTATTTGAGTTCATCTCATGAACTATGATGCAATTATGAAACATAGAAAACAATCGATGGAAATGAAATATCATGTCTTGAATCCCAGTAAGAGAAAATTACCCTGGATCCATATTTATTATATCGCAAAGCTCTATGTTTATAGCCCAGTCTGGGCCAATCAGCATATCACTGGTAGCCCTCTCCACGACAGCAGCTGCATTTGCCATACTTCTGTTTTGTACTTTCACAGTCTCTCAAATTCTAAAACAAACACAATTGCAAACATCAATTTAGTACCAAGAAAAACTCGATTGGATGTCTAAAGGCAAAATTAAAAGTGTCAACAGTGTAATTCTATGTTGCCTGAGGATCAAGAGAAATCATGAGATAATTGGATTGATAAAAAAAACCTAGGAATCTAATAATAAAATAGCACCGATGAAACAGGGAATTCCAAGACATCACGACCAAAATGGAAGAGAATTCCTATAAAAAAGCATGATCTAATTTCAGATAATTGAACACCAAAATGAACACCCGAGAAGGGATGGCCCTAAAAGAATAAAGTCAACCAACGAGCAAAGTAGAAATGAACTCAAACCCCTAGGGGTCAAGTATACAAAAACACCCAAGAAACGAATCCCAAACTCCAAATCAGCCGCCACGCAACAATTAAAAGAAAACCGGTCAAGAAAACCTCAAGATCAAGTCAATAACAAATACAGAGAGATCAAGAATCGAAATGGAGCAATAAACTAAAAATAAATAAATAAAAGAGCAGAATTCACAAAATCAGTTGTATCCAAAACCCAGACCCAAGTCAGGAAATGTAAAACATACATCCGAATCAAATGAAATTCGAAACAAATCCACCAAGAAAACCCCAAGATCAAGCCTGTCAAAGAAACTAAAAGTAATCCACTTCCGTAATACATCGAGAGAGATCAAAAACAACAATTAACAGAGCAAAAAGATAGTCAAAGACCCTCGAGAACATTACCAACAAAATCCCTCAAGTCTGATCGAGTCCACAGAGAGAGAAAGAGAGAGAGAAGGGAAAAACAAAAGATTTTATTTTTATAAACGCTGGAGGCGGCCGAAACTAGAAACAATATAAAGAGCCGAACCCAAGTGCGAAAGATCTTTAGGTACGCGAGCGGATTGGGGTGTGTGCACAGACCGCTGCGTTTGTCAAAGTTCCGACCTTTAGACCTTTACCTTTGCAGAGAAGGAAGTGTCAAGTGCTAGTGCCACCCCGCTTTTGGTATTTTTGGTACCCTAAAACAATTATCGCTAAAAGAACCTTCTTCATTACTTCATCAAATTTACTTCTTGAATTTTATTTGATTTTTCTTAAATGGAAATACCCACTTTAAAATATATTTTTGTGGAGTACTATATAAACTCAGCTCATAAAGTTGACCATTCAATTTATAAAATGATAATAGTAATATTAATAAGAAGGTTCCTTATTGACATTTCCATTCCCAAATATTCTTCCCACCAGACTAGTCCTCAAGCTTTGTACTAACTCCTCGCCTCTTTTTCTAACTGACAGGTGGAGGTAAGTTGACCGGCTTTTGACGGTTGCCGTTGGATTATTCCTTGTTTGGACTTTTTATTAAAAAAACGTAAAAACGGAGAAAGCGCGTTTTGAACTACAAATGAGTCCCCACACAAATGGCGTTGTTTACACAACGATCTTCATCCTACTCTTATTGGATTAGAATGCTCCACTCCATGACTCCTAATTTGTACTAATAAATTATATTTTCAGGCTATTCGTTAGTATTCTAACTGCTTCCATGGTTGAGGTTAATATTGTTAAGATAAATTGAATTCAATGAATCGAAATTGATCATTGATCCACCTCATTGAATCGAAATTGCAACTAGTGTGTTTCTTTTGATTTGATAGGAAGAATTTTTATTTTTTTTTCGAGAACCGACAGAATATGGTGAAAAAAAAAAAAAAACAAACAAACACACCAAAGACTTCAAACTCAAAAAATGAAGAGTGGGGCGAGAGTCGCCCCTTTCAAAGCTAAATTATATAAAATTTAGATCGCAACAAACCCTAGGTAGAGAGGCTCAGATCTGTGTATATCAGAGCACGAATCATTTAGGCCACGCCATGGCTGCTAGATCTCCGGCTGCACACGCCTACGCGCGTGCCTCCCGGCCTGCCACGCCAAGATACGTGGCCATATTTTTCGATGCTCGACCCATTAGATCAGACCGATTATCATCACCGCCTCTTTAACACCATTCGAATGGCAACCAGCCATTCATATGTATGCCACCGACACTTAATCGCATTTTTGAATGCGAAATAAGTTTGAAAACCATAAACAAACACACCCTAAGTTAAAGTATGGAGCGATCAAGCAGCAAAGCATTCGCATGCCTGCCGTTACCAGAATAGATATAGACATATATATATATATTGCTTTCCCCTTCACAATAATTTCCTAGATTCAAGATCTAGGGCTGTTTTTTTACTCGCCTGTGGATAAAATTTCATCGGCGGACGGAGAGGGGTAACCGCCCTTAAGAATTCCCGGCTCGCCGCCGCCTCGACTTCATTTTTCGGTCTGACCTAACGGGTGATTTTGAACCATCGATTTAGGGATTTTATATATACCATGAGTTTCTCGATTTGCCCTTGGATCAGCAACGTTAGATTCTGCTAGCACTGGAGGGTATATTAGACATTTCCATAGAGAACTTGGTAGCCCATGTACGAATTGGATCTTCCATGCCCGATCCATTTATTATTATTATTATTGTTGTTTTGTTGAATCAATTTTACATGGCAATACGCGCCCACCTGAGCTCCGTCGCGAAAAACGCCGACCGGCTGCCGGACTTGCCGATCTCAACAAAAGCATTAGCCACCACAATTCTCAATCATGTCCGCGTCGGACGCCTTTCAAAAGCAGTTTCCATTCTCTTCTCGTCGGAAATCCCTTTGCCTGCCTCAATTTACGCCAATCTTTTCAGAATTTGCGGATCGAACAAAGCTATCATTGAGATACGGAAGCTTGAATCTCACCTAATCACTTTCACCCCGAGTCCCCCCTTGTTTTTGCTCAACAGGGCCATTGAAAGCTATGGTAAATGCAATTGCTTGAAGGATGCCAGAGAACTGTTCGATGAAATGCCTAGGAGAGATGGTGGGTCCTGGAATGCGATGCTTACTGCGTATTCCAGGAACGATCGCTCGGAAGATGTGCTTGACTTGTTTTCTAGTATGATTAAGGAGGGAATTTCGGCGAGCGAGGTAACATTTGCGAGTGTTCTTGGTTCTTGCGGCCATGTGTTGGAGCTGTGGCTGTCGAAGCAGCTGCATGGGCTAGTTCTGAAACATGGCTTTGTAGGAAATGTAATTTTGGAGAGCTCACTCGTAGATGTGTACGGAAAGTGTGGGGTAGTGTGTGATGCTAGGAGGATGTTTAACGAGATTGAGAATCCAAATGATGTTTCTTGGAACGTAATAATTAGGAGATATCTCGAAGCAGGAAACGGAAGCGAGGCGGTGAACATGTTTTCTAAGATGATAAAAACGAGTGTGAAACCAATGAATCACACTGTATCTAATACCATTCTTGCCTCTACAAGTTTTAATGGATTCAGAGAAGGTCTTCAAATTCATGGATACAGTATTAAAATCAATGTGGATGAAGATGAAGTGGTTTCAAGTACGCTCATTAGCATGTATGCCAAGTTTGGAGATCTGGATAGTGCCAGGAGGATCTTTGACATGCCGTGTTCAAAAAATCTGAGAAGTTATGCTTCTATGATTTCAGGTTATGCTGTGACTGGGAAATTGACAGAAGCCAGAAAGCTGTTTGATGAGATGCCAGAACAAACGGTGGTATCATGGAACGTGATGTTGGCAGGTTATATGCGTTCCTTCAAGTGGGACAAAGCTTTGGAGTTTGTAGTGCTGATGCGTAAAAGCACAAAATGTATTGATCATGTCACAGTTAGGTTGATTTTGAATTTATCTGCAGCAATCCTTGATGTAGAACTGGGGAAACAGGTCCATGGATATGCATACAGGCATAGTTACTACAATAATCTTTTTGTCAGTAATGCAATCCTTGATATGTATGGGAAGTGTGACAACTTGGTTAGGGCAAGAAGATGGTTCCATGTGATGAGCCATTTGCGAGATAAGGTTTCTTGGAATGCCTTGTTGACAAGCCATGCTCAGCATAGACTGAGTGAAGAAGCGATGGTGATTTTTGGGAACATGCTAGGAGAGACAAAGCCTAGCAAGTTTACATTTGCAACGCTTTTGACTGCATGTGCTAATATATTTGCACTTGAATTAGGTAAACAGATTCACGGATATATGATAAGAAATGGTTATGATATTGATATTGTCACCAATGGAGCTCTAGTAGACATGTATTCCAAGTGTCGGTTAATTGTATACAGTTTGAGGGTTTTCAACAACGCTGCTTCAAGAGATGTGGTTCTCTACAATTCCATGATTTCCGGTTGTTTTTATAATGGAATAGCGTGTAAGCCATTTGAACTGTTTGAGGCCATGGAGAAAGAAGGCATTAAACCAGATAACACCACATTTCAAGGTGTCCTGCGTGCTTGTATATGTGAGGGTCGGGTTGAGTTAGGTAGGCAGTATTTTGAACTAATGAGTGACAAGTTCTGTTTGGTACCTCATATGGAGCATTATCAATTGATGATCGAGCTATATGGTCAGATTGGATACATGGATGAGCTTGAGCTTTTTGTTAAAAACCTGCCATTCACTCCTACTGCCTCCATGCTGACTAAAGTTCTAGATTTTTGTGGAAACTTCAAGCACCGCAGGCTTGAAAAATGGGCTTCCGATCAAGTTAATGAACTCGATACTTAGTTCTCTATTCAGGTTTTTGAAGTTTTTAGATTTTTTCCAACAGCTGCTTAGCTGCATACTGAGAGCCACAGCTGCACATGATTCGGAATGCCGGCAATGAAGCCTTGGCATGATTCTGCTGAGTGCTTTTGCAGTGATTGAAATTTTGGATATGGTGGATCCAAATGGAACCCTCCATCGTATATTGTGTTTCTGATATTAAAGCATTTGAAGTAGATGACGATAAGACTGAGAAATCAACCCTCTTGCAGAGCAGCAGAAGAAATTCCTCTCAGAAAGTATGGGTTGTGAGCAGACACCAGCCAAAATTTCTCTTCAGTTTGATCACTTGTTATTTCCTCTGTGTGGAGGCACTTGGATATGCCCTCTCCACATTGCCATGTCTTGTTTGAGTAACTTAGCAACGATGGATTGATTAAAGAACATGATATACACCATAGCACATGAGATAACCTTATCTCGAGTCATATGATAATGAAAACCCACATCCCAAATCCAATTTTTATGAGGCTCATGACTCTTCCTATTGCCATTGCAATAATTAGGGTGTTAGTCACAGATGAGTCAGCAGACAGAGATATACCTGGAAAGTAATAAGGACATGCCCCAGATGATAAGGTTTATCATGTAGGGCAGTCAATGACATACTAGAGACAAAAAAAAAAATATAAGGACCAAACTAGTGAAGAAACTAGGACCAGAGGTAACGTGCACCCGCTGGCTGGAGCGTGGGAAAGACAAGATGAGTTGCTACATAGGAATCGAGTCAGGAGCGTGGGAAAGACAAGATGAGTTGCTGCATAGGAATCGAGTCATCCACTGTTGTATCGCCGCGTCATTGTCTTCCAATACGGTATGGCCTCTTCCGCTTATGGACAACAATTTTCACTTATTTAATCGATTTCGCTGCCTCATTGCTGCGGCGCCTCTCTTCTTCTCCAGTCTCCGCATTACAGAGAGAGAGAGGTGCAGAGGAGATGAACTTGTTTTCTTTCTTTCCTTAGCTTGTCTAAAGTTGTCATCTTTAATTAATCTTTTGTCCGATTTTAAAGGACGACTCGGATGTTATATTTAGACAAGCCTACTATCAGCCGCAAACAAGCTCTGGTGTCTAACGTCTCTACAAGAAGCAGGTTCTTGAATTACATCCTCTCGTCCGAGATTGTGTATATCTATCTGCTTATCAGTTGTCTGCTTTCTCTATCGGGCATGATTCTGTAACAAGATTTCTTTTTAGCGCGGCGCCCATCACCATTGATTGTTTTACCCTCTTGATTCTGCAATTTGAAAGTCGTGCTCTTTTTTTAGTTTATTATTGTTATTTGCGGATATGTTTTAATAATTTGGTTAGGTTTTCGAGAAATCATTTTAATGGAAAAATATGCATTTGTCTGCTGACAGAGTCCCTTAGTTCGGTAGGCCATTCTTGTTATCACTTTGCGCTGCTCCCAAATATCATTATCAATTTGAACGAATATTGTTTTAGATGTATTTATTTTCATTACTTTGTTTATTGTTACGAGTTTGTCCAGAAAATTGTTGTATGATGCTAATGGCTCAAAACAAGTAGCTCAATTTGTTGGTTCTTTATCTCAATCAGTCTGCCTAAATCATGTGAAGAAATAAATGGCCATGTGTTTCCCTTGAAATCTTGTGCATCCTTTTTCTGATAACATTCCATTTAATGTGACTCAAAATTCTGTAAGTATATTAGATTTTCAGATTGTTTAGGTGGTAAAGCGATGTCTTTTTATGCAGCTAAATGCGCGCATTGCCCAATGCGAAGGAGGTGTTTGCACTGTGAAGTGTTTTGTCGTTCTGGGAAAGGAATAATCTTTTGCCACTGAAAGTTACGTGATATCTCATTCAGGTAGCTATTTCTCTAAACTACTTTCAATTAGTTTGGTAAAATACCAAATTGCATTAGATGAGTCTGGTGTGGCACCAAATTGTCAGAGACTATCGATGTGTTTATTGCTTTATTTCTCTATTGAATCTTAAAGAAGTGAAACTATACAGAATGATAAATGAATTAAATCATTAATACATTGAAGCTCCCATAGTTTTGCTCAATTAAATAGTTCTATATGATTAAGAATTAATTGAGAAAATTACAAATAACTAACAAATTGAGTGTTGTGTTCCATTTATCAAATTGAACTGGAAACTTGATTTCAGAGAATACTGTACCATTTAGTCTACCGAGTAAGTACGCAACTTTGAATTCAGTTTGGTACACTAAGCTATGTAGTATGTGCACTTGGATTTATTTTGGTAGGAAAGAATTCTGATTGACATACAAGGATGATTTGTTGAAATAAGATTCTTTGTCTTTGAGGTTGTGTTTATTTAACGATTCATTTTCTTCCAAATACGTAAAAGTTATGCGATTTTTAGTTTACTGTTCTTTGTAAGAATTCAGTGGGAAAACATACATAAATAACTTGCAGTAGCATGGTATTGCAAGAAGACGACATTTCTGTGCTTCCTGATAAGCAACCTTATGTGTCAATCTTAATTCGAGTAGTTCCGGATTGCTTTGTGGTGTTTCTCATTGACACTTTTATTAGCGTCTTTAATACAGATAATCAAAATGGGATCATGGGCCTACTTTGATCCTGAGTATGAAACCTTAAGCATCCGGATAAATCCCCCACAGTTGAGTATCATAAACCTTTCCCTTTTACGTAGATATCACATTGCCATTCCTTTTCTTGGATCGGTCATTCAAGCATGCTAGATGATGTATAATTATTATTTGTCTTCGCTTTTTCAGGGTTTCTGTGGACAACTCTACTTGCAAGGACTGTACTCTTGTCAAGGTATCTTTCTTCAAGAGTTCGTCGTTGTTTAGGAATGGCACCAAATCTTCGAGTTATTAGTGGATGACTTGATTGACGAATCTTGTATCACACAGGTTGACAGCGTGAACAGACCGGGGATACTGCTGGAGGTTGTTCAAGTCCTTACTGACCTCGACCTTATAATTACCAAAGCTTACATTTCCTCTGATGGCGGGTGGTTTATGGATGGTAAGCATATCATTTTATTCACTAGTGTTAGAATAAGATTCACATATCTTATCTTGAAATGCCGAGTTTGGATAACACATTAAGTTACCTTTAAATTTGTTGAAACCTTTTGAGCCATTTCTTCAGTTCGATCAGTTAGTCCATCACCATATCTGTTGTTCTCACAGTGTTTCATGTCACCGATCAGCAAGGGCAAAAGATTAGTGATACAAGGATTATTGAACAGATCGAAAAGGTTGGATTCTATATTATGACAAGGTTTTGAGACATTCTATCTTGTTTTGAATTCCTATATTTAAATTTGCTTCAAAATGCTCGAATCATAGGCTTTGGGACCAAAGGGCTACATCTCGGGCGTATTGAAGACCCAACCGGGAAAAATGTCGGGTTCGAACTCTCCAAGTGATTACACTGCTATTGAGGTGATCGGCCGGGACCGTCCAGGGCTCTTGTCGGAAATTTCTGGAGTGCTCGCCACTCTCCAAGTCAACGTTGCCGCTGCTGAGGTTTGGACACACAACAGGCGCGTAGCTTGCATTCTTTATGTCAATGACAATGCGTCAAACTGTGGGGTGAGTAACAATTGCTTGAGACTATCTACTATAGAGGAGCAGATTAAAAACATTTTTCGTGGTTGCGGCAACAATGATGAAGTTGCTCGGGCTAGCTTCTCCATGGGCTCTGTCCATGTCGACAGACGGCTCCACCAGCTGTTATTTTCCGACAGGGACTATGAGGGCGCTTTGTCCACCGAGCAACTGGATAATGTTATCAAGCCGAATGTAACAATCGATAGGTGCAAAGAAAAAGGTTACTCCGTGATTACTGTCCGGTGCAAAGACAGACCTAAGCTCATGTTCGACATCGTGTGCACGCTTACGGATATGCAGTTTGTCGTCTTCCACGCCACGGTCTCATCAGAGGGGCATTATGCATCACAGGTGCGTACAACTTCTGCATAATTCAGCGGAATCGATCTTAGTGTCTATAATCGAGCGCTTCGCATATTGTAGGAATACTACATTCGGCAAATGGATGGTTGCACGCTCGACACGGAGGGAGAGAAAGAAAAGGTCATCAAATGCCTAGAAGCTGCAGTGAGGCGACGCGTTAGCGAGGTATTCGATCTTAACGTCAACATTCTACGAAAATCAATATGTAGGCGTAAAATTGATTGAACACTTCTCGACCAGGGCCTGAGCTTGGAACTGCAAGCGAAGGACCGGGTTGGACTACTATCCGAAGTGACGCAGGTCCTCCGTAAGAACGGACTGTCTGTGACCAGAGCTGGTGTGACAACCGTCGGGGAGCAAGCTGTGAGCGTGTTCCATGTGAGCCACGCGACCTCCGGGAAGGCGGTCGATGCGGAAACGATCGACGAATTGCGGAAGCAAATCGGGAAGTCGATGATGCTGAAGGTGAAGGAGGCCAACGCTTGTTACAACTACAACACTAAATCGGGTGATGAAGCAGCAAGTGGATGGACAAAAACTGGCTTCTTCTTCGGACATTTGCTTGAGAAATTCTTTCCTTAGGACTAAACAATCCTTCTCAGAGTCAACTTCTTGCTGTGTAATGAAAAAAGGAAGAATTCAGGTTAGGATTAAGCAGAAAATTTTGAAAGTCAACCAGCCCCCATAGTTGTTTCATTTGCTTCAAATTTAATTGGGAAATTTTAGTAGAGGGTGGTAAAATATGATAGTAGAAATTTCGAAACATGAAATGATAAGATATTTAACGTGTGGGACATCTTTTCTGTTTTGTAGTGGAGGCCACTGATAATAGCTTCATTGATTTTAGCTGTTCTGTTTTTTTTTTTTAATGCAATTTGAGTATTGGCTTATTACATTATCTTGTTTTTATTTGGATTGTCTTTGTATTTACACATCCATTCCAAGCTGGGTTGAAAGGGTTGCTTAGGATTGATAAAGGAATAAAGAAGAAAGAGTTCAGAAGCAAAAAAATTGCTTTGAATTGAATTGAATTAAATTAAATTAAATATTGTTTAAAATTTATATTATGAATGATGTTATCAGTCACAGTATAACATGAGAATTTGGCAGTAACATACACCAAAAAAAAAAGAGAAAGAAAAATTGTATGACCAATTTTATAAATTTTATTGTTAGGTCCTAATTTTTAATTTACTAAACATGTGACAACCTGATAAGATGATTAAGATGAATTAAGCGCTGTAGCCACATTAGGATGCAGACGGCGTCGTTTTCGCACATAATGGAACTTTCCAGACCACAAATTATGTCCATTCTTTTTGGCTTTTCTCTAATTTGATACAACTTTCACAAAAGTTGCGTTTCAAATAGGTTTTGTTCATTTCGATTATTTAATTTACTCCGAATTGCCAATTTCGTGAAAAAAAAAAAAAAAAGAAAGAAAGAAAAGAAAAGGCGACAAATTTAATATACCTAATGTACTTTCGGAATCATACAGCCTATTGTTTATTTTATTACAGCTCTCAGAAAAATACTGATTATTTATTTATATTATCATTTACCTCAAAATTTTCTGGACGTACGGTCATGTCATAGAAATATTTAACAAAAGTAAACAATTATGGACTATTAATGGCTGACTTATGATGATGATGACCATATGGTTTACACCTATTACATAATAATAATAATAATAATAATAATAATTTATTTTTTATAATTCTTTGTCCTTTAACCATTTATTAATTTATCCGGTATAATCGTACTATTTACTTAACATTATAAATATCATTTCAATTTTTTATAGTTTAATTTAGTTCTTTTAACTTTATTTCTATTTTGTCCTAAGAAAGAGTATATAAATAATCTATTTGAATTATTAACTAATTAATTAAGGTATAATAATCAGACGTAGAATGAGTTTTAGGGCTTTTGCTTGTAACGGAACGCCTTGTAAACCACAAATGACACGTGGCGTTGTTTTGTCGCCTACTTTTCTTCCATCGGCCACATTCTCTCTCTAAATTCCACCGCTCTCTCTCATATAGAGACCGCTGGTAGCGTCTAGGCGGAGGAGGTCATCTCGATGGACTGTTGGAAATTTTAAGGTTTGATGATCCTTCTGTTTCTCCTTTGCACACAAGCACTCCCAATTTCTGTTCGATTCTGGCTTTTTTGTTCATCGTTTCTTCTGTGATCGAGCCTGTGTGTTTTGTTGAATTGCGGCAGTATGGTGAAACCCTTGCGAGAAATTGATTAAGATCAGCGATTTCTTATTTTTTATTTTCAGTTTCAAGGGAAGAAGGAACAGGAAAAGTGGGGTAAAGATATGGATTTTGAAGAAGGTAGTGGCGTGGCCGGAATTTTGCATTCTGGCATTGATGATTAATCTTGATTTCTTCTGCACTAGTTGAATTTCAGAGTTAATCGATCTTTCTGAACTCGTTTACCTTCCCCCCCTTTTTTTAAGGAAAAAGCATTTCTTCTTCAGGTTGCCCTGAAAGGAGACAGAAACAAGCGGCGGCGAGAAATGAGCGGACAGAGCGTTTGGGGTTGAGTTTTGAGAAGCTGGTGGTTTTTGGTGGTGTGGAGAACATGAATCGAAGTGGCGGTGGTGTTGATTTAGGTGGTGGGGGGCCGAGAATCAGTGAGTGGAAAGATATTCCTGTGGAGCTGCTGCTGAGGATTTTGTCCCTGGTGGATGATCAGACGGTGATTCTGGCCTCTGGGGTCTGCCATGGCTGGAGAGATGCCATTTCTTGGGGCCTCACGCATCTCTCCCTCTATTGGTATATGATTCTCTCTCTATATATTTCTTTTCCCTTATGCTGTGTCTTCCTTGCTCTGTTTGCTGTGGATTTTATTTATATGTTTTGAAGTGGTCCTAAGTGTGATTCTGCTGTTTTGCATCGTTTATTGGATGGGTTTTGGCTTCTTGTTTAGTTTCTTATTGCTGAAATAGTTCTTGATATTTGTGAAGGGGAAAGAAAGGGGATTGAAATGATGATTCCCTGTTTGTAGATTTAGTTGATGATCATAACTTTTTGAGGCTTGTATCATTCTTTGATTGAGACACCTATTAATCTTTGATTTGTTAAGGAAAAAATTGAGGTTATGTTCGTGGGATTTTGGTTCTTGGTTCGAAAATGAGATTTGACACAAGTTTGGTCTTTCTTGTTGGGATCCTTTAGTGTAATTTTGTGATTGTTGTAATGTCTTTTGCTTCTGTGCTGCTCAGGAAATCTAGAATCAAGTTTGAATGTCTTTTAACTGTCAATTTTACGTGTTTGTAATTCCTGTGGGTGGTGAGTGACTTAGTGTTTTCTGTTAGGTGCAAGAAGAACATGAATAATCTGGTTGTGTCACTGGCTCCGAAGTTCACTAAACTGCAGGGCCTAATTCTACGGCAAGACACTCCGCAACTACAGGATGATGCTGTCGAAAGAATTGCTGCTCATTGTCACGACCTCCAAGAATTGGATCTCAGCAAGAGCTTTGCGCTGACCGACCGGTCTTTGTACGCGTTAGCCCGCGGTTGTCCTGATCTTGTGAAGCTGAACATCAGCGGCTGCTCTGCTTTCAGCGATTCTGCCCTCGGATATTTGACGGGCTTTTGCCGAAAATTGAAACACTTGAATCTATGCGGATGTGTCAAAGCCGCAACGGACAGGGCGTTAATGGTAAGCGTGGTAGCGATGCCCGTGTTTGTTTGTTTGCATTTTAATGAATGTTTTTGAGATTGTTGACGATATATTTCCCCGCAGTCTATCGGTTACAACTGTCATCAGCTGCAGTCGTTGAACCTCGGATGGTGCGACCATGTCGGAGATGAAGGCGTAAAGAGCTTGGCCTACGGCTGCCCTGATTTAAGAGCTCTCGATTTGTGTGGATGCGTTCTTATTACAGGTTCAGTTACATTTATCAATATATATATATGTATGTGTGTATGTATATGTACACTCGTGTTTATGCATTCTATTGATTTGATCGATGATGTCTGTAGATGAGAGCGTGGTGGCGCTGGCGAACAACTGTCTGCACCTGAGGTCGCTGGGGCTCTACTATTGCAAGAACATTACAGACAGGGCAATGTATTCACTGGCGCACAGCCGGGTGAAGAGCAAGCACGAGGTGTGGGCGTCGAGGAGGTACGAGGAGGAAGGTTTGATGAGTCTGAACATCAGTCAGTGCACTGCGCTGACGCCTCCGGCCGTGCAGGCTGTCTGCGACTCATTCCCGGCGCTGCATACGTGCCCCGGCAGACATTCCCTCATCATCAGCGGCTGCCTGCACTTGACGTCCGTGCACTGCGCTTGCATCGCCGCGCATCGGCCGGCCGCCGCCGCGGCGATTCCCCATCTAGCACACTAAGGTGTGTGCATATATTGTTATTATTATTGTGGTTAGTGTATGTATCTATGGCTGTGATCGGAGTTTAGACAGAGACATTTGCGAATTATGTGGACTTTTGGACACCATGATCTTGATATGGATGTGTTTGTTTGCTTCTGTTCTAATGGAATGGGGATAGATATGGTAGTAATTTGTTAATGGGTCGGGTGGGGTCGGGTCGAAAATTTTATGTTTATAACGGATATTAAAATTTTTTACTCGGGGAATTTAATTAAAAATCTATCTCCGAATCTGCTCTAATTTTAATTTGGAATTTTACTTTTTGGTTAGAAGGTCCAGGGGCTTCGTGCGTCTGCCCAACTTTGAACAGTGTGGGTCCTTCTGTAGTTGGGCTCCCGGAGCTGTGGGTGTTCAGGCTGAAAGTGGGCTATTTGAAACAATAGAACTAGGGCCATGGTCCATTTCAAGTTTTTATTAAGAATAGATTGTCTATTTACATATTTTGGACCAAAATAATTTTTTTACTCAGAATTATTCTGCAACTTTGTTGTTTACTTTTTGCAAGTAAATTTTTTAATATTTAATATTATAATAGGTTAGAGTGAAAAAGACGAAAATATTCCTGTTAGTATTGTGTAATACAGAAGTAACGATATTTGTGTAATATAATGTAAATTGAAAGGGTATTTATTATGTTAAATAGATAGTACAATTAAAAAATGGTAATCATGTTTTGAGACGGACAAAAAATAAAAAATAAAATTTCTTCAATGGGACACACGGAGTATTATATATATATATATATACACGGGTGTGTTTGTCTAGAAATTTACAAAAATTTTAACTATTCATAAAAAAAAAAAATTTCTAAAAACATCAAATCAAATACTTATTTTTTTATTTATTATATTATACTAAAAAATATTTTTGTGTTCAAAATATCAATCAATACTTATTTATATTACGTCGTACAACGATTCAAATTAAAATTTTTTACTATTTAACTCATTTGCTAAAAATCCAAAGCCCAAACAAAAACACCTAAAGATTGTTAAGTAAATTGACAAGTGCACTAATATATATTTTTTCACTAAATTAAATAGGTGTTGAGTGTATGATTTCGATTTTTCGAATTTATAACTACATGAAGGTTGAATTGGGTAAACTTATAGTAATATTTTAATTATATTAAATTACCAATTTTTTTATAGTAATATTTTAATTATATTAAATTCCCAATTTTTTTTTTATAGTAATATTAGTATTATTTAAACTAAATGAAGGTTGAATTGGGTAAACTTATAGTAGTATTTTTAATATCACTTTTACTAATATTTTTAAATGTTGAGCATATATTTTTATATTTACAATTTTTCTTAAAGAATTATTAGAATGAAATCTTGTATAAAGTTGATTAAATTTAATTATATTTTTCAAATTCAAATTATTATAGATATCATCGATTTCAAATCTATTACTGGCTTTGAAAGGGATTGTGAATGGTCTAACATAACATATTATTTCCCATATCAGATTTTTTTTATTTCTATGATGCAATATTATTATAACAATTGATACGTAATATAATTATGATATTTACTTAATTAGATTTTTCATCAATTTCAGTAATCAAATTGCAAGTGATTAACTCTTTCTCGGTCAATAATTGTTATTATTATCCCTATTTTAATCGAAATTATTGAATTATGGCTACTATTTATTTTAATACTTTTATATTTTGTGTGCTTACTATAATTAATTTAGCTAGGAATTCATCTTATTTTAATCACCATAATAATATTCACACATCAGTCCAAGTTACTAATTAATAAAACAAAATAGCTATACACATTCATAATTTTCAAATTGCAAATAATACTGTTGGAAAAATATATATATAAACATCTGAATTTGAAAAAAAAAAAATTACCATGATTGGTATATAGTTGTTCTATTTAGGAAAATCAATAAACTGCAGATGTTCGAAACCAATATATATATATATATATATATATATTTCTCATATACAAAGCACAGTACAGAAAACCCTGATTTAGAAACCCTCGCAAAATGCAGGTGAAGGAAACTACCGTGGTGGTGGTCGGAGGTGGGCCGGCGGGGCTGGCGGCATCGGTGTGTCTGACCATGGAAAACGTGCCGAACATTGTCCTGGAAAGGGACGATATCTACGCTCCACTGTGGAAGAAGAAATCCTATGATCGATTACGCTTGCATTTAGCGAAGCAATTCTGCGAGCTTCCTTACATGGCGTACCCGCCGGAGACGCCGAGGTACGTCCCCAAGGACAAATTCATCGATTACCTGGACAGCTACGTGTCGAAATTCGGCATCAATCCGGTCTGCAATCGTCGGGTGGTGAGCGCCGAGTACGACGGGGAGGCGGGGCGGTGGATTGTGGTGGCGGAGAACACTGCCGCCGGGGAGGAGAAGACGTCGGCGGTGGAGAAGTACGTGGCGGAGTTCCTGGTGGTGGCGACGGGGGAAAATAGCGTGGGGCGGATTCCGGCTATCCCCGGCCTGGAGATGTTCGCGGGAGAAACGCTGCACACGGCGGATTACAGAAATGGGAAGAGATTTCAGGACAAGAGTGTCCTCGTCGTAGGTTGTGGCAATTCCGGCATGGAGATCGCCCTCGATCTCTCCAATTGGGGGGCCCAAACCTCCATCGTCATTCGAAGCCACGTACATATATATGTAATTAATATGTTTATTTTTTAAAATGAAGTTTTAAAATGATGATGATGGATGCAGGTACATGTTCTTAGAGACGAGCATGTGAAGGTGGGAATGGAGCTGCTGGAGAAGGGGGTGGAGGTGGAGACAGTGGACGAGGTTGTAGTGATGCTGGGAGACGCCATTTATGGAGACCTGAGTGAGTACGGAATCACACGCCCATCGGAGGGTCCTTTCCGGATGAAGCAGTCCAAGGGCAGATCGGCGGTCATCGACGTCGGGACAGTCGGCAAAATCAAAGCCCGTCAAATTAAGGTATTCCCGGCCGTCGAGGAGATCGCCGGAGAAGACGTTCATTTCGCCGACGGTCGGACCGGCCGGTTCGACGCCATTGTCTTCGCGACCGGATATAACAGCACTGTCATGAAATGGCTCAAGGATGATGGAGGGCTGTTTGGTGAGAATGGAATGCCTAAAATGAGATCCCCAAATCACTGGAAAGGGGAGAAGAAGATTTACTGCACTGGATTTGCCAGCGCAGGCCTCAAAGGGATCGCCATTGACGCCCTCAACATTGCTCATCATATTACCACCTCCATTACGAATCAACCAACATAATTGTCTACAGGCCCATTGTCCTTTTATTTTTTTTTTTTTTTTTATGTTTTTTGGGCTAGCTAGAGCCAGTAGTTTGATAATAAAATTTTATATATTAAGCCCATTATGAATTTTCCTACAGCATAAACTAAAATTATATATAACTTTATAACACCATAATAAAGTACGACAACTTATTAATTTAATTATCATGAAATAATGATGTACATATATTATATTTCTCCATCACCCACTGTTATAAATCCTATGTTACTATTATTTCTTATTTGCTCATTTAATAATCTATCACCGTCTATTTCTCCAAATTTCGATCCTCTGCATCCTGACCGTTGGATTTTGTGGCGGCGGGATCATCGATTTTATTCTCTATGGATTCCGCCAACGATTCTGCCTTTCCTTCCACCTCTTGTACCTGAGTTTTGACACGTCATAATTAATTAACACATAAATAATACTACTATTATCGATTCACTCATAATTAAATAAATTAAAATGGATTAATCAGAACACACAGGTCACTTGTCTGACGGCTAAAAAACAAATTATACTTACCAAAACCTCGTATAGTAATCTTGTCGTAATTATCAAGATTACCTCCAACTCTTACACACCAATTTTTTTAATGCCACGGTCAAAAACTGAATTATATTATAATCAAATACTATACCTCTTAATTAATTTCATTCAAGTAATTATATAATATACAGACAATGACCACTACAGTAACTAGTTATTCCTAGGAAATATAATATGCGCAGTGCTGTCCGAAACCGACTTGTTCAATTAAAATATATGTAACAAAAAATCTAAGTCTAGATAACAATTTCTCCTAATTAAAAAGTAAATTTTGTACAAATAAAATTAATTAATTGATTGAATGAATGCAGAAGAAATTAAATAATCGACAATTTAATTAAACCTTATCAATAAAGTCATCAACTGCTCCAGCATCCTTGGCTATTCTCTCAGCAAAATTTTCAACAAAGTCTACAGCCTTTCCGAGTTCTCCGGTGGCCGGAATATGATCGGAGATGTTCTCCGCCACCTTCTCCACCTCCTCCGCCACTTTCTCCACCGTCTCCGCCACGTCTTCCGTCACCTGAAGCGCCGCTAGTAGTTTTTCTGCTCCATCACCACCCCAGACGTTTGTATAATTAAATTAATCTCCATTTTCTCAATTTCTATAATATTTAATAATTATTATATTTGAATTAATCTTTTAAATATATATATTTACTTTTGAAGGTTGGACCACATTTGTAGCTGATCAAAGGTACCACAGCTGCAATAGCCAGTCCAAAAATCCAGCTGCTGTATATATGTGTACAAATTTCAACTCACAACATTTACTAATTAAATAATAATAAATAAATGAAAACTTACAAAATATTTGGAGGTCCTGGAGGTGGAACTCCAGCAGAATCCATGCCGCTGTGGACTGCAAAATCCCTAAAATCAAATCAAACGATTATTGAGGATGATTACTGTTCTTATTCAGAAAATTATTCAAACCCTAATTGCATGCATAGATACATATTATATATATATATACCTTTTGTGTTTCTTGAGATAGTTTGGCAAGATTCTTGCGTAGGTAGTAAGTGATTGGAGGGAGTTGTTCTGTTTGAGATTACAGACAGACAAATTCGAGGAAAATGAATTCGTATTGGCGTGGGACTTTGTAAGTTGGATCCTAAGATTATAAGAAATATGGTTGCTTGTCATCATCGCCATCGTCAATGATCTCTTCTCTCTCAAATATATATATAGAAGACGAGAATATAATTTATTTCTTGTAGGGAACTAAGAAAAAAATATTGTTCAACAAGTGCTTCTTTATAAACCAATTACTACAACATAAGCAAGAGGTTCAAGAAATGTTTGTGAAGAGAGAGAGAGAGAGAGAAAGCTGAATTTAATTAATATATTTTGTTTACATTCTAAAGGAGATCTAAGCACTTGGTAACTCTAATCAGCTCGAGACACGTACATGCATTATTAATTAATTAAATTTTTAGAATTAATAGTCTGTAGTAATCTAACAATTAATTATATATATATATATATATTTATATCAACGACCTAACGACAATAATAATACTTTTACTACTCTCCTTGTTGAAATATGCACGTTTGCAATATATATCCAAAGACCAAATAATAATATAAATTGTAGCGTTGATGGATCTTGTAAGAAGATGAATATGATGTTAGCTAGAATTGTGGGCTTATAGGATTTTTTTTTTTTGTACGATGGGGAATGCACTAGGACAAATGTGTTAGCAGACACGGTTTTTTTTGTTCATCAAGAATTCATGACATTTGATCATTGAATAATGGGATTCATTACTAAATCCCACAAGTTATTAGAACTTACAAGACTAATTCAATCTTTTTAAATTTTCTTGTGGGCAGTCTATGCGTGTTCAGTTAGGATTTGGGCCCCAAACTTGTCAGTATCTTCTTGGACAACAATTTAGACACGTCATCAGGCACGTGGTTGAATTGTCTATGCCTTTTTAAACTTGTTCTTTGATAACCTGCTCGTAATAATAATTTACTAGGAAAGCAAATCGTATTAGAAAAATACACTTCAAAGATGACAGAAGATTAAAGGTACCCACCTTTTATTCCTTACTTTGTTACAAACAAACACGAAAACAAGTTAAATATAAGGATATGTAACTGAATGCTGAATACACCAACTCTAGACAATAATACATATTCACCAATCACGGTGAAGACACTTTCTCAGAACTCATAAAATCGAAATCAAGAATATAAACAAACAAACATCAGCATATATAAATAAATAGTATGCAAACGAACACGGCCGTGTTGCAGATCACTAAGCCGATCCGTTGGTGTTAGTGTGGAGCTTGAAGTTCTTGGCAGTAGCCTGCTTTTCGACGTTGACCCACGACTCGATTCCGACAAGCTGATTGAATTCTTTGAATGTAGCCAGCTTGTGTAAATGATCCCTTGTAGTTCCATACTCTTTAAGTGTTTTCATCGACTCCTTCATCGCCCGCGCAGCTGCGTAGATCGACGTTAGCGAATGGACCATCAAGTGGAAACCCATTGCCTTAAACTCCTCCGCCGTGTACAGCGGCGTCACGCCGCCTTCGATCATGTTGCACACGCGGTACCCTTTAGTTTTCTGCGCGATTTCCCTAAGCTCGTCCTCGTTACGCGGGGCCTCGACGAAGCACGCATCCGCTCCGGCCTGTGCGAAATTAAATTGCAATAAATTAGATTTTGAAAACAGAACAAGATAGAAGAGAATCGAGAAATAATCACATCATAGTAAAGGTTGGCGCGCGCGATCGCGTCCGCGAGGCCGTGTTTCTCGGACGTTCCCCGAGCATCGGTTCGGGCCACTAGGAAGAAGTCGGCATCGCCGATGGCGTTGCGGGCTGCCCGGATTTTCGCGGCGTGTTCTTCCGCAGGGATGACCTGAAAATTAGAAACAGGGGAAAACAGGGGAGGTTTAATTTTTATTACTACATGGTTGGATTAATGATGAGGTGTTGATTGTGGATCTTATTACCTGTTTTCCACCCATGTGACCTGTTGGATCACATCAAGATAAGAATATAGGTGAGAGTTAAGAATCATTACAAAAGAGAAACTGATTCAAACAGAGTAAAGAACAGCCACTTACCACATTTCTTGGGCCATGCTTGGTCCTGTCAACAATGAATTATCTTTGTCATACTTTAGACACAAATGAATAAGTTATTGACAGATAGATAGATAGATACCTCCAAGAAACAGCCAGCTGCACCTGCAGCTATCAAATCCTTAACGGTCCTGTGAACGTTAAGGGCGTTGCCACCGCCGGTGTCTGAGAAGGAGCAAGAATCACTATTTATTCCCTTTTATTACATCTAAGAGTGTAGATGCACAGACGTTGGAATTTCGTCGTGATCGAATTATTTATTTATTTATTTTTGTACTTTTTTGCAATCCCTTTTTGTTGTTTTTTTGTATTTTGGGCACGTGCTGTTCATGACGTGATTTTTGGTGACAGGGTGTGAGAGTAAGACAGCAACTTTAGGAGTGGATCCAAGAATATGGTACTGATTGGTCCCAACTCCCAATCCATCACATGCACCAGCCTCAGCCATTAAAGATTTCGTGGCAAGAATAATTCCCATCTAAAATTCGTGGATCGAATTTGTTAACTAAATTCGTGGATTGAAGGATTTTTGGCATTCATTGTTTTTATAAAAAGTACTCACTCAATCCTTCAATAAAATTAGCTCGTTTGGGTCCGACAAAAAGTTAATATTTTTTATTTAAAAATTAAAAATAGTTCGGAGTATTTTTGAAAATTTAGTTAAAAAATAAAGTAAATAAAGAAAAAAATATAATAAAATTAGTGGTATTTATTATAAATAAATGTTGAATGAAGAGTAATAATTCAATGTTATTACGGTACTTTGTCAAAATTAGTAATGAGATAAATTTAGTGGACACACTGAGAAAAATAAAAACATTGTCACGGTACTTATTTATGTTATACTACCATTTAACTATTTCAAATCAAAATTTTTAGGGAAAAAATCAATTTTGATTCTAATAAAATTAAAGTTTATCAATTTTGGTCCAAATATACAAAAAACTCACTATTATAAACAATTTCAATCAATTTTGGTCTCATTTTAAACAATTTCAATCAATTTTAGTCTCACCATTAAAAAACTAACGGAAATTGTTGACGTAGACATAACGGAGGTGACGTGGCATTTGACCTGAAAACTAAACGGCATGTACAATTATACACGCCCACGTTGTTATAATGCCACTTATATTTCAATGTATAATGTTATACGACCATGTATAATTCTACACGGCCGTATACTTTTCTGTTTTGAGCTTAATTTTTTCTTTTTTTTGTTATATTTTTTTAAAAAATAAAATTGAATTTAGAATAGTCGATATAGTTAAAATGGAAAAATATCAATAATAATTCTAATAATATTAAAATGTATCAATTTTAATTCAAATATGAATATTTATCTAGTATATTTTTTGGAAGATTTTGTTAAAATTCTAGTCTTTACCAAAAAAAAAATTCTCTTAAAAACATTCAATTACAAAACTTTTTTATTTTTATATATTATAGTATTAAAAATGAATTTTACATTTTAATACAATTTCAACATAGATATATACTCCCTCCGTACCATGTAATATAGATCTATTACTGTAGACACGGGAATTTAGGTAAATATAATTAGTAAGTAATTAAGAAATATATTAGTAAAAATAATTATTATTTAGAAAAAATAATTATAGATTAAGATTAAGATAACTAAATAGTTTAATTAAAATTAAAAAAAATTAAATTTTAAATTTTAAAATATGATTAAAGTGTATAATTAATTTTTCAAAAAAGGAAAGAACAAATTATGTGGGACGGACGAAAATAGAAAATAGAGACAAATTATGTGGGAAGAAGAAATATAATTGTATTGAAATAGTAAATTATTTTTTAATACTATTATAATAGACAAAATTAAAAAATAGTTGTGTAATTAGATGTTTTTAAGAATTTTATTTTTTTTTATAAATAATAGAATTTTAGACAAAACCTTTCAAAATAATATATCTTATAAATTTTTATATTTGAATTAAAATTGATAAATTTTAATTATATTATTATTACTTTTGATTTTGTCAGTTTTAACTATATCAACTATTTTAAATTCAAAATATTTTTTTTTAAAAAATAAATTATAACATAAAAAATTTAGACTAAAACAGAAAATTAAACAGGCCGTGTGGAATTATACATGACCGTCTCACAATATGTTCAAGTATAATTATATACTGAAATATACATGGTTGTTTAACAATATGGCCGTGTAGTTTCAGTGACATGTCAGCAATTTCTATTGATTTTTTTAAATACGGACCAAAATTGATTAAAATTGTTTATAATGTAACCAAAATTAATTAAAATATTTATAATGATACTAAAATCAATAAATTTTTTATATTTGGACGAAAATTAATTTTTTCTCAAATTTTTATTACGAATAAAACCAAACCCAAAATTCTAACACCACCGAAACACACCCTTAGCCAACACATGGACAGGCCGACAAACAGCGTTTGTTTTTTCTTAAAAAAAAAAACAGAAGAAAAAACCTTGTTTCCAGCAAAGAGAAGACAGGAAAGAGTTAAAAGACCCTACCGGCGTCGGCAACAATGGGGATTTCCGGCGCAGCGCTGCAAATAGTTCGAGCAGCGGCGGCCATCTCCGGCGGCCTGGAATTAATTACACAGGAACTCCAATTACTACACGCATTCAACTAATAACCAAAAACTAACTACAATCACGACCAAAACCAAAATAAGCTTACGTCAGCAATCCAATGTCCGGCTTCCCGAGGTAGGAGGCGGAGACGGAGTAGCCGGAGATGAAGCCGGCGGAGAATCCGGTGTCCTGAATAATGGCGGCGGAGAGGCCGTCGTAGATCCCCGGCAGCATAACGATCCCCTCCTCCTCGATCAGACGGTGGAGGCGCGTCGGGTAATGGCGGACGACTGAATTGCCGTTGGTGTGGTGAGACATTGCTGCTGTCGGCATCATCATGGACATGTCACGGGAAAATTAAAAATGCTGTCTTGGTGTCTGAAACTGGCGAAATTCAGGCAGAGAGAGAAAGGCTGCTGCAAAGACCAGCCCAGAAGTGAAAGAATTGATAAGAGGTGAGGTAATTGAAATAAAAAAGCCTGATATATATAGTACAATGTACGGTAAAGAAACGGTGAAGTTTGTTTAGATACAAGTTAATAAAATTTTGAAAATTCTATTAAAAAATAAAAAATTGATATGTGATTCGATGATTTGTAAAAGAAAAAATGTATTTTTTAAACAAAGCCGTGATAAGAGTACGAGCGAGACAGAGTCGTAATACTATTAAATAAATTAACTGGGATTACGATAAGAGAAACGAAAATGACCTGGATTTGTTGGATACGGTCGGAACGAAGACGGATTAATCTCTGCCGTTGGTTGGGTGGGTTGTTTAGGATGAACGGCCTGGATGCGCCGGGAGCTGGAGTGCCAGCACTGGGAAGTGAGAATTTTAATTATTGAATTCGATAAGACCAGAGGCGTTCGTTCGATTACTTATCACAAAAAAAACAAAGATTAAATATATTATATGTAATTTATGTATGACTAATTATAATGTTTAGAAAATGATAAGAGAGGAGTTTCCGTATACGAGTTTTTATATATTTTGGACGATTTCCACTATCAGTATCTTTCTGGGTTTGCTTTTTTTCTAATTACAATGATTAATTTAAATGAATTTAATTATAATTTTGTGTAATGATTGTACTTGTGGTTACGGAATGGAGTGGAAAATGGATATAGACAAAACGGTGCGTAATTTTGTCCACGTCATTTTGTGTGCTACTAGTAATTAATAAAAATTAATTAAGGATATGGTTTGCTTTGGTTTTGTAATATTGTTTATTCATGAAAAATATTTATTTATATTATATTAGGTATTACTACAATTAAAACTTGAGTTATTTTAAAGTTGAATCCAAATTCAAAACTTTAATAGAAAAGCATACCATTAACTGATTGTATAATTATAACATCATCATCGATCCCACCGACAAGAAGATTCTTAAAATAAAAAATATTAGGGGTATGTCTGTAAAAAAAAAAAAAAAGAACATTACGTGTACACCTACATGGCCACATATGTCACTGACGTCCAAATTTCAACACACACTCGCACGTACACGTATGTGTAGGTGAGCCGTGAGGGGACTGGGTGAGTTTATGAGCAGTAAATAAGGTAATAAATGATGTTATGATTTTAAAAAAAATAATAAAATTAATAATTATTATTTATATTAATAACTAGATTATTTAATAAAAATAATTATCATATTGAATTTTTGGGTATTTTCCACACGGTTGGTAGGTTGTTTGGTGTCCATTAAAAATAAATTTGTCCAGATCTTCACTGTAGTGTATAGTCTATCATGTCCTCCCTCGAAATTCGTGCTTTGCATTGATTTCCACGTGACCTGCACGCTCATCCATTACTTCCATTCCTCTCTCTCTCTCTCTCTCTTCATCATTGCTCCACTGAACCAGAACCAGCACCAGCAGCAGCATCCTTTATTAAATTTAAACAAAATTAATTAAGACCCAAAATTGTAATTAGCACATGCATCCGATATCCTTCCTGTCCTCCTCGTCGTTGTTCCATCACGGGGAAGAAATCACCGTCTACGTAAAAACTTCTAGAAGGTCCGTACGAAAGCGACACGGATAAATTCACGCAATTATAATTTTGGTACAAATGGAAATGCACGTATTCTTGCATTACTAACAATATGACGCACGCAACGTGCGATATTATTACACGCAAGTCTGGATTAATTAATTTAATTAATAATGAAATCCAATTTGGGGTAATATAAACAAAGTCGACGTAAATATGTGGCATTAATGGATTAATTGTAATCAAATTGATTATATTATTATGATCTCCCTACTTGTGGAAAAGCACCCATCTATTTATTTATAGCCAATAATCATTACTTTTAAAACATAAAGCAATGGCTGCTAAGAACCAAATATATTAGTAACAATAAAAAAATAATAATAATAATATTTAAATTGCAATAAGCATGTTTTCATTTATTGGCTAACTACCGTGGAGATTGGACTGGTGCACCTTCTCGTCCAAATTCAATTCAACTAGGGTTTGCTAGCTACCTTACTTGAGTTACTTATACACGATAAGTAGAAAAATGGTGGGGATCGATCTGATCGATCGACCTAATCTGCAGAAGCAATTTTATTGAATATATATATATATATGTGAATTTGTAAATATATATATGGTGTCCTAATCGGACAACCTGCAACGATCGACATTAAAGAAAACAGTTTCAATAGAGGGTGTAGAAAAATGATGGAGGAATCTTTTATTTTATTGTAAATAATGTAGTGTACAGATAGATATTGGGTCCAGTTTTGATACCAATTAATTTGTATGTATATATAAAAATACACGATGTAGTGTGATTGTTGTTGTATTTGAAAATTCATATTCTGGATCATGATGCTCTCTGGTTGCCCCAATTATTTGTGTGTTTAGACAATTGTGTAATGAATAGACAGTGGAATTTAGGGTTCAGATTTGGCATTGTTTATTGCAACTTGTGGGGGTAGGAATATATATATATATATGAGCAGTTGGGTGCAGTTAGAGCATTTGCAACTGCATGCCTAGTCAGCGCCACCTCAGCACCATAAGTTGACGTGGCATTGGAGAGGCCACTTCATCTGCGTGTTTCATCATGTTCAATGGAGAAAATAGTAATTTCCTTCTAAATAAACATATTATTATTTATTCATGTGTAGCGAGAGAATTCATGTGGCTCAAACGTCACAAATATCAAATTAAATCTGTAATAATTGGATATTCTAAATAAATAAAAAAAAAAGAAAGTATTATATTAATTTTGTGGTCCGTAAAGAAACAATAATATATAGTCCACCTTCATTTAAAATGTGTCTATGCAAGCGCGTGGGTGCACGTGCCTAACCTTTATGTGCATGTGTATGCACATGGAAATTTAAATTCAGGACCAGGGATGTCAATTGAGACGAATTAGTCCGGACCCGTTCGGATCCGCTCTTAATACAACGGGTTTGGGTCTAAATAATATGTTTTGGGGCGGGTTGTGAATTTGAAATTTTAAATCCGCCTAGATTCGGAGCGGGTTACAAATTTTATTAAAAATCTGTTCCAATTCGGACCCGGATTCGAACCGGATATTTTTTAAAATTATTATAACTAATATATATATATATGTATATTTATATACTAAAAATATATTATTTATTTATTTAAATAATTTTAAATATAAAATTCAATTAGTCGTCTCCCCAATAATTTTATAAAATTATTATACTTAATATATGTATATTTATATAATAAAAATATATTATTTATTTATTTAAATAATTTTAAACATAAAACTCAATTAGTTGTCTGCCCCAATCCTAAATACCTAATTTCTTTTTCCCCTTGGTCAACCACGACTGTTGTCGTCTTTCATCCTCATCTACTTGTCTTCTGCCGACCACCACCGGCCGCCAGCGCCAATATAATAATATGTATATATATTTTTAATTAGGTGCTAGTGGATCGACAGTTGGATCAAAAATTTGTCCTCCTGCAATGCTAGATGAAGATGAAGACTTTAATGAATTGATTATTTGATATATTAAATTCTTATATTTGCATTGTATTTATGTACTTTTATCTTATTTTTATGGATAATATTTGATTATTTTTAATTTTTTTGGTACTTTTAATGTTATTTGTTTTAGTATTCAATTGTTAAAAAAATATTTATTATTATATATTTTGTAAAAAAAATAGATTTACCAGGTTGACCTCGAACCCGGAAGGTTCAGAGCGAGGCGGGTCCTGAAATCGGGTGAAAGCAGAGCGGAGCGGGTCACAAAGCCTAATATTTTCTTGCAAGGCGGGTGTCGAGGCCAGCAGAACCCGTCCCAAACCCGCTCCGTGGACATCTTTTTACAAGACTTTACAAACCTTAACTAAGGCATCCCGCTAGAATTAAAAAAACGTTTTTAAATAAATTACATTTACATCATTTGAAATTTTGGGTGTAATGTGTTAATTTACTTGTGTTTTTTTTTTTTTTATCGAAAAATATCATCAGTTATTTAATTCAAACTATATTTTATTAAAGTTTATTAATCTATTCATTTTTATGTATATTTTTTGTCTGATATTATTATGACTATTTTCTCTATCCACTAAATATATGCTTATTTATTTTTATCTGTCCACAAAAATTACATTTTTCCCTACAACAAAAAATTCTTACATTCCCTTAAAAATATATTTATAATCACAATACTTTTTTGTTTTATCTTTTTAATTTAAATTTAAATAAACCATTATATTTATTACATTATATATTCATATCATACCAATCATTAATTATCAAATCACTAGTAATCAAAATCCCTCAAGCTAAAACAAAATTTATTAATCTAAATGAACTAATCTTTTCAAAATGATCAAATCTAAAATTATATTCAAATCAATCAAAAAAAAAAAAAGGATCCTTACTAACCAATAATCTGCAATGGACAAGAACCGTGGCAAACTTTACTAATTAAAGTGAAAATACAAAATTTAAATTTCCAAACGAACACACCCTCGAATGAATAGTTGACCAATTTGATAGACAATAATAATAAATCATTTAAATTTAAAATTCATTGACAAATTAAAGCAATATATATGTTTTTTATTTTCTTTCTTGGGAGCATGCACATTTAAGGTGACACCAATACATTCCTAAAACACACCATTATCAGTTGTTTCTTGTATTTAAGAATAAACAATTTATATTTGCATTTCAATTTCACAGGATGATAATTAAATTAAATTAAAATAATATGTTGTCCAATTAAGCATATCACGTGGCTGGTATCGAGAAATGTCTTGTATCACAGTATATATTGGAATATTCAAATTGCGAAAGGATAACCATTACACATATTTGTGAATCATATAACGATTTTATCCAAATATCCTAATTATCAAAAAAAATAAAAAATCCATAATAATAATAATAATAATAATAATAATAATAATAATAATAATAATAATAATAATTCTGCAAGTAACTGGATTAGGTCGATGTGGTGGGCGACGGAATCTGCATGTGGGACAAACGAAGGGATATGCTTATAGGGGCAGTTATCGTAAAAAAAAAATATATATATATATAAAAAAAAAATAATCATAATAATAGTTTAAATATGATATACTACTTATTTAATTTGATAACACTATAATCATAATAATAGTTTAAATATGATATACTACTTTTAAAATTTGATAATACTTCCACCCTTTCACATTGTTTTAAATTAATATATTATATTTTAAATTCTACTTTTTCAAAGAATAATAATATACATTGATAATATATTATTTATTGTTGATATGAAATTGAAATTTTGTATTTCAATCGTAATAATGTGTGTATATTTATAATGATATGCAAATATTCAAATAAGATAAGAATCTTATAAATTTATTAAATATGATATATTTTTTAAATATATCTTTAACATCTATATATCATTTTTTTTAATTAATGTCAATAGTTACAGTAAATTATTTAATCGGTATCAAAATATATTCTTCACTATCAATATATATATATATATATATATATATCTTAGATGCATACGTATAATATACTCACATTATGGTAATGATAGCTTCACTTAACCCCACTATATTCTTATTGTAATAATTGCAATTATTGTAGGCAAGTGTTGAATAGTTTATGTTCAATAATTGAATTTATAATTTGAGTAATATATATATACGTATAGTACTTACTGAGAAAATTATAATTTGATATTATAGAAAATTATTTAATAGTGTTTATATTAAGACACAATAAAAAGCCCTTGTGATATATTGAGATATATATATATATATATATATTTTTGGAGTTTTATTTCCAAATTATAGACAGATTTGTCTATTTCAAAATCGATAATTGACAAATCTTTTGTCTTCCCTTTGTTACGATTTATCGAATGTTGTACATATGAAACATATGTTGGGAAATATACAATTAATGTAACGTAGACTCACTACAAAAAAAAAAATAATAATAATAATGTATTTGTAACGGAATTCCGTCCATAAAGTTCACATAGCTAATGTAATTTCATTTTTAATTCCATCTTTAATGTCGTTAGTAACGGAAAAAATAGATTTAGAGACAAAAAAAAAATTTGTTATAAAAATAATTTTTTCTTGTAGTGACTTATACTGAAATGCTTTCAATTATTGATAGTGACATTGTTTAAATATATGTTGTACAGTTGTATTGGTTCACTTGTCGATTTGCCCTTTCTTCTTATGTATGTCCTGCATGCCATCCTCTAATTTAATTTCAATTAAATAGATTATAATGTGTTTGGATAGTTCTTGTCTGAAAACACGATTTTTTTAATAATTTTATTACGAATTTTACATAAAATTTTCGCAATTTTGACAAAAAATATACTTGTGATCTTGGTATCTTATGTAGAGACAGGTGACACTTTAGTAGAGAAATTACAGCCCAAATCGTGATCAAAGAATCATCTATGCATACATGTATTTATTTTACATCTGTTATTTTAATAAGCCCACAAGGAATTGGGCTAGCCCATTAATGACATATATATACAAAATTCAGGACTTCACTTGAAAAATTAATTAATCTTATTTTTAATGGCATACACACAACATTCATGCTTTTTAATAAGTGTGTTCTCCACCATTCCCAAAATATATATATTTTTAAATAAATTAATATATTACACATATTTATTATTTTAATATTATTTATACAATTTTTTATATCATTACATAAAAAAATTATCTTTTCAAACAATTTCAATAAACAAACACACCCCCATATCGTGTGTACTTTTTTTTTTTTTTTTTTTTTTTATTATCTTGCATTTGGTTTATAGACCAAAATGTTCTTTACAAAACAACAACATTATTATTTTGTTTACCAAACCCCATATACGAAGGTGACACAAAAATATAGCTACTCTAAATAACAAATATATATATATATATATATTATCTGCATTCAATATCGAAGAGTGTTGAATAAATTGAGGATAATATATACTTATTAGTTGTGTCTGGTGCTACTTATCATTTCGGTTTTTTATAAAGTAAAATTTATATCGAAATAATTGTTGAGAAGATGTTCTAATACTAGAATTTTGCCACATGAACTAACACATCGCCGAAACTGACATGAACTAGTGACATGATAGTTTCTATACGTGGATTTATTTTTTAAAAGTAAATATACTAATTAAAACCACATTTAATTTGCATTTGATGCACACATTAGTCTATATTAGCATCAACAATGTCATGTGTCGGCACATACTATAATATTTTTTTTTTTTATTTTCTTTTATAACGTGAGAATTCATAATCGTTACCATAATATAATATTTTGATTGTAGAGAACCTTTGCAAACTTCCCAAAATTAGATTTATGCTATACCAAAATAAAAAAAAAATATATGTATTTCAAATTGAAACATTCAGAATACACAAGTAAAATCTCACCTTTATATATATATATATAATAACGTGGGAATCCGCAACTTCTATTCGACGAGTGCGTTTTGGATAAACTCCTAATCGAACTTACTAGTTTGCAGGGTATTAGGATCAATCGAGAATTTATCCACGGCGTACTTGCAATTCCGGGTTCTTACGTTATAAAAAAAAATAAATTAATTAATTAAATCAGACTTGTAATCTATTGCAAAGCTAAGAATAATAATGTTTAAGTGTGAGCACTAAAATTCAGATTTCAGAATATGTCCTAAGAAATTATTTCAGCTACATGCAAGCAAGCAACCAAGCAAAAACTACTGTCTCTGCACATAATATAGTTACCAATCACCTGCTGTGCTGTAATCTAATTTACTTCAGTACTCGATCAGCCATGGATGGAATATGGCCACCAAACATGTTCCTCACCACTTGCTGCTATTACTTTAATTTCTGCTAAACGATGCATGGGTCGATCACGAAGAGATTCCCACTCCAAGAAAATCAATGAAGGGAACGTGTGATTTCTCCTCGTGCTGCTCTGCACTTGTCTTTATCTTCGTCGTCATCGTTTTCCCAACAATCAATGTCTTGTCCCCAACATCAGCCATCAAATCCGATCCGTTGATTGAGCAATCCAAGGGATTCTCGTATTTTAGGGTTTCAAACGAATCGTCACAGGAATTGTTGAATACCCAAAATTTTCTTTGATGTTTTGAGCTGATTAAGGATGTTGAGCTGTGTGGTCGATTGTTCCTGGGGAAAAACTGGTCGGGGGAGTAGTTTGATGACAAGATGTAATTGGGGCAGCCTGGTAAGGACAAGGCGAAGGTCTTGTTTTCATGGTGGCTGTGGAAATCGAAAACTCGGGAATTGTCGAAGCTGATTTTGGAGCCATTGAGTGTTGTCTCATTCCATTGAAATGCATATCCGTTTGGGGATTGGGATTTGGTGTCACTAATACTATGTTGCAGATTATGGGTTCGTGTCTTGGCTGAAGAAAGTTTCGATTTTTCTCGTTGTCTCCTGGCCATTATGACATGCCAATGATTCTTGACAGCATTGTCTGTCCTGCCAGGGAACAGCCTGGAAATCAGTGCCCATTTGTTGCCATGGATTCTGTGGGCTGCCAGCAGCCTTTCTTCTTCTTCTTCTGAGAATGGCCTTCTGTTGATTCTTGGGTCAAGTTGGTTAAACCATCTCAATCTGCAGCTCTTCCCTGACATCATGTGTACATACATACATCAAATTTCGATTATTTCCAGGCTGTAATAGCCCATCATAACATTATTGAAATTTTACAGGATTTTATTTGTAATTATGGATTTGGGGAAAATAGGGTTGTAAATACTTCATTCTAATGGTAATTAATTATAGAGGTTGGAAACTGAAAATTATTTCTTGATGGGATTATAAATCCCGAAACCCTAGTTACACCACAACCTCATCTAATTGATCTAAAAATTTGACAAATTATTATAGAGTTATACATAAATACATATATGGTTTAATAATAATTGGGATTGGAGAACACAAAGTAAGCAATAGCACAAATGAATACATACATACATACATATATATATATATACATACCTGATCTTCCTTGAAGCTTTTCTGCAATGGAGTTCCAATTTTGAGGGCCATATTGGTGGACAAGTCGCCGGAGTTTGTCGTCCTCGGCCGGTCGCCAGTGGCCTCGAGGGCAAGTCCCTCTTGGGCTGCTATTATTCTTCGACCCGCCACCGGAGGATGATCTTGATTCATCCATCACATTAATTCCAGCTTTGAAGATTATTGAGCCACCGGTGAAAACCCTCCAGCAATAATAGAAAGTAACCTGAGCAGCTGTATATATTAATTGATTATCTAAATTAACCATGACTGAGTAGCTAGGGTAAAAGACTAACTTGTTGCCACATCATCATCGTCATCATGAGATTAATGAATACAGAAAAAAGTGTATAATCTTGACCCAAATATACTTTTGTATGTCGGAAAATATCTACATGAAACGATGACTATTTGCTAACATAAATTTTGGAACAATTAAGAGAGCAACCCAAAAGTTACTATAATCAATGGATTGAAAAAAAAAAAAAAAAAAAATTGTATTCGATCTTTACCTTATCTCAAGTTGAAGAGAACTGCTTTTTTTTTTGTTTTTTTTTTTTTCTGTAAAGAGATCGATGGTATGGGAGATTGCTGCTGCAAAAACCTAATTAATGTTCCCTGTCAAAGAGAATTAGTACTCTGAATAATAATCAAACAGATTTTGATCCGATTCAAAGCACAGGTAGGAGAGGAAGCTTCTTATTCAATGATATATATATGGCTATGTTTGGTGATCTTTCCGTGTTTGCAAGAAACAAATATACACATACTTAAATATAGATACACTTGCTAAAAAACTAAAAAAGTGTCAACATTATGGGATATAGATATAGATATATATATATATACATGTATGTATGTAACGGTTAATTAAGTAAATCGATCGTCTTTAATATAAATACAAAGTTTATAAATCAAGCTGGTAGATTCGTATGTGTATTTAATTGATGATAACCAGAACTATATACAGCATATTGATAAATAAATAAATAATTATATTCTTTTTTATTATTATTCTTTTGTCAAGAAATACTATTTTTGTCAAGAAAATAGTGTGAGGCTAAACATATTTTCTTATCAATTCAGATCTAGCTAAGCTATCTGGTATGAAGAAATATTCAACTAATTAAAGATTTTAATTAGTTTTTTTTTTTTTCTAATATAACAACCTGAATATATAATGGATGAAATAATAATGAGTTGAAAAAATATATAATTAATTAAATTTATGTAACTTAAAACCGGGGGTAGCTTAAATATGCATGCAATGTTAGTTTCCACTTTCCATGCAGCTGGTAAGTCAAATTAGGAAAACTCAGACAAGATGAAACCTTAAAAAATAGATTTCTTAACTGACAGATTATTCCACACACCACGAAATTAATCACTAATTAATCAACTCACCCTTTCATGTATATATATATATATATATGTAGAGAGAGAGAGAGAGAGAGAGAGTTTTAATTGAAGGGGTTAATAATTAATATATATAGTTTATCCATTACCATCACCAGTTTTCAGAGCTCACAAGCCATCTCCAATGGTGGGTGTTAAATCAGTATCCGAAACCCTAATCATCAACCTGTGATGTATTTACAATATATGCATCCGTTTCGATTAATTTATCCACCATTACATAAATATATATATATATATATACATAAAATATAAAATAAAAATAAAAATTCATGATCACCAAACCCTATAGCAAACATGTGTCATTTGTGTGTATGTTAGAAGAAGGATTTTGATGTGAATCAAAAGGTTTGGAAGAGCTTTCAATCAATGATCGATAAAAACACAATATAAATATACATACATACATCTATATATATATGTATGCAGCTTGTCTTTGTTCATGAAAACTATAACATATCTTTCTTTATATCTATGTATATATATATTTATATATTTAATATTTTCAAGAAATTAAACCCTAATTAGCAACTTGCCAACCAACTCTGATAAACATGTAACAAACAAACTTAATTTGACTACTCCCATTCCAACCCCTCCACCATAGTTTTTGAACATTATTACACAAAATTTAGACACTTTTCTTGTTTTACAAAGTCAATTATGTCCTAACTAGTTTGTATGTTCACTTACTCGCCCCGATTGATCTCGATATATATATTTGTATAAGGCCTGGCTAGCTCCGACCCCTTCGACCATACGATCCAAGTTTACAACTAATTTAATTTAATCTAGGTTCGAAAAAAATAGATACCGATCTACTTAATTAATTAATTAACAAGTGCTATCATATATAATTGTCTTAAAACTAAATCATCCATTGTACAAAATTGATAACGTGCCATCCACCATTAAAATGAACTAATATACATTTTTTAAAATGAAGTAACCCATAAGAATATGTATATACATTGTGTGTGTTTGGTTATAGACATTTCTTGTTGAAATTTAGTTAATACCAACCCCCAATTAATCTTTGCCCATTTAAATAATTTATTATTTTGTTATGATTGTTCATTGATCTAATTAATACATGTCTAAGTACAGTTAGTTGGCATTTTTGTGTCTATCAATTAGAGAGACTGCCACTCGTTTTCTGTTAACAGTAACATTTTATTTTCGATTTTTCTAAGTTGAAGTATGTAATGTGGAACTTACGAATGTGACAATTTACCTAACTTTTTGATTGGGTAATTCTTCTTAGCCATTAATTATTTTAAATTAAATTAACTGATTGATGGATGAAAAAGTTGGTTTTTTTTTTTTTCTATAAAACACCTGTGACTAAATTGAATCACATTTGATGATAATTATAGTATAAACTGTCAAGTAATAATCATTATTCACATTTGGCTGCCATATGAGGAATTAATCTGTTTGAAAAGAATTTGGCTTTGATTTTCTTGGAGTTGATAATGACGCATGCCATTAATTTTAGGTTTCAATAATTAATTTCTTCAAATATATATACACATTGACCGAACAGAAAATGGTTCTAAGGTTTTTTTTTTTTTTTTTTTTAACTCAAATAAAAACCAACCAAACACACACACACTTAATTCCTTAAACATGATTAGTTTTGGAAATAAAGTATAAATTTTGATTTTGTTCATCCAAATAAATTTTTATTGGCATGATTTTTAATATTATAATATATATTTAATTTTTTTTAAAAAAAAACATGATATTCAATATATAGTATTATTTTTAATATATATTTTTTAAAAAGTAAAAGAATACTACTAACTCTTAATTTACTACTCCGGAGTGGAGTCCGGTGCTTCTTTCATGGCAATATTGGGCTCTTAGCCCATTGCCTTCAAACTTAAGGCCGACCACATTTCTACAAAAGGCTTATTTACACTAGTAGCCTTTATAATTAGAAGAAAAGTTATTTATGTTTGTAACTCTTTTTTTATTATTATTATTATTATTATTATTTTAAATAAAAAATAATTTATTTTTAATATAATGTCTTATCTTTCAGAGAATTGTAATTTTTCTGTGTGAAATAATTTTTATTAATTTTTAAATAGTTATAAGAAAAAATATTTTTATTAAAATTATTATTATTAATGGTATAAAAATAAAAGAACAAATCCATTGTCTTCTATTATATATTTTATATTTATTGAAAGATCATACTGTAGACAATTAGTACCTATTTCATTTATAAAGATTTAAAAAAAAAAAAAAATCAATTGGAGATGCTACTTAATAAGAAGTAGTGCATAAAAGGATTTTTAAATTAAGCATATCAGATATAGTCATACAATATATTATATATTTGTGCATAATTTAGCATTTAGTTACATATAACATTATTTAAATATTTTCAAAAAACAAGAATTATATCTTGTTGCATCAGTCCTCCCAAAATTCAATTCTCACTTTGCTTACAAGTTTGGTAGTTGACTCGCTCCAAATTTTCTAACCCACCATTGTCTTAAAACAATGTCGAATTCTTTCATCGTTACGCATGTAAAAAAGTTGGCAATTCACATACCAGTGATTATTAATATTATTACACGTGACCTTTAAGCAATAACTTAATATTTTATTAACTTACTAATTATTTATATATATATATATATAGATCTAAATAATTTATGCATATGATCCTAAAATGTATTTGGTGCACGACAAATCATTAGACCTAAAATTCAACGTGTAATGAAATGGTAATAATAATGCCCACAAAGAATCCATTTCACATTTAACGTGACACTCCCACTAAAGCTCTTTACGACCAATTCAAAATCTTTTCTTTTTTTTTTTTAAATAAAATTATTATTAAATATAATTGAAAGGCATAAATATATATACTTTCGGCTTTATTATTATTATTATTATTATTATTATTATTATTATTATTCTAAGATTTCTTAATTATTTGCTGAAACAAAATCAGGTAGGTTCGTTTCGTTAATGCACTTTTATTTTTTAGTACCACGAGTGTGAGTGTCCTGCCGTTTAGCGTGAACTGACTTAAATACCCTCGAGCTCGATGTCTGCTATAAGGACAAAGATGTCATTTACTAAATAACGCGATTTTGAAAAGTCAAATTCACGCGGAAATAAAAGTATATCAGGTCTTTTGGTGGGACCCGCCGGACTTTATTGGTAGAAAACATTTCTTCCACTATTAATAAATAGTCATGATTTTGATTCAATACATTTTGGGTGTGTTTGTTTGGGGGTTTGGCTTTTGAGTTGGATTTGAATAGTAAAAATTTTGAATTTGAATAGTTGTATGATGTGATATAAATAGGTGTTGATGTGATGTTTTGAATATAAAATTAATTTTTAGTATAATATAAAAAATGAAAAATAGATCTTTGATTTGATTTTTTGGGGGAAAAAAATTGGATGAATACTAGAATTTTGTTGAAATTCTACAACGAACACACCATTTATTTATTTCTATAAAAATCCAGTGCGATTACAATGCTGAAAAAATAGTAATGTGATGATTTTTTTAGATAGTACTATTCAAACTTTTAGAAAGTAGCGTTTAAAAATTTAAATAATATCGATTAAAAGTTCAGATAATATATATTATATTAAAATATATATATATATTTTTAACTATTGACTAATGGTAATTTTATATAGATTTTTTAAATTGATATTTAGATATGATATAGAACAACATACTATTTCTATGTAGAGCTCTAAACATATTCATTTAGATTATTAATTTTTTAAAAAAAATACATATTTTTATTTTCCAGAGCACAACGTTATGCGTACTAAAAATTATTGTTATTTGAATACATAATATTGATTTTTCAAATCAACGAAACTCTAACCATATATACTTTTGGTCTATTTGAAAAATAAATATTGTATTTACACGATAGTTATTGATATTTTTTATATGTAAAATTTACTTCTATATTATATAAAATTAATATGTGGGTATTAATATAAATAAATATAAATATAAAAATATTTATAATGTAGAGTAAAGTTATTCATAATAAAAATATATATATATATATTTTATACTTAAACAACAAAAAATAACAAAATCTAATATCTACTTAATTAACCAAAGGAGTATACCTTTAAAAAGTTGATAACACGCAGGGCTGACGTCAGTCGAATAACAAGAGATAAGATGGATAATGCACCCTTATAATATAGGCTCATTTTCAACGAACATTTGGTGGATAAGACGTCATTTTGGGGCATGGTAAGGTCATGTTAAATGGGGTTGTATCCTACGTGGCATTTAAAAAATTAATTTAGTGCCAATTGGTTATACTTATAATATATTTTATAATAATCATTATATTATGTTTTAATTTTTGAAGTGGTGGCGAAGCTACTGCTTAGCTCATAGTCATAAACTTTGGATTAGATATCGACGGTCAGGATAAAAGCAGCAAAATGATTCTTTTGTAAATGTCGTCAATCTCAGTAGAAATTAAAGCTTTGTTTAAGGTTTTTAAGTTTTATGAAATTTTGAAAACTTTTTAAAAAATAAAAATTTAATATTTTATTTATTTTATTTTAAAAATATATATATTCGATTTGATATTTTTTTAAAAAATAAATAGTATCAATGAAAATATATTACGTAAACAAAACCTAATCGAATGGTCTGACGCAAAAACAGACAATAACTAATGCTATGTTTATATACAGTAATTTTACATATTAGGGTGCCTTTGTTTTGGAGTTTGGATTTTGAGTTGAGATTTGAATAGTAAAAATTTTAAATTTGAATAGTTGTACGATGTGATATAATAAATTTAAAATTTAATCGCTCAAACAAACACACCCTTGCTAGAAATTTATCATTATAACTATTATTAGTTGTTTGGAATTTTTTGGGAACGAGGCGGCGGCCTGGTGGGAGTAAGTTCTCATTAGCTATCTTGGATCTTCCAGAAGACTTTTTTCCTTTTTTTTTTTTTTTTTTGTTTTCTTTTTTATTATTATATATATGTTTGGAAATTTCAGTTGGAGCGTTCCAAGTCTTGCAACTTTGATCGGAGTTTTATATTCTGTTTCTTTGAACTTCTGTTCGACCAAGATTTCGTTTTTTTCGCCTACTCTTTGCTTGTAAAGTTTCATGCTTTGTTCTTCCTCATAGTATTAATTACCCTAATTTATCTATTTTTGCTCGTTCACCGAACCAACTGGCAAACCTCTGTATTATTATTTAATGTTTGGTTAAAAAATTAGGGCATAGATCTTATTAGAGGCTAGTGGGTTTGCTTTGTTTGCTGTTTTTCATTGGTCAAACTCATCTCTGGTGCCTTTTTCTCGAAGCCAGTCCTCAAGTTCGTATAAATCTTTTTTTCAGCCGTAGGGTTTGCGGATTAATCTTCTGCTCCTTCAGGTTTCGTCTCTGTGGGCGCTTCTTGAATTCGTCTTGTCTTTCACTTCTCTGAGCTGAACGGTAAGTCATGGTATATCGGATTGATTGATTTATTAATTTCTAGGGTTTTGCATCTTTTATGGATGGGCGAAAATTGAAATTATCTCGTTCCAAGATTGTTCGGAAGAAGCTATTGTAAATTCTACTGCTAATTTGTTCTTACTTAATAGATATTGTTATTGTGCAAAGAATTGGAAGAGACTTCAGTGATTTTTGGAAGATATCTTTTTGCTTAGCTTTCTATTCTTTGTTCGAACGTGGATAACTTTCGTTTTTAAAAGTTACTTTGGGCATAGGTTTCATTTCTTATGTTTTAAATTGTTGCAAGAAATCAGTACTCTTATTTATATGAATTATCTTGATTTTGTCTGGGCTGGTGATTTAGGTTTGAATTAGATGACAATGTTCCGATATTTCGAAGAGATTTTGACTCCTTGATTATGTCTGTGTTCGTGCTGTTTTCAGTGTTGTTGAGTTTGAGCATCAGATCAAATCCAGGCTCAGTTGTTTTCCATTCAAGGTTTCCTCATTTTTGTCTGAAGTGAACCAGCCATGTCCTTAGTTGGATCAGCAGCAGCTCTGTTAGGAAATCGGGAGGTTTTCACGAGGAAGGATGGCAACGACAGCTCGGGGCTGGCGACATCCATTTTTAGATCAGACAGCCGCGGGAGCATTTACACAAGCGAGTTATACGGCAGTGAAAGTTATGATCTGAACTATTTTTTCGACTCCCCCTCAGATGAAGGCGCGCACGAGTCTTTGTACCATGTTATAGACACTGAAAACTCATTGAATTCCTCGAGACACGATGCTCGTCAATTCAATTATGGGTTAGAGTACTTGAACAGCCAAAGTCAAGACTCTATGAGTTATGACGAAGATAGAGTGAAGGTAAAGCTCCGGGAACTTGAAAAGGTACTCCTTGACGACAATGGAGTCGATGATAGCAGCGACCAGAGCATGGAAATCGACGGAGAATGGTCTGACGCCACGTGTTATGCTTTGCTGAATGATTCGCCGAAGGGATCTTCGTCCTCGGATTCGAACATTAGTACTATAAGCAGCAACAAGGAGGTATCGTTCACGGCGTTAACTCCCAAGGACTTGCTTTACAAATGTGCTGTTACTATTCACAACGGAAATCTCGACGCAGCTTCCGAGATGATAAACGAGCTCCGGCAGAGGGTCTCGATCCAGGGAGAACCGTCGGAAAGAATTGCAGCGTATATGGTGGAAGCACTTGCAGCCCGAATCGCGACCTCCGGAAGAGGTCTTTACAAAGCATTGAAATGCAAAGAGCCACCATCGATGGACCGGCTGTCCGCAATGCAGGTTCTGTTCGAAGTGTGTCCCTGCTTTAGGTTCGGGTTCATGGCAGCTAACGGGGCGATATTGGAGGCGTGCAAAGATGAAACGACGGTTCATATCATAGACTTCGACATCAACCAAGGAAGTCAGTATTATACGCTGCTGCAATCGTTGGCGAGAATTCAGGGCAAGCGACCTAATGTGAGATTAACCGGTGTAGATGACCCGGAAACAGTACAGCGCTCCGTCGGAGGTTTGAAAAAGATCGGACAGATGCTCGAGCTCCACGCCAAAGATCTACACCTCTCGTTTGAGTTCCACGCCGTTCCTGCCGAAACTGCCGTTGTTTCTCCATCGTTGCTCGGCTGCCAACCGGGGGAAGCTGTGGTAGTCAACTTCGCGTTCCAGCTCCACCACATGCCCGACGAGAGCGTAACTACTGTAAACCTCCGGGACCAGCTTCTCAGGATGGTTAAAAGTTTGAAACCGAAGCTCGTCACTGTTGTCGAGCAGGACATGAACACGAACACTACCCCTTTCCTGCCGAGATTCGCTGAAGCCTACAGTTACTACTCTGCCGTGTTCGAATCCTTGGACGCGACTCTGGCAAGAGACAGTCAGGACCGAATGAACGTGGAGAAACAGTGCCTGGCGCGGGACATCATAAACGTCGTCGCTTGCGAGGGAGAGGAGAGGATCGAACGCTACGAAGTTTCCGGGAAATGGCGCGCGAGGATGACGATGGCCGGCTTCACGCCGTGCCCCGTCAGTCGGAACGTGAGGAGTGAAATCCAGAAGCTTATCAAACAGTACTCTGATCGCTACAAGGTTAAAGATGAAATCGGTGCCCTCCATTTTGGATGGGAAGACAAAATCTTGATCGTTAGTTCTGCGTGGAGGTGATTCTGATAGTTCTAGCTGTAGCTTCTGATCTCTATATATATATATACACGTATATGTAGTTTGCACTATGCTTTGATCTTCCTAGACCTTATTGTATACTAATACTAAAGTTAACGGTCCAGTGAACTGTAGCATCGATGTTTGCCTTTTGTATGCTGATATTATAGGATTATGTTGTGAGCAGACTGGTGTTTTTAAGGTGGAGAAATATGGGCCGGGGTCAGGCCCGCTTTGTGAATCAGTAAAGCCCATTAAACTCTGGTCATTTCCTAAAAGACGACGTCGTGTCCTGTAATTAGAATTTAGGTGCATTCTTTGGTTTTAAGTTCCTACGTCGTCTCGTCTAACAATGGGTGAGTCTGTCTCTTGTGATCTCCATTTTTATATGCAAGTAGTTTAGTTGTTCTCTGATCTGTAGTGTAGTGTTAATCGCGCGCTTTATTCTATGTTAATGAGTGTTCACATTGTAATTAAGTGCGTTTAGTCGCTGTGTAAAATTCGGGGGGAAAGAATAACGAAACAGCGGCATTGTACATAGCCAGAGTTTGCGGTTTAGGGTTTTTTTTCCAGTGTTAACATCTGCCAAGGAAAAATGTTGATTTAAAATGCCTGTTCCTCTGTGTCTATCATCCAAATATTACAATTTACTGCGTCTTTGTATGTTACATTTTAATATCTATAGTTTTTGATGCAATCACTTTTATTTAGATTTTATATATTGTTTTAGATCCCTTCAAAAATTTTAGTTTTTCCTTTCTCTTGAGGAGTTGATTAATGTTTTACCAGATGCAAAGTCTGGATTTTTACGTGATAACAAATTTGTATGTTACTCGAACCTAGCATATATACCCCGCAAATGCAATTCAAGGTGCCAATCACACACCAAATGTGGAGTTATAAGGAATTTATGCAGAAACTGGCCATCAATTATTAAAGTTATGAAAGTGTCTTTCTATTAACCAACTGGGAAGAATTGGAATAATGAATGCTAATTTTGGTGTTCAATTGTGAAACATTTTTATGCTCAATAGAAAGTGATGTGTAACCATCTTCTTACTTTCAAAGATGTCTGAAGCTATCCATCTACATGCACTGGCCAAGAATTATTGAAAGCATTTGTAACTTTTTGTTCAAGTCAAACTGTTCAACCTCATAATTGCCAATGCCTAATGCGTATTTTGTGGCTTTTCTGAAAAATAGCTTTTTTTGTAGCCAATTCATGGTCATGTACAACTGTCTTCGTACTATTAAGATATGAATAATGTTTTTAGATAAAATGTCCTTTGTATAGGTTAATACGGAGCTAAAATGTAAACTTCAAAGAAACAAAAGTTGTAACATTTTTGGATGTTCTTCTATCTAATCTTACAATGATTTATGCTATTTATAAGTTCAAAGAATCTCTTCAGAAAAGCTATGTGACCTTTGGTGAAGATTTTCACAACTTTTGGCGAAGAGGCACTTTAAAATTTTTTTTGACAGAAAGGTATTTTCATTATAATTTTCAGAGACCAACAGCTAACAAGATAGAAGTATCAATGTGACTTGTCTAATTTGTATTAGACATTTCCACGCTCCTATATTGATTTGAGAATATCTAGCATGTAGTTCTGATGAAGCAAGAATGGAAGGTTAATGACACAGAATATTATTCTAAATAATGTCAGCGTGTCGGTAGATAATGATCTTCGAAGTGTGTTATGCTGGAAACTTTGCATTAGTAGGCCCATGCTTCAGCCATCAATTTGGGAAGCATGGGCATCATAAAATAATTTTCTTTTCTTGTTGATGGTCTTAGTTACAAGAGAATCATACATTCTTTAAGTCTGCAATGGCGTCTGGTATTGTAAAAAGTTCTAATTAAACTAGAACACTAGGACAATGCACCAGAATGAAAAAAGATAGGATAAGAAATTAAGGGCGTAGCGTCATTGAGTCATTTATGCCAAAGTTTGTCTGCTTAAATTTGGGTCATTCAAGCTTCCTCCATGTGCAAGCCTCATGGCGTTTTCTCTTGAAGGTTGGATCTTAGTATGCTGTTGATGTAATGAACTAATGATAATTACAAAATTTTGAACCCTGCTTCTTCTGTCAGCTTATTATTAAGAAGATGAAGTGTGAAAGTTTTCCCTTTGAAGCATCACTTCCTGCATTTTCAAATCAATGAACAACAAGAATCAGAGCAGTCTTGTAAGGACATTATATACTTGTTTCACAATGTTGAATATGCTCAAGGGGATTGTACTTTACGGGAGAAGAGCTAGTAAAAGATTTGAGCCATGCATTGAAATGTACCTTCATTAGCTATTCATTCTCTCCTATTTTAGTTTTGTTTCATTTTCCTCTATCCATTTGAAGTGTCTATCTGATCTGCAGATTTCATGAGGCCTGTGAAAGTTTGTCTATTGATTCTTGCAGGGTAAAAAAGAGAGGCATGAAACTGGTCAGTGCTTTGATAAAATTTGATTTCACCTTATGTTATTCTTTTTTTTCTTCTTCTTTTTTCTTTGGACAGTAATTGGATGGATATGTTCCTTTATTGTTTCATGTAGGTTGGCTTGCTACTTCTATTCAGTTGCAGTGTGATGAATCCATATTGTTTGGCTGGACTCCTGCGCCCAGTACCCTTCTACTTTGAAATTTCGGCAGAGTGAGTTGAAGGTCATTTCAATATTATTTCCGATCATGCATCTGTTAGAATACTAAAATTTGTCCAAGCCTTTTTTATTCTTCTTCTAAGCCTTTCTGTGCCTCCTCAAAGCTGATATATTAATGATTATTAAATCCTTGAAACTAACTATGTTTATCGCTTGCTCTTAGCTGCTCAAGTAGAGATTTCTGGTGCATTTATTTGTGAAGTAAAATAAGTCTCTCTCTACTTCAACAGTCGAATTGACTTGGAATTCATCTGTATACTGTCAGTTGTTAAACCATCATATCATGTTTTTAAGTGTTGTGTTGCATTTGAAATGAGACAACCCCAAGGTAATATCTAAAAAACTCGCAAGTAAATTCACTGAAAATTTGGTCATTTAATTCAAGAAGTTTCTTCAGAAGCAGTTTGCTACATGTTTTCATTATTGTAGCATACATGTGCAAACTGTGAGGTGACACCTTGTCTAGATATTTTCTTGTCTCATGCCACAGTTGTTCCGGACTCTGCAGACTCTTCCTTGCTACTTGTCTCTTCCTTGTTGTAGCCCTGGATCATGTTAGGATTGAAGGAAGTATCCAAGGCCAACCGGGTAAGTACCTCAGCAGCCATAACAACCTCCTGAAACCAAATACAACAATATCATCAGAAGCAAATTAAGTAGTAGAACACAAGTTAATAGTTGTGATCTCAGATGCTTGCCTCTTTCAGCTCTTTCTCCTTCAGGGATTTGAGACCTCGAATAGCATCTGATTCTTTACCTACAAGTAGCCATTTCCTCATCTTGATATCCGGTAGAGGTTTCCTCAGGAATTATGTGCTAAGCTGTTTCACTATTCTCAAGTCAGTCGAGGGTATGAGTTATAAAGGGTAGAGATAAGAGCGGAGGTTTCAACACATGTATTATGCATTGGCATTCACGCATTTGTTCATATTCTCCCTCTCAAATTATGTAATTGTTCTGCCAGACTGCCAACTTTGTCCGCCTTTCTCTTCAACCTCCCACCTAACATGCTGGTATTCGTTGCAGTTGCTTTTACTATCTCATGACAAGAATGTGCTGTTTGAATTACTGACCGACTCACCTTTCACGTTTCATTGATATTCACGCCTTCTTAACTTTGAATGCTTTTTTCTATATCTTTAATCGGGTTATAATAACTGCAGTAACCAACAGTGTCAGTTCTAAATTGACGAAATTGTTGTTATTCTGATTCTAGGGTGTGTTTGTTTGTATTTTGAATGTTTCGAGGTATTTTGGATTTGGAAGGAAAAATCGATGTTGGATGTAATGTTCTAAATGGAAAATAGGTTTGATTATGATGTTTTCAATGGAAAATAAGTCTTAAATGTGTTGTCTTTTAGGGAAAAATATTTAACTAGAAATTATATAGTGCGAAAACAATATTGAGAACACATACAAAGACACTACATGATGAAATGTTTCGTTAATTGCATTAAGTATCTAAGCAAGGAAATAACATCCTATTATTTTTCTTGTCAAATGATCCATTTTTCTTTAGGCCGTTCATTACAACATAAATCGTGCCTTCTCATCCGTCCACGATTGTTTTATGTGAATATGATCATTTTAATGTCAATTGAATATAACACCTCATGTCTGCTTTCATGTTGATAATTATGTTCTAAGTTCTCCATTGCGCATTTTGTTGCTTGAGTTAATTGCCTTTTTTTCTTGTGCTATTACATAGTCCATATTTATCTGCAAATGCATTATTCAAAATAAAGGACATTGGCTTTGTTATGTTTTCCTTCTAAATAAATACTATACTTGTAATTGTTGAAAATGTGTCCAGGCGGAAACTTATGAAGCTCGATACTCTATTCAACCCTCATATTTCATCTAAAATAGATCATTATCAGTTTGGATTGTCTTTCAAGCTTAGGAGTTTAAATTCAATTGTGCTATATATTTCTTCTCCACTTTTTCAAAGGTGATAGTTGAACTGACTATTACTGAACCTACAGTGGAGCTTAATGTACTCATGTTTTAAGATAGGTTAATGTGTTTAAAATTATATCTTCCCCATTCTTACTTTTAGTATCACCTTCCCAAGTTTTAGTTTTCTTACCACTACCCTTTAATCGCCAGAGTTGTCTGAAATTTCTTGCTGTCAAGATGGGCTCCAACCTTGTAAAAGTAGTTTGTGGTTCAAGAAGCACTCGCAGGCTTGGCTAACATATTGTGTCTTGTTAGAAGGAACTTCACCAGCTCCAACACTGAGATTCTCATCAATGCTCTCTCACTTTCGATTTGTGATCTTTGTGCCTGCTTTGACTGCATTTTTTTTCTCCCTTATATAACCATTTTTGTTATGATACATATTTATATACAATGTTAGAAATTCAGAATGATGTAATTAGGATCCTTTTTTAACAATTTTCTCTTTCTTGAGGTAAGGGGTCAAGTGTGAGAGCTGTGATTATGCTTGCAATTCATAGTTTGTTCTATAATTTTCTGCTTCTATCGTTCTTGGTTTTTCCAATTTGAGTTTTCCACGTAAATAATGTGTTTTCATTTACCTAATTCCATTTCTACCTTTAATTTTACAGCTTAATTGGGTTTTGCACTTCTGGGAACAATTTTTGGTTAAGTTCATCTTTATTCACCCTGATTCCTGACAGTTGCCTATATTATTTGCCAAATGCAAGCTAAAGGATATGCCTTTGCCTGTCCAAGTCCCATAAAGAGTTAATTTTGTCGTTTGAGTGCCATTATTTACCCTGCTGAATATTTTGAGAAAAATGCTGTGCCTTTGATCTATATCAGTTATGGTAAAAGAATACATGTAGATGTTTTTCCATTCAAACACTGACCATAAACATGCATTCATGCTCTACTTTTGTTAACATGCATTCTTGGAAAAGCTTCCAATTAGGCATTTGCTCCCAAAAATGGGACTTTGTTTACTTATTGAAGACATATTCCAAATCTTCTTGCTCGTACATCTTAAGAATTGATTTGGCCTTTTAGTGATGTATTGTTACATTTTGGATTTGTATTTCTTTGCCATGACAGCTCTAGCAATCTTCTAATGGGAACTTAATGCATCATTAACTACTTAAATTAGAAGCTCCAGCCTCTGATAGTGCTTTCTTAATTCATGTCCTAAAATCCTATTTCTTTCAAATTTTGTTTGTATTGCATGTAGTGTAGATCACAGAAAGTTGTAAGCATCTTTATTCTATTCTAAGGTGAAAATAGACGACTTATATGATATTCTTGATTCTGAAATAAGTGCATTTTGTACACTGATATCAACTTTGTATGAACTGTACTCTACCTTGTTTACTCTTTTTTGACACCCAAGTTGTCAATTTGGCTTGGAATGGAAATTTTAGGCAACTAAGAATTTCCAAATTTGATAGAGAGACAATAACTATAATATGTATATATACAACTGAATTTGGAGTAGAATTGTTTCCAGTAATAATCAGTCCAAGGCTGTCAGGACAACTTAAATTCTCTTATTTTACATCATTTGCATTTCTTCATCACAATGTTGCTCACATGAAAACAAAAAACATTTATATAATTTTGTTTTTTTCATCTCTGTATTTAACTTCATCTCCATCATCTTTAGTTTCATCAATTAGTGTTCTCTCTCCTATCCTCGTGTGAAGCTGTAGCTTTTCTTCTTCTGAAAATCATGAGCAGCATTACAGTTCTTTTAGTTTTTGCATTTCTTCTGTTGCGTGGATTTGATGTGTGTCTGTCACAAGGGCAACTTAAAGTTGGGTTTTACTCCCAAACATGCCCTAATGCAGAGTCCATAGTCAAGTCTGTTGTCGCAAAGGCAACTGCTGATGACAGCAGTACCCCCTCTGTTCTCCTTAGGCTTCAGTTCCATGACTGCTTTGTGCAGGTCTCTACCTGGTTGTAATTGATTTTGATTTCAAGATATGGCGGAAATGAAACCCTCTTGTTTTTATCAAAGATTAATATGCTTAAATCTCTGCATGTGTATCTTAGGGCTGTGACGGTTCTATATTGGTTGACAATGAGCGTGCGGCAGTTGAACATAATGGAGTAGGAGGATTTGATCAGATAAAAACAGCCAAAGAATTGATAGAGGCTCAGTGCCCTGGAGTGGTGTCTTGTGCCGATATTGTGGCCATGGCTGCTAGAGATGCTGTGGCCTTGGTAATGCATTCTCTATTAAGTTCATCGATTATTTTATTTGAGATCCTCGATTGGTTTGTCTTTTGCCCCGCTTTTTGTGGATTTGATATATGCATGTGACACAGGCTGGTGGACCAGCTTTTGAAGTCGAGACAGGGCGCCGAGATGGAAAAATTGCCATGGCATCCCTGGCTGCTGCCATCCCTGATGTCAAGGACTCAATTGGCACCCTCAAATCTAAGTTCAAAGGCAGTGGACTTTCCGAGAAAGAACTTGTGGTCTTAACAGGTACCAACTGAAACTACAAGCTGTATGAAATATGAATTTCACTGAAAGAAACAAGAATGAATCTTTCCAGGAGGAGGACATACTATCGGCACCACAGCCTGTTTCTTCGTGGTGGACAGACTCTACAATTTCACTGGAAGAAACATTTCCGATCCTTCAATAAACCCCAAATTCTTACCCGTTCTGAGGAGAACTTGCCCGAAGAATGGAGACGCTAGTGTCAGGCTGCAACTTGATCCCATCACTGGAAACAGCTTTGACGATCAGGTCTTCAAGAACATCAAGAAGGGGTTTTCTGTGCTAGCGTCTGATGCCAGGCTATTAGATGACGTTTCCACCAAAAAAGCTGTGGATTTCTATAGAGGTGAAGACGATGGAAGCTTTGCAAGAGACTTTGCAGCAGCAATGGTGAAAATGGGCAGAATTGGCGTCAAGAACAGTTCTCAGGGAGAGATAAGACGCGCTTGCAATGCCGTTAATAAGTGAGACTTCTTCATGACTATGACTATGGCTATGAGATTTAGTTTATATGGTGGTGACTAATAGTTGCGCTAGTATAAAATTTCTTGATTTATTAAGTTTTCACTCTGAAGATAACCATTACATAGATAACTTGGAGTCTGTCTCTCACTCTAGTTCTCACTCTCACTCTCACTCTCACTCTCACTCCTCCATTCTGATGATGCATCGAAGCCCTTCACCTTTGAGCATCAGATCAAAGGCCTTGTTGATCTCGCTAAAGGACACTTGATGTGTTATAAACTTCTCCACTTGAAGTTCCTACAAATGAATGAATGACTTAAGGTTGGTTGATTGATTGATCGATCAATCGATGAATGTGTTACCTTTACCTTTTTCATGTATAGATCGACAACAGAAGGTAGATCGGAGCGTGGCTTGTAGTTCCCAAAGAATGTCCCTTTGAGAGTCCTCTCATTCAAGAAATTCATGGGATGTGTCTTCAACACTGCATCTTTGTGAGGCACCCCCACCAGAACAGCCACACCCCATCCCTAACAAACACCCACAACTTATTGATATCTTATTCATTCATTCTTTTGAGGTATTTATAAAAATGTGCAACAAAATACAATACATACATCATGGACACACTCAAATGCAGAGATCATGGCATTGATGTTTCCGGTGCACTCGACGCTGCGATCCACTCCGCCGTTAGTTTTCTCGGCTATCACCTATCCTCACAATTTCAAGATCAAAAAAACAGTTCATGAAAGAAGGATCAGTTTTGTTGATTCAGATTTTTAACAAACCTCTTGAACTGGCTTCTCATAGTCCTTCGGGTTTATGAATTCAGTCACACCAAATTTCTTGGCTGCATAAACATGAACACAACAGCACTTAAAGCAATGCATAGGAAATAACATCATGCCCCAATGGATAGGAGGATCAGATACCTTCTTCAAATCTTGAAGGGTTCAAGTCCACGCCGATTATCCTCGAAGCCCCGGTCAATCTGGCTCCTTCTGCAGCCTGAACATCACCGAAAAGGAATGAAGATGATCATAATATGCTAGAAAAGTAATCGAAGATTCCAAAAAAAAAGAAAAGGAAAACTTACTGCAAGCCCAACTGCTCCAAGTCCAAATATAGCCACAGAGGAACCCTTCTTTGGTTTGGCAACATTCAATGTAGCTCCAAGGCCTAAACATAACAAAACACAATCAACCATTACAACTAACACAAAATCAAGAATTTGCAAAAAGGCCATTTTTGATTTGCAAGCACCTGTGGAGATCCCACAGCTAAGCACACAGACTTTATCCAGAGGGGCAAGTGGATTGATTTTCGCGACGGATCCAGCATGTACAACAGTGTATTCGCTGAATGTCGACGTGCCAAGAAAATGGTACACGGGCTTGCCATTGATCGAAAACCTTGATTGCTTGTCATGCAGCATCACTGTCCTCTCAGTGTTGATCCTCAGAAGGTCACACATGTTGCTCTCTTCCGATTTACAGTGTGCGCATTCTCCACATTCGCCGGTAAATACAGGGAGAACATGATCGCCCGGCGCCAGGTCAGTCACGCCCTCTCCGACACTCTCCACAATCCTGTTCGATCAAAATCCAGGTCATTGCACGTTGCATTGCACAAGATTGAAACTTTATATGATAAATGAATGGATTCATCATCAATCATGGCGAGTAAATTGATACCCTGCTGCTTCATGCCCGAGAATTCGAGGAAATACAGAGTCTTGTGCCTGAAAATGATCAAGAACAGAACATGGGGATTAGATTACTGATTTGTAATACAAAATAAATTCTTTAAGTTTCTTGATTCTGAATTGGATTACCTTGGCTTCCCAGAAGTAGACATCAGTGTGGCAAAGGGAGGTGTAGAGAATCTTCAACCGGACCTCCATCTTCTGCGGCGGCGCCACCTCCACCTCCTCAATCACCAATGGCTTCCCGGGCTCCCACGCAACAGCAGCTACAATCCATTCAGATTATGTAACAATAAAATCCACCAAATTTGCATACAAATAGTAAGGAAAAACAAGAAAATCGTCTAAAGATCAAACCTTTGCATTTGATTACACCTGACATCTTGAAATATCTTTCTTTCGATAACGTTGTTGTGAATCTGATTGGAGAAAGAGTTTGTCTGATGAAATGGGAGTCGACTGCGAAGAAATTTATAGAGCGAGAAAGAAGCGTGGCATCTTGGCCCCGACGTCATGATCAATCAATCAGTGTTCTAGTCTCTTCTTCTTGCAGATGGAATCCCTTCCATTTGAAATCCAGCAAAGAATACAACAGGCGGTTTGTGGATCCAATCACAGGTTTTGGCCCGAACAAAAAGGGAGTCTACAGCTACTGGTTTCTGATGTTTGCTGGTTTCCACATTCAATTCAATTTCTGGTTTCGACTGTTTTTGTCTTTTACTAAGAATAAAAAATAAACCCATAGTCGCCGCTGCGTGCGTATTTCCCATTTTATCTTCTGGACTACAGATTGATTACTGGAACTGTCTGAATCATTCATTTAACAAGAAAGATCAGAAAACTTCGCACGTTTATGATCCTATCCATTAAATAACAGCAATGTTCATAAAATGGCTACAGGCAGCAACTTCACAGGCAAAAAAATGAAGGAACAATTTTCTTCACTTAGAAAGTAGAAATGAGAAGAGGAGCTCGTTCCACATATCCGGCACACCAGGCAAGCACCAATGGCTGCAATCGGGAACCGACGGATTGTCGCTCCAAGTACCGACGTGTGCGTCGCTACGGTATGCGCTCATCGGGGTGACATGCAGCAGCTGTACTGGAATGGATGCTTTCTCCACAGCTCGGATTATGGCTTCAGATTTTGAGTTCTTCTGTTTCCCTTTAAGTTTGGACAATGGCAGCTTTGTTACTTTGCAGTTCTGACGGGATCCGGAGCTGATGATAGATTAAAACAAAACCATAAGTTTCCTCATATCTAATGCAATGAAAAAGGAGCTGAAGTTCTGTAAATAAGCAATCTGGCATACCTCCAATGCGAGGATTCGAAGGTTCGAAAGAAAACTCGAGTCCTGTGGGGATTTACGGAGTTCTCTAGCCAAGATCGCCAGGTAGCTAACGCAATCTTGAATCCGTTATTTATCGACATCCCGATCTTCACCTTTCCACCTACCTGAAAGTACCAGCCCCTGTCTAAAAATGCAGATTAGCGGCACATTCGACATGAACACAAAAACGAACATGATTAAGAATGCAACCACTCACAGGTCAAACAGCTTAGTCCTCGTCCACCAGTGTCCAGAGTTAAAAATCAAAATATCAGAATCGATCCATTCTCTACTAATCTCATCCATCTGATCCAGTTTCACCACAGTTTTGACTCTCTTAGGCGAACGCTTCGGCGCAGGACCAGGCTCAACCAAGAAAATCGAGCGATAGAATTCAATAGTAAAGCTATGGGACCTAAACCAAACAACCAAATGCTTACTCTGCTTCGTGATTTCACTCCCACTGGCCTCATACACACTGTTCTTATCCTCAACACCACTCATCAACATACATATCATCGACTCCCACTGAGTTCTGCTCAATGAATCACCCACAAAGACTACCCTCTTCCCTCGAAGGAACTTCAACAAGGCATGGACATCGAATCGAGGGATTTCGCAGCCCTTAGGCTTCCACCTCCACTTAAGATACTCCTTGTCCTTCCTACCATTAGCCAAGCAATCGAAACCACGCTCCGAAAAGGGGCATTGGGAAGCATTATATAAAGGGTAGGTTTCATCAATCACCCATCTACCATCAAAAGGATTGCATCCTTTGCCCAATTCAGCAGACTTACCAGAAAAACTACCCCTATTGCGATTAGGCTTAACTATTCTTTCAACAGATGGAGATAAGTAAAAATAAGTGGATGCCATGACTATAAGAAAGCAGAGCAACGAGGCAACCATGAACAGTGCAGTGAAAGATTGAAAGAAGGAGCTTTTGCTGTAATTTCCATATAAGATCTTGACAAATTTGATGAATTTCTTAAAGGCGGGCTTCAATTGGGCAGACAAATTCCAGTATATTTCAGTGATAACTGTGCTCATATTCGCTGTACAAACAAGCAATTATACATAGAACATAACAAGATTCGGATAGTCGTGATCGAGAAACGAACTTTACTCAAAATAAGAACGTAGAAAGCGAGTATGTTCGAATCTTACAGCACCAGCCAGCAATTGGGTTCAACGGATAACCAAGAGCGCACCTGGAGGTGAATGAAATGCCTGTTTGCAATCGAGGAGGAGGTTCAGAGAGATGAGGGTATGACCTGAGCTTGAGAACGAAAGCTGAGCTAACTGGAGACGAACATCAGCTTCATAGGACTTTCGACTATTGTCGGTAGAATGATTTAAATGTTGTTTCGAAGGAAAGGTTCGAAAGTAGTAGCTGTTTCGTGCAACTTACTTCTCTCTGTTGGAAAAAAACAAATGGCTTGTTTGTAAGAAGATATGGTGGTTCTTGAAAGCTCCATGGACTTCAAACCAGATGATCTACACCGTTCATTAATGTAAACCCCAGCCACGAACGGTCTAGGTCTATCTGACGAGGATGGTTAATTTATCTATTTAATTTTTTTGGATAAATTATTCGAGTTTGAACTCATAAAGTGACTGACCCTGACCCAGTTGGTTGATCTAATAAATAATTTACATCACATGATTTATGATAAATTTCATTTTTTTTATATATATATGCATTAAATTTATTGGGAACAACATATAACAACGCCAGGTATCTATCATCTTCGAATTGAATTTCCATATAAATGGGTAGAGAGCTCAGAAAGTGAGTGTTTTCATGTAAAATGTATTGTTCTGCTTTGCTTCTTGATTTGTAATTTGCAGCAATAGAATGGGAATTGATCATCATCGCCTTCGGCTGAAGAGACACACAGACACAACAATCAATCATCAATGGAGGGACGCGTGGTGTTCGGCAATCTCCGGCCGCGGACGAACGAGCTGAATAGATGCAGCGCTCTCGACGGCTGCGCATACGGCACCATATGAGCTGCGCCTCTCACTGTTGCGAATGTCAGCAGGTTGCCGTACTCGGTGGCCCAGCCTCCGACCTGTGTTTGCCGGAGTTCGGGTGGATCAGTTAAAAGAATGGTAAATGATATGTAGAGTTAGGAGGATACATCAATTTAAGATGTAACCTGTCCTTTATGGAACCATGCTCCGTAGGGTACTGTCGTCGGGAACTGCAGATCGTGAGCAAGCTCGCGCACGAGTGTCCTGGAACCGAGCAGTGGCACGACTGAATCTTGATCGCCACTGCAATGGATTCTGATGAGTGAAACTTTTTGCTTGTGTAAGATGAGTTTGTGAGAATAGTTAGCTCAGTTCACCTGAAAACCCAAACTGGAATGTGGTTTTGAATGATCCTCTTGAGCAATGGAAGAATGTTGATGTCTCCGTCGGGATCGCTGTAATTTAGAACACTGGAAGGAACAAACAACAAAACATTAGGCAATCTCTCTTCCATTCCAAAAGCGTAAAAAAGAAATTGGTGGATTTTGAATTACCTGCTGCACATGCTCCAGCTATATGGTAGATTGGTTCGATTGGCATGGAGGGCCTTCTGGACTTCTGGAAGGTTGAAGTAGAATCGTCGTTCATAGCTCATGCAAACATCCACTCCGAGGCTAACCTTTGTGGCCTGCAATGGAGTACGATGTTAGTTCGTTATTCAACTGGTTTGATTCTCTTCTTAATAAACGATTGGGGAAGACATACCATCTTTCGGAGTCTCAATTCTTGCTCCACTATTGAAGGATAGCACACGTCAAGGATGACATCGTATGCGTTTATGTAATCGCCAACGATCTGGTTTGCTTTAGCTATGGCGTCGTTGCAGGATTGTGAGACATTGTGTGGGCTGTCGAAGGTATAATCATCAAAATCGCAGTCGTTCATGATGGTGAGACCGATTTCATCAGAAATCATTCCGTGTGACCAGAAGAATTCGTATGTTGCTGGAACATCACGGTCTAGTCTCAGCAGTGGATTCCCAATCTGAAACAAACAAAATGCATGATTATCCCAAGGAGTTTAACCACTGAAGAAATGCAGGAAAAGAATGCAAGAAATCAAGTAATGTGTTCTTACAGCAACCCCTTTAAGGTTGAACTTGAAACCAGTAGAGCGTTCGTTGTGGTCGAGAAGAGCAATGGCTAATTGTGGGATGTAATGCCCTAAACATAAACAAATAAGGACAGCAACATCAATCACAAAGAAGGAGAACCACAACACACAATTGTGCCGGCAAATGCAATGACAGCATTTGTACCTGCGTAGCTCTCTCCTGTCAGAAATAAAGGTCGTGTTTTGAACGAAGGGAACTTCTCATACCATCCATGCATAAATGAGTGCATATCCATAGCTGCCGTAAAAGAAGACAGCAAACTTCAATTATACCATCAAAATCGAAGCTTTCTGGAATGTGGCTCCTATGTAATACTAGAATAAAACAATTGCATAGTAGTCCCTAGAGCAGCTTCGTTACCTGTTGATGCATCGCCACAAGTGTAATCCGAGCTCGTGTTTGAATACGACCATCCTACGCCAGCAGGGGACTCAACAAAGAGAAGATTCGACGCTGCACAAAGAAAGAAAGGCAGGCAAAATTTTGAGTGAAAATCTTGCTATGCATTCTTATTCCCAGTTTACATTTAGATAACAGAGAAGGCTTGTCTTGTTAACCTTTGTTCCATGCCTTGGAATTTATTCGGAGACCTCTACCATCACCTCTGGGAAAGAATGGACCTAACTCTGTGAATGCACCTCCTCCAATTGAGGAGCAACCTGGGCCTGATATGAACACAAGTATGCTTCACATTTCACTTCCTCAAAACTAATGAATACTTCCTAACTTGAATGAAGCATCATCAAAGGTTATTCCAAAATTCAAGAACAAACTCATATTGTGTTTAAAAAAAAAAAAAGAAGAAAATACTAATAGAGTGAAGGATTGTGCATAATTCCTTGTGAGAGTTTCTTTATTCTGCACTATAATTCAACTTGTAATAAAAACGGGGGAACCACTGGGGCAGATGCACTGGTTGACTATTAGCTGAAGATTCTATATGTCTAGCAGAGACAACTACAGTTAATTAATGGCATTCTCAGACATGCACTAAAACCCATCAAATGGAAGTAAAACAAGAACCCACAATCTCAATTAAACAGTAACTGGGAAAGTGCGAAAATTAAACAGACAAAAGTTTCATTCATTTAAACTACATTGCTCAAAGCTTAGCCTGAGATGCAAGAAATAGGATTAGAAAAATATGTAAAGCTAACCTCCGTTGAGCCATAAAGTGAGGGGCTTGTGATCAGAATCCTCCTCAGCCTCCACAAAGTAGTAGAACAAACTCCTTCCATTCTTCACATCCACATCTACATACCCTGCGTACTGCCTGAACTTCACCGCTGGCTGACCTGGCAATTTCGCCACCAGATCCTCCTCCGGATAGGCATAGCCACCAGCAACCACCGAGCCCAAAACTAGCACCACAGCCACCGCCAAATTCCACAAGATTTTCATCTCTGATTGCTAAGTAGCCCCTTCTTCAAAGATGGAAGCTTTAAAACATATTCTTGTTTAAAAAGACATGAACGTGTGATCATATATGTAAGGAAGTAAGCACACACCCCCCACACCAGCAAAGATATATATATATTGAGAGAGAAGCAAGTGGTGGGGTGAGAGATTTGCAGCTATAAATAATGAATTCTGTTAAAAAGAACCACGTGAATTCTGGGATAGCTTTTTCTTCGGGTGAATGATGATGAGAAATGTGAGCTACACTAAAATGCTTCTGAAGGTTCTACGTAACGGGGGATAGTATTTCTCGGGGGTAATGCGAAGAGGAACGGAGGTTTTGGTCTTATCTATTTTACATCCAAAAGTTTGTTAAGGAAAGACTAAAGAGAGTGAACATCAGATCGGATCAGAACAGAGAGACGTTGGAAAGGCGTAGTGGCAGTGTATGTAACACGTACTACGGCTCATTAATGGGGCCGCACTGCGCACGCCTTGTTGAAACCGACAACACATCGTCCAGCTAATCTTTGAAAAAATATTCAAATATAAAGACTCTATTTTTAGCTGCACATCGCGTTTCCTTGACTGCAATATTCTTTGATAAGTTGAGATAGGGATTTCACAGGAAATCTTTTGAAATAGCAGTCTCCTTTTTTAGCGGTACCCTATTTCAAAATCTTGCCTAAAAAGTCCTAACAAATGTTCTTCAGAGAGTGACCCACTCTTTCAAAAATATCTAAAGATAAAAACACATCCAAGACTATTTTTACCTATGCATAGACGAGTCTTCGAAAAATATTTAAATATAAAAGCACATCATCAGACTCGGAGAGGGATATCCTAGGCAAGATTGTGCTGGGAGAAGGCTCCCAAGTAGAGTAGGTTAGTGTATAATAATGAATGAAAGAATGACCAGTCAAAAAAAAGTTGCACAGGAAGAGTATTGAATAGAAGGGTATCTTCTTCTTTCCGCTAAACATTTGTCTGTTTCTTTATTAGCAATTTAGAGGGTCCCATGTGCATTCTTGGAATTTTAGATTAGGTTCGATATTAGGCCAATCAGCAGAAAGAACAGACTTGGGTTATGCTATATTGCTAGGTGGATATAATTTGATGGGTAGCTAATGCTAGTTTGTTTTCTAGAGCTATTCTTGTCTTATCAATGACCTTCTGCTAATAAATATCGCCTACCAGCCAAATTATCTATATATTATATATTTGACATCGATTCTAATTCTTTCGTTACGATATTTTTGGGATTTTTTTTAACTTTTTCAATTTTTTTTTTTTGAAACTTATGTTCTTATTTCGTTTTTATATTTCTCAACAAATTTTACTTTTATATTTATTTTGATTTTAAAAAAAAGATGAAGATAGAAAATGAATGAAGGTTCACCGTTTTGATTTTTTTTTCTAAGTTAAAAAAAATCATTAATTCTATAGATTATAATTTGTATTGATTTTAGTGTCAATTAACAAATAAGGTGAGTATTTTTTTTCTATAAATAAACAATTATAATTTTTCTTTAATAATTTATCTTGCACATCATTGTGTCTATATATATATATGATATGAAGTATCAAAGTTGTTAGTATTTTTATATTTTTTTTAGATAGTTTTATGGAAAAAATTTAAATATATTTAAATATATTTTTTAGACAGTTTTACTATTTTTTAGAAATATAATGCATATTATTTATAAAAAAAATTATTTGATTGCATTACCGAACATTCACATTCATAGTTCCTGTGTCTCCAACGTTTGCAAGAGAATCTCCGATGTTTGAAGTTATGACCGTAAATTGGTGCAAAAAATATTAACATATTTTGAAAAGACCTTCACAATTATAACTATTTTTTTCTATTTTTTTCATATTTTAATTATATATACACTGTGCATATTTAAATGTTAGTCTATATATTATGTATTTGAGATCAATACTAATTCCTCATTCTGACATTTTTGAGATTTTTCTGATTTTATTTATTTATTTTTATTTTACATTTTTTTTTTTTTTTTTTATCATGATCTATCTATATATATTATGTATTTGAGAGAGATCAATTTCTAATTCCTCAATTCTGAAATTTTTGATATTTTTTTTACTTTTTGATTTTTTTTTTTTGTTTTACAGTTTTGTATCATATGATAGTGGGATATTTACAGTTTTTAAAATTTATATATTTTTTATAGTTTCTTTTATAGTATTAGTTGATATATACACTTTAAAAATTTTATAATTTTTTTTTTAAAATTTACTTTTTATTTGGTTGAAACTCATGTTCTCATCTCTTTTTCATATTCCTCAATGAATTTAATTTTATATTTATTTTAATTTAAGAAAAAGACAGAGATGAAGATGCAGAAGGGTGTAGGTTTATAATTTCGATTTTTTTAAAATTAAAAAAAAAAGTCATTAGTTTTATAGATTATATTTTTATAATTATTTATTTATTTTTATATTTTATATAGTGTATAAATAATTTAATATGATATTTATTTATATTTTACAAGATCTTATTTATTTTACAGTTTTTTTTATAAACTTAATAATATTTATAATTGATAATTTCTAAATTATTTAAATCTCATTTTCTATTCTTATATTAATTTTTTTTTATGATTTTTTTTTGATATTGAATTCGATAAGTATTAAAATATATTCCATTCGTTCCGGAAAAGATGATACATTTTGTTTGGGTACGAGAATTTATGTAGTATAAATTAGTTAATTAAATAGTAAATATTATTATTTAATGATTAAAGTTTTTTTTTTAATATGTGTTTGAATAACATAAGTTCAACAACAAGACAAGGAATATTATTTTGAAAGACAAGACAAGGGGCAAAGACAATAAAATAGAGCCTTAACATAAGTTCAACAACTATGATGCTACATATCAAACAATATTTTGAAAACAAGATTGTAATTATGCAAATGGACTAATATAAGTTTAACTAATGCTAAGTTTCACAAAAATTTTGAAGCAAGAATGCAGTAACGCATATGGATTGTAGTGGGGTTCGTCATGGATTCTCCCACAAAGGTCCAATTGTTTATGTACTACAGAATAAGATGGTAGGTACCTTCAGCATAACAAAATACTAATAAGTTTAGCCAATGAAACCAAGTTGGTCATCAATCATCATGAGCAGTGTTTGGAACAGAAGTATAAACAATGCAAAAGATCCTGCTATTACAGGGAAAAAGGGAGAAAGAGAATGGGCAAAAAGAAGAGGTGAATAGCGGTAGACCATAAACAAGTGGTTTTCTACTTTTCTTGCTTCCCGGACATAATTTAAATCATATATCCAGAATTGGAAGGTGACATCAACATAAAACATGGCAAGTTGTAGCAAAAAAAGCAGTGTGTATAGCATTCCAATTTATTGGATTCTCTCTTTTCCAAGAAAATATTATATTATAGACGAAAGAAAAGATCTATGCATGTATATTTGTATGTGCCGAGTGATTATTTTGATTTGAAAGTTTACATTTCTGAATACAGTCGAACTAACCGTATGGCATCCAAGGGAATGCTCAATCGCCACTCTTTCTGTTTTTTGCTGAGTGGCCGGCCTTTCCCTGACTTTTCTCTATTAATCCTTACATTGGCTAATCCCCATGTGCAAGACTTGGCTTCGGAATCAAACGACATAAGCCTGAAGACCCCATCATGTTCACTTAATGCGCCAGTATCCATTGCTGAAGCCATGTATTTTACATATAAGTTCCTGTCCTTGAATCGATCAAGATCTTCTGGGATCCGCAGGACCCTTTCGACACCGGGTGAAGAAACCTGAAACAGATCAAGGCTATAATTTGAGCTAACTGAATAACTTGTTTGTGCAAAAGATTCAGACAGCTCCTTGACTATAGCTTTGGACAATTACTGTGGGTTTAATAAAGACAATGGGAAGCAAATAAGATAAACAACCTCTAGTGATATGTTTCCAGGTATTGATCCATCAGATTCAGCTTCATCAAGCCGTGCTCTATATTTTGTAGAGAAAGCTTCTATATCTTCCATGCTGGGAGAACCCGACCTACACAATTTTTTATTACAACCGAAGTCAATATTTTCTCCATAAAATGCTCAAGGTTGATTGAGTTGTATGGATACTGATGCCTGCAAATGTCTGAGAACACTAACAACGAAAAAATCATACGACGACGACAGACTCTGATATTAGAGCATGAAATTCATATAGTGGAACATGAAATAAATCTGTTGCCTTAAGAAAACAGAAAAACACATTACCAAAACAGCTAACTTGCTGTTTGCCTAAAGAAATTAGGGGACCCACATCCATTGTTAAAGCTCATAATTTTCCAGGTGATAAATGTGACAGAGGGTAACAATAACTCAGTCTGCTGAAGAAGCTAGGAAAACTGACCATAAACCTGAGTTGCTAAAAAGGAACCTTGATGATGATCCAAAAGCATAACAGTGCACATCCACATACAGAGTTTAGGCACATGATGAAATGGTTTTCAAAGCTTCTTTTTTGTTACTATGGAATTCCATTTCTCTTTCCTAGAATCGAAGACAAAACAACTTTGAGCATTATCCATAAACAAGATCAATTATATTACAATAACATAAAACAGTTTCTTACTTATTTGTTAGTCTTTCTACACGAATTTGAATGGTGGCATTAAGGAGTGTCCGGAAGGCGTATATTCCCAGCTCATCATCAAAGGATAAAACAACTTCTTCAGCTATTTCTAAAGCTGTCCTATCCCACTCTGTCCCAGCAAGAGCTATTCCACCGCCTCCAGCTCCATCCCCTGCCTTCAAGTGGAAAAGACAAAAGTGAACTTTAAGCTCCATGCATATGGTGATATTGGGAATGGATTGATACAGTATATCGAATATATTGAAGTATGCCTGTATATTACATTTTCAGTATCTATAACTACATACTGTATGAAAAATTTTGGTATACCGAGATTTCAGTATTACTGATATTTGATACGATAAACATGTTCTAGTGATATCTTTTTATATTTTCTACATATTGAATATACTATAGCACACCATTTACAAATACTGAAATTTCAATATCTAATAAACATATTGTGATGCCGTAGACCGTAGTGAAAGTTATGTATGAAAATTATACCCTACTTCCAATTTCAATATACGAATAATTTTAATAAAATTGGTATTTGTATATGATAAGATGCAGATTCTGTGTAGATCCGATCAAGTCGGCATCATGCTGATTTGACCCGTATCAACATATGCTATAGAGATGATCAATATACATGCCCATTTAGTATACTAATATGATATTTTCTCTATCCCTAGAGATTATCAAACTCCACAACATAGGAAGACCTCCATACGTTCAAAGTGAAAGTGATGCTTGAAGTATGAAAGGAACTTACAGCGAGTTCTGCCTCTTCTTCAAAATAATCATCCTCAAAATAAGTATCGCCTTCAAGTTCATCTGCACAATCACGATGCAATGCATAACCAATTTGACAAAGTAGATGTCAGTAATTATTAATTCATTGACACATAACCGTGAAAATCCATTTTTGTCAGCCAACTGAGATGGGTACAAACAAAATTTATAGAAGAGCTGCACAACATAAACAGAAAAAATTCCATCTCTCCAAAATACAGTATGGTTAATTGGTTATCCTTAGCATACCACTATCTTTTTCAATTTGCAAACTGCTCGCTCTAAAGTAATCTGTGTATAGCAAACTTATTAGAGACAATCAACAGAAACATAGATGCATCAGTCACATAAACTTTTATTGGCTGCTCGTTTCTACAATAATAAAGTAAGAAAAAAATTCTTTCAGAGTCAAAATTCTATGGCGCATTAATCCAATTCTGCTTCAACTTCTGCCCACAATAATTTGAGCTTCCTAACATACCCAAGCAAAATTCACTTTGAGGAATTCAAAATTACGACCAAAAGAACTCCTTACTCACTTAACCATGATAATTAGGAATAATGTTACGAAAAAAAACTATAATCCAAGCAAAAATAAAAATATACCATCATCAAAGTCCTCGATAAAAATGTCATCTTCTTCACCGTCATCGCCATCTTTGTCCACATACACTTCTTCAATAATAGAAGGCTTTAATACTTGCTCTGCTTTCGAGTTTTTCTTCTTTGCAGAGGCAATAAAAAGACTTCGACGAGTACCGACAGATGGTAAGCGATATACTGGGAAAGAGCGAGCAATATAACCCGTAGGCAGCAGTTCTCGTTCTGGAGTAGGATTTCCTGGCCATCCCCAGCAAAGGCGTGCCCCCGTACAGCCAGTTGTTGCAATTAAGTTCATCGCTGAAGTCCGTTCCTCGAAAAAAAATATCCGTTACTATGTTGAAAACTCATCAATTACCGGACCGCTGAAGCAAACAGGGACGAAGAAACAATGGCGGAGCTACATTGGGCCTGGTCTTTTAATTGGGCTATACATAATGTTGATTGCTGTCATTATCGGGCTTTTTTGGGCTTTTCTGAGAATTTAATTGGGCCTAAATTTATGTTTAGCTTAAGGCCCAAAAAGCATTTCGTCTTCAGATAATCCAACCTTGAACAAGAGCAAGACTGCAAGGAGCGGCTTCGAGACAGCCACTGTCTGCTACCGACTTCCATTTTTGCTCCTCTAAATTTCTGCTCCACCTTCATATGTCCGTTCTTCCGAGTAGTTACTGGATGATTCAACGGGTTTTCGGTTTGATTATTCTTTTTCCAGTACTGAGGCTTGACAGGTTTGTTTTTTTATTTGCGCACAAGTTCCATCTTGCACCATGTGTGGAATGTAACTAGAAGTCTTGCTCTTGGTCGTTGATGGATTTTTTAATTGCTCTAAGTTAGAGAATGTTCATATAAGGGTTTTAGAGATTTGAGTTAAGTTCTATTGCTACATAGACAGTTGCTGATCCTAGCTCCTTTGAGTTTGTTTACCTAAGAATCGTGATATTCCATTGCATAAATGTTTTTTTTCATGTTTATGTGATTTAAGTTAAGTTGTATATATAATTCATTTCTTTTGGTGTTTGGAATTCTATAATGATTATAGTATGTTTTTTTTCATGTTTATGTGATTAAAGTTAAGTTGTATATATAATTCATTTTCTTTTGGTGTTTGGAATTCTATAACAGTTTTGCTCATTTCCCTTTCCCCACCTCACTATTATGTCTAATTTATATATTTATATCATTATTTGTTTCTATGTTGTGTTTCTGCAGCTATTAATAATCATCCAGGGTGCAGTCATGCATGGGATATTATGCATTTTTGGTATCAAAATGTGCAATAGGCCTATCGACATTGCATGCCTTCTCGATTTCATAACTTTCCAAGGGGCATTTCCTTTAATCAGATTGAAAAATGCATGCCAATGAAATGGAGACAAAGCATCAAAAAACCATTAGATGTTCATGAGAAAACCAAGAATCAGTCTTTCTCAGCGCATAAAGCTTTTATAGAACTTCATGAGAATATTGATGACTGTATGGTGGATAAACTTGTTATAGTCTTGAAGGATTTTGCTAGCCGTGGTCTCTTATCCAAGGCCTTTGGGACCTTTTCACTTGTTCAAGTTCATGCCTTAGCATCAACTTCTATTGATTCTGTTGTGGAGTCGATATGCTCTTTGTTGTCTTCTTGCACCAATTTCAAGTTCTTTCTAGAAGGCAAACAGCTTCATGCACAAGTTATAACTCAGGGTATTCAGGATAACCATGCATTGGTCTCAAAACTAGTAACTTATTATACAACCACTGGTTTTCTTTCTGATGCCCATCTTATAGTAGCCAATGCACCCATCCGGTATCCTCTGCCCTGGAATATCCTTATCTCGTCATATGTGGGTAAAGACTATAATCAAGAAGCTATCCTTTCCTTTAAGAAAATGGTTTACAAGGGAGTAAGACCTGATAATTTCACTTACCCATCTATTGTCAAGGCTTGTGCTGAGCTGTCAAATCTTGATTTGGGAAGACAGATACACAAGTCTATTATTTGTGGCTCTGAAAACTGGAACTTATTTGTGCAGAATGCGTTGATTTCCATGTATGGAAAGTGTGGTGACTTGGAAACTGCGCGGATTATCTTTGACAGAATGCCAATTAAGGACCAAGTATCGTGGAACTCTATAATCTCAGGATATGTATTGAGTGGTAAGTGGCATGATGCTTTTGAGCTTTTTGAAAGCATGAGATTGGCTGGTGTGGAATTAAATGCTATAATTTGGAATACTATCGCTGGCGGTTGCTTGAGGACAGGCAATATCAGAAGGGCACTTCAACTAATCTGCCAGATGCGAAGGAGTTGCAATTATCTAGATCATGTGGCAGTGATAATCGGCTTAGGCGCATGCTCCCATATTTGCGCATTAAAACTAGGGAAAGAAATCCATGCACTGGCAATTCGAAATTCTACTAGTGATTATGTTAATGTTAGAAATTCACTAATAACTTTGTATTCTAGGTGTGGTGATCTTAGGCATGCTTATATAGTGTTGAGATCCACGGAAGCTAAAACAATTATTACCTGGAACTCTATAATATCAGGATTTGCACAATGGGATCTGTCTGAGGAAGTGTCACATTTGTTCAGAGAACTGCTGCTTTCTGGTATCAGACCAAATTATGTGACCCTTGCAGGCATTCTACCTCTTTGTGCCCGTGTTGCCAACCTACAACATGGGAGAGAGTTCCACTGCTATATTCTCAGACATCAGGAATTTCAGGGGCACCTCCTTCTTTGGAATGCTCTTATTGCTATGTATGCCAGATCAGGTAGAGTGTTACTTGCCAGAAGGCTTTTTGATATGCTGGATCAGAAAGATGTTGTGACATACACTTCAATAATTGCTGGATATGGTGCACGAGGAGATGGTAACGCTGCTGTTCAACTATTCAATGAAATGATAAGCTCCCAAATTACACCTGATCAAGTAGCAATGATTGCTGTATTGTCAGCTTGTAGTCATTCAGGTCTTGTAGCTCAAGGCCAGTTACTATTTGAAAAGATGCAAAGCTTTTACGGCATAACTCCTAACTTGGAGCATTTTGCTTGCATGGCCGATCTCTATGGGAGGGCTGGTTTACTGAAGAAAGCTAAAGATATTATCACAAGGATGCCATTTGAGCCAACCTCTGAAATGTGGGCAACACTTATTGGGGCATGTAGAATCCATGGAAATACGGATATTGGGGAGTGGGCAGCAGAGAAACTGCTAGAAATGAAGCCACAAAATTCAGGGTACTATGTCTTGATTGCAAACATGTATGCTGCTGCTGGTTGCTGGAGCAAACTAGCGGAGGTACGAACTATTATGAGAGACTTGGGTGTGAGGAAAGATCCTGGATGTGCTTGGGTTGGTGTTGGTGCTGGATTTTCTCCCTTTGTGGTTGATGACACTTCCAACAATCAAGCAGATGAGATATATCCTTTGTTGAGGGGACTCACTAGACAAATGAAAGACGTTGATCATTCTGTCTCTGAAAGTTCCGAAACAGAGGAAGAAATTTTATTCTTATGTGCGGAGCAGTGAGCTATGAATACTTTTTGGATGTTACTTGATCAACTATGCTGCTTCCATGGTATGTCTCGACCAAAAGAAAACATTTATTTTTTTACCCTACATAACAAAAACATTAGCCTGTACTTCTAATCTCCCTAGACATCGTTTTCATTTCCATATCTTGCTATATATCATCATTTTATAAGCATGGCAGAATTACAATTCATCATTTAGCTCACCTACATCATTCTTTTATTCATGAAGTATGTCATTGATATGGTTTGGCCTTCTTTTGAGTCTGTATGGTGCAATATCCTACAAATTCAATCACATCAATAGCTTAACCATTTTGTTTGCCATTTCGACTAAACTATTTCTAGTGTGTCCTTTGAACAGACGAGGCAGATGAATCGCGAGGCTACTGTCAACTTCTCATTAAACTGATGTTTCGGAATGCCATGGATTCCATAGGTCTTGATTTATGCAGTCTAGCTGTAACCTGTTATCAAGACAAGCAGTAATCTCTGTGAGTATCCATGTTCCTCATACTGATTCTTGTTGATTAGCCATACCTTCCTCACAACTGAAGTTCTTGGTTGCGACTTCCCTTGCAGATCGTGCGACCCACACACACATTTGAGCAGGCATGTACAGCTTAGGCTTCAATCTATTATGAAAATTTGCAGTGACCTGGTATATCTACCAACCTGCAAGAATCAGGATTCTCAACCCTCAGATTGCCATTTTGCTTCCTCATAGTCATCCGGATCACTCAGTTCCAGAAGTTTTACAGAGGACAACCAGTGCCAGTAGAACATCTATAAAATGGTTGGTTTCTTGTGCTTGTGCAATTTATTTCCAAGTTTTAAACTTGGTGACAACTCACTGCTTTTATACGCATTGTTGCAATTTTTTCACATCTAACATTTATTGATCTTTTCCTTGTAGATGTTCAATAGAATGTTGTAAATAAATTATTTCCTCAATTATTCAGATTTATTTATATGAATATATATATTTTTTGAATTGTTATAAAAACTATTATATATATATATATATAAATGCATTACCTTTTTATACTTTTTATTATAATATGCACACAATTGTCATCCAATTGGATGACGATGGAGTACTATGACTTTGTTCATTTATCCAAAAAAAAAAATTTAGCATATTTTTAAAAAAATTAATATAATATATACAGAGTTTTATATATCTTACATAAATAATATGTTTTATTAATGTTTTATAATACTATATACAAAAAATTATATAATAAGAATATTTTGAATGTTAATCAGCAAAAATAAATGAGATGTTAAGCCCTAGGATGAAGCAGTGTTTTCGAATCAGAATACAGATCAAACACACCCTATTTTTAAATTACTGTATTCTTATTGGGCCAGTCAACTTGGGCCGGCCCGTGTCCATTATTTAGCCCGAGCGATTAGGGTTTTGAAGAACGCCCACGCCGATTCTTCTATAAAAGGTCGAAGCGTCGCCGAACACAGCTTGACCTACACAAGGTTCATCTTTTGCTTTTGCTTTTGTTTTCATTTTGTTGCTTACAGTTATATGTTCTCGGTTTCTCGATCGATTGTTTGGTTGATTGATTGATTTATGTATGGAAGGTAAGGGCGGTGATGCTAATCTGGAGAATGTCATGCACCACTCTGATGGTGTTCATCTTGTGATGATAATTTCTCATACCCATAAGATATCTGAGCCCTGCCTCATTCTCTTTCACCGATTCTGTTTGTTTGCATTTTCAATTTTGCATTTTGTGAATTTTTGAGTAGAATTTGTGTTGTAGACACGGGGAAGAAGGAACCAGATGATGCGAGCTTTCTTTTTCATAAGAAAGTTCAAACCATGATGCGGACCGTACAATAGCTTAAAGCTTATGTGGATACATTTTGGTCTCTGATGGTTCTTTCTTCTTAACATTTTGCGTTTTTGTGTTTTTTCATATTTGAAATTTTATGAAAAAAAAAATTAAAATAAAATTGAGGGTTTGCTAATAAAATTTTATTTTCTTTCAAAAATTAGCTATAATTTCACCTATGTAGAATAATGATCACCTCAAAAAACATAAAATTAGAAGTACTAAATCTACACTACGAAGGCATAGCTTTTGGAAAGTGTTCGATGTCCATTCAAGTATCCCAGTTTATTTATTTTGGTTTTCTATCGTTTTATTCCGAAAATTCCCAACAAAATTACTAGTACTACCAAAGAATAATCTTTACAACATTGTTCTTGAAAAGAATTAGCAATGGCTAGAGGGAATGGGGGGGGGCTATCTGATCACGAGTTTACTCGATCTAGAGAAGCTAGAGCATTGAAACGAATCTCTACTTCTCGATGACAGTCTTTTCCCCTTTGATGGAATTTGAAATCTTTGCCTTCTCAAAATCATCGTAAATGATGTTGCGTTTGATCCCTTCGAGCATCGCGACAACATCCCTCATTGTAGGTCGATCATCCGGTGAAGGTCTAACACATAGCAAACATATCCCGAGCATCTGCAGCATCTCTTCTGATTGCGTGCCCGACTGAAGCAGCAGCTGCTGATCAAGAATCGACGTGAACTCCCTTCGCTTTGATCTTAGCTCGTTGTATATCCAACTAACAATGTGTTTTCCATCCGGGATTCGAGGATCAATCGGTTTCTTGCCTGTTAGTACTTCTAGGAGCACAATGCCATAGCTGTAAACATCGTTATTCTCTGTTATTTTTATGCTGTATCCATACTCTGAAAAAAGAATGAACTTTGAGCATTTGATGGTGAAGGTTATTGCTTTCGAGAAGATGGACTAACTAACCGAGAGCTATGTAGCCGTATGATCCGGCAATACCGAAGCTGATCTTGAAGAGTGTAAAGGGTACTGTCTAGTTATTTCCGGTAACCAGAACCTCTGTTTCTCCAGGGAGAAATGTTCTTCCAATGTGGGCATCTACAAAATAAATCCTGTTAAGAGCATGACGATTCCTGCGGTACTGTCTGTGTTCGTCACTTTGATAGTCTTGTCTCAGGAACGATCTTCTACAACAGAGGTCGCAGCAAAACATTCGAGAAAAGCAACAAAGAAAAAGAGCTTGAATGTGAATTCACCCCATTTCAGAAGCTCAAATTCTCTGTCGAAGATGTGGCCAGTCTCTTCAAGATCCTTTAACTGCCCAATTTCAACAGGGATCTTTCCTACAAGCTGGTTATCAAGCAGTTCGATCTGCTGAAGTTTGGTGCAATTCCCGATTTCCTTCGGAATCCCTCCCTGCAAGAAGTTCGAATTCAAAGTCAGCTGCTGCAGTTCGACAGCTTCCCAATTCCAGGCGGGATGATCCCTGTCAGGTTGTTGAACCCGGACAATGAGGGAAGAACAGTTCCCCAATGGAGCTGGAATCTCACCTGTAAGATTCCCATTTGACAGCACTAAAACTTCAAGAAACTCAAATGATAAAACCTGCATCGGAAACGCAGCCGTAAGATAAACAGAGGTAATGGCGACTCTGGACACATGTCCATGATCATTGCACTTGTTGTAATCCCATTCACAGGGAGTTCGATGGTTCGGATTCCAGGAGAAGAAACCGGCAGACAGCTTTGAAGCTCGAAAGCCAGGCTGTTAGAGAAAGGCCCTCAGGATTCAAAGCCAGGCCTGAAGGCAGAAGAAATAGCTATAGTTTAATGTGCAACAGGAGAAATAAAGAAGCAGCGTTGATGGAGTTTGTAACATAATTCTGTTTTTTCGACATACTTGAACGGGATTCATGGATTGCAGCGTCTCACAATCACTGCCATTAAAAGCTAAAAGATAGAGGGATTGAATCATCTCAATCAATCAAAGAAAGAAAGAAAGAAACAAACACAATATGATTACAGATTTGTGTGTGTTGTGTTGATGCATTGATATGCTTTTTAGGTGTGGGGGTAACTAATAAGTAATCTGGACAAGACAAACTGCAGCCAAAAACACAAGACTTCGGCTAAAAAGGAAGAAGATCGTTTATAAATAATGGGCTCTATAGCCCAAGCCCAAAACCATTATGTTAAATTTATGGAGTTTCTTGATTTACAAAGAATTCTTAAACTATTACCCAAGAATGATTGGGAATAGTCAGCGCAACATTAAACTCAGTTTTACTATTCTCAATTAAGGTTTCTAGAGTCAATCAAAAAAGACACCCCAAACTAAAGTCAATAATTTCTGGAATTGCAGCAGAATAAATATAATAATAATCATGAAACCCAAAGGAGTATCTTTTAAGTTTACATGCAAGTATCTGTTTTACATACGATGAAAATTTCTTGAAATTAAGAAAATGTTGACCATTTTATAGAATATTTTAGACCTCCAAATATGCCCTAGCTCTCAAGTTACTGACTAATATTCTGTTCTTTTCTTAAACCACATATATATATATAATCCTCGACGTAATTCATTGACGTACCACAATCAAAGCTCAACGTACAAGTCGGCAGCAGTAACACCGCCTCCGGCAATATACCGCCGTCTCCGCCGCCATGTATCCGCCGCCTGCCATGATCCCTTCCGGCCGGCGGGAAAGGAAAGAGCTCCAATTGCAAGGCCCCCGCCCCGCTCCGCTCAGAGTGCATAGCGCCTCCCACAAGATCAGGAAGCCACAAGCGGCGGCGGCGCGTCCTCCTCACGCGCCGCCAGTGATTATATACACGGTGTCCCCAAAAGTATTCCATACAAACCCTAACGAGTTCATGTCGCTGGTCCAGCGGCTGACGGGCGCAACTGCAAACTCAACGTGTAATAATTCATCCCCAGCTTTCCCCGGCGGCGGCGATGTATCTCCGGCGACTCGTTACGCCTCAATTGAGAAAACGAAAACCCTAAAACCACAGATTGATACGGAAAGATTAATGGAAGGAATTGAGATTACTTCGATTGATGATGATATGGAGGTCCCAACGAGTGGTGGTGATGAATTCCCTGGAATTTTATCATCCCCCGATATCGATCTGATCAACAATAATTCCTTCAGTTTGTTCTTCAACCTGAGTCCTGTATTAATTGCACAGCAACAGAAACGACATTGATCTCATCTGATTCCATGCCTAATTTGATGTCTAATTTACAGGAAGGATTATAAATGCCATTGTTAACTATGGAGAAACCATGCATAGCTACTTGTGGAGTTTCGTAGTTTTGAAAAGATAGTAGTGGAAAAGGGTTTGATTTTGGATTGAGATTTGAATAATAAAAAATTTGAATTGAAATAGTTGTATGATGTGATATAAATATAGATTGATGTGATGTTTTGAATGTAAAATTAATTTTTAGTATAATATAAAAAATAAAAAATAAATGTTTGATTTGATGTTTGTTGAGGAGAAAATATTCAATATATTTGTTTATGAATAATATCTAAAGTTCACGTTTATATAAAATCAAATAACTATTCAAATTCAAAATTTCAAAATTTTATAAGTATCCAAACTCAAACAAAACAAACCTATACTATTCTTTAATTTTATATATATATGTATGTATAAAACGGCACCTGTTGTTCAAAGTACAGATGATCATGGCAAGATTAGGAATGGTTAATACATTTTTCTGCAAAAAAGCACTGCCTATAGCTTTCCCTACCTCCAAATCGCCCTATCGGTGTCTCTTTCTTGTCGATTTGATTGTTGGCATGATCAACATTCTTGTCTTCCATGTTGAATCTCCATCTTCTGGCACTTGGAGAGGTTGGGCAGCATTGATTCCAGGCGTCTGTTCCTCTGCAATCGGAACATGTGATGAAACAATTCTCTTCTTGATTGAACTTTTTGAAGGTGAACTAGATGATACAATAGGATCATCTGTCTTGCCATGATCATTGTCCAAATCATCCTGTTTCTCGGAGGCACACTTAGCTTTTACTCTAATGGAAGTGGCATGCTTGCCGGCATCTAGTTTTGTACAATCCTCTTGAGGCAGCCTGGATGATATATCATCAAGCGTTCGAATCTTCTTCTTCTTAGATTTCTTCTTTGGGAACTGTGATTCACGGCGCTTTTGTTTCTTCTTAAGAAATTCCAGCAGGGGAATGTCATCTAATAAATCCTCCTCTTCCGAGCATCCTTTGATTTCATCCACTGCAGAAAGAATTATCGTGTTAGCCGCAGGCAACCATTAGTTCATCGACCATAGTCAATCAACCAAAGATTCTTACAAGTATTGAATGATTCCTCTTTGCTGTTCTCGTAGACGAACTCATCTTCTACGACTTTCAATGGTTTCGGCACTAATTCAACACAGTCATCGCACAACCAATCAACATATTCGATAAAGGTAATTGTTTCCATACAATATCTGAAACAACAGAAAATAAGCAAATAGGTAACTTTTCAAAATGCTCGGAAAAAGCAAAAAAATAATCCAAATCCAGCTCCTTATGAAGCCATTGATGTCAAACCAAGAGGTTATTCGATATTAAGAGCAGACGGCAAAAACACGAATCGGTATACAAAGCTTACCGATGCACAGCATATTTCAGACATCGGACACAGTATACCAAGGCATTGGTGAATCCTGCATTGCCGCACTGCAAACACACAATTCCCTGCAGATAAATTCAGATAGAACTAAGTTGTCATAATATCAGCTTGTTTGTCTATCGCAGGAATTAACTGAAAAGCTTAAAGAGATTCATATTCAACACGGAACCAGCTAACTTGGAAGTTATTCGGAGACATGGCAATAAAATGAACCTCACAGCACAAAATCCTTTCACATCAATAAGAATTCCTATCACGACAGAATTAAAAAAGAAACTAACAATCCAACAAACTAGGAGCAAGCTCCAAGTGTGGCACAGTTGATTTCATTGATAACCAAACATTACTATGAAGTGCCAGAACACTAACTTCTGCACATTTCATATTTTTCAGCAAACTGAACAACAAACTTTGGCTAGTTAAGATAACTCAAAGACCTCAAAATCCTCACACCACAAAATCCTTTCACATTAACTAGAACTCACATTGCGAGAGAAATTAGTTGGATAAGCAGCGGAAGCTTTCCTACCTACGATTAAAAGCAACAAAAAGGCAAATTAACTATTTCAAAAACTCCAAATGTAACAGGTTCACAACATTGATTATATCAAGTTCTTCGGAGAAAGGAATAACAAACTTTGGCTAGTTAAGGTAACTAAAATACCGCAAAATTTCAGTGTCCATGTTAAAATAATAAGTAAAACACTAGTTGATGGATAAAAACTTACCATTTATATTCAACCCAGAATTAAGCCATTACACTATGATATAGCATCACATTCCTAAATAATATCCAGGCTTTGTTTAGATTAACCCAAAAAACACTTTTGATTAATCATCTACACCAACAATACAGTTTAAATAAAACCATCAAATTAAATACATCTTTCATCTCACAAGACATCTCGTCAAAACTTTTTACCAATTTTCAAAACTCTAGAATCATAGAACTTCAGAAAAACATATCTAAATGGATCCCTGGTTTTTCCTACATTAATCCTATAGTATCCATCACAAAATCCATTCCATAAAAATCAAATCACAGCACAGCCATTAGATTTTATGGACTACAGTTATAGAGGACTATGAATGTCAAATACGAACAGAGAGGGCAAAACCCAACGTCCACGCCAATCAAGGTACTAATTGGGAATTATCAAAGTACTCACTATGCGAAAGTAACAACAAAAAACAAAAAAGGTAAATTCAGAACAAAGCAAATGAATAAAACAAGAATTATTTAGCAATGTTAATCGGCCTTTCAAGTAATCCACAAATAGAGAGCGTTTAAAGTTTATAAACAGATTCACAATGCACAATCAGAAAATCACGAGAAAGCTTGGGCTTCCGAAATTAATAAGACAGGCGGCGGGAAGTGTACCATGACCCAAGAGTTCTGCAACGCTCTCGGAAATCTCGACTCTTGGAATCGGAGGGCCGGTGATTCTGCTCCTTTCCCGACCAAATCAAGTAAGAAATCAGAGGGGCTTAACGGCAAGGAAAACAAATGGAGACGCTGAAGTTGAGTGTAATCTATGTATCCGGACGCCCTCCTCGTCGATTCCGCAGCTTGAAGAAAGAGAAACAGTAGTGTATTTGGTAAAACGCCGAGGAACCCCCCGCTTTAATGTTGGTCGGAAAACATTAATTTCGGCCAATATATAATTGGTTTATTTGGTTGCTATAAATAAATTGATTTGGAAAGATGCCTTTTTGTTTAAATTTATCATTTAAATAATATTTTAATATAAAATTTATATCCAATAAAATAATATAGTATATTTTGATTGGAAATTGAATCTTCGTAATTGTAAATTAAAATTACAATCAAACTAATAAATATATATCCAACTTTGATTTTGGCACCTATCAATTTGATTTTTTATTTTTTTTCGAACAATTATTTTATTTATTTATATTACATATATCTTTAAATTATACACAAATATTATTTTTTATAATACTATTATAATTTTTTATTTTTACAAACAAATACATTTAAAATCTTATTAAAACCAACTCCAAAATATAGCATAAAGTACACAACCTACGACTGGCTGAGTGGTGAGTGGTGTAGCTGCGGGAATGTTTTGTGAATTGGAAGCAAAATCTAATATTCAATGTTGGGCCCACTACCTAAACATAAGACAGATATTGAGGCCCAAACAAGTTCTGCTGGTGGGCCATCAATACCCATGCCCAATTCCGTCAATATCATCGAAAGAGTTACCACAATTATTATTATTATTATTATTATTATTATTTAAACTTGCAAACTAAGCCTGATACCACTAAACCATCCTACCACAATTTTCTTGCCTGTAAAATTAAGTTAGAATGTAATTCTTAAGAAATAATGAAATTGTAAAAAATTTAAAAAGTATATATAGAGATTTTTAGTTTGCTAAAAGAGAACTACACTTATCCGGAAAAATAATATATTGTAAATGGAGAAAAAGAGAATGAAAAATAAATGAACATACCATGCACATTTCTCTCTAATTTTTTGCACTTTCGAAGATAAACGAGAATTAAAATTAATTAATTAATTTATACTTAAATAAACTAAAAAAAAAAAAACAAAATATTTCTATTTCTAAGCTTGCTCTACGTCCAGAACATCGACGGTTTTCTACATTCACATAATTTAGCATCTTTATATTAATATTTATAAAATAAAAATAAAAATAAAAATAAAATTAATACATTTAATGCTTATATAAAATGTATAATCTATTTCTCTTCCCTGAAAATCTTATTCTATATTGAAAGCATCATGATCATCTAGTATCACTAACTAACTAACTGTCAAATTCATATTCATAGTTGAGTTCAGCAATTAAAAAATAATAAATAAATAAATTGAGCCCAGCAATTCTAAAGCAGACAACCATGATCTATTCTAGAGTAGAGTAGAAGAAAGAATCAGTAATTGGTATTAAGCCCAACCACAAGTTCCTGCAAACAAACTCTAACTGCAGGTTTGGCATTTTGAATCTATCCAGACTCACAGACAAGTCTTGGATACTGCAGCTTCTTATTTCTATGTATGTAACAGGAAGAAAACAACAACAGCAGCAACAATGGTGGCAGATACTACCCAGCAATCCAATACAGACATACAAACAGACAGACAAACAGCAGCACAAAACACACAACAAAGAGATTGTAGTGTTCCAAATGGAAATGGGATTAGGACCCTAGCCTCCAGTCAATCCTTCCCTCAACAGTACACACCAATGTAGTTAGTTAGTTCAATTACCTTTCTTGTTCAAGACAATGACCACACAACTCCATTTGATTTTTCAAGGATGATTTCAGCAAGTAGTTTCCATGGATTAATCAAGGGCTCTGCTTTTCCCTCACAACTCCCCACAGATAATGCCTTCCATTCAATCCTGGACAAGAACCACAGTTTGTGTTTTTCTATGATCATTTCAGTTCATCTAAGGTGCTTCGAATATTGAACTTTTTATCAATCAATTAATGAAAAGAACTTACTCCAGTATCTCAATGCCAGATCTATAGAAGTGAAGATCAGAAGCTCCCCATTCGGCGTAGAGGCTTTCATAGCAAGGTCTTCATCCACCATCTTATCCACCAAGTTGTCAAACGCGGATTCACTTCCACAAAGTAAATGCAACAATAAGTTATCAAAAGGGAAAATTGCATGCAACACGTAAAAGAGCACAAAGACAATAGAAGGTATAAAGGCACCTTATCTCAGTTGGGAAAAAATAGAGTTCGACAATATCAGAAGTAGCCGCGGCTTCCTCAAAATCATTTGGCCAGATTTCAGATTTTGAGCACTTTTCCACATTAAGAAGAGTTGGAAACTCAGATGCAGCCTCAATTACTTTGCTGCTTGCTTTGGTGGAGAGGTGACCTACAAGCCCCTCAAGAATGCTTTGTTTTCTTGTAAAGCTGCCGCTGTTTTTCAAAGTACAGATTAACACGGCAGGATTAGGGATAGTTAGTACATTTTTTGTGCAAACCAGCGGCATATATCGGTTTTCTTACCTCCAAATTGCTAGCCCAACAGCTCCAGCAGATGGATCAGGTGTGCCTTTTTCAGGTTTCTTTCCTTTTTTATCTTCTGATTCTTTCGCTTCAAGAAGATTGAGTCTAGAGATACCCTCTAAGGCTTGATCCGCAGCAGTCCCTTGACCAGAACTAGCTGGGGCAACATTCATGACCAAATCAACTTGTTCCACAGAGGCACGATTTTTTCCCTTCCGTTTGTCAGCCTTCTTGGACTTAGACACACTTGTTGGTTTTGAACCACTTGCAGAAGTAGCATGCTTGCTGGAATCTAATATTGTACGTTCGTCTTGAGCTTTCTTGCATGATACTTCATCAAGTGGGCGCATCTTCCTCTTCTTCTTCGGATTCTTCTTTGGGGGAAGCACTTCTTTCTGTACAGCAGCCTTACATTTCTTCAAAAATTCCCTTAATGGCATGTCATCTGATAAGTCCTCCTCCATTGGACATCCGTCACTTTCATCAGCTGGAGAAAGAGCATGTGTTACTCATCCATAAAGGCAGACAACCATTACCAGATCCACTATAATCAATCAATCAAGTCAAGCTTCTTACAAGTATCGGACGATTCCTCTTTGCTGTCCTCATGGACGGGCTCGTCTACGTCTGTGACTTCCACTGGTTTCGGGAGTAATTCAACACACTCATCACACAACCAATGAACGTATTCGTCAAATGTAATTGTCTCCATACAATAGCTGAAACAACAGAAAAGAAGCAAAAGGGAAACAGTTTAGCTAAAAGCACAAATGAGATCCAAAACCTGCCCGGACAGCAAAGCCTTAGACGTATATGGAGCTTACCGATGCACAGCATATTTCAGACATCGGACACAGTACACCAAGGCATTGTCAAATCCTACGTCGCCGCACTGCAAACATACTTTTCCCTGCAGATGAATTCGGATAGAACTAAGTTGTTATAACATGAGCTTTTTTGTGCATAGGAGAAATTTACTAAAAAGCTTAAAGACAGCTTGAATCATATTTAACATGGAACTAGATAACTTGGAAGTTATCTGGAGACATGGCAATAAATCGATCCCTACAACATGAAATCCTTTCACATTAATTGGAACTCCTATCTCGACAAAAATTAGTTAGTCATAAGCAGCAAAAACAAATTAATGATCCAATGAACTCCGAGCAGGCTCCAAGTGTTGCAAAATTGATTGCACCAAAACATTATCACGCGATTACGAAACACCAACTTCTTTACCTTCATGCTTTTCAGTAAAACAAACAACAAACTTTGGCTACTTAAGGTAATTCAGCGACTCAAAATCCATAGCACAATCACATTAATAAGAGCTCGCATTGTGACAGAAATTAGTTGGATAAGAAATAGAAAATTTTCTAACCGGGATCATAAGCAACAAAAGACAAGCTGGGGATCCAGTGAACTTCTAACAAACTCCAAGTGTCAAAACATTGATTGAATCGACATCAAAACATTAGTATGCGACAACAGAACAATAACTTCCTTACCTTTCAAGTTTTTCAGCAAAGTTTACAACAAACTGTGGCCAGTTAACGCAACTCAAACACTTTGAATCTCACATACTCCATGATTATTTAAACAAAAAACACTAAATGACTGATAAAAACATACCATATACATTCAATCCTGAAACAAGCCCTTAAACTATGATGTAACATCACATTCCTAACAATCGAGTTCTTTATACATCAGTTCTATAGTTTTCATCACAAAATACGTTCATAGAAAACCAAATAAATCAAAACGCAGCCATTGAGTTTTGCGGCCAATAGTTATAGAGAGAACTGTAAACTTCTAATATGAATAAAGAGGTCAAAACACCACGTCCACTTGCGAGCCAAGGTACAACTTTGGAAATATCGAAGTTCATTCATACTGTGCGAAAGTTAAACAAATACAGCAACGATTTAGCAATGATCATCAGCCTGTCGCGTAATTCACAAATAGATTAGAGTGACCAAACACGCAAACACCACAGGCACTTGCATAAACAGATGCACAATGCACAATCGAAGAATCACGTGAAGCGTACCATGATGCAAGAGCGAGTTCAATTCTCCGACGTTGCCAAAAATCACAGGGGTTTAATACCCAAGGAAAGCAATGGAGAGGCTGACTTCAAATCTGCTGTATCTATCTGGACAGCTCTGGACTGGACACTCTCCTCGGCAACTCCGCAGCACGAAGAAGAAGACCCTTGTTGGTAAATCGAAAATTCTAGATACGTAGGACCAAATTTATACCCGACAAGATGGCCAGAAATTGTCCCGCCTCCACAGCCAGTGTGAACACGCTGTTCTTACCGTGGGCGATTTGTTGTTAGGATTGAATGAATGCATGATATTGTTTTGTATATGAATAAATTTTATGGTTTATTTTTGGTATTATAGTTAATAAGCACACTCATCGACTACCTAATAAATTTATTTCCTTTCTAATTTTTATTTACATTTTTTAAGTAAATTGAAATTGTGATGGATGATATTTATTTTTAATATATATATATATATATATTCGATTATGTTTTTTTACATAGTTGTATCGGTGAGTGACGGTAAAAGGGAATAGTAATTTATTTTAGATTTTTATTTATTGTATTGTATGCAGATAGAAATAATAGTTAATTAATTTATTAACGACTACAATATATACATGCGATGCGAGGGAGAATCACATTAAAATAAATTAATTGAATGCGGGTGTAGTAGCCGTAGCAGGGAATGTTCGGCGATTCGGAAGCAAAATTGAATATTCGTGATAGGGCCCACTACTTAATTTTATGAGTCAGATTGAAGCCCGATTTGTGATCCCACTTAAATTAAATGGACAATAATAATATAATAATAATAATAAAGAATATTTTTATTTTTCTATACTAGTTTCTCGGTACCAATCAAACTCCAGAACATCTATAGTATACACATAATTTAGCATCTTTATATTATTAATATTCTTTTTTTAAACAAAAAAATTTAATACAACTAATGCTTATATAAAATGTATAATCTATTTCTCTTCCATGAAAAAACCTATTCTATATTGGAAGCCTCGTGATCATATTAATTATCAACAAGGAGGAAGAACTAACTAACTGTCAAATTCATTTCCATATTCAAAATTGAGCCCAGCAATTCTAAAACAGCAAACACAATAATATATTCTCCTGCAAACTAAACTCTAACTGCAGGTTTGGGTTTTGGAATGCTGCAGAAAACAACTAAAACAACAGTCAACAATGGTGGAAGATACTTCCCAGCCATCCAATACAGACAGACAGCAACACAACACACACCATACACAGAGAGATTCTATTCTTCCAAATGGCAATGGAATTAAGACCATAGCCTGCATCAATCCTTCCCACCATAGTACAAACCAATGTTAGTAAGTTAATTCAATCACCTTTCTTGTTCAAGACGATGACCACACAGCTCTATTCGATTTGCAAGAATGATTTCAGCAATAACTTAAGATGAACTAATCAAGAGCTCTGCTTTTCCCTCACAACTCCCCAAAGGTAATGCTTTCCATTCAATCCTGCACAAGAACCACAGTTTGTGTTTTTGTATGATCAGTTCAGTTCATCTCAGGTGCTTTGAACATTGAACTGTTATCAATCAATTAATATAAAGAACTTACTCCAGTATCTCAATGCCAGCTCTATTGAAGTGAAGATCAGAAGCTCCCCATCCGGCGTAGAGGCTTTCATAGCAAGGTCTTCATCCACCATCTTATCCACCAAGTTTTCAAACGCGGATTCACTTACACAAAGTAAATGCAACAATAAGTTATCAAAAGGAAAATTGCATGCAGCGCTTAAAAGAGCACAAAGACAATAGAAGATATAAAGGCACCTTATCTCAGTTGGGAAAAAATAGAGTTCGACGATATCAGGAGTAGACACCGCTGCCTCAAAATCTTTTGGCCAGATTTCAGATTTTGGATACTTTTTCACATTTAGAATTGGTGGAAACTGAGATGCAGCCTCAATTACTTTGCTGCTTGCTTTGGTGGACATGTGACCTACAAGCCCCTCAAGAATTCTTTGTTTTCTGGTAAAGCTGCCCCTGTTTTTCAAAGTACAGATTAACAAGGCAGGATTAGGGATAGTTAGTACAATTTTTTGTGCAAAACAGCGGCACATATAGGTTTTCTTACCTCCAAATTGGCAGCCCAACGGCTCCAGCAGCTGGATCAGGTGTGCCTTTTTCAGATTTCTTTCCCTTTTCAGGTTCTGACTCTTTCACCTGAAGAAGATTGAGTCTTTCCATACCCTCTGAGGCTTGATCCTCAGCAATCCCTTGACCCAATCCAGTTGGAGAAACATTCTTGTCTTCCATGCTTCTGCTAGGGGATTGATCTTCTGGCTTGAGCACTGGAAGAGGCTGTGCAGAGTTGATTCTAGATGATAGAGTAGGATCATCTGTCTTCTCTGGATGAGGGTCCAAATCAACCAGTTCTACAGAGGCATGTTTTTCTCCCTTCGCTTCATCGCCCTTCTTGGACTTCCACACACTTGTTACTTTTGAATCACTTGCAGGAGTAGCATGCCGGCCGGAATCTAATCTTGTGCATTCGTCTTGAGCTTTCTTAGGTGATCTTTCATCAAGTGAACACATCTTCCTCTTCTTCTTCGGATTCTCCTTTGGGGGAGGCACTTGTTTCTGTACAGCAGGCTTGCATTTCTTCAAAAATTCACTTAAACGAATGTCATCTGATAAGTCCTCATCCATTGGACATCCTTCACTTTCATCAGCTGGAGAAAGAGTATGTGTTAGTCATCCATAAAGGCATACAACTATTAGCTGATTCAACATAGTCAATCAATCAAGTCAAGCTTCTTACAAGTATCAGATGATTCCTCTGTGCTGTCCTCATGGACGGGCTCGTCCACGTCTATGACTTTCAATGGTTTCGGGAATAATTCAACACAGTCATCGCACAACCAATGAACATATTCGTCAAATGTAACTGTCTCCATACAATAGCTGAAACAACAGAAAAGAAGCAAAAGGGAAACAGTTTAACTAAAAGCATAAATGAGATCCAAAACCTGCCCTTATGTACAGACAGAAAAGCTGTAATTGTATATGGAGCTTACCGATGCACAGCATATTTCAGACATCGGACACAGTACACCAAGGCATTGTCAAATCCTACATCGCCGCACTGCAAACATACTGTTCCCTGCAGATGAATTCAGATAGAACTAAGTTGTTATAACATGAGCTTTTTTGTGCATAGGAGAAATTAACTGAAAAGCTTAAAGACAGCTTGAATCATATTTAACATGGAACTAGATAACTTGGAAGTTATCCGGAGACATGGCAATAAATCGATCCCTACAGCATGAAATCCTTTCACATTAATTGGAACTCCTACGCGACAAAAATTAGTTAGTCATAAGCAGAAAATACAAATTAATGATCCAACGAACTCCAAGCAAGCTCCAAGTGTTTCAAAATTGATTTCCCTGATAACCAAACATTATCACGAGATAACGGAACACCAACTTCTTTACTTTTCAAGCTTTTCAGCAAAGCAAACAACAAACTTTGGCTAGTTAAGGTAATTCAGCACCTCAAAATCCTCATATCACGATCTCATTAATAAGAGCTCGCATTGCAACAGCAATTAGTTGGATAAGAAAATGAAACTTTTTTTTAACTGGGATCATAAGCAACTAAAGCTAAGCTGGGGGATCCAATGAACTTCTAACAAAATCAAAGTGTCGAAACATTGATTACATCGACATCCAAACATTAGTATGCGACAACAGAATACTAACTTCCTTACCTTCCAAGTTTTTCAGCAAAGTTTACAACAAACTGTGGACAGTTGAGGCAACTCAAACACTTTGAAACTCACATACTCCATGATTAATTAAACAATAAACACTAAATGATGGATAAAAACATTCCATATACATTCAACCCTGAAACAAGCCATGAAGCTATGATCTAGCATCACATTCCTAACAGTCTAGTTCTTTATATATCAGTCCTATCGTTTTAATAAAAAAATCCGTTCATAAAAAATCAAATCAAAACGCAGCCATTGAGTTTTGCGGGCAATTAATATCAATAAAGAGGTCAAAACCCGCGTCCACCTTCGAACCAAGGTACAACTTTGTACCTATCGAAGTTCATTCATACTGTGCGAAACTTACACAAACAAACAGGTAAACTCAGAACAAAAATAATGGACAAACACAACGATTTAGCAATGATCATCAGCCTGTCGCGTAATTGACAAATAGATTAACGTGTTCAGACACCCCCGCACTACAGACACCTGCATAAACAGATTCACAATGCACAATCCAAGAATCACGTGAAGCGTACCATGATGCAAGAGCGAGTTTAATTCTCCGACGTTGCCGAAAATCACAGGGGTTTAATACCCAAGGAAAGCAATGGAGAGGCTTGCTTCAAATCTGCTGTATCTATCTGGACTGAACACTCTCCTGGGAAATTCCGCAGCGCGAAGAAGGAGACGTTTGCTGGTAAATCGAACTTTCTGGATACGTAGGACCAAATTTATACCCGACAAGATGTCCCGCCTCCACAGCCAATGTGAACACGCTGTTCTTACCGTGGGCGATTTGTTGTAGGGATAAATATTATGGTTGCTTTTTTGGAAGTATATAATACTTACAGACTCATCGATTTAGATTTTTATTTATTGTATGCCTATGGTATGCAGATAGAAATAGTTGTTAATTAATTTATCAATGACTAAATATACATGCGATGCGAGGGAGAATCACGTAAAAAAACATTGAAATAGGAACTGAATTGAATGTGGTTGCATTGCAGCAGCAGGGAATGTTAGGGCCCACTACTAAACTTTACGAGTCAGACTCAAGCCCGAAAAGAAAAATCTGTTTGTCAGCCCACTTAAAATTAAATGGATAATAATAATAATAATAATAAAAATCTGTTACACAATTTTAGGAAATTAAAAAAATTGAAATAATAGGTTTCTTTATTTTGTATTTTTAAATAAATGTATTTTTCTTTTATATTAGATATAAAAATTGTATTAATAATATAAGATTAATTTTTTATGATAAATAATTAATTATAGATAAAATATATATTATATTAATACATATTTTATTGTTTGGACGAAGGAAGTATAATAAATGTACGAGAATACATAACAATAATTTATGTCATACATAATATAATTGATTTCAGCACCCTAATTTGTCTCTCTCGGAATTTATGGCGTCAGATGGAAGTGGTCTGCCATCTGCTGCCATGGAAATAGAATCAGAACAATTACTGATTTGAATTTCTTTATTTTTCCCCCACAAGAAACAGTAGAGTCCAACAACAATGACCACTGCTCCAACCACACTGCCCAAATGGAGAATTTCTTTGAGGAAGATGGTGGAAATAATAGCTGCCAATACAAGTGCCATTGGACTGAAAATTGCACTGAAGACAACACCTTTCTTCTCCACTACCCAAGCTTGCAGCCAATAGCTAATCCCTGTCACCACAATTCCCTGCAACCAGTTCTCATATCATCAGATCATCAATGGTTAATTGATTATTATTCTAAAAAATTGAGTGTGTAATGAATAATCAAGAAACATACAGTGTACAGAATTGTGATAAGACCAATGTTCCAACCAAGTTTCCAAGATGAGACATTTCTCTCCACAGCTGCTGCATAAATAGTTGATGCTAAGCAAGTCAAGCCTGTCTGTAGAGCTGTTAGCCTCAACCTGCCTGGATATTGTTTAAGAAGTGGACCCTAATTGAATCCAACTGATCAATTTACAATTAAATCGTAATTATATGATTATTATTATTATTTTTTTTTTAATAAGGAAATATTACCTGACAAGTTAGCCAAATGGACCAACACAATTCTCCAGCAATTACAAGTAAAGAACCCTTGATCCATTTTTCCCTTTCTACTGAATTTGAAGCTTCATTAGCTCTAGAAGAGTGATAAGTGGAAAATAAAGAAGGGCCTTTGTAGAAGGTGAAGATCATAGTGCCACACAGACCGATTAGGCTTCCAAGAACTTTGGCAACGCCGGGCCATTGTCTTATATCCAAATTTTCAATCCTGTAATATCATTCATACAATAATGAATCATATCATATCGAATAGTTATATATGAAAAAAGATGAACTTTTAGTATTCACCTTGAACAAACAGCCATAATGAAAACCACTGCAGGACCAATCCCTGTAATAGCCGAAATAAATGTCGCAGAAGTGTATTTCAATCCAGCATACATTAGATTGAAACCTAAAGCAAGCCTGCAACAATCATTTTCCACAACCACATAAGAAAAACAAAATAAAATTTGCAAGCACATATATATACATACAGACATAATAGTTGGTATTTACCCAAAGGAAGAAATAATGAAAATCTTGCAGATTCCTCGCCATGTAAGTGCAGGAGAATCCTTGCTGCATTCAGATCATAGAAAAATAATTAAGTCGATAACCGATAATACAAATGGTGTATGATTTGTATGAAGATTGAATATTAGTATAGATAACCTTTGGAAGAAAAAAGCAGTAGGAGTTAAGAGTAGAGTGGCAAAAATCATTCGATAGGCCATGAATACAGAAGGCTTCATTGGAGAAGAAGATGAAGATAAAGTTGCTTTCGACAACAAGAACATTCCTGCAAAGCTGCTTTGGATCAATCCTACTGCAATGTAAGCCTTCAAATTCACTTTCTTCATCCTGTAAAATTATTTGAAATTTGATAATATGGCTTGATTAATTTTTATTTAGTTTTTGTATATAGGAATTCTCCTCTAGATAGATCCAACATTTTTTATATTCACTAATGCAATAATTTACGGTGCCAAACTCCTATAACTTAGACATTATAGTTTCGGCAGGCTTCATGCATATTCAATTCCTGCATATTTATTTATTTTTTTATTTTTTTTGCCCTATATATATAGACAATAGGATCAGCAGATAGGATTTCACATCATCTATGCAATTTCATAAATTTATTCAGACACTTGACACTGCTGGAAAAAAATAGAGAAAAAAAAAAAAACACTTTGAAAAATGCTTGGAATCCAATTCATATACACTTGGACCCTTTAATCTTCAATATATTATAAATTAATTTGGTCCTATTTATTTATAAAAATAAATAAATAAAATATAGAGAGAGAGAGACATAAATTATGGCTCTTCATTATAATATATGTATTGTAAATGAATTTGAGTCATAGCATTATTATAACTACTAGCTTAGATCATAATGTTCTTTTTCTATATTTTACATAAAAAAAAAAAACTATTTATTTAAATCATTTTACAAAAAGAACACACCCTAATAATTTTCCATATTTCAAATTAAAATAGTAAAGATACAAAAACAAAATAAAGACCTGTCACTAAATTAATTGTATACAATAATTTATTGAACACTTGAGAATTATAATAATAATAGTAAAAATTTATAATTTATTAATAAAGAACAAACAAATTAAATAAGAAATATAAAAGAAAATTAAAAGAATATAAATAAAGAATAATTAAGTTGAATATAATTTTATTCCGATGATAAAAGTATTAAATCAACCAAATATTCTCGTGATAAAAATATATCAAGGGTTCATTCAACTAATTTTTATTTTTAGTTTTTTGCCATAATTTTTAATAAATATTATCAAAATATATTATTTGCACACTTACCTAATATATATAAATATATTTTATTTACTTATAAAAATTCAATATTTATTTTTTTTAATAATATTTATAATAACAAAAGTAACACATACACCAAAAACAACAAAATAATAGATCATTTTTTTTTTTCTCAAATCAAAATATTGTTATCCACCAATACACTTATCAATAAATACATGATTTTTTTTCTGATAAAAAAATAATAATTATAAATACACAATTTATTATTTTCTAAAATAATTTGCTTTTTCAAAATAAAACTGCAAAATGCTGAAATTGAAGCCGAAGCAACCAAGGGTTTCTTCTTTATTTTTTCAAATCACAATTAAATATACCCCAAACTAATCCGCATAATTAAAAAATAAAAAAAAAAACCAAGCCATCGTCTCTATCATCTATCATCTACCACCGGATCATAACACACCACCGCTAAATTCCAACTCAACCGTTAATTTTTCAGCACAGAAGTTACCTCGTCAGATAAACATCATCGCCGACCTTCACGGAAGCCGCAGATGAATACGCCACCTTATCCGCCGTCACTTCCGGCGGCGGCGTCCTGCTTCCGGCCGCCGCCACCAGCTCGTCCGGCAGTAGTTCCAACATTGTCTCTATTTACCTTTTTTTTTTAATCTACGGAAGTGACGATTTCCTATTATATAGAAATTAATCAGCAAACCACTGTTACACAAGAAGTGGAGCACTTTTTTTTTTTTTTTTTTTTTTTTTTTTTTTTTTCTGTAGTTTGCAGAAATAAGCATTTGTGTGGTTGTTAGAATAGACACCTTTTAATATTTAATATACTGAAGAGATTGTAAATTTATGATTATTGAATATAAAATTTAAATATAGAGGTTGCTTAAATAAGTGAGCACACTCTTTTAAATCGATCAAAGACTAGTATAAGTAAAATTACAAAATTATGATTATAATTGATAAATATATTAATTTTTTTAAATATATTATTTTGTTGTTATGTTCAAAAATCAATTTAAATGAATATTTATTATTATGATTATTATGTAAATGATAATTCAATTATACCCAACTTAATTGAAGCAATTTGCGTTAAAAGTAATTCTAGACCATTTTCAAGTTTATTAGTTTAGTGGGTAGAATAATACTAATATTCTTTGTCCATTCACAACATATCCATTTCTATTTTAAATTGTTTGTAATTATTATTTTAATAATTAATTTTTTTTAAAAAAAATATTTCTATTTTATCATAGTATTATTACTTTTATACAAAAATACTAATAATAATAAAAATAAGATGGCCTTTACACTATTTTTAACATCAAAAGTAAATATATCCTTTTAAAATGAACCAAATGAATATATTATTATAAATCTTCAAAAGTTAGAATAGGAGTATTAAATTTATTTTGTTTAAATTTTTTTAATATTGATTGTATTATATCATTTTCAATACATTCAACAATCAAATAATGAATTGTAATTATCAAGTATTTAATTGTCAAAGTAATTCAAAATTATATGTTTAAAATCAACATTCAAATCAAAATTCATCCAACCAATAGCTCTGGCCAATTTCTCATTGTCTCAATTGATAATATTGAAGCTAAGGGTCAATCTGATCCCCTTTCCTAGAGATCATAACGTCATGCGATGGAAGCGAAGCTGCTGCTGCTGCTGCAATGGCGTCGGAATTACGAGAATCCAAACACTTTTTGATCTGAATTTCCCTATTTTGCCCCCACAAGAAACAATAAAGTCCAACAACAATAAGCAATGTTCCAACCACACTGCCATAATGGAGAGTTTCTTTGAGGAAGATAGCTGAAAGAATGGCTGATAGTATAAGTGCTGATGGATTAAAAATTGCAGTGAAAACAACACCTTTCTTCTCCACTACCCAAGCCTGCAACCAGTAGCTAATCCCTGTCACCACAACTCCCTGCATTCATGGATAATCCACTACTAATTAATTATTATTATTATTATTATTCTCAGAATTGGATATATGTAATGAATGATCAAGAAACATACACAGTAAACAATGGTGAGAAGGCCAATATTCCATCCAAGTTTCCAAGAAGATACATTTCTCTCCACAGCTGCTGCATAAACAGTTGCTGCTAAACAACTCATGCCAGACTGCAAAGCTGTGAGCCTCAACTTTCCTGGATATTGTTTCAATAGGGAACCCTAATTTGATCCCAAATGTAAAATTCATATCTTTAATTAGTAATTTGCATCATGGATGCATAATTAATGTTTGGATAAACAATTAAAAACCTACCTGCAATGTTAGCCAGATGGACCAGCTTAGTTGTCCAGCAATCAGTAACAAGGCACCCTTGATCCAGTTCTCCTGATCTGCTGCTCGAGTTTCTTCCATGGAATTTGAATTAACCCTAGAAGAGTTATGAGTGGAATACAAAGAAGGACCCTTGTAGAAGGTGAAGACCATGGCACCACCTAGACCAGTTATGCTTCCGACAACCTTTGCCACGCCTTGCCATTGCCTTATGTCCAATTTTTCGATCCTGCCAAACCATTCATCCATACATATATACATACATACAATTCAAGTTATATTGAAAAGCTATATATATATATATTGGGTTTTTTTTTTTTTTTTTTTACCTTAAACACACAGCAATAATGAAGACGAAGGGAGGAATAAGAGAAGCCATGGCCGACTGCAATGTTGCAGAAGTGTATGACAATCCAGCAAACACAAGATTGAAACTTAAGGTAAGCCTATAACATTAAACATTATTTATTTTTGTATGCACCATATAAACAAAACAAACACATGATCTATATATATATACAAATGAAACATGTCTTAATAAATACCCGTGGGAAGAGATAATGAAAAGCTTGAAGAGTGCACGCCATGTAAGAGGAGGAGAATCCTTACTGCAAGAAGATCATACAAAAATTTAATGAATATATATATAGATCATTACATATATATATATATATATACATATAATTGCAGAAAGGCTGATAGACCAGTTGAAAAAGAAAGCAAGGGGAACCAAGACAAGAGTGGAAACTGCCATTCGATAGGCAATGAAGACAGAAGGTTTCATGTGAGCAGAAGATAAGGATAGAGTTGCTTTGGACAACAAGAACATCCCCGCAAAGCTGCTTTGTATTAACCCTACTGCTATGTATGCCTTGGCTTTCTGCATCCTTTAATTTTCGATGAATGAATGTTATATCACTTCATTAATTTTTTGATCTGATTTGAGCCCTCTTCTAAAAGATTCTAACACAATTCAGAATTGCTCCATATATTTATCACAGCCACCTCTGTAATATAGAAAGACTACTGGTTTGTTGTGGTGGCTAAGTATTTTAGGTTTTTTATTATTTTTAGAACAGTTGTGGTGGCTAAGTATTTTAGGTTTTTTATTATTTTTAGAACAGTTGTAAATAGTAAAGCATTTTAGAAAATACTCAAAAAAAAATATATATTATTTACTCCTTCAATCCCATCACAATGACCTATTTTTTTTTATTTTTTTTTATATGTTCCACAAAATGATCCCTTTCCATTTTTTTTAACTTTATCAATTTTAAATATACTTAACAAAATTTAATTAAACTTCTAACATCTTACACAAACCACTCAAAACCCCTTCATTTCTATCTATTTCCATAAACAACTTAATTTTTTATCTATTTTTTTGAGATATAATCTTAAAAATTTTTAAAATACCAATAATATTATTCCTATAAAAAATAATAAACTAATATCATAATTTATTATTAATAAGTTGCTAATCTACACTATCTAAAAAATTATGTCCCTAATAAAAGAGTTCATCCCTTGCAGGCCGGAGGGAATATATTACATATCTATTACTATAATAAATATATGACGCATCTAGTTGTATGGTTATGGTTTTTATATTCGTTTTTCTATGTGAAATAATTCTTAGAATATTTTGGTACGAAAGAAAATAATATATGATCATAAAACTATGGAATTGTATTAAAAACTTATAATTCTTTTAGTTAAAAGCAATTGATGATAATGGTGTATTTAATCAAACTAATTATCGATATAATGGGTGTCGTCTTTGATTTGAATTTTAAATCTAAATTATTATTATTTAATTTGATTTTTGATAAAAATATATTTTTATTTTTATAAAATATCATATTAAAATATTATTTCAAATTTCAAATGCAAATCAATATCAAACAAGCCAATGATATTTTTTAAATAAATATAATTTTTTTTTTTGAAAACTATATAAATTGAATTTTTATATTGAATTCCAAATAAATAAAAAAAAACAAATAAACTCAATATATTTTTACAAATAAAACTAAGAACTTTAGCGGTAAAAGAGAAGAGAGAGTTATTAATAGAAACATTGGTTCCGTTCAACCAGTGTTCTTTAGATAAAATAATTTTTGATATGTAATATAAAAATTATGTAAAAAATATAAAATATATTATTTTATGTTAGAATTGTAATAACTTTTTTTATTTTTTATAATTTACTATTTGAAGTTTTTTATTGACTTTTATATTTTTGTATAAAATATTTTAAACTTTTTATTACTCCTATTATCAATTGATCCTGAAACCAGAACGATTGATACTTAGTGTTAAAATTTTCATTCTTTCAGGGTTGGGAGATTAGTCGGAATCCAATTATAACATATTAGATTAATTTATTTATTTTTTTCACATTAGATTCATTCCCTTTTCGGTAGTGCACAATACTCCATTATTCTTTTTATTTTTAAAAAATTTCTAAGCTTTACTTTCATATATATATATATATATATATTTCTTGTCCAAGAATTTTAAAGGTTTACTTTAATTTATTATATTATATTTAAGAAAGTGGTTGGTGTTGATTAACTATTATAAATTGTTATCACATAAGGGGTGTTTGTTTGGAATTTACATTTTTTATTTGAATCTGAATATTCACAAATTTTTAATATGATATAATTGATGCGATATTTTTAAGGTAAAATTAATTTTTAATATAATATAAAAATTAAAAAATAAATTTAGTATAAATTTAGCATAAATTTATATGTCATGACCTTGATTAGTCATCATAAACACATCACTAATATAATACTCCCTCCAATAGTCTTGTTTACCATTTTTTTCGTCCCAAAACAATAGTCTTATTTTCATAAATAATCATATCACCATAAAATTACCCTTTGTTTTTTCATTTTTATTACACAACTATCTCTATTTTTTACACTAATATATTCATAATGACAAAAAAATATTTTATTCATACTTTTTACCGACTAGCAATATAATATTAATATTTTTTAAATCTCGTATCCAATCCAATTAAGACTATATTTATGGGACGGAAGAGTAGTCTAATATTATATATTTGTCGTATTAGTGCTGAATGATACACACCACACTATCGGTACTCTTTAGAACTTTTTTATTTTTAAAAATACGTACATATATATATATATCATTATATAATTGTATCATTGCGCCGTTTGTCGTCTTTAGCTATCTAAAGAACTTTTTATCCTATTATCTTAGTAACAAATATACATATATATATATAATCCAAGACTCAGATCCAAACTCCCCAACCAAACAAAGGCCTGTTATCTAATATCGCTATAAGAATTACAAAAAATATATATATACATATATGAGTAATTAAGCGCTGGGTGCTTGTTTCCGACACTGTTCTTCATCAGCTGCTACAGATGTAGAGAAGCTCTCAAATTGGGCCTCCAATACTTCTTTTGGGCCGGATGTTTGGGCTTCTTTATTTCTACCCCAAAGAAAACTGTATAGCCCAACAATCAATAGCCCACAACCCAAAACACTGCACAATAATCAAGAACAGATCAGCAGTTTAATTAATTTGTAACCATAAAATGAATAATAATTAAATTTATTTCCCAAAGTTTCACACACACACACACACATAAAATAATGAAATAAAAAATAGCAAATTAATTATTAGCAACCTTCCCCAGTGAAGAGTTTCGTTGAGGAAAAGTGCAGAGAAAATGGCAGCTAATATGAGTGCGAGTGGACCAAACATGGCGCTGAAGACAGGCCCTTTTTTCTCTATCACCCAGGCTTGCAACCAATAGCTTATCCCTGTCACGATTACGCCCTGCAAATTTTGTATACATTTGTGAAATTTCATTACAAGATTATCTGGAAATCTGTGTGAAACATCAACTTACGCAATAAGCTACTGATAAAAGATTGATGTCCCATTGGAGCTTCCATGAGGAGATATGTCTTTCCACTGCTGCACTGTAGATTGTTGCAGTGATGCAACTGAATACACATTGGAGAAGGGTTAGCCTCAATTTACCTGGATATTGTTTCAGAAGTGGAGCCTGCAATTACCAGTTATAATTAATTAATTAATTCAATTATTGATGATTGAGTAGAATGTAATTAAATGAAGAATGAATGAATGAATTACCTGCATGGTTAGCCACATGGAATAGAAGAGCTGTGCAACAATGGCGAGAATGGAACCCTTTATCCAATCTTGTTTGGTGTGATCATTTGTCCTTTTCTGATGAACAGAAGAAATTTGGAGATGGTGACGGTGGGTGGAGAATAAAGGGGGGCCTTTGTAGAAGGTGAAGGCCATAGCTCCTGAGAGGCCAAGAATGGCACCAACAGTCTTGGCTAATCCATGACATTCACTTATAGTCAGCCCTTCAATCCTGTAATAAATATAAATATATATTCAGACAAATTAATTAACAAGCGGTTTTGATCAGTATCAATTATAAATTAATCGACCTTAAACAAACGGAGAAGATGAAGACCAAAGCAGGAACAATGCTGAGTATGGCTGTCCCAAATGTTGCAGATATATACTCCAGCCCAGCTAAGTTCAAATTCAAGCTCAATGCCAGCCTGCAATAGTTAACACACACATATATATATATATATATATATAATTAGGGCAAAATAGATCAGGTAAGAAATTAAAATGTACAACACTTACCCGTATGAAGCAATGAAGAAAATCTTGAAGACCCCAGTCCAAGTAAGAGGAGGAGGAGGAGGAGACTCCTTGCTGCTGTAGCAGCATTAATTAATATTATTACAGAAACAAATAAATTTAAATATATATAAATGATGTAATGAAATTGAAATAATGAATGAATGAATGAATTGAACAAGTACAGGCCTCTTGAAGAGAAAGAAAGCGAAGAAGGGGAGCAGGGCGGCGGCGGCGAAAGCCTGGCGGTAGGCGACGAACACCGGCGGCTTCATTCCGGCGGTCATGGCGGCCTTGGACAGCAAAATCATGCCTGCATAGCTGCACTGCATAACCACCACCGCCGCGTATGGCTTCACACCTTTCTTCCTAATTATCCTCCCCATCATTGATATCAGTAAATCTCTAACACACCATGGAAGTTAATAATGGAGCTGATGATATCGATGAGGCCAGTGGTAAGAAGGAAAGGTTGGGGCTGCATGGTCAGATGCTTTTTACTTTATTATTATACAATTTAATTTACTACCTTGGTTGGGTTGATGAAATTGATTGTATTCTCTAGGTTGTTTTTTTTTTTTATTTTTTTATAGCAATATCTTTTTTATATTTTATTAATTAATGAATTGAGCTTTAATTAAAAATAAGTTGAATTGGGATAGAATATCAGATTTATATTGGACATATTGGCTCCCCAGAAAATCAAAAGCAGCCCACCCACCACGATTATTATTACAAAATATATCTCTTTGGAATATAATGATGCAGCCTCCATACTTTCCTTTTATTTAGGCTCTCTTTACATATACTTTCTAGGATTTTTATATAATGGAGTATTATTCATCGGTGATATTTTAAAAAAATATATATATATATATATACATATGTTAGTAAATCATTATATTAAATATAATTTTGTTGAATATTGTCCTACCTTGGTGTGTGAGAGGAAAAAGAAATACACCAAAATACTTCAAAAAAACATATATTTAATTAAATAGGGCATTGTTTTATAATAACAATAATAACCTAAAAAGCAACCTCATCCCAAGAAAAGACACACCCATAATATATATATATATATATATATATCTATTTAAAATTACTCAGTTGTATCAGTTAACACATATAGAAAATGCTAAATTTCTTTTTGGCAATCAGAGTTGTTCATAAATGAGTTCATCAAACAAACATGAAAAAAGTTGGATCTTTACTGACTTAGGTGGACAAGTTGCATGGCAATTTTCAAAGATGTCCACCCCTTTAAATTGTTATAAATATATATATATATACACATATACATACATACAGCATTATAACAATACTTTTATCACCTTTTTAATATTCTTATAAATAAAAGTTTGGTAATAAATTAAGTGAAAGAATAGGGCCGGGGTGCACTTTTGTGGATCACTCTGAGCTCCATAATAAAAACAAATATTGTCTACAATAAATAAATAAAAGACTTCAGAAATGGTTATACCAATGCAATTCTCCACTTTACAACTTTTCAATTAATTAACTTTGCTTTCCTCTTTTAGAAAGCAAACTACAATATATATATATATATATATATATAAACCAAATAAATAAATAAATAAATAATTTCATTCAATTTGTCTAGTTTGGGCTTAATTGATTAATGGGCTTCAATCTCTGATGAAAGGCCCTATAAATCAATATTGGGCTTTACTTCAATTTAAGGCCCACTTCTCTAGAGACGGGGGTATGAACAGCTACGCTTTTGAAATAATGAAAAAACATTAAAAATAAATATATACTTCCTTAATCCCATAATTAGATATTCATTTTTTTTTTTACATATAATTTTAGAAATATTATTATTATATTAGGATACAGCAAAAGTAAAAATAAAATAGAAATAACTAAAATAATCTTCTTATTAGTACGTGTGATATAAAGGTAATAAAGACATGTGTAGTATATTGTAAATTGTAAGAGTATTTGGAATGTTAGATATATAATATAGTTATTAAAAAAAATTGATATTTTATTATAAGACAAATTAAAACGAAAAAACGAATAATTTCTTAAAATACGAAGGGGAGTATATATTTTTTCGATTTTTTTTTCCGGTGAAAATTAAATGTTTTCTGGTATCGTACAGTCTCGAGTCCCGATGCATGATGACCGTTATCTCCAAAGAGCATGAAAAAACACTTCTTACAGAAAAAACCCACAATAATAAACAACGTAGTCAGTAACGCCCTGACCTGACCTGACCTGTCCTGTTCCACTGCAACTTCATTTTCATGTCAAATAATCATCATGTCGTCCTATTCTAATTTTTAAATAAGTAAAAGAAAAAAATTGGCAGTAAATTGAGTGAGCCCCTCAAATTAAATGAAATGTCAGTGACAATTTATGTTATGTTATTATTATTTTTTATTATTGAATTAATCACAAGAGGGGGGGGGGGGGGGGGGGGGGGGGCGCGGGGCTGCCCACTTATACCTAAAATGGATTTAAATATATAGGGATTGCCCATTGTAAAATTAACCAAAAGTGTGGGGTAATGTTTGCATGTGAATGTGATTGCAACGTAACATAACATTAGTTTCATATCGATTTTCTTATAATTCATTTTTTTTTAAAATATATATATATTTTAATGTTTGTAGTAATTTTTAAGATCGTGACCACTCATTTAGTGACCCCACATATGGATAGGGAATTGAATAATCTTGGCCTTCCAACAAATCGGAATGGGATAAAATATAACATTAAATTCTATCAGCTTAATTGATATATATATGAGGATATCTAATTTGTGACATAAATAAATTACGTTGATTAATTAATTTATTGAAATTTACGTGCTGCTTTTGGCCAAGATTATTTTTTCTAACAACATAATTAACAATATTTGGAACATATATATATATATATATGTTGGAGATAATAATTTCTCTGATGTAAATAAAAAATGTATCGTGTGAGTTAAATGCCTGATATTGGACAGAATGATTTTAGTATTTGGACATTTGTGGGTGTAATGATTAATTATTTAATATATATAATGGGATTGCAGTGCATTCATTTCAGAAAAACCACATGGGTTAAATATTATTCTACTTGTTTTAAACACTATATATTATATGTATGCTGCAACTGATCATCCTACATATATTAAATATTTGGTACAAATTTAAATTTTTTTTATTTTAATATTTGTTTAAATTAATTTTAAGTTAATATTTGTTTAATATTACATGTTATAATAGAGTTTAATTTTGATTCGGAGTTAAAACCAAACAAACCCTATATAATTATCAATAATAATACAAATAAGCGTAAATTAATTTATTCAACTTGGTGAAAAAAAATCAATTCTTTAGTTTATAAACTTAAAACCATATTAGTTGTCGTAAAATTATTATTTTTCTGTTTCAATTTGTAACACCACAAGTAACAATGTATATACTCGACTATATATTTTATAATGTTATGCAATATGAAAGATAAATGAATAAATCCGATAAAAGGAATTAAGAAGATGAGAAATTATCATGTAAATTAATTTATTGCAACGATATAATAAGTCTTATGTAAAATCAAATTGTAAGATAATGTAATACAAGCAACAGCCTATTATCAAAGTTGGATATGTTAGATTAGGGTTTCCATTACGTCTGCAAGTTTATAGTTATCCACTGATGATATGACCTAAAGTCAACTATCGTAATTGCCCTAAACAATTTTATCACACCATTATTATTAAGATGACAATTACAAAATGACAAACATTAATATAATATTTCACTAATTCAAAAAACAAAACTATAATAATAAAAATAAAATTAATAATACAATCCAGTCTGTAGCATTTACACTCCATGCATGCAGAAACAAAAATAAAACATAAATTACTATATATGATTTGAACAAAAAATAAAAAAACACAAAAAAAGAACAAAGAAAAAAAAAAAAAAATCACTATACCCCTTAACCCTTATTTCCCTCCCATTTATTTATTATTTATTTTTATTTTTTCGTTGCGGTGGGGTGGGATGTAACAGCTCTCAATTCACACCCTAACCCTCCCTAATTATTTATTTATTTAATATTCCAAAATAATAAATAATTATGAAATTAAACATACTTAAAATTGAAAAAAAAAAAAAAAAAAAAAACTAACCGACTAACTTCTGTAATTTTGAACAGTTTTGAGATTGTTTCACCTCCGCCGCAGCTCCACCCTTTCCGGGCGTGTCATCACCGCCGGCCACCCCACCCCACCTCCGTTTACTCCGCCCACTCGCTTGCAGAACATTCTCACGACTCCTCCGCCGTGTTTGCGACGGAAGATTGCTGCTTGTTCGCCATTATCTCGTAACCCATGGCTTCGTCTTCCTCCTCGTCCTCGTCGTCTTCATCGTCTTCCTCGTGGTCGTTGATGTTGGGATCATCGCTGTCGCGATCCTGATCTCGAATTGAGGAACCATGGTGCTGTTGCTGTTGCTGCTGAGTATTAGCGATTGGCCATTGTTGCTCCGGCTGCGCCATGATCGGAACCATCGGATTCTCCGGCTTCAATGGGTAGAACGCCGCCGCCGCCGGCGGGGCTTCGTTTTTGGCTCTCTCTTTGTATATGGCTTCCAGCTGATGGAAATACGGACATGTCTTGGAGTCCTCGGGCCTCTTCTTGTTGCTCTCTTTCACTTTCTTGAAGTACTTGTTTATGTTCTCCCATTTCTCCTTGCACCGTTTCGAGCTTCTGTTGTACCCGAGCTTAGCCATGGCGGATGAGATTTCCTCCCAGAGAGGGCCTTTCGGTCCATTATCTTGATACTTCAAATCCAGGCTTGTCCGGAGATTAATTAGGGCTTGAACTTCCGCTTTCGGCCACCGTGACGAGCTCGCCGGTGAAAACGATTCTCCACCACCACCGCCGCCATTGTCCGCCGTCGTCTTCGAAATGTCGAAAGCTTTAATCGGCGTCACTGTTAATGCCGGCGGTTGGAGAGCAGAATGCTGTGGCGGCGGAGGAGGAGGAGGGGGTTCTGATTGGCGCGGCGGCGGAGGATTCTCCGGCGGTTGCGGCGGCGGCGGCGCATTGTTGATTGGGATCTGTAAATTGTGCTGGTCGGTTACTTTCTGCAAGAATGCGATCACCGCCGCGTCCTTGGCGGCGGCGATGGATCTCTCCTGGACCAACAGATCGTGCTCGCGATTCAGCCTGGCCATTTCCTGCACCCTCCAAGCTTCCTCCCTCGCCATTCGATCACGTTCACGCTTATCCAGAGTGTCTAAAAATTTCTTCTGCAACTCCTCCTGTTTCTGAATCACATCCTTCATTAGCCTCTGGAAGCACTCCTTCCACTTCCGTTTCTTCCCCCGCCGCCGCTGCTGCTGTATATCATCGTCGGAGGACGTCGACGAGGAGGTCGAATCCGACAGCAGCGCCCTGGTGTGAGAAGACTGATGATAGGGGTGGCTTTGAGGAGGAGGGACCGAATTGTTCCTCGTACCGGACAGATGCTGTAATGGCGGTTGCGATTGTTGGAACGGGGAAGAAGAATCGATAGGATTGGTCCCAGCTTGAGGAGGCACCACGCTCAAAGGAGTCGGACTGATTGATGAAACAGTAACATGGGAGGGAACCGAGAGATTTGCGGCGTTCGCCGGAACCGCCATTCTTGCCGGCGACTGCTGCCGCTGCGGAAGCGGCGGAGGGGCGAAGGGATTCGGGTGGGTGTTTTCGAGCGCCTCCAATTGATCGAAGAATCGATAGGTTTTACCGTCGGATTTGGCGGCGCGGCCGTCTTTGGTTCTCTTGTGGTATTTGTAGACGTTCTCGAACTTCTCTCGGCATTTCTTGGAGCTCCGTTGAAATCCAAGTTCCGCCATTTTTCTGATCACAGCAGACCAGACAAGTTCAGTTCAGTTCAGTTCAGACAAGTAAAAAAAGGAAGAAAGAAATTAAATTCCCAGACTTGTGATCTTGAATTTCTTCAGTAAATAAAACAAACACATAAAATAAGCACACGGAATTAACTGCACCGATTGTGATAACAAACGCTAGGCGATAAAAAAATCCAAAATGATTCTTGCTGTGGGAAAATTGTTTTTAACTTAATTGTTCCAGAAAAGGGGAAATTAAAACTTTTAAAAATTGAAAAACAGTGTTCGAATAATGGTCCCCAGAAACACACGCAAATCCTGGTGTCAAGTTCTTTCTGTATTTGTGGAAACATGATTTCTGTAGCTCAGAAACAAACCGAACTGACAGCGATGAAATTGATGAAAACCTGGAACGCCAGCTAAGACGAATAAGAAGGAAATGAAATGAATATAGTTGGGTGGGGTGGGGTGGGGTGGGTTTGAAGAAACAAGATTTCGTTCATAATTCATCGAATTATTCTTTTTCTTTTTCCCTTTCTTTTCTTCTGATTTGTAACAGTTTGGAAACGCAAAGAAGAACTAAAGGGCGACAAACCAGGAGCTTAATTTCCAGGAAAGCTGCTGAATTCTTGTGAAAGTGAAGTGAAATTCGAAAACCCTTTTACACCGAAAAAGGCAGAATTCAATGGGAAATTGAGGAACACCAAATACCCTCCCACCCTCGATTCATATCCAATCAATCTGTAGTGATGCTGACACTGTACGTAGGTACACACATACACAATAAATGTAAGAGATTCATGAGTTTGTTTGTTTACCTGGAAACTTCTTCCCATAATGGCCCTTTAAGGCTCGAGTCTCTAAACGCCACATCCATATCAGACCGGATTTTCAGCAGCGCCAGTGTTTCTTGCCTCGGCCACCGGTTTCCGCCGCCGCCGCCGCCGCCACTTTTATCGATCTCATCCACAACTCCCGGAATAATCGAGCTGTACCCACCGGCCTCGCTGCTGCCACCGTTCTCGTGGGTGGTTTCCGCCGCCGCCGCCGCCGCCTCCGCTGCAGCTTCCGACTCGGCGTCGGCAGGCTCTCTTTCGTCGGAGCTCCGGCCCATCATTTCCGACACGCAAAGGATCAATCTTTCCTTGCTTGCTTTACTGGATTCGATCGGCAATTACCAGCTGAAAATTGAAAAATAAAAAATAAAAAATAAAAATCACAAAAAAGGATGGGTGAATTCTGTGGGTTTTTATGAAGAGGGAAGGGCGTGGTGAATTGAATTAATTTATTTCGGTGGGATCTGCCTGTCAGTCTCAAGCTGCTCAAAATATAAATTTAATCAAAGGGGAGTGACTTATTATTTTATCTTTTTCCTTTTCAGCTGAGGAATCTTTAGCATTATTTTGATTGCCCCTCTCTCTCTATCTCTCTCTGGTAAAGAAAAGCTTTTTATTGCGTTTATTTTATATAGACGACATACAACCCTTTAAGTTAGGGTCACCTTCCCTCCGATCCCTCACAAGATAAAAATCATACTATTATATATTATTAATTAAATTAAATTAAATACGGTATAAAAATTCAATGGGTATATACATACGTACACAGCTGTCTCTCTGTGTCTGTATGTATGTATGATTTCGTATATTTTTGGGCAAGCTGCAGAAGGCGACGATGGTGATAATAAGGTGGTTTTTGTCTGTCCAGCTAAATATAGTTAAAAGCCGGCCCATGTAGGTCATCTTTGCTTTTGGAACTGAAATGACGGAACTGCCCTGACGCTCCTCACATGTAATGTAACAACCCCTTCCTTCCTATTGACCTTTAACTTAACAATAATAATCATCGATTCAATTTTATCCGATCCGACGGTCTGGATCATCGCCCGGAATACGGAGTCGCTAAGCATTTCCTGTTGTGAAGGATTTGCTTGACCGAACGGGATTCTGCTAATTGTGACTTTACCTTAATGCCCTCGTTACACAGCCAGCCAGCCAGCCGGTTAATAATAATAATAATAATTCATCTATTTTTTTCTTTTTATTAATATTAATATTAATAATGATAATCATGGCTGTAATGAGGTGTGATGGCAAAGTATGGTGCTTGTGGCGCCACGTGGAGAGAGTGGAGGGTGATTGTTGCAATTTGACAAACATTGTTATCAAGATGGGGTTGGATCAAAAAAGGGTTTTCAGCCGGAATGAATTATCTTGCCAAAAAATGAAAAAAATAAATTAATAAATAAAGTGGTCATTTTTAATAGTGGGATCCATTGTAGGTTGAATTCTCTCAACTGGTTACAAGTGTAGGCCATATATTATTATTAGGCAGTCATTTATGAATACAATTAAATAGTGCCCATTTTCTGTTAGGTTCCAACCTACCGTAATAAATGGCATCGGATTTAATTTCTCCTTCTTCACAAAATCTCAATTTTACAATTGCCATGTACATTTTTTTTGGCCTATATTCCGTGCTTTTATATACTTGCGTATTTAATTTGTAATGATTTTTATTTCAGATGCCAGTTGGGGTGATATGAGACGAATTTATTACCACAGCATTTTCATTATATAATTATTATCTCATCTGATTTATTACTCAAGAAAAGAAATGGGAAATTTACAAAAATAAATAAATACATCATCTTTTCAAAGTGGACCATGTTGTAGAAATAATCGAGGGGAAAAAAAAAGAATAGTGGGTCCCACTGTGAATAATAAGCCCTTAAATGCACAAAATCAACAGTCCTTTACACAATACAAACACACATGAATGAATGAATAAATGAATGACTGAATGAATCAAACCACGTTCTTACTATGTGATCATTACGTGTACAATTTAGATAAGAAAAAGTGGTCGGATCAATTTCATTTTACTACTATTTATTTAAAACAAAAAGGAAAATCCCTAAGGGGTATAATAGTATTTACACATACACATGCTGAAGGGCACATTGGTAAAATCAGGTAAAAAGATTGAGGGCCGGAGAAGTAAGGTAGGTAAAGATCAAAGGGCACACAATGGGCACCGCTTGTGTTGAGGTGGATGGCACGTAACTCATCGTCACGTGATCATCTATTTTTATTATTTTAATTTCCTCTCAATTTAATTATATTTTATAAATATAATAAAATAGCTATATAGTCTCAATTTTTTATTGTGTAGAATACGCCGTCTAATATATATTATTAGTAAATATTATTTGTATATGTATATATATAGATTTTAATTAATGAGATGTGGCTGCATTTTTTACCAAAAAACAAAATACATTAATTATTATTGTTACTTGGTGCTTGTAACTTGTAACTTGTCAATGTTATTACATAAATACATATATATATATTGTATGTATATATGTATGTCTATGCTTGGCTGGCAGTGGGCTTCTCTAGTTGTTGGAGATGCTTTCCCACTATGCCTCTGATTTTACGGCTGCCATAACTTTCTTTTTCTTATTATGTTTTTTTAATTTAAAATAAATATATATATATATTTTATTTTCTCTCTCACACACAACACACAGTGTACAGATAATCTCTGTGTGTACGATTATGTTAATTTATTTCATAAAAATTTGAAAAAGGATGTAATTTAATATAGCAGATTATCAGAAGTGGGCTGCAGGAAATAAAAAGTTATTGATTGATCCCGAAAAAAAAATACTAACATAATTAAGAGTATAGTACAGTTACCCGTTGTATTTTATGTATTTAATTCTCATCAGATAGATTCTCGCAATCAAATTAATTTATTAAATATTCATAATCATAATAAGTTGTTAATTAATAAATTAATTATTATTATTATTATTATTGTAAAAGTGTATGAAAGTATGTTTGGATCCGTGATGAGAATAATTAGGATTTATATATTCCATGGACAAATATAATTGTTCCAGTGGGTGTAATTATTTTGCTTCCATGTATTATTGTTATTGTTATTTTATTTTTTATTGATTGTACGCAACGAAGCTGTAGCTTGATGGCTTAATTATTATTATTATAAAAAAAAATAATGATAATAATAATCCCATCACCATTTACTAATCATTGTGAATTTTAAAACTTGGATTAGTTACCAAGCTATGTGGGTTTATTTTATTTTATCCTTTAGAATATTTAATTAGGCTTTAATTACTGGCATGAGTTGGATTATACACACACATGATCCCAAATGTCAACATCTTAAAAGTAATAATACCAAGTTCATTATTTTTTGTTCTACTAATAGGGGAGGTTGAATATTAATTAAATTTATTTAATTTTTCCTTATGCCGTAATTTTTAGCCTTCAATTATTTATTTTACTTAATTTATTTATTTGGCATAATTTTTAATGCGATGGTTACGTGTTATTTAACGCCACCAATAAATTAACTTAGGTAGTTAAGGTCATTTGCGTAATTAATGAGTGATTAATAATTTCAAATTTGTACTTAAGTAATTATCGATTACGAGATTAATCCAACGTTAGCAGCTTAATGCAATTTTGGTTCCAGTAAACGCGACTTTTGCGAAAGCGTTGAATTGGTTAGAGGAACTGTACAGAACAGCAGGCACGGAACCGGAGAGGATTGATTTATATGTATTGTTATAATTTTTTTTAAAAAAGACATGCATTGGTTTCATTTCATTACATTATTGTTTTTTTACTAGAGCTGAATATAAAATAAAATGTTTCTTTTTCACCCCATTACTAAAAAGAGGGGTCTCTGATCTGATCCTCTCTTTTTCAAGCCCCATTTTCTACTGCTATATTCCCACTAAAAGTAGCCACAAAGTATGTAACAGGCCACATGCAATCTTTCAGTAAAAGAATATGGCATAATCATTAACTGTTACATCCACCACACAAAATTATACATTATATATATAAAAAAATATAGAGAGGGACATACAGATTGTATTTAATTTGTATGTATGAATTATTATATGATTAAACTAAGTAGTTAATTAAACTATGCATTAGGGATTGTGACACAGTCCAACATGGTGTTGTCTGATTGAAAATTAAATTGGTGGCCCATGGAGAAAAGTTACATATACACAAAGGGATTAAATGAACATGGTAGCCATGTGAATGTAGACATAAATCATGTGTAGTCCATGTGGATTTAACCTCTTTTTTTTTTTTTTCAATAAATTTAAAGAAATTTAAATTTTCATCTGGCATTAGCTAATAAGCCAACAAAGTGGGGTTCTTTGAGCATATACTTAAGTGTGAGTGCATCATTATTTACAAGTTTTTTTATTCAAAAAAAAAAAAATCACTTCTTTTTTGGGCCCTTTTATTAATTAGATCAATTAATTTAATTTAACGAGTGAGAATATTATATTATATGGGAAAAAGTAGTGTTGGCAATTTATTCATGACATTCTTGATGGAGCCCAGTTGGGAGGGTTTTGTGATCCTAACAGTTACACTGTACAGTAATCTTTGGGATATCATTAATTCTAATTATCGAATGTGACTTGTCAAAATAATTATCTTCACTTTTTTATTAAAAAGAAAAAAAAGAATAAAAAATATTTTTTTCTTGAAAAAATGCACTACAAAAGCTAGCTAGGGTTTTCACATGGATGCATCTCTTGTTGGCATTATGCAAATCTCAAAAAGAAAACACAAGATTTAATTTATAGCAAACATTTGATTGCAGCACAGAATAAGAAATTTTAATTTAATTTAATTTATTAGATGATTGGGTGGGAGTTAAGAGATTGACATTAAACAAGATTAGTGTGATTAGTAATAAGCTGGGACAGAAGCATGTGCTATGAGTTAATTGCGCACTTAAGTTGGCAATTTGATGGGAAGCTTTTTACACGAAACATATATACATACATACATATTTAATAATTATGTATTTATTTATATATAATGTTGATTAATAAAACGATATCATGTAACCCACATGCTTCTGTAACCGTTACAGCCTGTGCTGATGACATATATAATTGAGCTATACAATACATACATTACATACATACAATGTGCATATACGTATGTGATGACATGGCAGCGGAGGCAGTTAACAGGTTTATTAATTACATCCTTAAACCTATGGTTTAATTAATTACCATGAGTGGTGGAGTTGAGGTCCCGGGACTGGCCAAGAATGAGTGTTAAATCAGTAATGGCTGTCACGTCTGTCTGAAAATTGCATGATAAAGCCAAAGCTTATAGTATATAATTGAGTAACTATTGCTTAATTAAATTGCTCTCTGCACAGCACAAACCATAATTGCGACAAGAAATAAAATTTGAGTTTTGTTGCATAACGTACTTGACTAACTATATTTATATAATTAAATGTTTTACTGATATTTATATATAAATATATATATATATATGTATAATCCTATTTATGATCGATGCTCTGGACACTTCCATGTAATCATTAACAACAGTGAGGACATGTAAGAAATATGAATGTAAAGCTGGGAAGTACGTGGCACAGTTATAATTAATGATAATCATGTTATGAAATATATATATATATATATTTTTTAATTTAAATTTATTTCTTGGTACTTTAAAATGTTACTTACTATTTATTTTTGTAAAAAAGACCTCTGGTGAGCATTGAATTAGTCCCAAACACGACACTATTTACCACTCTTTTGGAAATATCAAGAAACATAGGACCTGATCCATGTGGTGTACTTGAATATTAAATATCAAAATTAAATTAATACTGCAACAACTAACATTCAATTTTTATTTACGGTTGCTAAAACTTGTGCCTTTTTTTTATTTGTCCTGTAGCTTTTGTATCATATTTGGAAAAATTATAATTGTAAAAAGATGTGAATACACACACCCCGTCTGAAATTATCAAATTAGAATATTTCCAAAATAACAAATTTCAATAAATCATTTTCCCAATCGAGGAAAATAAATTAAATTAGTCAGCCTTGGTCACACACGGTTTCCATCGACTGTCTCTACACATCATAAAATTGGGAATCCTCTAATCATTGTTTTCTTGATTTTTTTTTTAATTTATTTAAATATATATGGAGAAGAAGAATAATCATACTAATAACGACAATAGCAACAATAACAGTAGTTGAAGATAAAACCCAGAAAGTCATGTCATCAAACCCACAAAAGTCATTGTCATGTTTACAATAATAACAAATTTAATTTTCATAAAATGAATAACACCTAAGTGAGAATAATTTTAGTTAGTGAAATGCATGTGAAATAAAAATAATTAGAAACATAGAAAGGGATTTTAGAGAATGTAAAAGGGTCACCATTAGAGGTCCCATATGGACCAATTTATATAAAGTGAAGGCACTGAGAAAGTAAGCCCAAATTCAACACTCCATGTGATTGACAGACAGCCCACCAATATGCTTCCATTGTTTTTATTCAAAAAATTTTACTAATGTCGCACTCAAAATTCCCACTGAATGGATAAGTATAGATAGCTGATAGGTTCCACTACTCACCATTTTTTCTTCACTGCTAAAGACTATCTTTTTCCTATCACTTTCATTAATTGATGCCATAACTCAATTTATGCAATATATATATATATATATATATATTTCTTGACAAAAGCTACTAAGCCATAACAAAATATATATGGGATAATCAAAAGCTGGGTTAAAAGGGTTTTTAGATAAAGGAAAAAGTGCACGTGTGAATTAATTAAAGGATAATATATATATATATCTACATCAATCACAACATCTTTATCGTCATCATCATATCAATCTTTCATCTCTTAATCCACGCATGATTATATATGTTATTTCAAACTTTTGATTTATTCCCATTTCTCTCTGTGCAATTTGCAGGTAGGAGTTTTGGTGTTCAATCATCACCTAGTATATGACCATATATGGAAACTGGAAAAGCTTTGTATGCTCGCGGAGTGAAGCCCACATTCAGACAATGGACTTTAATATTTAATAATTAATTTCCACAACCGACTTTTGATGGACAATAATTTCCACAGGCACAGACTTCCATGCCCTCCAATTTTGAAATAATCTGTTGTAACCAAATATTACTTACATCGATACATACATACATACATAGGTAGCTGTTCATTGGAAACTGGAAAATAATGTAGATAATATACTGTACAACATAAACTGTTGAAATGTCCATAGATGTGATGATATGCAGTAAAGAAAATAAAGAAAACACACCCACCAAGAAAAAGACATTTTTTTTTTTTTTTTTACAATCAAAGAAAGACCCATTATCATCAGTCAATTGCAACAATCAGTGTCAATTGGGGGGCTGTAATGACGATTAGCTATATTGTGGTAATCTAATGGCTGCCGCCGATTCGATTAGTAAATTCTTGATTTTCTATCTATGCGCTAATCTGATCTCCAGGTGTCGGTCGGCCCAGCCCAATGAGGCTTATCGAGAGAGACGTCATCGGCATCGCCCCCCATCTTTGCCGCCATTACTATCTATGGGTGTCCACAGGATTCAGTCACTCTCATTCACACGGAGTTCGCGTGTCGTGTCCAACAGTTTGGTTGTAGTCTTCCTTGAACCACGCTCGATGAACTACAAGAACGCCCACTGCACATCTCTCTCTGTGTCTGCAGATTCGCGATGGATCACGCGGCGGTTGCAAAGCGGACGGATTTGATGACCATAACCCGACACGTGCTGAACGAGCAATCCAAATACCCAGAATCGCGTGGGGATTTCACCATCTTGCTTAATCATATTGTTCTTGGCTGCAAATTCGTCTGTTCTGCTGTCAGCAAGGTGAGAAACGATTAATTAGGGCTTTGAAGAGAAACGATTTAGGGTTTCAAAAATGCCCTGTTCGATTAGGAATCCAGACCTTGATTTTGTTAATTTAGAATATGGTGTTTGAATCAAGGCAATGTCTGAACTCTGAACAGATCAACATTGTGAATTGCAGGCTGGCTTGGCGAAGCTCATTGGACTCGCCGGAGAAACCAATGTGCAGGTAAAATGCTCGTGCTTTTTGTAGTCTTTTAGAACAGAATTAATTCTATTTATGTTGTTCTTTACTCAAGGGCGAGGCCCAGAAGAAGCTAGATGTGCTTTCGAATGAAGTTTTCATCAAGGCATTGATCAGCAGCAGCCGAACTGTGAGTATGTCAAGAAATAGTTTCCGGCGGAGTTTTTTAGATAAATCATTAATGTTTACTAATCTGTGAATCTCCGGCAGTGCATTCTTGTCTCTGAAGAGGATGAAGAGGCAACAATTGTGGAGAAGTCTAAGCGTGGAAAGTATGTGTGCTTGATCTTGATATGTTCCTAATTCTGTATGTATTGATGCAATTGATGATGATGATGATGCAGATATTGTGTTGTTTTCGACCCTCTGGACGGATCATCGAATATTGACTGTGGTGTTTCGATTGGGACTGTATGCATTCGGCTTCCCTACTTTGATTCCCATCCGAAATCATTGCAACTGCTAACCAATTCAGGGCATGCCCTGTTATTTTGTCCAGATTTTCGGGATTTATATGATCAAGAATTTTCAAGAAGCGAAACTAGACGATGTCCTGCAGCCGGGGAAGAACATGTCGGCTGCAGGCTACTGTATGTATGGAAGCTCTTGCACGGTAATGGATTTTTTATTTATACTAATTTAGATCACAGTTGTCCCGAAAAAAAAAAAGTGCTTAAATCTTAGCTACCATACTTTGCAGCTTGTTCTGAGTACCGGCAATGGAGTTAATGGGTTCACGCTCGATCCAACCCTCGGAGAATTTATACTCACTCATCCAAACATCAAGGCCCGCATATTTTTCGCTGTCTTATTTCAATTTTGTTGTTTTTGTGTCGACTGATTATGATCTTTCTTACAACAGATCCCCAAGAAAGGAAGGATTTATTCGGTTAACGAAGGAAATACGAGGAATTGGGATGGGCCGACAACTAAGTGTGTATAGATGGTGAATTTTGTAATCCCCTGTTGATCTGTCTATAATCTCTGAAATTTTATTACATCGATTCTAGATTCGTCGGCAACTGCAAGTACCCCAAAGACGGGATGCCAGCTAAATCTATGAGATACATCGGAAGGTAATTAAATGGAAACAGCAAACTACGCCATACAACTTGATTCGACTCCAAATTTTTTTCCTGAGAACGAAATTTTGTGTTCTGAATTCCAGCATGGTTGCTGATGTTCATCGAACGTTGCTTTACGGAGGCATCTTTATGTACCCTGCTGATAAGAAAAGCCCGAATGGGAAGCTCCGGTAATGGCTGCAAGTAATTGGAATTCAAAGCTCTCGTAGTTCATGTTCTAATGGGATATAGAACTTCATACTTTGTCTGTAACAGGGTGCTGTACGAAGTATTCCCCATGTCATTTTTGATCGAACAGGCGGGAGGACAGGCGTTTACGGGGAAGGAGCGGGTAAGAAAATTCTGGGAATGAGTTGCCATGATCTGATCCGTTAAATGACCATTTCATCTAAAATAGTTGTTGATTTTTTTATTACAGGCACTTGATTTGATTCCTAAGAGCATACACGAACGCTCCCCAGTATTCCTCGGCAGCTACGATGATGTAGAGGAGATCAAAGCATTATATGCTGCTCAAGGGAATTAATATTTAATAATCATCTTGTAAATGTCTTTCCTTTCCTGCCTATCAATTATTAATATACTATTATTTTTACTACTTTCAATTCTATAATATAATTCTTTAGTCATATAACTGCCATGCATGCAACTGTTAATTTCATTATTACATATATTAACGTAGTATTAAGCTTAATTATATATATATATATATATGTGTTATTAGTATCTAAGTGATTACTTTTGTATCACCACACAAGAACCATCTTCCAAATAGGCAAATTAGTTAGTTAGTTGCCATAGATGGGATTCATGGAATTAATTAAAGCTCACATTGTGTGTTTTGAAGAATGATTTATGATGTTATTTGGATGAAATAAAAATTTGTTTATATATTTTATGTGTATGAGGTGTTCGATCTTATAGTGAGTATTAACATATTTGTTTGGTGTAATATAATCCAGCCAATAAAGAATGGCCGTTTGTTCTATACTATGATTAACGGAATCTTATTAGAATCAATGAAATGTATTTAAAGAACAATTTTGTTATTACCATTTATCATTTTCTTATATGTCCAGATTCTTTCGTCAGCCCTATTTGCCCATTTTTGTATTCCTTAAATTTACATGGATAAATTATATACTACTGTTTTAACAAAATTACATAAAATAACCTAAATTTTTTAAATTTTTTGTCCAAAAGTAGCAGCCAATACGAATCACATGCTTATTATGCAAATAACTTAAGCTGCATTGTAAGATTTTCCACATTAAAAAAAAAAAAAAAAAGATTGACATTTTTCTCCAATTTTATTTAAATAAATAAATGAAATCTATTTATATCATTTTATGAAAATCATGCATATATTATTATATGGATGTTTGTATATTGCATATAAAAAATTCTGTAAAAATATTATTGTCAATTTATAAAAAAAGAAAAAGAAAAAAGTACTACTTGTTTTCTTCGTCTTGTTTAAAATCCATATTAGTCTTCAAAAATAATTTGTATAATAGGTCTGTAATTTTTAATAATGTGTTACTTCCGATATAATTTACCCAATTTAAATTTCAATTATTTTAACCTCCACCCTCCCACCCGCATACTACTTTTTATCTACCTCTATAAAATAATCATCGTAAATTATTATTGGTGGAAAGTTACTCACAGTTCAAAGAGCTTCCCTATTGATATTATTTAACATTAATATAATTTCAAGTGCACTATACAGTGATAATTATGATATCTATCTTTCAAATTTAGTCAATTAATTACTTTAATTTATATCCGATAGTATATATATTAATTCAGTATACGTGTAATAAATAAATATTTTCAAAAAACGAAGATTCCGTTACTTAATACCATATGTTACTTTTAGTATATCCACTCTATCGAATTAATCGTCTCTTTTGTTCTCGTCGGATATTCAAAAACAAGAAAATTGCAACATTAATTAATTAATTCTTTTAACAACAAACAAACATGTATGATACGAATATATATATATATAATTAATTAATTTAAAACATTGAGACATTTCCGAAAATTATTTATACATAATTAAAGTTATAACTTAGTTGTGAATATTAATTAAAAATGTAATTACAGACCCTTGGATCCAATCAATTTTGTTAACCCAAATGTAATGGCCATGGCTGTCCACCCTCCGATCAAAACCCTAGCACAGGACTTCGCCACCGGCGCCCTCCCCAGCACCGCCCCGAGCCACCCGAACACCGCCAGCGCAACTCCGGCCGCCGCCGCCACCGCCGCAATCCTCACCCTGTACTCCCTGATAAACGACGCCGCCAGCAACGGCACAATCGCGCCCATCGCGAAAGCCAGCGCCGACGCCACCGCTGCCTGCATCGGATTTGGCAAAGTCTCCTTATCGCCGGCGGCGGCGGCGGCCGGATCAACAGAAACTCCGGCGGCCGCCCTCTTCTTGTCCCTATTGATCTGAGCCAACTCTATGTCCAGCTGGGAATAAACGGACACAAATTCTCCGATGGCCATGGAACAAGCTCCGGCAACCAGGCCGGCGAAGCCCGTCAGGATCATGACCTTGATGTCCTTCCTGACGGCGCCGACGCCCATCATCAGCGACGCCGTCGAGACCAGGCCGTCGTTGGCGCCGAGCACGGCGGCGCGCAGCCACTGGGAGCGTTTGGAGTAATCGAATTCGTCGTGATTAGTTTCGATGTCTGAAGGGATTTGGGGAGCAGCGTCGAGAGCAGCGGGGAATTTGGGGTTTTGAGCCATTGGAGAAGAAATTGATTAAATTGGATTGAATTAATTTGTGCTTAGAAATGTTGTAAGAGAGAATATTAATGTTTAAGGTAGTGTGGAAGGCACACGCCCCCAGGTGAGGTATTTATAGAAGAAAAGAGTCGATATTATGATTGAATTAATTGATTTAATTTAATTTAATTTGTGTGGGGCTTATATATTGTTACAAGCTTTATTTATTTGATTTATTTGGTTGCGACAATTGTGATCAGATGTTTGGTAATTCTATTGCACCTCACCTTAATTCTTTCCACATATAATCAGAGCAGTTAGTTTCCTGTTTAATCTGGTCAATAATTAATTAAGTTAATTCTGCATCAGATATAATGAAGAGGGGCGTTTACGTCTGAATAAGTTCATTTCTGGAAATAAAAGTGGCATTTCATTCGTGCATATATATATATATATATATATATGTTAGCAAATTAAATTAAAATTGTAACAATCATCAGTGTATGATAAGCAACAGAATAAAAAGCTCTTTAATTTGGTGAATGACAAAACAACATATAATAAAGAAAATCTACTACCATACGCATACCTATGAGATACTGATATAATAATATAATATTGTCCAATTTGGATCGAGTCTGTACGTGTACATGCATATTTGTTTTTCACTTTCCCAAAAAAATTATATGATAATTTATAATTAATGATTTTTTTATTTTATTTTTTATTTAGCACTTTAGTTTGTTTCCCCAAAACTAGATATATAATGTGTGTATGTACTACGTACATGCATTTAGTTTGGTTTACGTTCTTTTCTTTTCCCTTTAATGATGATTGCCATGCAAATTTCTAATCATATCACGTATTCTCGCACAAAATACATATATATAATTAATCATGATTAAACTTCAATAAAGCAAAAAATAAATAAATAAATAAATAATGCATGCTTATATATATATGACATAAAAAGGTAAAAGGATTATAGATGAGCTCCTCGTGTTGAAGGTCCTAACAAATTATTTCCTTTTATATATCTCTTGTTATTAAAAGAGTTGGTTACAACAGATTTTTTTCGAGTTTGTATGCAAATAAGAAATAAATGGATATATATATATATATATAATAATTTGGATTGTTCTCTCAAGAGTGGATGGAATCTAACTGAATTAGGGTTTTGGAAGCCGTAAAGGTAGTGTACTTTAATGCAGGCAGTTAGATAGATACAGCTCACACTGCATGCAGACTCTTCAATATTATATATTTGTTATAAGTTAATTCATTTATTTCATCTTCCATGGCTTCTTCCCAACTAATTACACTTCTTCTGAATAACAAACATGTGCATACACGTATGTATATATATATATATATATATCTATATACATGCGTGTGTATCAGTGGTCGATCATTTAATCAGAAAAGAAAATCTTGTACAAAAGAAATTTGGTATAATTGGAGTAGCAATGATCATTGATTTGCTTTCCCTTTCTTTCTTTCTCTCTCTTAAAAAAAAACAACAACAAAAAAAAAATGGATAAAAAGCAAAAGATGAATAAAGGGTAGATATTTAAAGTTGAGTCACTACAAAATGTTGTAATGACGACTGTAATTAGTCTCACATTGGACGTTGCTGTCCTAATTAAATATCATATATATTTTTATATATATATAGGTAATTTAACGCAATTTCAGCAAATTAGACGAGATGGTGTTTCATTTCAAAGACTTATATAAAGATACGTTTAGTTTAATTTATTAAACATACAATACAAAATGATGTCTAAATATATATATATAGATATAGATATAGATATTATATGTATGTATTGCAATTGGGGAAGGAATGATGGAAGACCTAATTAGAATTGACTAGGTGTGGTGTGGTGTGGTGTTAGTGTGTAACATTAACATAACATTTGGAAATGGATTGCTGAAGAGGATGGCACAAAAAAGCAATACCATATGTATATTAAATTTGGGGAAAGGGAAGAGACATATATAGTTGGGGATGTGATAATATTTCTAAATCAATTGGAGTGTGCTTTCCACACGAATGCCACCACCACTTATTTATTTTATTTATTTATTTATTTATTATATACACATACATGAATGAATGAATGCACTTATTCCATTTATTTATTTATTTATTTATTCATTTTATTTTTGTGTATGATCTACTACTACTATTATTGTTATTACTAGAAAGGGGGTAGGGTAAAGTATATGATATATCTATTGTGTGTGTGATCATGGTGGTATATATATATATATATATATATATCGTCTTCATAATATTTGGAGATAAAAAAAAATAAATAAATAAGTGGGATATAAGTGGTGGCAATTGGGAATGGAATTCTTATCTTAGTGGGATCGATTGGAGGCCAAAGACATTAATTTTATTGGTGCCACCAAAAACACCAATCATCATAACAATAATATTAATCTATATATATATATATATATCTTATTCTTATCAAATAGTAATTATATAATTATTGCTTTCCTTCCTATTTATATATATGTGCATTTTACATGTAATTCCTGTAAATCAATTAATTTGTATATTTGTTTTGAATTTTGATATCAATAATTCATTACACTGAGACAGACTCCATGCATGCATGTAGGTCTCCTTAATTAGTACCACCATCACCATGCACAGTTGTTAATTAATTTAAATATAATTATTTAACTTGATTCAAATTATTCTATTTGAAGTCAAACAATATACATCCACTATTTAATTAATGTGTGTATCCATCTGTTATTATTCACACATATATATTTATATACATATTTCATATAAAGCTATGAGTGTATGGGAAGACAAGAAAACATTGCAAATGCAACTAAGATATGGATTCCAACTTGGTGGAAAAACATGTACAACAGAAATAATTAATAATCATTGCACATCCAATCCAGATACAGATCCTGCAGCACTACTGGAAATTATATCAACCATTTCTGTATCCTTAATTACTTCTTTTCCAGCTCAAGGATTATTACTCCCTCCATCCACTATTTTTCTATCCACCCATTATCTATCTATTTATTTTTTACACATAAATTTTGAATATATTAGTGTTTCATGAATAAATAGTACAATAGAATTTGATAATACTATTTGTAATAGTTAGTAAAATATAGAAATATTTTTTATTTAAGTAGAAAATAAGATTTCTAAAAATACATCGATAGATTGATTTTAAACGGACAAACAAATTGATTTACAAGCAAAGCTCATAACATGGATTCCCTCCTGATGGGCCAAATATTGGGCTATACTGGGCGGGGCAGGCCCATTAAGTATGCCTACTTTATCACATTCTTTGGAATAGAGTCAATTTTAATTGAGCCCAATGTGTGCCGCAAAAGTGGGTCCCACTAGCCTCTGATTTTAGTCAAATTCATATTTCTGACCCCAGAACTTTTCGTCAAGCCACTTCCCCAAAAATCAACCCTCTGTAAAACCCCCAAACAAAGTCCAATTCCAATCGATTTTAGCTGCAGCGCCGTTTATGGAATGATGGATCCCAATTTCGCAGGGAAGGTCGTTTCCTCAACCCTATACGTTCCCGGGAGAACAGATTTGGATCAGATGTCCGATATCCCAACCCGCGGGACCCACCACCGCCGCGCACACTCCGAGACCGTCTTCCGGTTCACCGACCTCGACGACGACATGCTTCTCGATAACGTCATGGCTGACCTCAAATTCGAAGCTCCGTCCCACCTCCCCAATGTGGCGCCGGCGCCGCAGCTCAGCCAAACCCAGGAGACAAAGCCAGCGCCTCATCTGCGGAGCCTGTCTGTGGGCGCCGACTTTTTTGAGGGGCTCGATTTAGACGGCCCCGGACCGCCGCCTCCGCCGCCGGAGTCGACTCCCCGCCCGCTACACAGGCATAGCAACTCGATAGATGGTTATTCCAGTGCGACGTCGCCTGAGCTTGACTTTAATTTGAAGAAGGTCGTGGCTGCAGAGAGACTCGCCGAGCTCGCTTTGATTGATCCCAAGAGAGCCAAAAGGTTTTACCTTTATTGTGTCCGCTGAGTCTGACTATGGCGACGGCGGCGGCGTAATTATTTTCTCTCCATTTTGTGTAGGATTCTTGCGAACAGACAGTCAGCGGCAAGATCCAAAGAGAGGAAAACGCATTACACAAATGAGCTGGAGAGGAGAGTGCAGACACTGCAGAGTGAAGCAACCACACTGTCTGCTCAGATCACTTTGTTGCAGGTTTGTGCTCTTCTGGTAGGAAATTAGGGGCTGAAATGTAGAAAGAGAACCCTACAATGCCTGAGAACTATTCAAAGCAACTATTAGAAGAAATCACAGAGAGATTTAAGGCAAGAAATTAAACAATAATAATGGACACCATACTTGCTGGAAATATCCACAATAGGAAAAATCACGGAGCAGCATTATTTTCACCATGGAGAAAAATGGAGAATTGCGAGTTAAAGGATGAAGCACACACTTATAATTGCTTCTGCTTGTGTATTGCACTTAATTTTCTTGAATTAGATATCGAGTATAAAAGCGGGAGGTCAACTGTAGGCTTCAGTAGTTGACACTGAACGGGAACAATCTGAATATGAAGGATGCAAAAGAGCCTTGGTTTTGCTCTGATTGTTAAATTTTATGTTTTTAGGAAATATGAGTGTCGAGAATGTATGCATAGTGATTGATAGGAAATCGACTGCATGCACGATTCCTTGATGTATTATGATGGATATTAGTAAAGTAAATGCGGCGGCACCATTGCCGATCGTCTTTTGTTTTTGATGCATTCTGGTGTCGAATTATTATAACCTTATTGGATTTTGTCCCTTAATAAGTCTTGATGTAGATGTGATGCAAACTGTTAAAATTGTTGGCTGATGGTATCTTAACTACAATGGCTTGTCTGGAGCGTACATTGCATCTTTATACTCCCTTCTCATCCAAATGTGTCTCACACTTTTGGTCACAAGTTTTATGTGGGTGTACATTTTTTGTTACTTTTTACTCTTTCCAATAAAAAAAAAGTACAAAAAGCATATGATTTTTACAAAAAAAAAGAAAAACAAAAATATTTTTTATGACAGTGCAAAAAAAATAGGGATAGTATTAGGTATTGGGTTTTATGTTTTTAAAGATCTATCTTAAGTTTCTAAATGATGATACCAAAATAAATAAATCTGATTTTGTGTTACTAGAATGAAGCCCCTAAATCTGATTTTGTTTTATGTTCTAGTTATCTCATGCATGTCCTAAAATTTATTCTCATGTAGATAATCTGTTCGTTAAACAATATTAATGAGAATGAACTTATTTCATATCCTGTTACACAAACAGAGAGACACTACTGGCTTGTCGGCCGAGAACAAGGAACTTAAGCTGAAGTTACAGGCCATGGAGCAGCAAGCTCGCCTTCGAGATGGTACTCATCTTCTGCTATTTCTTACTGTGTGTAACTTCCAGTTAAAAATTCTTTATTTTGTAACTGTTGGTAAGTATGATATCTGGATGGCTCTGTCAGCTTTGAATGAAGCATTGAAAGATGAAGTGCAATGGCTCAAGATTGCAGCTATTAACATTCCTGGTGTCAATGGAAACAGTAGAGGGCCGCCATCTTTCCAATTTTCGACTCAATTTAGTAATCACCGGGAAAGGCAGCAGCAACAGCAGCCACACTCTGGCCCCAATCACTGTGTCTGATGACATTTTGAAGACGGCATTGCTGCCGATCTGGTATTTTACCTACACTCCCTGTATATGAAAAGAAAACTCATACATGTATTGAGGTTGTGATGATGAATGTTTATTGGGATTTAGATATTTAGTACATCTGTTACTGCCTACTTGTTGTCTGTAAAAATGAATTCTTGTGAACTAGTTTGTATAATAAAATTAAAAGGGCTTTGCTAGAGACGGTCGACTCTGTCACTGTTAATTGTGTTTTACCTTGTCTTTGGTTTCTTCATCACAAGACACGCCTCACTAGGTGCCGGACAAAAAAACAGAGGACTAACCTTCGATAAGACCAACAAAAGGTCTGTTTAGTACAAGACAGACGTTAGCAAACAGACGACAAAGACGATGCAAAAAGAATCACAAACTGTTCTCTATGCCTAAGAGGCCAGCTTCCATTCAATTAGATTATTGGAAAATGCCAAACGTAATCTTCGATGAGGATGATGAATCACCGGATAATTGAGGGCCCTCTTTATATATTGAATACTCCCACCTAAGATATCAAGCTGATTATCTCCACCTGGTGAAGATGGCTTTATTACCTCTACTGTTACTTTTCTTAGTTTTTGTAGTTTCAGCTTTCCTGCTACAGAAATGGAGTGCTCCCAAGGCAATGGAGAGGATCCCCGGAAGCCTTGGCTGGCCGGTGGTCGGAGAAAGTTTCCCTTTCCTGTCCGATTTTTCAAGCCCGGCTGGGATATTTAGCTTTATGCAGAAGAGACAGCAAAGGTAAAAGAAATTTGTCAAAAAAAGTACTTAATGAACTGCATAAGATTTTGAAATCTGTATTTGTTGCTTTGAAACAGATATGGAAAAGTGTTCAAAAGCTATGTTCTTGGAAGATTTACTGTGTTCATGACTGGTAGAGAAGCAAGCAAGATTCTGCTAACAGGTAAAGATGGGTTAGTGAGCTTAAATCTCTTCTACACTGGGAAGCAGGTCCTCGGCCCGACGAGCTTGCTTACGCAGAGCGGTGAAGCGCACAAGAGACTCCGCCGACTGATTGCCGAGCCATTGTCGGTCGACGGCATGAAACGGTACTTTCCGTTTATCAACAGCCTTGCAGTGGAGACTTTCGATCGTTGGAGCTGCGGGCAAAAAGTGATGGTTCTGGAAGAAGCCTCCACGGTTTGTTCACTGATCTTATAATCGCATAAATTGATTGAGACTTGTTTCGATTTTTACAATGTCGTGATTGAACGTTTTGTTTTTGCAGTTTACGTTGAAGGTAATAGGCCACATGATAATGAGCCTGAAGCCGACGGGGGATGAGCAAGAAAAGTTCAGATCGAATTTCAAAATCATCTCTTCTTGCTTTGCATCTCTGCCGTTCAAAATCCCGGGAACTGCTTTTTATCGCGGCATTAAGGTATTAACTATCTTGAAAATGCGATGTTCATCTTTACTGCAACCTTATTTCTTGGAAATCGATCATTGCATCTTGACAGGCTCGAGATAGGATGTATGCGATGTTCGACTCTATCATTGCGCAGCGGCGAAAGGGCGAAGGATTCCAGCAGGATTTCCTCGAATCCCTGTTGAAGAAACACAGTAAAGACAGGTCCGAGGAGAAAGACGACGAGGATGATAATAAGCTTACGGACAATCAGTTGAAGGACAACATATTAACCTTGTTGGTTGCTGGTCATGACACGACTACTGCTGCCTTAACATGGATTGTCAAATTTCTCGAAGAAAATCCTTCTGTGTTGGAGTGTCTAAGAGTAAGCAAGATCTTCTCATAGATAATAATTATATAAATCTCCGATGATCAGTTCAATAAATGTCGTCGAATTGTGGTTTTACAGGAAGAGCATCTGAAGATCAAAAATAGCAGAGATGAAGGCTCAAACCTCACCTGGACAGAAGTGAACAACATGCCTTACACCGCTAAAGTTAGCTTCAGACCTGCATTCATTTCACGCTCGATTTTTTTTTTTTAAAAAAATTAAGTTTAAACAAGCCATTAAGGTTTGTTGTCCTAAAACTTACCTACAGGTCATCAGCGAAACGCTAAGGCGCGCAACGATTCTCCCATGGTATTCAAGAAAAGCTGCGCAAGACTTCGACATTGATGGTACAGTTCCATTCGAAAGATAACTTTTTTATTACACGAGGATGGAGGTTTTGTTCTAACCTTAAATTTCAGGATACAAGATTCAAAAGGGGTGGTCTGTAAACCTGGATGTTGTGTCCATCCACCACGATCCGGAGATCTTTCCCAATCCAGAGAAATTCGATCCTTCGAGATTCGATGTAATTAAGCTTTCGAAACTATCAAAATTGTCTGTTATCATGACAACTAACGAACTAACTAACTTAGCTACCTGTTGGATTCAGGAGCCATTGAAACCTTTCAGCTTTCTTGGATTCGGAAGCGGGCCGAGGATGTGCCCCGGGATCAACCTCGCCAAACTCGAAATCTGTGTCTTTATTCACCACTTGGTCTGCAAATACAGGTCAGAAAAGTCGATCACTTTCTTATTACACAAACTGAACTGAACTGAACTTCGATCCAACAAAGTAATTTGTTGCTGCAGGTGGAGGGCCCTGGAGAAAGATGATGCTGTCCAGCCAACACTTGTTCGAATGCCCAAGAACAAGTACCCTATCATGATCGACCCTCTCTAAATTAAAGAAATTCCTGCATATATATATATATATATATATATGTATGTAAAATCTGGATTTAATGAAACTAATCACTAGCCACGAGGCGAGTGATATATATGATCTATGTTGGCAATGGCGGAACCAGGTTTCGATTAAAAAAAAAAAAAATAGAAAAAAAGAAAAAAGAATTAATTTTCCATACCAACTGCATATAAATATCTACTTAACTTTTTATTATTCAATAATATTTCTCATTTTTCAAAATATATTCACGTTTAATACAATTTTAATCACTATTTTATATTAACGTAATAAAATACACAAATATAATCTATATATATATATATATATATCTCCAAATAGATAGGCTGCATTTTTTAATCATTACAATAATCCGTTCCTTTCATGATCAACAGCTCAAAATCTAAAATAAAACATTATTCTTGCTTAATATAATTAAATAAATAATCCTTTTTAAGTTTAAAAAGCTAATCAATCACGTCATTATTGAATTTAATATTCAAAACAAACCAAATTGGAAAATATTTGTATATTTTATATAAAATATAGATTTATATTTATTATATATCTATTATATGCTTTTAGACCATAGTGGCGAACCTAGCTAAGTAGCCCATATTTTTTAAATTTTGTCCAAAATAATAAATATAGTTGTATTATCCATGATTAAAGTTGCAATAATTAATGTATCCTAAAATCGCATAAGATTCATTATTAATTTATTATTATATAATGTAGATATAATTACTTTTATAACCTTTTTTTTTTTCTTTAGATTCGTCATCATATATTACATCCTCAACCCTTTACTGTCCAATCAATTTTCGTGCCTCCATTAATAATTTTCTTAGTACAACAATTGTAATAATTTTGTTTTTTGTGCACCCATAAAACAAACCACTAACCTAATTAATTAGCTTTGACTTTGGTATGGTACAATAATTTCATATGTAGATGGCTGGATGTCTGCTTTCATTTCCACAAATATATATATATATATTTAATATTTATTACATCAATTTTTTTATAATAATTAGGCATTAAATATTTATTTTTTTCTTATAAAACATAATATCATATTAACACATAATTTTCTACTTTTTAAAAAATTTGAAAACAGATTGGTGCATTTAATTAGGATTTAAATTGTTATTCTGACTATACTATACAAGTATTATTTTTTCATAAAATAAAAATAGTGTGCAAATCAAAATTTAAAACAAAATTTCAATTTTAAATCAAATCAAAACAAATCCTTCCAACAAAACCTAAATATGTATAGATATTCACTTTCTAAAATCTACATGAAAAATTACGCAGTCCATGACGTGACGTGCAAGTCTCCATTTCCGATATAATATTTCATTATTACAATATAATACATCAGTTACTTGAAAATTTATTATTATTATTATTTTGCTCGCTGAAATTGGAACATACATCCAACTTACACGAATATTCTACAACAAAATACATGGGAAGTGTTTGGATGTATTTTGAAAAAATGAAAAATAAAAATCGCAAATCACAGTGTGAAAATATTAATAGGTTATAAATAAACATAAAAACAAACGGTTTTCTACGTGAGAAATGAATATTGAATTTGACATTTTAAAATATTGAATAGAAATAAAGATACAAACGGTTAGTTGTTCCTGTTTTGAGTTTAAATTATTGTTTTTTTTTTAATTATTGATTTTTAAATGAATATATCATATATATATATGTGATATGTTTAATAATATTAATTAGAAAATGTATAGATAAATTTTGGTTGAATAAACATAAAATATTTTTTTTTCCCATATAAATTGTTTATATTTTTTATTTTTTTATATAATTTGAAATTTTTTAAAAATAATTATACATTTTAATCTAATTAATTAATTATTCAAATCTTAATGTATAATTATTTATATTATATAATAATTATTTATATTAATATTTTTTAATTTTTATTAATTATAATTTTTTTCTAATTCGGTTTAATTTATCCCACCAAACGCGGCCTTGGGTGAGGTGCTGTAAATATAATGAGGTCCTCTGGGCTTAAGTGTAATTTCAGAAAAAGAAGTCATTTTGGTCTGACAGAACGGTCCCAATACTTATTAGTTATTACATATCCACAACCCTATCCATTCCCGCTACACCTTTTGGTTCCAAAGTCCCCACCTCCACCTCCAGCTTCCATCCCCACCTTCCCCATCCCGCTTTCTTGACTCTTTGTCCTGTGTTTCCTCTCTCACACACTACACTCGCTCTCTCTATCTATCTCTCTCACGCAGGCGCGCACACACACACCCCCATTCTTAGTAAAGAACATAAATCAGGAGTGGGTTCTAGTCTTTGTCCGAAATGCTAGAAACTGATCTGAGACATTCTTTTATAACTCAATAGTTGTTCTCTCTCTTATGGCAGCACAGTTCTTGCGTGCCCACCTACAGTGACGCCCGATCAATTTCCCCTTCCATGCCCTCTTTTATCAAACTCATTAATCGGCTGTAAATTCATATTTTGCTAGAGCTGTTCGGAAATCATACTTATATCTATTGTTTGGGGGTATTTATGGATTTCCTCGAGGAGGTGGGGGAGAGTTCTTCGCCGCGGAGCTACGGAAGTTTTGGTGGCGGCGGAGGCGGCGGCGGCGGTGGCGGAGGAATCGATGTGATCAAGAACGATGTCTACACTCGACTGATCGAGAATGGAAACGAAGAGGCGATTACGAATCCTGATTTTCGCGAACTGTTAGAAGCTCACTTCAATCGTCTCCCTCCAAGGTTTATCTTTTTTGTGCCTGCACTGCACGTGTCTGAATGTCCCAATCATTTAATTTTGTCTGACTTTGTGCGTTTTGGATCGTTCAATGCTGTGTCAGAACTATTCTTCGCTTTATTGTGTTAATGTTCGTATGTTCTAATTCCCACAAAAACCCATTGTTGTATGCATTTAAGAACTTGATCAGTCTGTTTACATTGTTGTCTTTATACAGTATTTATTGTGCTTCACATGGGTTTTAATTTGATGGATTAATTGAACTGGTAAAGAGTTAGGAATTTGGATTATTGGGTGAAATGGTTGGCATTGAATTCTGTCTATCTGCTGCATTTTAATTTTTACCTTCTCCAATTTATTTCTTGGTTATTGCTGAGGATTAGATCAAAACTAAGTTTTAATCTATGTTAGTGTTGATTGTGTTTCTCAGTTATGGACTGGATATCAATATGGATAGAGTGGAAGATGTACTGTTGCATCAAAGGCTTCTTGCAGAGGCGAAGGATCCCGAAACTCGGCCGGTTTTCCATATCCGCTTTATCGAGGTAGAAATGTTTGTTATCCTTCGATGCTCTATATAGTATTTAAAATCTATTGGTTTCGGAATAGAAAGTATGACGCAATCGTGATGATGTAATTTATTTGGAAAAATTGTCGCGTTGAGAGTATAACCAAACTTTGTGTCGAATCGTGTAAATTTAATTCTGTTGTAATCCGATAGTGTGGAACCGATGGAATAAGGTGCAATAATATGCATTTCCGGTTAAAGACTTCCATCAGATTTGGTTGTAAGATAGCTAAAGGTAGGAATTCGAAGAAGTATAAAGGGAGGCCTGAAAATGGAGCTACTTTGAATTGATCCTATACGTCATACCTTTTTTGCTTATCGTGTGAAGATTCGCAGAATATTTGTTGGCGTAATGATGTTTGTTCTTACATTATTTGTCGCATTCGGAATCTGAAACTTTAGTTAGTTATGAATATATATATATATTATCTCATCATTGTTCCCCGGATTTTTGGTTTTTATCTTTGACCAGAATGTTTCGTCTAGAGGTGACGATCTTGACGGTGGACAAGCTTCAAGTGCACCACAGACCTCACGCCCACAGGGCGCGCTCGCTAATGGTGTCCATCCATTAAATGACGGGTACTTGTGATGTTAAATAGATACGTAATTGATCTACATCCTTATGCAAATTACATTTCTGTGAATGGATATTCTTATGGCTGTTTTCATTTGTTTTCTGATTGATTAGGAACAAGAATCCTCGGGGCGACTGTGAGACTTTTTCTAAGCTTGAGGTTCTTAATTTGGAATTAATGAATCGTGATGATGTAAACGCCGGAGTACCTGCAGAGCTTATTTGCAGAAGGTACTTGTTTTATTCTTTTAACTCCAAACCAATATTTAGTCCATTTTACATTTTAATTTAGATTTTGAATATCGAGATATGTTTTGCAGGCAGGAAGCGTTGCCTTCGCCAATCCATGAAGTAATATTTTCTACTGTTGATAAGCCTAAGCTTCTTAGTCAGGTGAAGAGAAAATCGTTATGATTAACTATCTTTGGTTTGTGGTCTTTACGGAGTTTTTTGAGTTTCCATTGCTCCTGTAACTTTTTGCAGCTCTCTGCTTTGCTCTCTGATATTGGACTTAACATTCGTGAAGCTCATGTGTTTTCTACAACAGATGGATACTCTCTTGATGTATTTGTTGTCGACGGATGGCATACTGAGGTATATATACTGCCCTTGATTAAGATGATATCTGAATTTGTAGCTGTGGTTTAGTATTCAAAAGTTGTAATGAAATTTAGTTTCTCATTTTACAATCTAGGATACAGAAGGTTTGTATGATGCAATGAGAGAAGCAATTAATGGAAGAGAGGTAATGATTATGGAGTACGAATTAATACGTCCCGTTGCATTGTTCTGGTCTTGTATGATCCTCTAGTTCATCGAAAATTGATTTTATGAATTTCTTACTGATTTGAGTACACTTCCTAGTCACTAATCGGCTTAGAATTATTCAGGGATCATGGCCAGCTTCATCCCACTCTCGTTCAGCAGGGAAGAAACCTATTGTTGCGCCAACGCCGTGTGAAGATTGGGAAATCGATTGGACATTATTGAAGATCGGAGAAAAAATAGCTGTTGGCTCTTGCGGAGATCTGTTAGTCCACATCCATATATATGTTGCATTTGCAGATTTATATAATCCCGGCACTTTCCTACGATTTCATTTTAGTTGATTTTCAGGTATCGTGGAATATATCTTGGAGAGGATGTTGCCATCAAGATCCTTCGATCCGAGCACTTGAATAGCTCTCTGGAGGCTGAGTTTGCTCAGGAAGTTGCCATATTGAGGTTATTTCTTATTATTGCCTCAGCTACTTCAAATTTGCATCAAAGAACCGTTTCTATTGAAAATTTTGAAATTTGCTCTCCTGGATGCAGGCAGGTACAACACGAAAATGTCGTGCGCTTCATTGGCGCTTGCAAGGAAGCGCCGCATTTATGCATAGTTACAGGTATTGTAGTTCTTCCTACGACGGGAAAATTCACTCTTTCGGCTCCTGCAATAAATTGATATTATTACATTATATTAACATTCCTTGTGTCACGCTCGATTCCATCAGTTGATTATGTCATGATTGATTTTCTTTGTTAGAATACATGCCCAGAGGGAGTCTATACGAATACCTACACAAGCAACATCTTGTGCTGAATCTACCGCAACTGCTGAAGTTTGCGATCGATGTCTGCAAAGGAATGGATTACCTCCATCAAAATAGTATCATCCATCGAGATTTGAAAACTGCAAATTTGCTCATGGATACTTCGAATGTGAGTTTTTTTTAAATATCAGGTTTCCTTGCCGTACTTTTGAACTTTTTAGCATATAATCGACTGGTTTATATGTTGATCGGTGCAATGAATTGTTTCAAGGTTGTTAAAGTGGCAGATTTGGGGGTCGCTCGTTTCCAGAACACGGGAGGGGTCATGACGGCGGAGACAGGAACGTATCGATGGATGGCACCTGAGGTAGCACTAAATGTTACTTTTTTAATTCGTCCCTTTCGATTTCAAGCATTTGTCTTACTCAGCTCTAATTACCTATCCGTCAGGTAATAAATCATCAACCGTACGACCAAAAAGCAGACGTCTTTAGTTTCGCCATAGTTCTTTGGGAGCTCGTGACGTCAAAGGTGTCTCCCCATACGATTGTTATTACATGGGCAATGATTTTGTTAATCGATTGATAAAACTTACTTTTGCTTACAGGTCCCATACGATACAATGACGCCTCTGCAAGCTGCCCTCGGAGTGCGACAGGTTTGAGAACGGTGTCAGAATGTATGTTAAGGTTCGAACACATGTCATGATGATTATGTTTACATCGTCTTGTAGGGTCTTCGACCTGAACTCCCGGAAAATGCGCATCCGAAGCTATTAGACCTGATGCAGCGATGTTGGGAGACTGTTCCGGACAAGAGACCTTCGTTCCGCGAGATCCGAGCAGAGCTCGAGGAACTCCTGCATAGAGTAAATGTAGGTATGTATGTATGAAGATTTGATCTTACACAGAATTCTTGCCTGTCTAGACATGGTCTTTTTTTTTTTTTAAAGTTGATTTTTTGGTGCAGGATTCGGACAATGCTCCAAACGAATGACTACTACTACTGCTGCTGCTGACTGAATTTTGGTACTAATTAAGGAGAGGGTGTTGAGTACTGAGCTAGCTGACTATATATATATATATATATATGTATATATATGTTTATAACATTGCTGAGGGATATTATAAGTGTTTTCACATGTGAAAAACGTGTGTGGATATTTTATAATCAGCAATCTAATTTTGGAAAGGAATGTGTCCCAATTATGTGCAGGCTGACACTGTCGCTATCATCCGATCTGAGTGTTTTTGGATTGTAAATGTAAATGGGAATTTATGTCACTACTACATCGGACAATTTAATGACCTCCCTTGTTTAACAGAAATATAAAGATAAAGAATTCCGATCTTGCCTAGAAAATAATTTTTAGTATAATAAATAAATAAAAAAAAGACCGATATTGGAAAAATCAAACAAAGCTTTATTTGTTACCAAATTATATGTGAAAGAGAGCACAAATTAACAACGGTAGCAAAGGTGAGTAGGCACAATTGAACACTTTATTATTGCATTCGACACCAACGGGACGAAATGCCAAAAGATTAATACAATGAGGAAATAAAAACAACAAATCACAATATGCTACGACCAATTCGTAAACCAAATAAATAATATACGATATATAAATAATGGTAAGAAGATCGATCGTATATATCTTAATTGATTGAGCTCCAAGTGGGATTTTTATTATTATTGTTCTGGAGTTGTTGCCCTTGAGTCACGTGCATGGATGATCTTCCGCCCTTCATTATTGATCCCCTAGCTTTCCTGTGTCCATATCAATATGTTATATGTTGGATTAGTGACATGCATAAAAATATACGTGTTTACAAATTGATTATATATATTTTATAAGTCCTGATAGGTCAGTACGAAGGAAAGTTAATTGCATGCTTGATCCTAGATACTAGAATATGATGGATGGAACTTACTTACTTAGCTTGGGAACAACGAATTGAAGGTGACTTCTTAGTGGTGGTAAGGAGGTGGCGGTGGAGAGCTATAGAGGTAAGGGTGATGCGGTGGCAACTGGTGGACATGTGGAGGTGGTGGTGGAGACGTGTATTTGTAGACATGGGTAGGCGGCGGAGGTGATTTGTATTTATAAACTGGGGTTGGTGGCGGAGGAGATTTATACTTGTAAACTGGGGTTGGAGGTGGCGACTTATATTTGTAAACTGAAGTTGGCGGTGGGGGAGATTTGTACTTATAAACTGGTGGTGGTGGTGACTTGTATTTGTAAACTGGAGTTGGTGGTGGTGGAGATTTGTACTTATAAACTGGTGGTGGTGGGGACTTGTATTTGTAAACTGGAGTTGGCGGTGGAGGGGATTTGTATTTGTAAACAGGAGGTGGTGGTGGTGACTTATATTTGTAAACTGGAGTTGGTGGTGGTGGCGATTTGTATTTGTAAACTGGGGGTGGTGGCGACTTGTATTTGTAAATTGGAGTTGGTGGTGGTGGAGATTTGTATTTGTAAACTGGGGGTGGTGGTGACTTGTATTTGTAGACTGGAGTTGGTGGTGGTGGAGATTTGTATTTGTAAACTGGGGGCGGTGGCGATTTGTATTTATAAACTGGAGTTGGCGGTGGAGGAGATTTGTATTTGTAAATTGGAGTTGGAGGTGGAGGTGGAGGAGATTTGTACTTGTAAATTGGCGGTGGTGGAGACTTATATTTGTAAACTGGAGTTGGGGGTGGAGGCGATTTGTACTTGTAAACTGGCGGTGGTGGGGACTTATATTTGTAAATTGGAGTTGGGGGTGGAGGGGACTTGTACTTGTAAACTGGTGGTGGTGGTGACTTATATTTGTAAACTGGAGTTGGCGGTGGGGGAGATTTGTATTTATAAACTGGAGTTGGTGGGGGAGGAGATTTATACTTGTAAACAGGTGGGGGCGGGGACTTATATTTGTACACGGGTGTTGGAGGTGGAGGAGATTTGTACTTATAAACTGGTGGTGGTGGGGACTTGTACTTGTAAACTGGAGTTGGGGGTGGAGGAGATTTGTACTTATAAACCGGTGGTGGTGGCGATTTATATTTGTAAATTGGAGTTGGAGGTGGAGGAGATTTGTACTTATAAACTGGAGTAGGGGGTGGTGGAGATTTATACTTGTAACTTGGCGGTGGTGGCGACTTATATTTATAAACTGGAGTTGGCGGAGGAGGGGATTTATACTTGTAAATAGGAGGGGGTGGAGACTTATATTTGTACACTGGTGTTGGAGGTGGAGGAGATTTATACTTGTAAACTGGAGGGGGTGGAGATTTATATTTGTAGATCGGAGTAGGTGGTGGAGGAGATTTATATTTGTAAACAGGTGGAGGTGGGGACTTATATTTGTACACCGGTGTCGGAGGTGGAGGAGATTTATACTTATAAGCTGGTGGAGGTGGGGATTTGTATTTGTAAACCGGTGGTGGAGGTGACTTATACTTATAAACGGGTGGAGGTGGTGGTGGTGATTTATATTTGTACACTGGAGGCGGAGGCGGAGGGGATTTGTATTTGTAAACTGGCGGCGGCGGCGGTGGAGAGGCGTAGTGGTAAGGTGGCGGAGGAGGAGAAGAATAATAGTAATTAGCTTGGATTATTGAAGGAAAGCAAAGTGAGATAATTGCCACAGCCAAAGTAGCCATTGGGGAAGCCATTGAAGACTTTTTTGTTCCCATTTTTGGGATTTTTCCTGAGGTTGCATTTCTTGCCCATTTCCAACCCCTTTTTATAGCTTCGATCAATCATTGCTATCTCTTTATTATATTGCAATTTGGCTTTATTAAAATAAATAAAATCACTAGTTATCCTTTGATTGGCTGTCAATAATTGATGTAACGCGTTGACTTCTAAATGTCAGTGTGTGTTTAGTTTCTTGTCTCTTTCTGATACAATAATTTGTCCCAAAAAAAAAAAAAAGATGATTTAAAAGTTTCATCAAAACGAGTGGAAGGAAAGTGGTGTCCGAATTTGCAATTAATCTGGATTTATTGCACTAATCGTAAGTTCATCAGTAATTTATAATATAGTAATTATTGCAAAAAAATTTAGTTTGATTTATCCATTTGCCTGATCTTGTTGGTGACCATACGTGTTAAGGAAAGGTCAACTTTGCAACCACTGCATGGTATGCATGCAAGCTTGCATTGTGAAATTAAATAATTGCTAGAGATGAATTCAAATATGCTAAAAAATAAAATAAAATAAATGAAATGAAATGTTGTAATTTTAGTAACATAATTAAATTAGCTGGATTAATTGATTAGGTGAGGACCAAATCAAACTTTGCATTTTCCATAGAGACAACATGCCAAAGCTTCGCTGTTCCATTAGTTGATCAATTATAATTTAATTTTCATTATTGGTTAATCATCATATATATGGTTTGACATTCACAAATGTACACACATGTATTTCGTAGGATTAGTTAAATTTGGTATGATTAGGACAATTGACATAATATATATATATATATAGCAATATACTAGGTTGATGATCATATTTGTTCATTACTTGTAAGAAAAAATATTCACCACAATACAAATGTTTTTGCTATTACAGAAAATTTATGGGCTTGTTCAGTTATGTTTTTCTTTATTATATATTTATAACATTTTTTTTCTTAAGTACACTTTCCTTTTATTGATTTTTGTTCCTAGAGTTTACTTGTTAAATAAAAAAGAGAAAAAAAAAGTAGCAAAAAAGATCTTGAATAACTTTTAATGATCTGGTTTAAAACAAAATTTTCATTTTGTGAATATATATATATATATATCTTAAAAAATATGGATCTATTTATATAGAGATCAATTGTAATTAATAAGTCTGTCTAATGTATATTGCAAACTGAAATTATGAAATTAATTATTCCTTAAATAACGTGTGAATGCATGCAACAGTATGAATACATATGGTATCTTGGTTTATTTATTATATATATATATATATTTTATGCAAAAATAATTATATAATGCAGTAGTTTATATGAAAATTGAATATTAAATATTACATTTTAAATAAAACATAAAAGATCGAACAATAAAATTTTTAAAAAAATAAAAAATAAAGAGCACTTCCATTCTTTTCCCCGACTCATTATATATGTATATAAATTCTAACAGATTAGTTTAATCAATTCAGCGCCGGAAGTGTGAAAACAGAAAATGGAATAATACTATTCAATGATCAACGGACCAGATTTAACGTTGAGTTTGACCGAGTGGACAAATCAACGCTGGACAATGCGTAACTCCTTTGACGCTGACGTTGCATGCATGCACGCACTATCTTAGTTCGATACATTATAGGAGCTTAAATCAATCGGTATTATTAGGTAATTATTTTCTTACATGTCAGACTTGTCTGTTCTTTTTTTAATAAATTACCTAAAATTAATTATTGTGGCATATTATCCACCGACATGGCCACGCCATTTTCAATTAATTATAATCGTACATACCTAATAAGAATCACACATGTCACATGTTATCCTTGTTTCTAATTTGTAGATTGATTAATCATTTAATAAATCCATTATATATGAGTCTAATCTTCAAATCAAAATTAACATTATTCATCTTACAATTTCAATAAAAATATATTATTTTATTTTTTTAAAAAAATTAACGTAACATCACTGTACGTGTATTTCGAATGTACTGTTATATTCATATTTTATTTTTGATTTTTGATTTTTGTATGATTTTATTTATTTATTTAAAATTGTGCTTTTATACACACACACACACACATATATATATATATATATAACTTTTATAGCCCAGTATGTATTTTAGCCCAAACTCTCCAATCATTATAATATTTGCTTAAGATGGGCTCTTAATGAAAACTAAACAAACTCGTAATAACTGCTTAATTCGTGACAATAGTAGCCTCTATTTCTTTTAGGTTTGATTTTGATAGTTTACTATTTATGTACATTTTTTTTTTTTAATACATTTCAGAAAAATCAAATTTTGTATTTAACACATCATGTCAAGCACCCTTCATATATATATATATATGTACGTACTGCTGCATGCACATGCACGAGGGCAGTGAGTTGAAGAAGATATTTATTGATGAACCAAAAATGTGGGAAAATGAATTAATTAATAAAATCTAAAATCTGAAATGGGCCCACAAATATAGTGTAGTGTGGGCCGACAGACCAAAACCAGTGGGTGAGTCTTGTCCAAAAACCCCATTCGAGCTTTAAATTTTGGCTTCTTCTCCCACAAAGTTAGCCTTTGTATTGCTTTTATCTTATCACTCTACTCTACTCTACCTTTTCTTGCTTTTCCATTTTCCACACACATTTTAATACATACTTATAATATTATAATATATTTCTATATATATATATGTGTTATTGCGTTTAAATGATTGCAAAATGGGAAGGCGGCTTTCAGATGAATTTTTTTATTAATTTCCTCTTTATATTATTATTATGATTGCATTTTGCTGCTATCATTACTGCTGATTAAATAACTCATCACCTTACTTACTAGATTGCTTTTTTCTGTGCCAAAGGTGGCTTTATTTTCCCTTTTTCTTACAAATAAAAAATTGCGATCTAGGTCGGGTCGGGTCGGGTCGGGTCGGGTTCTGAAACTGAAGTTGATGATGGTGTCTGTCTCTTAACTTATGATGTTTGGTTTTGATAATTAAATTCTATCGTAAAGCATTTATGAATTATTCAAATTTGTTTTTATTTTATTTATATGCGGAGGAATTGGGTGATGGTTGGGCCCATCTGACTTATGTTGTTTGGTCGCCTACCAAATCCCCAAACTGCCTCTTCCCAACATAATTCTCCTATTTCCACCCACGTTGCTAACTAGGAAGATTTTATTAATTATTCCTTAATTTTTTGGGAATAACCCTCCAAAAAATTTTCAAACTATTTTTAATTTAATTCTACCTCGGCCTCGGCTATGCTATGGCTGTTTTTACTACTACAACAACAGTTTTATACATTATGCTATCAACTTTGAGAAATGCGACAGATTCTGTGGATCGGATTGGATTCGATCGAAACATTTCTTCTTATAAATGAATTAACTGTGCGAAAGTCTCAAGAAAATAAAATGGAATTTGGTTATAGAAATAACCGAAGGTGACAACGTGGCAGGCAAGGTGCGCTAAGGCAGAGGGGAGGGCATTTTGGGTAATTCAGACATGTGGATGGTCCACTTGGACCAGCTTTTGTCCCACCCGACCCGACCACCTTCGCTCCGGTCGCTTCACTTGTCTCAACCCCCACCCCCACCCCCACATATTTATTTACTTAAGGCTAATTTAATTTAATTTGCTGTGTGCTGTTTAATAAATAATTGGTAAATAAATAATATGCTGCCAATTCGTGACTAGGTGGTGTTTAAAAATTTAAATCTGAAAAAGCAACACATCCATCTTATTTAATGTTACAGCGGTTGATTTTATTTAATTCTACCAAGTAGTAGTTCTATTTATTTGTTATTATTTTACAATAATTATTGCTAGTTATTGATGGGGTGCTTTATTAAATCGAGAGGATTAATTTATGCAGCGCAAATTTGAATGGTTTAGGGTGGGTGGAGGTGCACCCGACCGCACCGGATCATAGCTCTATGGCCTTGTTTTTCTGGCTGGCTGTCTCTCTCCTCTCTCTCTCAGGCAAAGTTTCGGAATTGCTGCCGCTGCTGCTTTTCCCCATCTTTGACTCCGTACTTTCTCTTCTCGTCTCTTCTCTTCTGCTAAGCCTTCATCATCGTCTCATTCTCCTCTTTTCCTCCATTAACTTCTTGAAATTAGCCAACATTTTTTGGTACAATTGACCATTTGGTTTTTAGTTTTTAATTTTGCTATCGGTTGCCGGAGCCGGTGGAAGGGCCGGGGGACGACTGGGGGTGGGGTTGTTCATACGACTGGGACGGGCTTTTGCGACGTCGGAGGACTGAGTCAACTGGGAGAACGGAGCTTTGTTTTGACTTGGGGACTTTGGCGGCAAAAGGTTAGCGTAGAATTCGGGAACCGATAGTTTTCCGGCTAGGTTTTTTCAGATCTGGAAAAGGGGGGAACCGCGGGTGTTTTTGGTGGGAAATTTGATTTTTGTTTTGGGGAATTTTGAACGGGAGGAGACGGAAGCTAGTTGGTGGTGTGAATGGTTGCTTGCGGCGGCAGAGGAAGCGGTGGCGCGTTGGCATGATAATGAGCGGAGTCGGATGGTGGCGGCGGTGGTGTTGGTGCGGTGGTGAGAGTTTCACATGGAATGGCAGATCTTGTTAGCTACGGGAATGCCGACCGTGACATCGAGCAGGTGTTCTTTCCCTTTTGATTTATGTATTTCGATGTAATGATCCGTTCCTATATAATATCATAGGTTATGATCGATGAAGGATCACATGTTTTTTAATTTGACCACGAAAGCCCAGATTTTTATGGATTCTATTTTGGGAATTGGTGGTTTTACATTAAAGGAAGAGAATTTTCTTGGCTGATGTTAAAACATTTACGTTAAAGCCTGTAAATTCTTCAAAAATTGCAAAATCCGAATTGGAGTGTGGATTTGGAAGTTGGATAAAATGCATCTGTAGTTCTTTCGGGGCGTGATCAGTCACTTTCATTATGTATCCATGATTGTCTAGTATAGTTCACTATCTAGCTGAGTGACTGTTAATTATTTCTAGAATGACCTGTAAATTCTTGAGAATAGGCTATTGGCCCTGAAGCTTTTGAATCTTCTTTGCTTGTTTTCTGCTGTTACACCTCTTACACAAAGAAAGCATAAAGAGCATATATATTTAAATTGGAAACAAAATTTGGATAGGAAATAATGGCCAGGTAGCCGACATGAAGACAATTACGAGGATACTAGAAGTTGAGTTTTGTTTTTAATGCCTACTATTTTGATTTTATCAGCTCATACTTCTTATTTGTTACTATAATTACTCCATACAATGCATGTTCTGGATAGGGCACTGGGCATCAGATCTCTTATGGGAGTAACATATGTTATTATTTGTAATGTCGTACATTCTTACAGCGAAGGAGTAGAGGAAATTTGGGGGGGAGAGGGTTCTTACAGTATTCTTTACTTCCAAGACCTTGCTATTACTGTGCAGATGTGTGTGGTTTTGCTTTAAGTGGTGATTGTAGTGTGCTGTTCATAAATATAATTGTGTCCTTAGTTTGGGAAAAAAATAACTTTCTGCAATTATACATTTTCGTATCTCTGCAGGCATTGATTGCTCTAAAGAAGGGAGCTCAACTACTGAAATATGGTCGTAAGGGGAAGCCAAAATTTTATCCATTTAGACTTTCTAGTGTAAGGGTCTCTCCTATAATATACAGTAATTGGTATTATGTTATTTCGACAGTGATATTTTACTCACAGATTTGGTAATATCATTCTTTCTTTTTCTTCTTCTGTTTTACCATCTTGGCATTCCAATTTCTGTTTTCAAATCATAATTTGCTTTCGTAAATTGTCTGAGAATTGATATAGTATTAGCTCATCATTAATGCAACAAATTAGGACAAATGTTTTATGTGTGAGAAATTCTATGCAATTGAATATAATTTAATTTAGGATTGAGTTGGTGGGGCAGAGTTGGTTTTAAGATTTGTCTACACTAATTATTTTAGACAATATATGTTTTCGTGTTAATTCTGTTAGGTGATGATGATTTCTTTACTACAGGATGAAACATCTTTAAGTTGGATTTCTAGTAGTGGTGAAAGAATTTTGAAATTAGCTTCGGTTCAAAGAATCATACCTGGACAAAGAACTGTAAGATTCTTCCAACTTTGTTCATTTAACTGATTTGCTTTATCATGCTGTTAACAAAAATCTTTCGTCGATTAAACATTGCACATCTGCTTCGCCTATCTTTCAATTCATTTTTACAATTGGTGCCGACCTATTGTCCAGGCTGTTTTCCAACGTTATCTGCGCCCTGAAAAAGAGTACTTATCCTTCTCTCTCATATATAACAACGGGAAAAGATCCCTTGACCTGGTGGGTGTCGACCAAAATTTCATTGTAATGATCTGCCCTCTATTTTGCTGTTTGATTGTAATTCATCTTTATATATTTCTTGTAAATACTAGATTTGCAAAGATAAAGTTGAGGCAGAAATCTGGATAGCTGGCCTCAAGGCATTAATTTCATCTGGACAAGCAGGGCGTTCAAAAATTGATGGGTGGAGCGATGGGGGTATCTATTTCGATGTAAGTTTCAGCCTCGAAAATCTCCTTGTTCATGCTCTCTCATGTTTATAAAGATGTTTATTATTTGGGATAATGCTCATTTTAGATGCTCCTAGCTTGATTAAATCTGATGATTTCTTGGCCGCATGATTCCAGAACAACAAAGATTTGACGTCCACTAGTCCAAGTAACAGTTCTGTGAGTGTTACCCGAGAAGTTAGCTCGCCTGACCCTTCTGTCAGTTCAAGCACAATCACGTCTCCAAAGAGCAATCGTGGTGAGAACTTGATATTCTCAGAAAGGTCACATGTGTCATTGGATCAAACAATGCAAGTGAAAGGATCAGGTTCAGATGCTTTTCGGGTTAGTGTATCTAGCGCCCCTAGTACTTCCAGCCACGGTTCTGCGCCAGACGATTGCGATGCATTAGGGGATGTGTATATTTGGGGTGAAGTTATTTGCGACAACATTGTCAAGGTTGGGCCGGAAAAGAACACAAGTTCCATCAGCGCAAGAACTGATGTTCTTCTACCCCGGCCGTTGGAATGCAATGTTGTTCTGGACGTGCATTATATAGCATGTGGGATCAAACATGCCGCCCTTGTCACGAGGCAGGGTGAGGTCTTCTGTTGGGGAGAAGAAGCTGGCGGACGGCTGGGCCATGGAATCGGGAAAGATGTCACTCAACCTTGCCTTGTGGAATCATTAAGTTTTTGTAGTGTCGATTTTGTTGCCTGTGGAGAGTTTCACACTTGTGCTGTCACAATGGCGGGTGAGCTTTACACATGGGGCGACGGAATGCACTATGCTGGGCTCTTGGGTCACGGCACTGACATCAGTCATTGGATACCAAAGAGAATTTCAGGTCCACTTGAGGGTCTTCAAGTTGCATCAGTAACCTGTGGCCCTTGGCATACTGCGTTGATAACGTCAATGGGACAGCTCTTTACCTTTGGAGATGGGACTTTTGGTGTTTTGGGCCATGGAAACCGAGAAAATGCTTTTTATCCGAGGGAGGTTGAATCGCTGTCGGGGCTGAGGACTGTAGCTGTTGCATGTGGAGTTTGGCATACTGCCGCTGTTGTTGAGGTGATCGTAACCCAATCCAGTGCTAGTTTTTCATCCGGAAAATTGTTCACTTGGGGAGATGGTGATAAAAATCGTCTCGGCCATGGCGACAAGGAACCTCGCCTAAAGCCCACATGTGTGCCTGCGCTTATCGATCACAATTTCCACAAGGTTGCCTGTGGACACAGCTTGACTGTCGGACTGACCACATCTGGTCGTGTTTTCACTATGGGAAGTACGGTATATGGTCAGCTTGGAAATCCCCGTTCTGATGGAAAGCTACCTTGCTTGGTGGAAGACAAGCTCCCCGCTGAATCTGTCGAGGAAATTTCTTGCGGCTCTTACCATGTTGCTGTGTTGACATCGAAGAATGAAGTGTACACGTGGGGCAAAGGAGCTAATGGAAGATTAGGCCACGGAGATATAGAGGATCGGAAAATGCCCACAGTAGTTGAAGCTTTAAAAGATCGACATGTTAAATCTATTGCCTGTGGTTCGAATTACACAGCTGCCATATGCCTTCACAAATGGGTTTCGGGCGCTGAGCAGTCTCAATGCTCGGCTTGTCGCCAAGCTTTTGGTTTTACAAGAAAGCGGCATAATTGTTACAACTGTGGACTAGTACACTGCCATGCTTGCAGTTCTAGGAAAGCACCTCGGGCAGCATTGGCGCCGAATCCCAGCAAACCCTACCGTGTATGTGACGCGTGTTTTGTGAAACTAAGTAAAGTGGCAGAAGCCGGAGCTAGCAACAGGAGGAATTCCGGGCCGAGGCTATCTGGTGAAAACAAGGACAGGTTGGACAAGGTTGATCTAAGGTTGGCCAAGTCGGCGCAGCTGTCTAACCTTGATTTAATCAAACAGCTAGATATCAAAGCAGCCAAACAAGGAAAGAAGGCCGATACATTTTCTTTTGGCCGCGCGTCGCAAGTTTCCCTGTCGCAGCTGAGAGATGCTGTTATGCCTTCTGGCGTCGAGGCGCGCCGAGCTGTTCCGAGGCCAGTTCTTGCACCCTCGAGTGTTAGTTCAAGATCTGTGTCGCCCTTCTCGAGAAAGCCAAGTCCACCGCGGTCTGCAACACCAGTCCCCACAACAGGAGGTCTTTCGTTCTCCAAAAGTGTTGCTGACAGCATAAAGAAGACGAACGAACTTCTGAATCAGGAAGTGCATCAGTTGCGGTTGCAGGTAGATCTCTATCTTCCTGCTGTTCGATATTTAAATTCTGAAGGAAATTTTTATATTTCTGAATACAATGATTGTCTACGCCGTTTAGGTTGAAAGCCTTAAGAACCGCTGCGAATTGCAAGAGCTGGAACTCCAACGATCGGCTAAAAAGGCTCAGGAAGCAGTGGCAGTAGCTGCAGACGAATCAGCTAAGTGTAAAGCTGCAAAAGAAGTTATAAAATCACTCACTGCGCAGGTAAACTTAGTTTTGCTTTTGTATGTCACTCACAGAGCGAACCTTGCTTATTTTTCTTGTATGAACATTCCAGCTTAAAGACATGGCTGAGAGATTGCCACCGGGGGCCTACGATGCTGAAAGTCTCAAGCTAGTTTACCTGCCGAATGGGTTGGAACCGAATGGCATTCACACCCTCAGTGAAAATGATGAAAGAATTTCGAAATCTGATGCTTACTCAGTCCCAGATTCTGCGATTTCAAAATTGCCTGCCGAAACAGCTGCTATTGATGAGAGTAGCTCGAATGCTCAGGGCATCAGTCTACCCACCTCTAATGGAGCAAATGATCATCAGGATGGAAGATTCTCTGATGGCAGAGGAGCTGCTCAGGTCTACAGAGGCAGTTTATCCGAAAGCCCCGACACAAAAGACTCCGGGCCATACCAGGACGGAGAAACTGGCGGATTGAAGCCAAAGAACTCTGTAGTTCCAGCAAACGCCAGCCACATTGAAGCTGAATGGATCGAACAATATGAGCCCGGTGTATATATTACGCTTGTAGCCCTTCGAGATGGAACCAGAGATCTCAAGCGCGTGCGATTCAGGTATTTTAGTTTCAAACGTTATCCTTCGATGCTATACTATACTGTAATAACACTAAATTTGTGCCATGATATTACGCAGCCGGAGAAGATTTGGGGAACACCAAGCGGAAACATGGTGGTCGGAGAATCGCGAGAAGGTTTATGAGAAATACAATGTCCGTGGATCGGACAAGTCATCGGTGTCCGGTCAGATCTGATGTGAAGAAACTAGCTCCATCTTCCTACATTGGGATTAGAATCAGGATATTGTATTAACACCTCCACCTGAGCCATATAATGAAGAAGGCAATACTTCATTTTTTTGTCCCATTATGGTACATCTTCTTGTTCTTCTTCTTCTCTATCTGTTAGTTATTCTCAGTTTAGTATTCTTGAAGAAAAGCTCAAGACTTGTTCAATCTACTGCCTGTTTTTTTAATATTTCTAGCATTATGTATGTATGTATGTATATAATAAACTCTCATTTATTCCATGCCAATCGTCCCTACCTTTAAATGATAGAGAAATGCATAAATTATATATATATATATATATATTATTATACAGTCCTCCAACACCTACCCTCATCTCCCTTCTTGGCTACCTTGCATTAAAAGTTCAGAAAACCATTAAAAAGAAAACAAGCAAGGAATATTGGGATGTATCAAAAGAATTCCAACATGTATATATGAACTTAATGAGAACCTCAGAGGAATATCTGACACTGAAATAAACATTTATACAGTTATACTTGCATATATATATATATATAAGTATGTATGAATGCATATGTATATTAAGTGTTTAGATAAGTGATTCTTGCTTGTAACACACAATTAACAGTCACAATGAAATCTGCCTAAGTGAATTCAGCAAATATGAAGAGCTGGTTTCTCTAACTATGGACAGACCTGATTCAAGAATAGTCACATTCACAGCTCGACGGTCACACACACACACACATACACTATCCTCTCCCGGTAACTATAATTAGCTGGGAGAGTTCTTCTCATGTATAGTATATAAATATATGTATATATATATGTGTGTGTATATGTTTCAGGGTGATCTTCCCCTGCTGTCCACACTGATGCCATTGTGTCTGCAGGAAGGGCCGCTAGGCGGAATCGGGACACCCTTGGGCAAAAACCCGAAGAAACCATTTGCAGTGGGATCATGCATCTGCGGTTTAATCATGACAACCTTTGCCTGCCTCGCCTCAACTGCAAGATGATCAGAAGGGAGGATGAATAAAAGGACTAGAACAATAAGTAATCTAGCCATCATGGAAGAAGGGAAGAAAGAAATAGAGTATGGAGAAATATATAGAAAAGGATTCTTGATTTTCTGCAGTTTGTAAGTAATATATAGAGAGTGTGTGTGTGTGTGTGTGTGTGTCAGACTCAGTTGAAGAATGTGGTTTTATTAGTTGATGTGTGAAATAAATGCTGGGGCACCATCACATATAATATATATATATAGATACACAGAAAACAGACAGAGACATGAGGAAAACTTGTGTCTGAAGTTTATGGAGGAAGGAAAGAACAGAAAGGAGAGGTGCAAGAGGAGGCATGGGATGGGGTATTGTCTCCAATGCCAATGCATTTTTGAGGTAATTTTTGAGAGTAACACACACACAGTGACGCCTGCTTGAGTAATGACAAATGATAATTCCTACATATCTGTAACTTTACTATTTCGAAATAGTTCTTCCATACTGTAGTTTAGTATGATTGTAGTATAGAGAAATGCCCAAATGGCAAAACATGCAACCAAAGTAAAGGAGGAACAAACAAAATGGAAAATGGGTAACATGCAAAATGGTGGAGGAATGCATATATCAAGAAAAAGGGAGGTGCAGATGTTGAATGGTTAGGTGGGGAAATAAATAGCCGACTACCACTACCACTACCAAAACCATATCTATATCTATATCTATATATAAAATAAAATAATCACAATGATAATAGATATCAATTTTGAAGTTTCAGGTTGTAGGCCTTCCTCTAAACAGTGCCAATATGACCTTAATTCAATGTTTATCTTCAAGTTATAAGTGAAATGTGAAGCTGCTTCTTTTTTTTTGTTTTTTCCCCTTCACTACCACAAAAGTATCTGTTCTTCAGCATTAACATTAATGGGACACAGTTATTTTTTACCTGGATAAATGCTGGTTTGTAGTTCTTGAGTCTTGAAATGTATTGGGTTTTCTTTATATATTTTTAAATTTCATCTGAGATCCATATTTACTACTATTATTCTCTTATTTTGTGCGTCTTCTCATGTAGTTTTCTATGTCCTTTTCTCACAACCAGTTCAAGTTTCACTTGGTGCTTTCTTGTAAAGTTGTTCCATTTCTAAGTTAGGGTATGAGATGTAATGTATAGTAAATGTCTTAACACTAAGCAAAGGATCATTTTTACCTCAAATTTACCACACACTTGGAAGCTTCTCAAAGAAAGAAAATTCTCAACCCTTTCAAGTAATTCTCCATCAAGAGATTAGCTGCCATTGTTACTCAAATTGGGTATTAGAAAGCAAATTAAAGGTGGCTAAAGAAACAATAACAAATCTGTTAGGTTTAAAGAAACTTATGTGTATGAAAACAACAAGTATTACATCCTACCAAAACAAATTTTAGTTTAAAGCTTTAGCAAAGTGAAAATTTGCAAGGCATCAAAGAGGCATGAAATTGAAATGAATGACAAGAAATATTCATAGCAAGTTCAAATGTCAATAAAATGAAAACTACAAAATAGCAACTAATTTAGAAATCAATGTCAGATACCGATATCAACAAAGCAAGAATCACTGGGAAGGCAAATCTCCAAACATTCAATAAACTGCCGAGGACCAAGAGCAAGACAAAAACCTCATTTTGATAAAAACAAGAGTACTTCAGCAGAATTGACATGAAAATGGGAAAGAATTGGATGGATGCCTTCCAAGCTTTCAATCATCCCTATAAAAACAGCACGTGCCAGAAGTTTTGATCAATCAGATATATAATATAAGTAGAGGACAGGATTCAGGATTGGCAAGATCACCACCTATCAATCATGAGCGACCTGTGGGACGATCATATGGGCCTGATCGATCACGACTATATTTATCACTCCCTGATCCACCACGACTGCCTGAATCTCTGCTGCTTCGGCTACTGTATTTATCACTACCACGATCAGGGCCATAGCGACTGCTGCCACCTCCACCACCGCCACCACCTCCGTATCTGTCATCCCTCCCGCCATATCTGCCTCCTCTAGAACCTTCTCCAGATGGGCATTCCCTTGCAAAATGTCCGGGCTTTCCACATTTGAAGCAATCCCCACCAGATCCACGCCCGCCACCACTATCATAGTTCCTACCTCTATCGCGATCACGATCACGACCCCGGTCACGGTCATGGTCTCTGTCCCCATCCCGGTCTCTACCAGATCCTTGGTTTGGTTGAGCTTTATCGACAGTAATAGATCGCCCATCCAAATCCATTCCATTCATCGCTTCCATTGCCTCTTCCATAGCTCTTTCTTCCTCAAACGAAACAAATCCAAAACCACGGGAGCGGCCAGAGAACTTGTCAACCACAACCTGACAAAAGAAAATGGTCAATTTTTAGACTTCATTCATAAACAATATGACTGTATTGTTAGGTGAGGTACTTTGTAGCAAACAAATTGAAAGATAAACCTCATGAAGCACCATGAATCCAGCTTAAACTGACCCAGCCATGCATATATCATTTAAAGAACATGTTCACTAGTCAGCCATATTTAATATTGGATCATCATAACCCTATAACTTGCTTTTTTCCTCCCTCTCCAAAAGTATATTTGATCAGAATATTTTTGCCATCAACCTCTAGAGTACAGACAATCCCATTTTCCTGCACCGAGAACTAAATGAAAACAAAACTTTTAAATAAATGAGTTACAAAGTATGTTGCAACAAAAAGGTTGCCCTATTCACATGATTTCCAATACTCACATATTATTTTGAATATATATTTAAAAATTCAGCATTTTGATATGTTTAAAAAATTAATAATAATTCTTTTCAAGCTAAAAGCTAGTATAGTGGGCTTAAGAAAAACTCAGACCAGCCTCATCTATTGTCTTATTGTAAAATGGACACAGGTATGTAGTAACAAGATAATTCATTGTAGAATTTTTTTTCAGTATAGACCTTTGCATCCACAAGATGACCAAACTTTTCAAATGCCTGCTTTAAACCTCTGTCTGATGTTGACCATGATAGATTTCCAATAAAGCAGCGATATTCAGCTGGTTCTGCCATTCCAAGGCTCTGCAAGAATAAAATCATTAAATGTGCCACCATAACATGACTTGAAACGAATAAAAGATTAGCCTAACAAAATAGCTTAAAACTGCTTCCAGTCCTTATGAACAAAGTCGAGTCAACAATCAGAGGATTTTGCCTCCTAAACCAAATTACAACAGAACATTCTGGCACCACCGTTTCTATCAGTTCAGTTCACAATGCCATCTCACTGTGAGCATATAAAAGCAATCAAGTATCCATATATAATTTCAAAAAGTATTAAGGACTTCAAGAATACTGCTGGATATATGAAATCATGAAGTTCTGTCCGCTTTCACGAAAGATGGTTACAATGTTGCAACCACAAGGACAAGCAACTGTATTTCAAGTCAAATTATCAAGCAATGGCAACTACAAAATTCAAATGATGTAACTCAAATGAAGTAATACAGCACTGCACTCGCAAACTATTTTTAGGTGTACAGGAAATAAATAATGGCATAATGGGATTTATCTCTCCTTTTCCAAATATCTAAACCACGTGTCAGTCTTCTAAATTAGTAGGATAGGGCAAGTAAAAGATATTTAAAGATACACATATGAAAAGTAGCCTCAGAATCGCAATTTCACCACATTAAATCCCACAAGGATTTCACTAATCAAGGGGATTAAAAAAAAGAAAAAAAAAAAAAAAAAAAAAAAAGAAGAGCAGCGATCGATTTAGCATGCCACTCATCAATAAATTCTACAATATACATAAAACTTGTCGCAAACCATCGCAATTAAGTTACAGGAACAAGGGAAATTACTCAAAACGATAAAAATCCCAATACAAAGCTCCAACCCAGAACCCTAGTACCAACAACCCAAAAGTGGAACGCGTGTTCAGATCCTCAAGTACATCATCGAACAAACAATTTTTTGCCTTTAAACGAACCGTACAATCAAACCACTATATTTTAATTTCGAAAAGCATAGGAGCACTCCAACAAGGAACAAACAAAACCATCGAAAAATATAGATTTCCCCACTCTGGAAGGACGGAAAAACCTGCTAGGCTAGGACGTTAGTGCCTGCTGAACTTGACACGGCGATATGGGCAGCTTCTGCTCGACGATTGAGATTTTAATTATGATGCCAAAACCCTAATTGCATGTATTATATGTTCACAGCGAATTCTTGCGAAATTACAGATATGCGCTTTAACTTTTATGTATTTTATACTTGTCCCCATTGACTCAATGATGGGCCATATGTTTGGACCGTATTAAGCCCAAATTTATTCTGGGCCAGAGCTCCTACTTGGGCCCATAAAGTTAACCTAACTAAAAAGAGCGAAAACCCAAGTCGACCAGACCATTCTAGGGATTTCACCGCTCCAATAATATATTTCTTGTGTGGTTTTTCACTCACCGGATTTTTCTTCGTCGGAAGGATTCACCGGCGCCCATTTTCCGAATGATATACACTATGCACACGCGTACACCGACTTGTTCATCGTGAGGTTTGAAGGCCTCGTAGGTTCTAAGGTCTTTCTAGAAATATATATGCTTATATACATATATTGTTTGTTCACCTCGTATGGAGTTTCTCGGTTTGTTTACTGCAATTTCTTGGTTATATGTGTTGATAACTCACAATGTCATGGTTTTATTGCGATACTTTGGATTAAAAGACTTAAAACCTTTTCGTTTGTCAAAATGATTTCTGTTTAATATTAAATATAAGGCATAGTTTGGTGCGGGCGTTTTATATTATTATGTTTTCGTAACACTAGTGTTTTATTTGTTTGATGCATTTACCAACTCAGGCGCATTGAATGTAGAAGTATCGCTACAAAAGGTGCATTCGTTTGATTTGCATGTTTTCCTCTTCTTGTGTCTAATGTGGAGGACTCTGACCCATGTAACATAGAAAGTTCACTGAACGCTTTATTTGCTGTATTTTGTTGTTTCAGTTTTTTATAACAACTGGTGTTTGGTGATTTTATTTTTTAACACAAAAAAAGTCCTACAACCATATCATCAAACTTGCTTTGGCTCTATAAATAACGTTTAATTATCTCTAGAGTAAAGGGATTTTGAGGTGCTTTGGAAAATATTAGAGTATTACTTATTTGCTTCAAAATACTTATGATTCATGTGGGAGTCAAGAAAATCCGGTGGTGTTTTTCATCATACATTCTTTATATTTACTACATCTGTATGAATTAATTCTGATCTTAACAGATGAGTAGTCATAGTTTAATTTCTCATTTAAGGCATTGTGAACAAATAAATATGTGGTAATTTTACACTGCCCGATGATGTTCAGGCACATGGTTATATGGTAGTTTGTGGCTCCAACTGAGCCCCCTTCACCATGGAACACGTTGTTGTTGTTGTTGTCATCGTCGTCGTCGCCGCCCTCGCCACCACCATTGTTGTCATTATCATGGTGGCTTCTGCTTCTGCTTCTGCTTCTGCTTCTTCTTCTTCTGCTGTTTTGCTAAAGAACAGTGGTAACTATTGATGGTGTGGGGCTGGCTTATTGGAGTGACTGAGTTGCCATAACCATGTCTGAGGGCATCCTTAATCACTTGTAGGTTTTAATCCTTTCTTTTTTTCCTGATTTTCATCTTTCCTGAATTCTTTTGTTCTTCATATTATGTTGAAGTCCCAACCATGGGAGCAATCTAACATTGTAATTGTAGATTGAATATGTTGTGGGAGATTTATACCAGAAGTTTCTTGTTGGATTTGTTAAAAGCAGGTTACTGTTCTGATTAATAGATCAGTAAGCTTTGATCTTCTGGAATTTTTAGACATGCCATTTTCTTGTTAAAATAAGAACACTGTAGTTGCATTATACTTTACCGAATCCTATGAAAAGGAGTATATTGAAAGTTGGCATGGCTGAAAGTTCATGTGCTACTTGCCACTTTAAGCCAAAGGTGGATCACAATATTAGGTTATGTTCACCACTACTAATGTTTTATTCCTGTTATAATTATAGTCAGTTTGAATAATTGTAACACATAACTTATTCAATTTTTGTTTGTTCTAAATAATTTCTCGGACTGCTGTGTTTCTTTGAGTTTAAAGATTTTGTTTTTGAATAATATCCAGAATAGGAGTTTTGATTTAATATTTTGTAGTAAGTAAAATTTTTATATATATTGAGCTAGCTAGCCTCAAAGAAAGAAATGGCTAAAGATACATTCCAAAAAAATTAATGTGTTACACACTTTTTAATTTAGTTTTATAGTAAAACACAAAAAAAAACAAACACACTAACAGTGGGTTCGCTAAAATTTTCCTTTTTTTATAGTATATTTTTTATACATATTATAAAATTATTAACATAATATATAATATATATTTTATTTAATTATAAAAAATAACGATTTAATACAAAATATTTATTTTTAGAATTTAAATAATAATTTTAAAAAAAAAAATTAATGAAATAACACATATTAAAAGATATCATATTTAACATCTATTCTTAATTAAATTAGTAATTTAAATTATTACTTTTTTAAAATACTCAAATTTCACAAATTCCTTTTTCTTATCATTATTTTTTTTTTATTTTTTATTTTTTATTTTTTTTAACTAAGCTTAAAGGTGATAAATTTAACGGCACTGTATCTCCTTCCATATTTGGAACGGCGGCATAAGTCGCGGAATCCCCCGTCTCCGCCGCCTACGACTCCTTGCCTGGCGAGCTTGAATTTTTCTGACGCTAAAGATGTTGAATGCGAAGAGCTTGAATAAGGCAGTAGTTCCTAAATCCCTCATCCCTCACCCTTCTCCGGCCAGCGTTCAGTCTACCCGTCTCGCCGTCACTGTATACTTTCCCCCCTCTCTCTCTCTGCTATTTCTTTCTCTCTATGTTCTCCGAAAGAGGTTTATATTTGTATTTGAGTTCAAGATTCTTAAATTTGATTTCTTCAGGTAGATGGGGTCGCCTCAAGTTGCTGGGTTTACATTGCTTCGGGTCCCAACATATACAAACTCCGAGTATGCACCCATTAAAAGCGATAATTACTGCATGTGAATCCATGGGTTTCTTTGAACAGAATTGGATGGCATGCTTTTTCTTATGTTTAGGTGATTAGATGGTAGTTATTAGTTTTCTTGTTTAATTTCTTTTTCTTTTCATATATATCCCACCTTTTTTCTTTGCTGTCTAGCCTATTTCAAACAAGTTTGATATTATGGCGTTCGTTACCTTTCCGGAAAGTTTTAGTGTTTGTTAATCCGAATGCAAGATTTGTTCATATATGTTATTCGGTTCAATTATGTATGCAATTTTTTCTTGAAGCTTTGTGCGATATCAAGTCCGGTTTAGTATGGAAAATAAATTACTTGATCAGCATTTATGATAATGCGCAGTGTCACCTCATGTTGCAATCATCATGGTGTTCTATAATTTCGGCCAGTACTTGATAACAGAAAATACCAAAATGTTCAAATTCCCGGATGTTTAGGGTTCAAAATTAGATTCAACCAAGGCTTAACATCTATCTTTTATATTCTTAGATTTCAATGGAGGATTCATTTGTTGGTCAAGGAAAAGAGAGCCTTCTAATCCCTGAGCAAACCCAAGTAAGCTTCGTCACGAAGTAAGTGATTTACTAGTGTTAAGCTGATTGGCTAACGTCTTAATGAAGGTCTTGGATTCGTCAATGGTTAACCGCTGCCCTCACCGTTCAGAAATTCAAAGTATTGTGCTAGCTGAAACTCAAAGTGAGACTATGTTTTTGGATAAACCCATTCATTATTGTGTTGGTACCCATGCTTAATGACTTTTGAGATGCAAGTTTTCTATGTTGGTGTGATAGTGATATACAATTTGCTACTTCCGCAGGGATGGATTGCTCAGTCTTGGGGAGCGTGGACTCTTATGGTCACCTTATAGTTTCCAAACTCGATAATAGTGGTATTAAATTTGATTATATATCTTTCTCGTTGCTCTCTTTCTCCTAGGCTTCAGGTTCTGAATATGCATTTTGTGTAAATCAGTAGAAGTTCAGCGGACTAAAATAGTTTGTGCTAGCATAGTCTATCCGCAAATGACAATAAGGAAATTTAATTTCATGAAGGCTTTTTTCCCTTCTGGGATTAAAAGAATGCATCTGTTTTCCAACATGTAGATGGGTTTACATATTCAGTGTCTCCACGGGATTATAATGTTGGAGAAGGCAGTTGGGCTGGTCTTTGCTTTAACCCCAATCAATTGTTCATGGTATGTGTTTCCATTTCTTGATCGCCGTATCTTTGATACTCAATACACCATATCATGCTCTATCAAAAAAAAAAAATCTTTCCTGTCCAAAATAAAAAAATAAAAACCTTGTTGGTTAGTGTAAATTTCTATTTTAATTCATTATATATTTTATTTATGTTGATGGTCTCCTAGATCATTTATTTGGATTGTATTTTGTAAGGTGATTTTGAATTTTTGATGTGATGCCTTGATTCGGAGTTGATGCTTATTTGCGGTAATACTATTGAATTAAATATATCTTATTTGTGTACGATTTGTATCTCAGAGACCTGGTAGGAAAAATTGACCATTCAGGCATGTCCTTTTTCTAATTAAGTGAAAATTTTATTCAGCAACTCTGTTCCAATCCAACATGGCTGTTTGGGATCACGAGAATTGGCTTAGACAGTTTTAGTTCCAGAGCTGATTATCTGCAAGATAACCATTATTCCTACTTCTATTCGCATTTCAATGTTTGATAAAAATTTTTAATGAAATGGTAGGAATCCTTTCCATTTCTGAAAGGATCTAGGTCAAAAATCATGATTCCTATTTTGTTCACATTTCAATCTTTATATCAATTTTTTAGTAGGAGTGGTTGGAATCAGTGTTCTGAAAAAGAAGGGAATGGTCATTGAAACTGGAGCTGTTTGTGAACAACTCGTTTTGCTTGCAACCTTATCACTAACTATTGAATGCTTCTATACCCACGGACATAATGAGGTTGTGCACTTGTATCTTCCAGCAAAGGTAGTTACTAGATGAGTAATTGACACTCCTGTTTTACTCGTGTTTCCAATCCTATGCACCTTAAGAGAATTTCATTTAATGTTCTATGCGTGTTGAGTGTTCGTAAGAGCATATTCACTTGCATTAGGTGCATATTCACTCAGTGTTCAATGGTGTGTTCACTGTCAACTGATATATATATATTTTCTCCACACACTCTAGGATTCTTTTGTTAGACATATAAGGACTTCTGTTAGACATATAAGGACTGATTGTATCTGCCTTTTGTTTAGGCAGCTGTGGCACGCAGCTTCAGCAAGAGCATTGATATTTATGACCAAGATATTCATCTCCGCAGTTTACGCACGTAAGTGTCATGTATAATTTTTATCCTTCCAGCTGCCACAAACTTCATTAATCTGTATATGTATTTGTAATTTATTTTGTATATTCTGTTAATTGAGAACTGCCAGCTAGTGAGCTTAAACAATGCAAAATAAAACTGTGATGAAGTTATTTACTTTTAAATTTTCAAGTGAAACATTAATGTTCAATTTTTACTGTCACTTATAAAATAGCCCTGCTGCAGGCTGTGGTATCCATCTTCGTTGATATTTATGAACAATGTTAGTGATAGTGGAAGTTCAATGTTAGCTGTTGCAGAAGGTTCCCAGGTAGGTAAAATTGATTCCTTTCTTAGTAGAATTATCATAATGAAAGATTTCCTATTTTTGAGGTAGATTTACCAATTTCATCTTATTATCTGCTGCAGCTAAGTATATGGGATTTACGAACCAATGAAAATGGAGGTTGTGTTCGTAGAATTATGGGATCTGTTGGAGACATTATGTATGCAGTCAGTGCATCTTCATCTGGTATTGTTGCTACTGGTGGGGCTGACCGAACCATCACGTTCTATGATCCACGGAGGTTGGTAGAATGTCCCACTTGAGAAGTTGACCATACTATAGTTCACCCTTGCTGGTTTATATCCAATTCCCATACTTCTTCTTTGTTTGGGTTAAAAAGAAAAGAAACCCTAAATTTTAGACTGCTTTTCTGCTAATTTTATATAATAAATGTGAACAGATGGTCTGCTCTATCAAGGTGGATGAACTGCTCAAAATATGAGGTTTGTTGAGAATATGTTATTTGATGGAATGGTTGTCTTTAATTGCACTGTTTTACTTTATTTGATTTTATTTTGCTTGCTCAAATTTGAAGGTATTTGACAGTTCTTTGTTCCTCTATCCTGCTTAGATCATCATTATCCATGTTAACACTCCGTTTGGCAAACTGCAGATAGCTGGGCTTACCTTTTCATCTGTTGACCCCAATTACATTTATGTGCAAGGAGTTGACTATGAGGTGATTGGCTTTTCGATAGATCTGTATTGTGCTAAGCATAGATTTTAAAATAAAGGATTTTGCTATAAAAATGAAATATATGTATTTTCATGGTATATTAATCCTCATTAGCTGATTCACTAGAATCTTAAAATCAAGGGTCACTGTTTGGACAAATGATTTTACTAAGGAATTTCAGCACATTACCGCAGTAAAAAATGTACATTGATGTTCAAAGATATATGCAGGTTCTATGTGGACAGTGGAGAGAAAGTAAGGAGGCATTTGCATTTAGGGGGGATTCTAATTGGCTTGGATTTAGCAAGGTTATCTCTCTTATCCACTTTGAAACAGACTTAAGCTTTTTATCATGGATGCATGATATCTTTCTTCATTTCTCTAGCTTCTGCTGCTTTAACCTTTCATGGCTTCTTTGGCACTAATCCTAGTTTGAAGTCCATTCACTGCTTATTGCAGTTCCTTCAATGTTAACACTCATTCATTCATTCCTGCAGTGCTCCAACAGGGATGTTTTAGCTGGTTGGTGTGACTCGGGTAGCATATTTGTTGCTGATGTTTCGTAGAAGACTTGTTCAAATTGGTCACATTAGAAAATCAGAGGTGCATTGCCCAAAAGAACCATCAAAGTCCAGGATGGTATCAATCATTTGCATGGCCTTTAAAATTTATTTATTTTTCCCACCCAAGCTCAACAAATGCTGATATTTTGGTCAAGAAACATATAATTAGATTGCTAAAGAGCAAGTAATGGCTGCCCTTTGAATTGAATTGGTCATAGGTTATTGGTTAGGGTGTGCATCAAGGCCAGATGTCATATGTTTTCCCTTCATTCTTACAGAGGGGTTGAAGGTAACATTTAAATAATGTCGAATTTGAGAAATGGGTGTTTATGTGTGTGTTGAACAAAGTATGAGAATTTGTGATATTGAAACTAAATAGTTGAACAAAATAATAGTCTAGTTCTTGATCCTTTTGGTTAGATTTGCATTCTACATTCCAAACAAAGAGTAGGCACAAAAGCAGAGCACAACTACTACACATGGTGTCATCAATAGGCTACCCCTAAGGTCACTAGAAAGTTCCAAGAAATCTCTATCTAGACCACAGCCAGTAGTAGCAAATTTACACAGCTCAAAGCTCTGAGAGCTGCAGAAAACTCCACCACCTGCATCACACACAACAAAATATCCTAATTACAAAATATTGCCCCATGATTGTTGTCTCTTACGTGTTTTATTCCAATTTGCAAGTAGCAGAGTACCTGTTGGGAATGGCAATGGCCAGAAGTAGGCAAAGGTCGAATTGTGGCAGTGTCAACCTCACCGGTGGGCAGAGGAACTGCAGGATTGCTGGTGATGATTGGGATGTTATAAGGGGGGCCCATAGGGCTTATGGCTGTGGTAATGGACAAAGCAGGCGCAGGGCTTGGAGGGGGGCCTTCTCTGGACGACGGCTGAGCTGGGGAAGAAATGGCTATGGCACCGGATGCAGGATGTGTCCCGGGCGGCGGAGGAAGGCCGCCGTCCGGCGGGTTCTGGGAAACCTTGAAGGCAAACTTGTGGCCTTGCAGACATTCTTCGTTTGAGCCATTTTGGAAGGAAAAATAGAAGAATCCAGGGCGTGAAGAGTGCCACTTGATCATTGATCAGAGTCAGTACGAGGGAAAGGAATTCGTACAATATATATGATTCATTTCATGACAGGAGATTTCAAGGAGTGACTCACAGTGTAAGAAGTAGTGGATTTGGGGTCTCTCAAGAGAGTGGCTTGAGTGAAGTTGCAGAGAGTGAAGGCTTCCTGGCTCTTGAAAATGTAGAGGCTGTAGTGACGATACTTGTGCTGGAAAACTGAATGAACACCATCAACAGCAGCAAACATTATCATTACTTGAAATCAAAATCCTGTTTTGTAGTGATGGACAGTCGAGGAATGGACTTACTGACAGAGTCTCCTATTAGGAGGTGAGTGCTCTTTAATTCTGAAACTCCATCAACCACCATTGTTGCAGACTGGGAATATTGAAAGAGGAGAGGAGCCACAAGAAATAAGAGAAGTAAGTTATGTCCCATGTATCTATCTATCTACCAATCTGGTTGTCTTTGTTTCTGATTCTGTCTGAGTATTCTTGTTGGGGAAGAAGACAGTGATTTGCACATATATGCATATACAGCAGGGTTTTTAGACTTTATTAAATGAAACGAGGCATGAAAGTTTGTCCAAGAACAAGTGTCAGACAGTGTGCTTGGTTCTACAAAGGACAAGTTTGAATGGGTTTAGGACATGGGACAGTGTGCCCTTTTGACAGTTTCTTTTTTCACAGCACAAAGTGAAATGAAAGACGAGTCAAGTGGTGCTGATAATGATGAAGATGGGCACTATTATTCTTAAATGATCATAACCTTGGCCCACCATTTCCATTATAATTAGATTGTCTTTAGTTAAAAGGCCAGTAATGGTGTGGTTTCAAAGAGAGCTATTGGGCTTTGGTATCAGGCCCAATAAGAACAGAAAGGTGAAGCCCAGTATCTATGAAGCCCATATAAAGCAAGTTCAGTTCACACTGAAGAGAGTCTCAGTTTCCCATCAGCAAAAGAAACGTGAAGTGTGTCATTAATTGAGATATCATGGCACGAAACAAAATATCTTCCAGAAGAAACCATGATTACTATTCCCAAAATAGAAGCGGCGGCGCGCCGCGGCCACGCCACGTGTCGGACTCACGTGATTGGTCCGCGTCTTGTATCATCAATATCCCTTTAATCTGTTAAATAAATCAAGAAAGTTTGTTAAGACAAGGGAAGGGATCTTCTCGTTCAAGAAAATGGTCTGTCTACAGCCATACATTCAATTCAACAATTACATCATTAAAAATATGCATACAAATACAAGACAAATGTCTTGGGGATGGCCATAAACAATGAATTAATTACATCACACACACTGCATCTTTCATCACTTCAAGATTCAATACTTATCTTGTGTTGGATACTTCTAAAGTCTACAAGTGTATGATAATTAGGCAGGCAATTATTAGAGGCCAGCAATAATAACCTAAATCAATTAATTAATAATAATAATTATTAATATGATGAGGCCTCTGCCTCTACGCATGAATGTTGTGTTTGTTGGCTTGAAAGGAAAATATTAATTGGGGTGAGGGTTTCTTGCATGCATGTACATTTGCCACGTGGGATTAGACCCCAATTTTGTGGCCATGAAATTGCCAGCTGATGACTGAGACCACCAAATTAAAAATTGAAAACGTATTCCAACACATATTTCCAACAATACCTAAATTTAGGCCATACATTAGTAAGTATCATAAGATAGATATACATATACATGTATTTGTCTTCATTCTCGCAAATACCTTCCATATATATATCTTGCCCATATCCATTTCATCATCATATTTATATATAAAGGAAATAAATCTAAAGAAGACGTGGACTACAAACCTCTAACTGCATGCCCTTTTAATTAGCTACGCGTTCTATCATTGGCCCATTGCATAGATAAATACATACATACATACATATATATATATACACACACACACACATTGACTGATTGTCTTTGTACTAATTGGGCAAACTAAGCACTGCTGTACTTCTTGTTTTATTCTTACTTACATCCATAAGTACATTTTACACACATTCAAGATGTGGGCATCTTTCAGAAAATCAACCAAGAAAGAAGGTACGTCCAAATATATATCTATATATCGATCATTAGGCTAATTATATATGTAGTTCTAATCCGATCCAGTTTTGTCTTGATTTAGATAATATGCAGCAACCATGTTGTCCGAGCCACGAGGGCACCACTGTCAACGACGAATATCTTTCTGCAATCAGGACAAAGTCCTTCGCCGATTTCTTCTTCAAAGTTCAGGTCATGGTTAAAAACCCTCCTTCTTCATCTTCATCAAAAACAAAACATTCGAGAAAAGTGTCGGCAGAAAACCTTCTCCTAAACCCGGCCCAAGAAACCGTCGCGTCGCTGCTCGAATCGTCGCCAGTTTTCAACAGAAAATATTCCGACAACATCGATCTCAAATCACTCCTCGCCAATTACTTCGACATCAGCGCGCAGGCCTCCAATTTCTGCAGCCGATTGCTCAACACCCTCACCGGAATCCAATCCGACTACACTCTCATCCATCAGCTCATCGCCGCCGCCGATCAGAGAGGCGGCGCCCTCGCGGAGATTCAGTCCCGCGTGATCCTCAACAACCCTTCATTCTCCAATCAAGAATTTAATCGAATCCGAGAAAACCACTCCTCAATTCTGCAGAATCTTAGGTGGAAGAGGAAAAGGATCGGCCGGAAAATTAAGCTGATAAAATTCTTCAAAAAGGCCTCCGGCGTGTGCATCGCAGCCGCCTGCGGCGTTCTGGCGGCGGCGGCTGTCTTCCTCGCTATTCACACTCTTACAGCCCTGGTAGTGGGTCCCGCACTCCTCGTCATCCCCATAGCTCCATTGAAGAGAAAAGTTTCTAAACGTCTTCGAATTTCGTCGAAATATGGATTCCTGAGGAAAGTAGTTAAGCAGCTGGACGTGGCGGCGAAGGGGGCGTACATTTTGAACAGAGATTTCGACATGATGGGTCGATTGGTGAGCCGTCTACAGGACGAGGTCGAGCATAATAAGGCATTGATTAGGTTTTGTTTGTCGAGGTCGAGATCGAGATCGTCGTCAATGGTGTTGCATGATCAGGAGGAGAATTCTAGGGTTTGCTGCACGCAGCAGATGTTGAAGGAGATGAACAAATGCGAATTAGGGTTGAGGAAACAAGTGGAGGAGCTTGAAGAACATGTTTATCTGTGCCTTGTTACCATCAATCGAGCTAGGGCTCTTGTCGTCCAAGAAATTTGTAAGGACGACGACGACGACGATCATGGTCGTTCTTTTCCGTGTCCATCTCAGAATTAATTAATTAATTAATCCGATGTACTTAGTTACACTTGTTTGTCCCATTCGTTTGTTAATACATACATCATTCCAACATTATTGATCATTTGATCATATTTATAGTTCAACAATTTTATTATATATGGTCATTCTTTACATAAAAGTTTAAAATTTTTTATAGTTATGAAAAATTTCAAAAATGATAAAAAAATAATAATTATTATTAGCCAATGAAAACCTACAAATATATGTATAGACTACAAACGCATTATTAAGGCAGCTATAAATTAATTAGTACTAGGTAGGAATTGCAAGTTGAAGGTAGGCTGAATTAATTGTCTTGACATGCCTAACTTCTTGATACGCGATTATTGAGAATTTTTAAATTTAAATATGCTAATCTATAATTATAATAATAATAATTAATAAGATCTTTCTACATCGAAACATCAGTTGATAAATTCATACAAAAATTTTGTGATCGTCCGATGAGAAAGTTCCGAAGAAAAAGACCTTATCGGATAAATGGGATGAGAAAATATTCGGCATACTTTAGCTGCAACCACAAGAACACACACACATATATGTTAATGAATTATTGCACTCTAAATTACTTCCTCAGAAATATATAGCTGATTCTGAACTTGCCTTCCAAACAAACATGTAAAAATCGAGGCCGGATCGACTACTGGATGACATATCAGTTGTTACGCCTCGATGCATAACAATGCTCGCAATTACAAAATGCCCCATAACCTATAGTATGTAACAATATGTTATTAGATCATATAACTAATTTATTACCATGTAGATATATAATTGGGTCAAAATCTTACCATGACAAACTTGCTTAAAAAATTCGACAAAGAAGCTCCGGTCCCAATTGCAGCTCCATAAATCATCATAAGTGTGCTTATACAAATCCAAAACACCTTCCAAAATGAATTAGAAAATTTTAAAAAATGGTGATCAATAATATGTTTGAAAAAAAAAAAAAAAATGTCTTAATTAATGATACATATACAGTATTGTAGTAATACTAACTTTTTGTTGTCCGAGCTTGACAGCCAAGAGTGCATCAAGGCCAAATTGTTTGTCACCTTCAATATCAGATAAGTCCTGTTTTGTAGAATTAATACAAAAGAATTATAAATTATAGGCGAAACAAATTATATAAATACGTTCATTCGAACATGTGATTATTGTTTTAACCTTGGATAAGGCGACGACGATGGAGAAGATTGAAGAAAAACATGAAGCAAATATCAAAGATCTTGTGAACAATATTGATCCCCCCAACACATATTTCTACACTCACAAATATAATTAATCCAATTAGTTCGAGCTTTAAATAAAACTTTTTTTAAAAAAAATATATAAATAATCCCACCTGGATATGAATGAAAGTAGCAAATGGAATTGCGATTCCTCTACCGAAAACAACACATAGCGCGGCGAGGGTTGAACTTCTTTTCCACCTCATGAATGGTAGCTAAAATAAATGTGACACACACTTTTGAGGAGTTTATAAAAATTTTATTGCAATATGTATGTATTTATTTATTTATAAATGTATCTTACATTTGTCGAATAGAAGGTCGCAAGTAGACACAATACAAGATTGCAATAGAGCAATGGAGGCGATCGAAACATTATAGCCGTTAAAATCGACTGATGAGACAAGGTGAATTAATTAATTCCATGTCAGAGGAAATTAATATGCAATCAAGACATCATGTGGTAGTAAATCCAAAATTAATTTGATAAATTGTTTGTTTGTTATATATACCAATAGACAAGAAATAGAGGTTATTGCAATCCCAGCTTCCCTGGAAACAATTCCTGAAGCCATAGGAAGATAGGGCTTGTTCACCTGCAGATTATATATAAATTATTAAATTAAAATACATTTGTACAAGAGTTAGAAATTAAATTCTCAATCTTTTTTTAATTAATTAAATCATGCACCTTGTCTATTTCAACGTCATATATTTGGTTAATTCCATTGGCATAAAGCTGTACCAGAAAAAGAGAAATATTTGCCTGCATAAAACAACAAGGTCAATCGTCTATGATTAATTCTTTTATGCACTATTATTCATTAAAAATACTAGTATAATTTTTTTATTTTTTTTAACCTGCAACAGGCCAAGGAGAAACATGGGAGCCATGGCTTCGGACAAAGACCTCAAAGGTAAAAGTGAAATTGAAGTTACACTAACAACCTGAAATAAAATAAAATTAAAAAAATTCAATACAATATTATTTATCCATCTGAAATCAAATCAAACATAGAGAAAATATATATATATATATATATCTGTATAGACTCAATGAGAAACTAAGAACTTACATTTCCAATGACAGTGTAGGGACGTGTTAACTCAATGAGAGCATATATTATCTCTTTAAGCTGTCCAGTTTGGGTCATGTCTGAAGAAGTCATCAGATTTTTGTGATCAGTTATTGAATTCCTCCTGCTGACGATGATCATCGACGAAGACGACTCCTTTCTGGTAATTGGTCTCAAACTGATCAAATAACCATTTCTATTATTACTTTTTGAGTAGTTATCAGAAGCTCTTATCCATTTAACCTGTCTTTCACCATTACCATTACCAGCTTGCCAAGGAGATTGCATCTTATAACCTGCGCGCAGCTCACAAATGTGTATATATATATATTTTAAAAAATAAAAATAAAATTGATGAATTTGTTGTAATTATACATAGTGATGGAATTAGGATGATGATGATGATACCTTTCCTTTGCAGGTAATGATAATGTGTCAATGAGATGTTCATTGCTAGCTCACCTTAATTTTCTCTGCCAGCCAATACACACACATATTAGTATATATATATATATATACACACACACACACATTGGAACAAGTTGAAATATAACATACTCTACCCTAAATTCCAGTTGGACTAATTATAAAAGTAATTAATTTAGGGTTTTAGTAGATTACAAAAATAATTATAATAATAATATAAGGCTTACATCAAAAGTTTATATTAATATAAAATTTTAAATATTATTCAAACTATTTAAAATGCTTAGGCACCGTTTATTTTGACTTTATATAATTTTATGTTTTGTATTTGAATAGTAATCCGCATTTATGTGTTTTTTAGGCTTAGTCAAACTTCCTAAGATCCTACGCCCTACTTCGTGCAACATTCTACGCAATTGGGCATTTATTGAATTGTAATTAAGGTTTAAAACTCTTATAATAAATATTTAACCAAAAAAAGGTAATGGACTGACCTGGCCCAGTTGGACTCTGGCTTGATGCCTTATATTCAGTTGGGCTCAGCCCAATATGCCTACAACATTCGGCCCAGGCTCACTCTTTTAATATAATTTATAATTTATACTTTAATAAATATATATATATATATATATATATTTTATCCCCTAGTCTGGTTCCGTTTCTCTCCCACCTTTCCTCGTAAATTCCCTTCTCTGTGGTTTTTTGTCCATAGCAGTACACGAGCAGCACAACAATGTCAATATCTGTGCCGGCGGCGCTGCTTCCGACTATCGTTGCTAAGACGTCGCCGTTTTCTTCGTCAACGGATTCCAGGCTTGTTCATTTCTCGTCTCTTAAATTCCCCACGAATCTCCGCATTTCTGGAAATCGGAATCGCTGCCTCAAATCTAAGCCGCGCTACAGAACACTAACGCTGGTAATTGTTCATCCACTTTTGGAGCGGGATAAAAATAACCTTTTTAAGCATTCTTTTCGATCTCAGTACATCTTTGTGGTCAGGAGTACGCTGTTTTTGTTTCTTATGTATATTTACGCTCGTGTTCTGGAACGTTTTGGCCATTTTTCCTAGTGTCCATATGTTTTTTACGACATGTTAGTTTGGTGTGTATGGACTTGGATTGTTGAATTGTTGAAATTTTGGAGTTTTCGTGAACATAAGTATCGACGGAATTATCTGATATTTCTTTCTTCTATAATGAGAACGTATGCTTTCTTTGGATCTGGTCCAGGATAGGATACTTTGCGTCAGTTTCTGGAAATGTATTCTGAATTTTTGCATACACGGTTTTAGACTATTTCTTTCCTTTTTTAGGTTGCAGAAAGCTCACAAGTTCTTGTGGGCTTAATTCATCATAATATATTTTAAACCCAAAGAAATCAATTTTAAGGAACCAAAAGATGAAGCTTGTAAACAATAGTCTTCTCAGATATGAACTGAAAATGCAGCATCGTTTTTTTATTTTTTTGTTGGGTTGGATGTCATAATTTTGGTTTATTACGACCAGTATAATGAACTCAGTTAATGTTATTGACTTGTAAAGTTGGGTAAGAAAATTGATGCTTGATATACTGTAAGTAGAGATTGTCTACGAGTTTCTTCTTTATAAATTTTCTAAAGAGAATAATGCTCGAATCTATAATATGAGTGATCAGTAACAACTTGAAATTTATTCACTCAGGTTGCATCAAAGAAGCAGACATTTTCTTCCTTTGATGATTTATTGGAGAAATCTGATAAACCAGTATTAGTTGACTTCTATGCCACTTGGTAACTATTCTTTTCTTATTTTACTGCATTTTTACTTTCTTCTTCTTTTCTGTTTTTTAGTTAAACAATTTTTTTGGATTTACAACTTGGAAATTTCCAGTACTTAGTTTTTTAGTAACTCTGAAACACCTTTACAGTTTATAATTTGAGTTTTTTGAAGTTTTATTAATGTACATAAGTGTTGATGGTTTGGCTTTGATGTTTAAAGGATTGTATAATAACTCATGGATTTCTTTTGAGAGATTGTGATGTTCTATCCATAGATCTATGGATTGATTATCTTATAAGCAACCTTGTTTTGTTTGCCATCACTCCTAATGAATATGTCCGGTATATACAAATCAACTTCATATCTGATGAAAGTATTTCTGCCTTTGACTTTTCTAGGTGTGGTCCTTGCCAATTCATGGTTCCAATTCTGGAACAAGTTAGTGCTTTAATTGGGGATAAGATCAAGGTAGTGAAACTTGACACAGAGAAGTATCCCACCATTGCAAATAAGTACAGCATTGAAGCATTGCCAACATTCATTTTGTTCAAAGATGGGAAACCATTTGATCGTTTTGTAAGTGGTGATATTTTCTTGTAACCTTTTCCATACTCTTGTTGATTTTATAAGCTTCACCTCTATATTATGTGCCGGATTAAATTATTGAATTATTATTTATGTTTTGTTGTTTGTTCCTATGTACAATGGTTATAAGGTTTAGGGTTGGTGTTGCCTGAGATAATTGTATTCAGTTACATGAAATCCAGAACCTTTATTATTACCTTGCTATGCATACTATCAGGGTGTGGAACAATGATAAGTTTTTCTTGAATGTTTTGATGTTCCTGTCAAAAGATTAGTTAAAGATACAAATTGTTCGTGGACAATATATCATTTTCTTTTGCCACTTTGTCAATTGTATGTAATCTGTATACATTTTATTATAGTTATTTCTTAAATACTCTCCCTAATCTGCAGGAAGGTGCAATGAATGCTGACCAGCTCATCCAACGTATTGAGACTTCGCTTCAAGTTAAGAAATAACCTCTGTCAATGGTGAGTTCGTGTACACTATCAAAGAAAATAGAGAAATTTAGCTTATTTAAGTACATGAGTTAACTACTTACTCAAATTTTCCTATTGGCAGTATCTAATGCTATGTAAAAATTGGAAAAGGCATAAAGGATGATGCTAATCATCTTGTTTGACTGCCTGCCTTAATGTGGTAAAAATTCTTGATTCTTCTGTGATTATTTCAATCAAGCCATCCATGTTCGATCATGTAACTGGTCTGAATGTGCCACTTACTCATTGGAAGATGAAATTTCAAGTTGAACTGTTTTTATAAATTATATTGCCATACATGCATATTCACATGCTTTTCTCCAGGCTAACTGCAAAGTTAAAGGAGAAATTTTACTTTGAATTTACCTTCTTATTGAGAAAAGAATTGAATACTTAACATGTATATTTTATTCTTTCAAAGTAATTATGTACTGTGAATCGTGTACCCTATACCCATAGCTCAGTGGAGAATTATGAATAGAGAACAACAACTATTTCATATCTCGCAAGACCTCTTCTTTTTTTGTTTTATGTCTTTTTCCCCTAAAGAAACATAAATACCCCCTGATATTGAACTTGAGAGTAGATCTTCAAATTTAGGGTTAGTCCTTCACATATTGTTGTTTGCATGAGGTTTCTTGTCATCATTAATACCTTATTGAATTAGAAATCATCTTGCTCGTAATCCATTAACTCCCATGATCCATCTACCTGTTGCACCAAGCCTTTGTTCTTCTCACACCACCAAGAAACCGGAACACAATGTTCATCCTTTAGCGCATCCAAATGTTTGTTAACTAGGGCAATATCTCGGTTCACTTCCAATCTGAATCCTCCTTTACTCCCTTGTGTCCCTGCAACACCATGCAAATAAGCTTCAAGGTTATGCCAGCTGCTCAGATTCCCAGGCTTCAAGTAGGTTGACTTATCTGTGTTAATGGCCAACTCTTCCCCAACCTCTGAGTACCCTATCAGAGGATATGTTGGCACAACATCTAGGGCATTTCTCACACGTAGGATCCGAAGATTCTGTAGAGTTAATAGGAATTTGCGGAAGTTGTCATCCCCAACACGGGGACTGGCAAATACAAAGGCCGTCACAGGGCAAGCCTTGTGGAGCATGCCCTGGGGCCTGTTGTATCCATTGGCTACTATGTCTACTGCATTTAGAGTAGAGACTGCTGCCCCCAAGCTGTGCCCTGTTATGCTAATACTGATCTCCTCATTCTTGTACTGCTCTACCAATCTCCTCACCTCACTGAGAACCTGAAAGGTGTAAACAATGATTGATTTTAGTTAAGCCGGTTGATTTGTCCGTAGTGTATTATCCAATTTACCTGTTGTCTAGCACTAGATTTATTAAATGGAGATCTTTGATCTTCTGAAGTGTAGATTGAGTGCCAGCCAAAATGCACCTTAGGGTCATCATTGCCTCCTAAGATTTCCGGGGCCGAGACTAGCCCAAACTGGAAGTCATTCACCCATTCAAGATTCTGAATGGTTCCTCTCCACGCGATCAGGATGTCGCGTCGGCCTAGTGCCAGTTTCCCCTCATCTGTAGCCACAGCCACAAACCCCATCCAGTTTGATTCCTTGTTCCATGCCTCTCTTGACCATGACTTGATGATGAAGGCATCGGGTAATAGTGATGATGATGTTGCGTAGAAGTATTTTGTAGCCTTGTACTTGAAGGGATTACCCATGTCGATCCCAACCTTAGAGAAAAGGTCTTTCTTTGCATATCTGCTACTTCCTGCATACTTTGATGCCTTCTCGGAGTTGAAGTTGTCGTAAGTTGCTTGAGCCATTTCTCCGTAGTGGATAATGTATCGGCGTAGATCAAGGTCTAAAGGATCTAACAGACCTTCCCAATGGTTCATGCCACTGAGGGCCCTCCATCTTTTGACTATGCCTCCTTTCCTGTCTGCGCCGCCGTATGTCTTCTTCTTCTTTCTCTTGAAGAAATTCATCATTTTACCTTCACCTAAGATACCAAAATCTGTATAAGATACTTGAACTGATCCACTTTATTTGAATGAAATAGTTATGATTGTTTTATAGTTATCACAATATATGATTGTTACTTACTAGTTCATCACTATACTTTTGCATAAATATTTACAGCAAAGTTTGTATCTATTTGAAATGAAAAAATGCAAGAGTGAACATTTAATATATGATACCTATATATGAAATAACCTCTGTATGTTTATGTGTTACCCTTCTTCAACCTGAGCAGCTCTTTGTTTGGGTATGTATAAGATAATCCTTGAAACAGAAGACCAGATATATACAGCCATGGCCAGACCTTATCTGGCATTGCCACAGAATTTGAACAACTGCATGAGGGAATAAAAATGATCCCATATTGGCAATAATAATATTCTTATATCTGAGGATATTGCAGGATCAGTTAAGGTGTCCATGTCAGCTTTTACATTCTTGGATTCAAAGGTCGTCCCACTCAACCTTGGAAGCAACCCTAATTCTTCCAAAACAGTCAATGATGATACTTCATTGCCACTAATGACAAAAGGAATATATTATGGGCTACTGTTGACAGTCAGTTGCTTATCCATATCCACTTATTTTATTTGCCTTAAAACTGCTTGGTGCCATAATGTTAGATCCCTTTGTGTGTCTATTTAGAAATGTTGTGTTTGTCGTGTGATGATGTTTCTTTTATTTATTTAAAAGAATTTTCCTGAATGGCATAGATAGATGACCTTTTCTGTGCAGTTACAAATGGTAGCCTCGGCCAATTATCTTATCTTATTATGACAAAAAGAAGATGCTCACATTAATGCCATTCCCCATAGTATACCAGAAATCTAAGCAATGAATGAATGGCTTTTGGTAATTCTGTATATGATCTTTGTCCAAGAAATGGGATGTCTTGACACTCACAAGGATTTGATTTTTTTGGCCACGTGCACCCTTTCTTGGAATGAATCCAAATTGTGCTTTCTTAAGTCTAATCCAAGAAAATACCCTTGATAGAGTGAGAGAGAGAGACACACACACACACGTAATCTCCAGCTTATGGGTTAGAAGTGTAGGTTAGTTCAATCATCCAACACCACTGATACTGTTAGAAGTAGGCCAGAGTCTTAGAATGGCAAGGACCTCACCCCAAAACTAGAGGGATTTGCGAGTTGAATCGAATAAAATTTTAAATATTTTTGTTAGTTTGTTATTATTTGTAAATAAGGCTCGTGTTTGTTCATTAAATATTTGTTTTTGTTTTTAGTGTTTGAATTTGGATGGTTAGAAACAATTTTATTATTTGTGTTTGGTTTGATTAATTTTGTTTGGATAAGTATGATAGTTTATTTTATTTTTTAATTTATTTGTGATATTTTATTTATTTGTTTGTTTTTAATTAATAATTTTAAATATTTATATAAGAAATTACATGATATATATAATTATGAAATTATATAATATTAATTTTAAAATTTATTAATTTAAGTTGGTTGGAACTGATTGAGTTCATGAGGATTTTTTCTTTTTTCTTTTTTCTTTTTCTTTTTTTTTTTTTTTTTTTTTTATCAAATTTGACTTGCTCTAGACTTAGTTGGATCTAAAATTTAAAAACACGCAACGCAATCCATCTTCAATATAAAAATTTGAACTTAAATTAATTTCACTAATAATAAGGCCAGGTTCAGCCGTCCAGGGCGACATCCTAATTCCTATGTCCTTGCCTTGCGCATCTTGGCAATATATTATTATTATTATTATTATTATCAATCATTATTATATGTTAAATTTAGTTTATCATTAGTTTTAATAAAATAAAATTTTTAATATTTGCCTATTATTTTTCGTTCATTTTTTTATTTATTACAAATATAGCTATTTTTATTATATTTATTACTATTATTAAATAATAACTACATTTTCAAAATACATCAATTATTTTTTATTTTTTATTTTTTAATAAACTACTATTTTTTGTCGGGTGGAAATTAGAGAGTATTATTTAGTGGAGTAGCTTTTTTTAATTAGTATTATTTAGGGGAACGGTTAGGGTGAAATTAATTAGTATTTGTGCTGCATAAGAGGTTGTCCGTTCATATATTGTATTTGTATTGTTGTTTCATAATTATAAATATATTGTATAGTAATACGTGGTTTGTTAAAATCAAATATTTATTATATTGTATAAGACTATAAGTGTGCTTCCGATGCCAACACATAATGGGATAACGAGTATTAAGTTGAGCAGCAGCATATTCTTGAAGGTGAGTTTGGATTCTTTTAGGGGTGGGCCAAACTACTTGCCTTGCCGACATTTTTTGTGTCTGTATATATAAATATAAATATAAATAATCTTCTAGCTAGTAGTATTGTCAACCTCGAGTCGACACATACAAGATGAAACCACGTAGGAATAGGACAAGAAGTCGTTTGATAAAATCTTTGTACACGTGGCACAACTCCATACCTGTCCATCGCATATATAAACTACCGACTTTAACTAAAAAAAACAAAAAACCCTACCGACTTCAACTGTTGGGATTAATACACATAGATATATATATATATATATATATATACATACCCAGTTGCAATGTAATTGGTGATAACTAACACTGATAGAAGGGTGGGGTGGGGTGGGGGTGGGGGAGAGATAATAACAATGGTGACCATACTCAGTCTTGCTGCTTTATTAATTAACAACATCAATAATTATGTACTATACATTATGTGACCGACTGACTTTTTCTATCATCCAATCAATCGATCGATCCCTTTTGCTTTTGATCCATATATATATATATATATATCATCAACAAATTAAAGTGTAACCCAACTCAACTCAACTCAACTCAACTCCCATCAATTAATTAATTGATTGCATGCCTTTAGTGGTAATATCTAGCTCCAATCACTACTGTGTATGTGTAATATTATGAGTAGAGTAGAGGATAATATTGGGTTAGTATATTCTTGAAATTCTTCAATCACAATTTTGATATTGTGGAGACTGTCACTTTCAGTGTCAGTTTCAGATCGGATAAGAAATCAATAATCCGTGAATACTATTATTATTATTTAAAAAGTAAATAAAATTGTGGAAATCTCAACCGCCCAATCAATTGATCCATTTATGCCAAGCCAACCTCAACCACTCTTCTCCACGATATTTTTAATTTCTATGGCGTTTCCCACACTCACATATTTCCGGGGTCCATGGCCTCAGCTCCCTCCACCTAGCTACACCTGCTGTCACTATGGTTATGGGACCTCAAGGCCCGGGACCCGCCAAGAATTGTCGCCCACTCTCCACATTACACCTATAAGTATGGCGCATTGTCTGTGTATCTTCATGTCACAGAATCTAATCTAATCTAATCTAATTAATTAATTAATAAAATTTGAATTCTTGTATACAACGATGTCTGAAGAGAAGCACCACCACCACCTCTTCCACCGCCACAAGGACGACGACGAGGAGGAGAAGAGGCCCTACTCCGACTCCGCCGCCGCCCCTGAAGGCACTGGACAGTACGGCGGCGGAGGCGGCTACAAGACTTCCGAATTCGGCGGCAGCGGCGGTGGCGGCTATGGCCAGACTGATGATTACGATAAGAAGTACGACAAGGAAAACGTCGGCGGCTACGGTGGCTACGAGAAAGGAAGCGCCGGTGGCGGCGGCGGCGGCGGCTATGGCCAGACTGATGATTACGATAAGAAGTACGACAAGGAAAACGTCGGCGGCTACGGTGGCTACGCCGCCCAAGGAGGTGACTACGGCAAAGAAAGCGCCGGTGGCGGCGGCGGCGGTGGTTATGGTGGTTACGGACAGACGGCCGGCGACGAGTATGGCGACAAGAAGTACGGGAAGGAGGAGGGCAGCCATTACGCCGGCGGTTACGCCGAGAGCGGCGGCGGCTACGACGAGAATGAGTACGAGAAAGCACAGAATCCGACGGCAGGTTACAATGATCGCAAGGAGAAAGAGGATTACGAGAAAGAAAAGGACCACCACAAGCACAAGGAACACCTCGGCGAGATCGGCGCCGCCGCCGCCGGCGCTTTCGCGCTGGTAATAAGAAAATTAAATAATTTATGAATTATATCCAAAACCCTAATTTTGATTAATGAATGAATGAATGAATGAAATGTATTGATGATCAGTATGAGAAGCATGAGGCGAAGAAGGACCCGGAGCACAAGCACAGGCACAAATTAGAGGAGGAGATCGCCGGCGTGGCGGCGGTGGGTTCCGGCGGGTTCGCGTTCCATGAGCACCACGAGAAGGAGGAGGCTAAGGAAGAAGCTGAAAAGGCCGAGGGCCATACCAAGAAGCATCACTTCTTTGATTAACCTACGTCCCATCGATCATCTGCTCGATCGATCTTCTTCCAACAACATATATATATATATATATATATAGACATACATACATGCATACATATATTGATGGGTATATATAAAACCCTAAATAACTGATGATGATGCTGATGCTGATGCTGATCAAAAGTGTGTTGCTGTTTTGTACGTGCAGCTGTTGTGTGGACTTGTATTATTCTCTCTATATATATACCATATATATATGTGTGTGTGGTAATAAATAAATAATCCAGTGTGTATAAGTTCAATGTTGTGTAATTTAAAAATATGTGGTGTGTGCCTTTGTTTGGATGTTTTAGTTTGATTTTTACTATTCAAAAGAAAAAAAAAAAAAAAATCAAATAAAATCAAATACCTATATTTTATATAAAATAATAATAATAATAATAATTTTACATTTAAAATATATCACCCATGCATATTTATGTCACATTGATCAAGTATTAAATTCAAAATTTTATTATTCAAATTAAAATCTTCAAACAAACACAGCCGATTGTTTCTATGAATGTGTTTTATGAGTGTATATGGTGTATCAAACTTAATGATAGCATGTGATAGTATAGATAATGGTGTCATATATAGTAACATAAATTATGTGTTATCTAACCGTTTATATCATGTCTGTTTAGCATAATTTGGTGTACTATTAGCAATATGTAATAATTCCAGTCTTTGTATGGGTTTAATGCTTTAAAAAACATAAAAAATAGAACCTCAAATTTGGTTACAATTTTTAAAATTAGGAAATCTTTCAACTTGTGCTCTAGATCAACCCATTAGTAATTTTGGGCTGGCCCAATTAAAGTGGGCCAGCCCACCCCATGCAAAAATTAGAGTGTGCAAAATAATATATTGCGTCCTTGATGCAATTATTTGCGTTATATATATATATATGTATATAATTGTTGAATTGTAATCGATGCGCACATGACATGACACTGCCAAAGTACAAGAATTTATAGAAAAGGGCATGTGAAAATGAACAAACTTCTAAGAGTCAATAGTCAAACTCAGAAAGCAGTAGTTTCGAGAATGCTAAATAAATATTAATTTGTGTTTTGAATAGAGACAACAATAGTTAACACTAACGACTAATGCCTACTGTACGGCCAGTGGTTTTTGTCACATTACTTACACAACTAAACAATAAATAATAATAATAATAATAATAATAATAACAATAAATAACGTCTTTTACCACCGTTATGGTAGAGTTGTAATAATAACAATGTTGTTTTTAAGGTAACTATTGCAATTAAATGAGTAGCCAATAAATATATATATATATATATTAAGTCTAAACAACTGGACAAATAAGTGGCTGTAGTTTAGTGGTAAGAATTCCACGTTGTGGCCGTGGAGACCTGGGCTCGAATCCCAGCAGCCACAATTCTGTTTTCATGTAAAATGTGTACTTTTATTTATGAATTATTTTTACTTATACAAAATTAATTGATCTCCATTTAAAAATAATAATAATAAATACTGTATGTCTCTTTTTTTTTTTGTGGAGGTTGCTTCATATTAGTAAATATTTATTGCAGGATTGCATCGCATTAATTCTCACTACATATTTATCTGACATCACTTCAGAAACTATTTACTTCTTACCTTCCCTCCCCACTCTCCTGGCCCATTCCATTTAATTTTATACACTCTACATATACATTTATATTTATATATTATATATATATATATATCCTTAAAATGAAAAAGAACAAGAAAAAGGTAGTAGTAGAGCTCAATAAAATCAGTCAATCTGTAATGTAATGTAAGTATTTTGTTGTATTGATGAAATGAAATGAATAAATTGTGAAATGGGTGTCGGCAGCTGCAGTCCATAAAGACAACATATTATTTTTTCTTTGACATTTAACAAGCTGTCACCACTAATTTTGTCCAATTATTTGGTGCTCAAGATTGACAGCTTACCAATTATTTTCTAAGACTGTTCCTCCGCCACTCTTACAGTGTCGATAATAGGGCAAGAAATCATTTCTCACCAATTTATTTACTCATAATCTTGATATCATTTTTTTTTTATATATATATATAATTGTTAGATTTTCATTTTTTTAGATATCAGCAACTCATCAGCATCATTAATTTGAAGATCTAAAATTGGTGGGGAGAAATACAATAAAGTCTACCAAATTTCCCTTAAGAAAGGGAGTCTGAAAATGAAAACGGTGTCATCACGGGGTCCGAGCTCTCGGGTGGATCTGAACCATTGATGTTCCGCACAATGGACGGGTAGGATGTGTCTGGCGTTGAGGTCCCTGGAGTGCTCAAACATTACTCGCTCCTCACGGGCAATTTGGCCGTCTGACAGCTCACCGAGTGAGAGAGACAGAGCAAGTTGGTCTTTTCTCACTGAGCTGTAACCTCGGCCCATCGTGTCCGACACGTGGCACTTCCTCCTCCGTCGATCTGTATGATTCGCTTGTGTCGGCGGAGGTGGTGCGACGTCGTATTTGCATTATTGAGCTTCCTGCCAATTTTTATTTTATTTTTATTTTTAATTCCCAATTTCCCACCGACGAAAACAGTACCCCTTCCAGCGCGTGTTCCCCACTCGCCGACCTCGCCCGTGGCCATCTGCTGATTGCATGTGTTGCTGTTTTTGCTTTTTCTATTTTTTTTTTTAATTTATCTATTCATTTATTCCACAAAAAGATAGTAATTAATTAACAATTCATAATTTTCAATGATTGGGATTGATTTTCACTCAATAAGCTGTAACAATTTCCAAAATATAAAAATCTCTCTTGCAAACTAGCTACCTACAATATAATAGGTTGCTTGTCTTAGTACTCAATTTATTATTATTTTTTTTTAAAATGAATTTTTCAGACAGTAAATAGTCAATAGAATTATAAAATATAAGGGTCAATATATAAATAGAAAGTGGAGGAAGTGAGAAGAATAATTATTCCTTGATTACTTACCATGCCATTTTATTTATTTATTTATTTATAAATTACAATTGACAGAATCAAAATTCTCTCTTAACTACCACCATATATGTTTATTATTATTAATTACGTACTTACCTGGTTGTCTGTCACATGCCACGGCAAAAATTTTAATTTTATTAAACCAATAGAATCATAGTCGTAAAAAATTATTATATATAGTATTAAAATTATTTGATGAGCTAATTAATGTGGGGACGTAAATTTTAAACTATATTCGAGAGTGGTTGGGACATGCTTTCATTGTCATGTTCTACCTATCTAAAAATAAATAAATAAAACAAAATTGCTTAATATATATGCCTTCTTATATCACTGTAATGAAAATATTAATTATGTCATCAATTTACCATTTAAATGAAACAAACAAACAAATTTTGTTAATTTATAGTCATTCCTAGCTACCTTCAATTATTAGGAGATGATGCATCGATCTTTTTTATTACTATATATCTTTAGTATATTTGTTACTTAAAAATATTACAGATTTATAATTAATAAATAAAATTAAATTCTGATTTTATTTTATATATATATATATATATATTTCTCTTCACAGCTAGCTGATTTCCTCTCGTCGACATATTAATTGATGACAAAGATTTTAATATATATGTATATTGAGTATAATTAATGTTGTCCTTTACGATATTTTGGGTCCTTCGCATACCATACTTTTGCAATAACATTATTCGTTTTTTATTTTTAGATATTTTTTTTAAAAAATTTACAAATGTGTGAGTTCCTACCATAAATAAATTAATATATCTGGGCCGTTGATTTAGAGGATATGGAAGGTGGGACGTCGGATCAAGACATATAATGAAGACGTGCATGCGTATCTATTTTTACATATATATATTTAATACAATGAAGTAATTAAAATAGATAATAAAATTATTAATTAGCTCACATAATTTTATATTTTAGAGATGGGAGTAATTAATTAAAATTGCACAAAAAAACTGAACTAAGAGAAGCATGCATATATACATACATGCACGAATTATACTTCGATGGGTCCAGCTGCATATGTGCCTCGTTGTTTAGATCTGTCACACACACAAAAATATTTAAATTCTTATTTACTTTAATTAGAAAATACTATTATTAATAATAATAATAAAGACTAGCGTGTGCATGTGGGTGCATTTCTGTACACACAATTTACGTACCATTTTGTTAGATATGTATGGCTAATCAAATTAGATATATGAATTAATGGGGATTGGGGTTAAATTAATTAAAGCAGTGGAAACCCTAATTGAGATTTGGATTAAATTAGGGTGCAGAAAATAAAGGAATGTAATTTTGTGTTACATTAATGATTATTATCTCACTATATATATTTATATATCGATCATCATCACATGGCTATGGATATGTTTGTAAGTGAAGAAATCGTGTCCGAAGAAAGGATGAAATATATACCCACTACCATATACAGTGGTTTGCAGGCCATTGTGGGCCTATCTATATATTACTATATATTTCAACCAATATCATATATATATACATTCACTGTCCACTCTCTCTCTCTCTCTCTACTCTTTCTCTCTCTGTATATATATATATATATATATTTATTTATTTATGTTGTGATTGTATTGTATATATTGTCACCCACATGTTTGTAGGTTGCAATATTCTAGATTATATTATTGTTATTTTGGGGATGAAAGAGGACACGATGTATAGGCTTGTCAAGAAATTTTGGAAACCCTTTTGGCAAATCTTAAGAGTGTCTAAAACAGCAATTTGAGAGTGATTTGTGGTCATATTTGTATACAACATGACATTTTGCCTATCCCATTTTCATTTGGAAATCTGAAATATACTTATTAATTTATAATGCAGTATATAAATTATATTCTATTTTAATGTTTCATTTTATTTTTTCTAAAATAAATTATATACTCATTTGTGCGCGTGTATATTTTACACTTGGATAATTAATGCCTAAGTGTAACTGTGAGAACTCAATATAAAATGCTTCTAACCACATTTTTTATTATTCGATATTTTATTTTAAATTTAAAACATCTCAACTAAAAAAAGAAAAAACAATGAAGTTTAATTCCCAAATTAGAGAAAATATAATACATTAGCCAGTGATTACTTGCGTTAGGGTATTGAACATATTCAACTGAAAATTGGACAAAAAAAGACAGCTTTACCAGTGCGACAGAATTAATGAATTTCACATGCCATAAATTCTTTTCCTCTAAGGCAAGCGTAATTGTAACGTGCCAGAAAGTTGTCCTGACCTTTTTACTAGCAAGCTGCCTATTTTTGTCTTTTCCATACAAAATCACCAAAATAGAAAACCTCACTTGATTGTCCTCATAATTGTTGGGTTTGCTGCAAGCAATTAACCCTTTATTCAGACAAATACAAATTTACTTTTCATTATTACAATAATAACATTTTATATATTGCATAATAATAATTTATTATTTTATTATTATTTAAATTACTATTCATATAAAAATGGTGTAAGCAAAAGAACAACGACAAAAAAGAGTGATGAAGATTACAAATGAATATTATGGTCATTGCTAACAACAGCAGTGATTTGTACAAACGTCATAAAACCTTAAAATAACTACACATAAATGCCAAGAAGGTGATGGGTGAGCAACAGTGTTAATAAATATGGGTTGTGTCTTTAACCAAGAAAAGCAAAAAAATTAAAAGAAAAAGGAAAATTAATAATTATAAAATAATGAAATTACGAGAATAGCCCTGGACACAATAGGAAGCCTGGACCTGGGCCCACAGGGCCCACCCTCGTCTACCTCCTTCTTAAACTCTCCATTCACAAATTACCCATTTGATCTGGGCGTTAAAAAGATCTCAACTTTAATTGCTGTGGTGGGTGTAAGCGTTGAATCGTCAATCCATCTTCGTTTCTCTCTGTAAATTTGTTGTCATTCATGTTTGTCTCTCTGATAAAGTGACGTTTTTTGAGGGTTTTGGTCGATCGGTTCTTTGAGCCCAAGTGGCAATTGATTCTCTGAAGTCGCACGAGAGAGAGAGAGAGAGAGGAGAGAGAGAGGGGTTCTCTTAAGGAAAGAATCGGCGAGAGAGTAAATTAAAATAGCCGCCCACCAATGCCATAAAAAGGTTCTCTGGTTCTCCGGGACTGGGAGTAAAACCGACACTTTGCTTCACCGAATGCAATAATATTAATAATAATAATAATAGTAATCATCGATTCATCGTTTGTGTATTTTTCTTGGTTCTGTTAATACATCCTTTTCAGCTCTTTGTTTAATGCGAAGCGGTTGTGTTTAAGAAGAGAGGGAAAAGGAAGCACACAGGGCATTTGCGTTTCTTTCTCTTCTTCTTTCTCTCTGTCTTCCTTCCTTCTTTCCCATGGGGTTTCCAAATTGGCCTTGAGCCGCGGGAGACATTCTCTTCTCTTACATCTCTATCTTTCCACTAATTTCCCATCTCTATCTTTTGGGATCCATGGATACTAAAGGGAGGCTCGTGGCTGGTTCTCACAACAGGAATGAGTTTGTACTCATCAATGCAGATGAGATTGGAAGAGTGAGTTCTTTCGAAAGATCATTCTTTTTTCAGTCCCGCGTTGTACCTGCACTTTGCGCCGCAGTTTTGATCTTGTTTGTTGAGTTTCTCTGTCCTGTTGGAGTTATTTCTTTTCCTAATTTTCGGTTTTGAGTGTTTTTTTTTCAAGATTATTAATGGCGGAGCGTCGTTTTGGTGAACTCTCGAAATCTGATTCGTCAGTTTTTCATTCTTGAATTTAAGATCATCTCCCCCCCTCTTTTCACATTTCTCCATTGTAATTTTGCTCAGTTTGGAAGCAGCTTTTCTTTGATTTTTATTTTCTCTAGTTAAATAGCCCCCCTTTCTGTTTTTCTAGATTTCAGGGCCGGTCAAAGGTTTTTCACCATCATTCTTGCATCATCGTTTTTCAGCTCACACAAAATCTCTCTTTCCTTTTGAATCTGTAATAAGAGTTGTATTGATCTGTTTCTAACTGGTTTTTAATTCATTTATCCGTGTCGGTGTCAGGTGACTTCCGTGAAAGAGTTGAGCGGACAGATTTGTCAGATTTGCGGGGACGAGATCGAATTTACTGTCGATGGAGAGCCTTTTGTTGCCTGCAATGAATGTGCATTCCCAGTTTGCAGACCTTGCTACGAATACGAAAGGAGGGAAGGCAATCAGGCGTGCCCTCAGTGCAAAACACGATACAAACGAATCAAGGGTTGGAATTTGGGAATCCATTCCTCCAAATCTTAATCTTTTTTTTTCAATCATGAAATCGATGTTCATTTGATTTATCTGCTGCCCTAATTTGCAGGGAGCCCTAGAGTCGATGGAGACGAAGACGAGGACGAATTCGACGATTTGGAGCATGAATTCGATTACAATGGAAACCCTCAACAGCTCACAGAAGCAGCCCTCGCTTCTCGACACAATCTTGGCCGCAGCGCTTCCGGAATCACTACACCATCAGAATTGGATCCCTCAGCAGTCAACTCAGAAATTCCTCTACTCACGTATGGCCAAGAGGTACTCAAATCTACTAATTAATCTTCATCTCCATGTTCTTGATTTCGTTTGGCATCAGTTCCAGATTTTACAAATTTTAATGATGCAGGATGACACGATCTCGGCCGACAAACACGCACTCATTATCCCTCCATTTATGGGCCGTGGGAAGAGAGTTCATCCCATGCCGTACACTGATTCATCCATGACCTGTAAGTGTGTTCAATTACTTGGGTTTCTGTTTATTTTATTTCCAGAAATTCAATGGATTAAAAATGGATTCTCTACTTGATTTACAATGCAGTGCCTCCACGGCCAATGGATCCCAAGAAAGACTTAGCAGTGTACGGCTATGGGACTGTTGCTTGGAAGGAAAGAATGGAGGAATGGAAGAGAAAGCAAAATGATAAGCTTCAAGTGGTTAAGCATCAAGGGGATAAAGGTGGTTTCGATGAGCTGGATGATCCCGATTTACCCAAGTAGGTCCACCATTTTTGTTTCTTTTTCCTTCTACTGTGTGGAGTGTCGGTGGCTCTGCATTTAATGTTTTTGTTGTGAGATTAATATTATAAATACCACAGGCTGACTTCTAGCTTTTGCAACCACTAAAATTTATAGCCGTTGTTAATTGCCCAAGGTTTATTAATGGCTTCAATATAATACTCATCAATGTGTGCTAACCATCTTAATTAGAGAAGCTGTTTTTGTCCTTTTCTGCATTTAACTTTTCACTTTAGCCGCTCTTTGGAGAAGAAAGCTAGAATTCATCCAATTGAATTAGTTTTTCAGGATAAAGATTTGATCTTTATTTCGATGGTAAGTGTCAACTGCAATGTTTGTATTGAACCCTTGAACCGTTGGATTGATTTATCAACGACGAATCTTAGTTTTTGTTTGATTAATGTTGGAGTAAATGCAATGGTTTTGAAATGGATTGCTATTTACTGGATGTGTCGCTTTTTTCATTCTTGCATGTGGTCCTCGTACATGGTTCTTGAACTCTCGAATTGCATTAAAAATCTTATGTTTTGTACTTTAAGGATGGACGAAGGCAGACAGCCACTTTCCAGGAAGTTACCGATTCCATCGAGCAAAATAAGCCCTTACAGAATCATCATTGTGCTGCGAATGGCGATTCTAGGATTGTTCTTTCATTACAGAATTCTTCATCCTGTGAACGATGCATATGGGCTGTGGCTTACTTCAATTATATGCGAAATATGGTTCGCCGTGTCTTGGATATTTGATCAGTTTCCAAAATGGTTTCCTATTGTACGAGAAACATACCTAGACAGACTGTCGCTAAGGTAATAAATAAATGATACATTCTCTTACAAACACATCTTCAAGTTGTCTTTGTATTTCAATTCCTGATTCCTGTGCCGAATTTCATTACCAGGTATGAGAAAGAGGGAAAACCCTCAGGGCTAGCTGCTGTGGACATATTCGTGAGTACGGTGGATCCCATGAAGGAACCTCCGCTAATCACTGCCAACACGGTTCTTTCAATTCTTGCTGTGGATTATCCCATCGACAAGGTCGCATGCTATGTATCTGATGATGGTGCGGCAATGCTGACCTTCGAAGCTCTTTCCGAGACATCCGAGTTTGCCAGGAAATGGGTTCCCTTCTGCAAGAAATATAGAATTGAACCCCGGGCTCCCGAATGGTACTTTGCTCAGAAAGTTGACTATTTGAGAGACAAAGTTGAGCCAACATTTGTCAGGGAGCGTCGAGCGATGAAGGTGACATATTCTTTGTTGTACTTTTCTATGATTTGTCGTCTAGCCTCACGACTGAACCCTTTTGAGATTAAACTTTTGATGCAGAGAGAGTATGAAGAGTTTAAGATCCGAATAAATGCATTGGTTGCCACGTCACAGAAGGTTCCCGAGGATGGTTGGACTATGCAAGATGGAACTCCGTGGCCGGGAAATAATGTCAGGGATCACCCCGGAATGATACAGGTAAAAAACAAAAAAAAAAAAATTGGGATGCCGTCTATTGGCGCAATGGTAGCTACGGATTCTTTAGTTATATAATCGTTTTGTTTGCTTGACAGGTGTTCTTGGGTCAAAATGGTGTCCGAGATATTGAAGGGAATGAGTTGCCTCGACTTATATATGTTTCTCGTGAGAAACGACCTGGTTTTGAGCATCACAAAAAAGCCGGTGCTATGAATGCCTTGGTATTTGTCTTTACAATGTTTTTAAGCTTTAAATTATTCCCTACTACGAGGCAATCGCTTGAGCCGATAGTTTGTTTTTCTGAATCCAGATTCGGGTGTCAGCTGTGATCTCCAATGCTCCTTACCTACTTAATGTCGATTGTGATCACTACATAAACAACAGCAAGGCTCTTAGAGAGGCTATGTGTTTCATGATGGATCCTCAGGCTGGAAAGAAGATATGCTACGTGCAGTTTCCACAAAGATTCGATGGAATTGATAGGCACGATCGATACTCAAATCGAAACGTTGTCTTCTTTGATGTACGTAAGCTCATTTGGTGTAGTACTTATCACAGCTTATGGATGCTCTTCGCGGACGGTTCATTTTATTAATTAAGTTTTCCGATTGGTGACAGATAAATATGAAAGGGCTTGATGGGATTCAAGGTCCGATATACGTAGGAACTGGATGTGTCTTCCGAAGGCAAGCTCTTTATGGATATGATGCCCCGAAGAAGGCGAAACCACCCGGCAAGACATGCAATTGTTGGCCGAAATGGTGTTGCTGCTGCTGTGGTTCGAGGAAGAAGAACAAGAAAGCGAAGTCGAAAGAAAACAAGGAAAAGATTAAACACAGGGATGCATCGCCGCAGATTCATGCTCTTGAAAACATCGAGGAAGGAATCGAGGGTAAGATAGAAATGATCTAATATGTCACTAATATGTTCTGTACATTTATTTCATCAAACACTGAATCATTCTTCCCTGTTTCTGGCAGGAATCGACAACGAGAAATCATCCCTCATGCCTCAAGTAAAGTTCGAGAAAAAATTCGGACAGTCGCCAGTTTTCATTGCATCAACGCTTCTAGAACAAGGCGGCGTTCCCCCGGGAGCAACATCCGCGTCGCTCCTCAAAGAAGCTATTCATGTGATTAGCTGTGGTTACGAAGACAAGACAGATTGGGGGAAAGAGGCATGTATATGCAAACAGTTTTCACGAAACTCAAGTATGTTTTTTCCGATCTGATGTTTTGCTCGTAAGTCTCACAATCTGTTTATTATTGCCAGATTGGATGGATTTACGGCTCGGTTACTGAAGACATTTTAACTGGATTCAAGATGCATTGCCATGGCTGGCGCTCGGTCTACTGTATTCCCAAAAGACCTGCCTTTAAGGGATCTGCCCCAATCAATCTTTCAGATCGTTTGCACCAGGTTCTTCGATGGGCCTTGGGGTCAGTCGAGATTTTCTTGAGCAGGCACTGTCCTATTTGGTATGGATACGGATGCGGTCTGAAACCATTGGAGAGATTTTCGTACATAAACTCAGTCGTCTATCCATTGACATCACTTCCCTTGATTGCTTACTGCACTTTACCCGCAGTCTGCCTACTCACGGGGAAATTCATCGTCCCGGAGGTGAGCAACCGGAAAAAGTATAATCAAGAACTTGTTGGAAATTCTTATTTTCCTTACGCTGACGATTCTTTGTTGGTGTTCACAGATCAGCAACTACGCGAGTATAGTTTTCATGGGTCTTTTCATCTCCATCGCTGCAACTAGCGTTCTTGAAATGCAGTGGGGCGGAGTTGGGATTGACGACTGGTGGAGAAACGAGCAGTTTTGGGTGATCGGTGGCGTCTCGTCTCACCTCTTTGCTCTACTTCAAGGTCTTCTCAAAGTATTGGCTGGCGTCAACACGAACTTCACTGTCACATCCAAAGCAGCAGACGACGGGGAGTTCTCTGAGCTCTATCTCTTCAAGTGGACATCTTTGTTGATCCCACCGATGACTCTTATGATCATCAACATAATTGGAGTTATAGTCGGCGTCTCAGACGCCATAAACAATGGGTACGAAACATGGGGTCCTCTATTCGGGAAGCTCTTCTTTGCGCTATGGGTGATCGTGCACTTATATCCCTTCCTCAAAGGTTTCATGGGGAAACAAGATCGACTTCCTACTATCATCGTGGTATGGTCCATTCTTTTGGCTTCGATATTCTCTTTGTTGTGGGTTCGAATCAATCCATTCTTGTCTAGAGATGGCATTGTCTTGGAAGTTTGCGGGTTGGACTGTGATTAGTGATACAGAAGAATAAAGAGTTTAGGTTTCGTGTAGAAAAAAGAAAGAAAAAATGTTGCGTGGGAACTGCAGAATGGAGAGTATTCGATATCAGGGCGAGCACGAGATGAAGGAGATGGAAGAGAAGCCCTGTGTGTAGATATGAAAGAGAAATGCTGCAACAGCACACATCTATATATTGTTGTGCACAGTTTTTATTTGTTGATTTATTTGGATAAGTTTGTGTGTTCTTGATTGTCGAGAGAAACGTTTGTCAAGTTGTCATAATTTATATTTCCCTTCTCAATAAAAAAAAGAATGCCCCTTTCATCCTTTTCAACACATTTTATTGTGACACCATACAATTACACAAATCATCACATGAAAATTCTGTCATTTCTCTACATCAGTTCTTTCACTCTCTTGAGTTAGCATTTCCTGCCTTTCTGTTGCTTCAGGGTTTTCTTCTTTGCTCTTTGCCCATAGAATTCCATAAAGTCCAATTACCAGCAGCATTGCTCCACAAAAACTGTTGAATTAAACCATGTCAATCCAGGAGAAAACCTACAATGATATGTGCAGTGTAATCCAATCCAACCTTCCCCAGTGAAGTGTCTCCTGGAAGAATATTGCTGAGAATATGGCTGTAATAACAAGTGACAGTGGACTAAAAGCAGCACTGAAAACAGGTCCCTTCTTCTCCACAATCCAAGCCAGAAGCCAATACCCAAATCCTTGAACTATCACGCCCTGCAAAGTATTAACAAAACTATGCCCTCAGGTTGTAAAAAGTATTCAAGAACCAAGAATAGAAAGTTCTTTGGTGTGTATATACACAGTAGAAAACAGAAAGGAGATTGATATCCCATCCCAGTTTCCAGGATTCTGGATTTCTTTCCATTGCCATAGCCCAGACTGCTGATGTTACACAACTGAAAATACATTGCAGTGCTGTGAGGTGGAGCTTAGCTGGATACTGCTTAAGGAGGGGAACCTACAAAAGAGAAGGCGAAATCAGGATTAATTAGGCATAAAAGGACTCGGAGATGTTATCCATCTAACCTGCAGAATTAGCCACAAACACCACATCACGATGCCTGCTAGAATGATGAGAGAGCCCTTTATCCAACCATCCTTTGTGTAAGTTTGTTTGGATAGATGTAAGATGTTTTTTTGGCTTTCTGGATACATAGCAGGGCCAGTGACAAATGTGCATAGCAGAGCTCCTAAAAGGCCTAATGCAGCACCGATCACTTTGGACATTCCATGCTTTTGTTTTATGTTCAGGCTTTCCATTCTGGAAAGTTTCGAACCTTTTAATTTGATGTTTAGTATTGAATGGAGTACTAGGATACAGTCATACCTGAAGCAGACCGCCAAGACGAATGTAATGGCCAGATTTGTGTTGGTTAAGGCTATAGCAAATGTTGCCGATACATAGTTGAGCGAATAGTAGACGAGGTTTAAATTCATTGTGATCCTGAAGTTCATAGCACACATTGCAGTGAAACACAGAGAGAACATAACACTACCTAATGTTGTAATAAAGGAGCATATATGTACCCGGTTGACACCAGAAAGATTTTGGAGAGCAAGGGGAATGATAAAGGAGGCGACTTCTTGCTTCTGTTTCAGTTGGAAGAGGTTCAGTCATTACTCCTTAACTATAACTGATCAAATGATAACATGGAATCTGGTAAAGGCAAATTGATCGTACCTCTCTAGAACAAACACGAACGGGACCAATGCTAGTGTAGCAAATGCTTGGCGATAAACTACAAACACATGTGCATTCATTCCTTCAGAGATTGACGCTTTAGACAACAAGGACATGCCTGCATACACAAACTGATAGAGTATCATCGCGAAATATGGCTTGTTCTTCTCCATGTTTCTTACACAGCCTTGCAAGCCAGCAGCCATTTCTGATCTTCTGTGTCCTCTTATAAGTTTTGGTTAGTTCCTGGGATGCAATTTAAAAGAGATGGTGTTGGAGCTGAATGTATTCATCAAGTCTCATCCAACCCTGTCATTTAGGCTTGCCAAACTGGATGGGAATCTCATTCAAATAAATAATGGAGCAAGAAAATGACGAACACTATCAAATAATAAATTGTCCACCATCAACGCATCTGTAGCAGTACTGAACTTTTCAGTCAAACTAAAACCAGAAAATATTTATGCATAGCTGCCGCACCAAGACAAGCTACTCATAAACTATGTTATAAAGGTACAAGACAGATTGTGAGGGATTATTAATTGAGAAGATCTGATTTTTGTCAACATTTCCTGGTGTAGTAGACATTGTGCCTATTTGTTTATATTTTGTGTGCGAAGATTGATAGTGCCGGCAATAATATTAAATCTTTAAAAGTCAATGAAAGAAACCAGAGAAGGAGCAGAGATGGAGGATGAGCACAAGAATTTATTGTCTTTGGATCTCTCTATGCTGAAAAATGAAGTTTGTTATTTACAATTGAGCATAATAACTTGAAGGGGCCATTTCTCTTCCATTGCTGCAACTGATCCAAAGCAAAAACGGCTGAGAATTCTCTGAGATGTATTACATTTTGAATCAAGGTCTTTGATTTTCCCACTTCTTCATAGCCTGCATTTGGATTCTTTTGTTTCTTGAAATTATTCTCTTGTGGAAGTGTATCTTCAGATTAAACATCAAACACCCTTTAACTTAGTCCAACAAATTTGGAAACTGATATCATTTCTGGCATGCACTATTCTCTTACTCTATATCAGTTCCTTTAATCTCTTCACTCTCCCCCTTGTGGTTTTCTGTTGCTTCAGGCTTATCTTCTCTGCTCTTAGCCCATAGAATGCCGTAAAGGCCGATTACCAGAATTATTGCTCCACAAACACTGCCACCACAGATTAAAGGAAAAAAAGGATTGGCAAGGGGCAACAGTGTCAGTCCAGCCAGGAAATAAAAAAACATGCCAATCAGTTATGTAGCTAACCTTCCCCAGTGAAGTGTCTCCTGGAAAAATATTGCAGAAAAGATAGCTGTAATGAGAAGTGACAGTGGGCTGAAAACTGCAGTGAACACAGGTCCCTTCTTCTCCACAGCCCAGGCTAGCAACCAGTAACAGAGTCCAGCCACTATCACTCCCTACAGAAAATAGCCACTTATGTTTAAGTGAAAAAACTAGACAAGAAGATGCATCATTGAAAACATATATATATATACACACGCGTACACAATAGAAAACAGCAAGGAGGTTGAGATTCCATCCAAGTTTCCATGACTCTGGATTTCTTTCCATTGCCACTGCCCATATTGTAGAAGTTATGCAGCTGAAAAGACTTTGTAGAGCCGTGAGACGGAACTTTGCAGGATATAGCTTGACCAGTGAAGCCTAATGAAAGAGAGCGGCGCTATTAGTCCTCGGAACGAACAAAGAAGATGATGGAAGAGTCCGGCCTGACCTGCGCAATTAGCCACAAACACCACACCACATTGGCTGTCATCATGATGAGAGAACCCTTTATCCAGCCCCCATTGGTGTAGGTTTGTTTGGATAGATGTAATACGTCTTTCTGGCTTTCATGATACACGGCAGGGCCTCTTGTAAAAGTACATAGCAGAGCTCCTAAAAGGCCTAATGCAGAACCGATCGCTTTGACCATTCCATGCCTTTGTCTTATATTCAGGCTTTCCATTCTAGCAAGTTCTAAAATTTTAATGATGTTTGTACCATTGAATCCTATGAAAACAAGCGAGGAACATTGTACCTGAAGCAGACGGCTAATACAAAGGTAATGGCCGGAATTGTGTTGACTAAGGCCGTAACAAATGTTGCAGATATATAGTTGTATGCATAGTAGGCCAGATTTAAATTCACCGTGGTCCTGAAATTGAAAATGAACAAAGAATCCACCTGAACAGTTTTCTGAAAGAACAAAGGATTTATGAACAGAAACACATACATACCCTGTAGATACCACAAGTATTTTGCAGAGCAAGGAAGCTGATAATGGAGGCCACTGCTTGTTTCTGTTTCATTAGGATGGATTTGATTGCTACTTGTTAAACCAAGTAAATATAGCAAGATGAACATTAGTACATTGCATTCAACCTCTCCATGAAGAAAGCAAATGGAGCCAATGCTAGTGCAGCAAATGCTTGTCGATGAACCACAAACACATAAGGATTCATTCCTTCATTGATTGATGCTTTAGACAACAAGGACGTGCCTGCACCCAAAAATTGTGAAAGTATCATAAATAAGTATGGTTTATTCCTCTCCATATTTCTCACACAACCTTGCAAGCTGGCCATGGAATTCGCCGGAGATCCTCCTGCAAATTATTTTGACTTCCTGAGACTGGATTCGGAAATTGAAATATAAGTGTGTCCTGATGCTCCTATACAAGGAATAACAATGGTAGTTAGAAAAATTGTGAAGGCATTTTTATTCTTGGCATGTATTGTAGCTACCATTTCAACGCCATCATAAAAACTTTCAAGCTGATTGGGAAGTTTGCATAAGTCCAGCAAGTAAATGATGATGAATACGATTAGCAAACACTTTCCATGGCCATATTCCGTGGGCCAATCTGATTTCAATTGTACTTTATATCATATTTTATAGTATCAACATGTGTTTCTCAAACTGATCTAAATCTAAAACATTTATATATGAAACAAGTTGAGATAAACTATGTGGTATTAGCTGTGCAGAATTGACTATTGACCTTATGAAGGGTTGTTAATGTCCAAAAAACATCTGATTATGTTACAAAATATACACAATCACTACTACAAATTAGACTCCCTTCTCAATAAAAGAATACCTCTTCGAACATTTTCAAGACTGACTTTCTACCCTTCTGATTTCTTTTGATTGAATTCATTGTGTTGTGAAAGAACACACAGATCAAAAAACATCTCTACTTGATTTCATTAAACACAAACTCTAGTGTCGTCTCGGCATGAAATGTTATCAACAATCATCTTTCCTTCACTCCCTTCTTACTTCTCCACCTGGTCTTCTGTTGCTTCAGGTATTTCTTCTATGCTCTTTGCCCATAGAATGGCATAAAGACCCATTACCAGCACTATGATTCCCCAAAAACTTCACCCACACCACAAAAGAAAACCACAAGTTAATTAAATGACAATAATTCCAATCTAGAAAGATGTCAATGGTTTGTGTAAGAAAACTGCACTGAAAACAGGCCCTTTCTTCTTGTTACTTCCCGAGACTAGGTTGCCACGGGAATTGAATTTCCTAGTATATCAACATAAAATATACGCGGCGCAACAACAACAACAACAGCGACACGGTTCAGTAAACCATCTATTGACCCTTCTTTGTTTATGTATAATTTCTTCAAGAACATGTCATGTGAAAAGGATTGGTTGTGCAACTGAGATAAGACACGATCCATTTTTATATTAATTAAGTTGACATGAACTGGTCATGAAGTGTATATTTATATTATGCAGATATGACTCTACTGATCTCGTGCCTAATTGTATATTACCTGTAAGAAAACCAGAATTATAGAATATCTCCAACAGCTGGAAGATTTTTGCATTAATGACTTGAGCTTCTGATCGACTGTTAATTGCAAAATCTCTTCTTTTTTTTTTTTTCTGATTTATTTTTTTGCTAACATCGACAAAAGAAAATAAGCAGCAAGGGGTACTTTCGCCGATCTAAGAGAATATCATTCCATCTGAGTCAGGTTTCGCTCCTCTAATTGAACATTTGATACTTGACTCAATGTTTCTCCTTTTCTTTACCCAAAATTTTGGTATACCTTATTCTATAACATTCGGAAATTTCATGGATTCTTACATAACATACACAACTACTACTTGATTTCATTAAACATAAACTCTATTGTCATCCCGGCATGCAATGTCATCGACAATCATCTTTCCTTCGCTCCCTTCTTTCTTCTCCACCTGATCTTCTATTGCTTCAGGCTTTTCTTCTACGCTCTTTGCCCATAGAATCGCATAAAGACCCATTACCAGCACTATCATTCCACAAAAACTTCAGCCCCACCATGAAAGAAAACCACAAGTTAATAAAATAGCAATAACTGCAATCCAGGAAAGAATGCCAATGGTTTGTGTAATACTGTAAACAAACCTTCCCCAGTGAATCGTCTCCTGGAAAAATATTGCTGAGAAAATAGCTGCAATGACAAGTGAGAGTGGCATGTAAACTGCAGTGAAAAGAGGCCCTTTCTTCTCCACAACCCAAGCTATCAACCAGTAACCAAATCCAGCCATTAGTACACCCTACACAAAGAAACATTTACAAATTTGATCCTCTGGTCCCACAATCGACAGTTTTGTCAATGTAAAAAATATACAAGAAGATCAATAGGTGTATTATGTATGTATATACATACAGAGTAGAGAACAGTAAAGAGGTTCAGATTCCATCCAAATTTCCATGACTCTGGATTTCTCTCCATAGCCACAGCCCATACTGCTGAAGTCACACTACTGAAAAGACATTGTAGAGCCGTGAGACGAAGCTTAGCTGGATACTGCTTGATCAGGGGACCCTAAGGAATCAGGACAAAAGAAATTAGTCCTCAAAGCAAACAAGAACCTCAGGGAGATGTCGGTCAAACCTGTGCAGCTAGCCACAAACACCACACCACATTGGCTGCTATTATGATGAGAGAACCTTTTATCCAGCCGTCTCGCGTGTACGTTTGTTTGGGTAGATGAAATATGTTTTTCTGGCTTTCGGGATACATTGCAGGGCCCCTGGCAAAAGTGGATAGTAGAGCCCCCGACAGGCCTAACACGGAACCAATCACTTTGACCATTCCATGCCTTTGTCTTATGTTCAGCCTTTCCATTCTGCCAAGTTCCAAAATTTAATAATGTCTTGCTTTAAAACCATTGAAGGGAACACTAGGAAGCAGAAATATACCTTAAGCAGACTGCAATCACGAAGGTGATGACTGGAACCGTGTTGCCTAAAGCGGCAAGAAATGTTGCGGATACAAAGTTGAGACCAATGTAGCTGACATTTAAGCTCACCGTTGTCCTGAAATTCGACACAAGCCAAGGATCACGGAATGTTCTTCTCTGAAAGAGCATACTCCATAAGGTTATAAGAAAAGAAGCACGTATGTACCCTGTCGAAACCACAAATATTTTGCAGAGCAAGAGGGGTGACAATGGAGGCAACCTCTGATTTCTGTTGCAGCCGTAAGACTTTGATCATTACTTGTTAAAAAGAGTAACAAACCTGAGTATCTTGTACAGGTAAAATTATACCGACCTCTCTAGATAGAAAGCGAATGGCGCCAAGACCAGCGCTGCGCATGCTTGGCGATAAAACAAAAACACGTATGGATTCATTCCTTCGGAGATTGATGCTTTAGTAAATAAGTACATGCCTGCAATCAGAGCCTCTACGAGTATCATTGCAAAATGTGGTTTGCTCCTCTCCATGTTTCTTACACAGCCTCGCATGCCAGCAGCCATGTTCGATGCCAATCTCCTTTAAACCTCTGGTTACTTCCCGAGACCAGGTTTCCACAGGAGTTGCAATATTCGATTATCCTATTCCATAAACATATATGTACACTACTTAGCAGGCTTTTGTAACAAGAACAACAATGGCATGGTTCTGTGAACCATCTGTTGGCCCCTTCTTGTATAATTTCTTGAAGATCATGACATGTGAAAAAGATTGATTTTTGCAACTGGGCCAAGATACGATCCATTTTTATATCAATTAAGTTGACATGAGCAAGTCATGGAATTTATATGCATAATTTTTTATTACCTGTAAGAAAACTAGAATCATAGAAGATCTTAAACAGCTAGAAGGTTTCTTCATTAATGAATTGAGCTTCTGATCGACTGTTATCTGCACAATCTTTTTTTCTGATTTGTGTTTTTGCTAACATCGACGAAATAAAATAAGCAGCGCGTAGTACTTCCGCCGAATATTTTCAATAAACATCATCACCTACTTTAACTATGAAATAAAATCTCTTCAGCTTTCTTCACTGCTTTCATTTCTCACATGTAATGCCCTCAAAACAGTCAAACTGTCTCATTCTCGTTCTCCTGCTTACGCTTGTTTTCTTCGATCTTGCTGTCCTTGTTGTCTGCTTCAGTTTTTCCTTCTTCGCTCTTCGCCCACAGAATGCCGTAGAGGCCGATTACTAGTAGTATAGCTCCAAGAACACTGCCTCACAAAAGAATCACGTATATAAGAATATGCAACAATAGTAATTAATCCATAGGAGAATATCTATGCTGTACTGTCCTGACCTTCCCCAGTGAAGTGTCTCCTGGAACAGCACAGCAGAGAATATAGCTGTAATAATAAGTGCCAATGGACTGAATACAGCAGTGAAAACTGGCCCCTTTTTCTCCACGACCCAAACTTGCAACCAATAACTAATTGCAGTCACAATCAATCCCTGTAAGATTCAGACGAAATATGATGAGACCACAAGTAGGGGAGTATAACCGATTTCCTGATTATGCAAACAATTGCAACAAGAACCAATCATACACAATATAAAACTGAAAGGAGATTAACATTCCATCCAAGTTTCCATGCCTCTACATTCCTCTCCTTTGCTGCAGCCCAAATTGCCGAAGAAATGCAGCTGAAAAAACATTGCAGAGCTGTAAGCCGAAGCTTAGTCGGATATTGCTTGATCAGGTGACCCTAATGAATGGAAAAGAAGAACCAGATGAAATGAAATGAAATTTATAAGCACTCAGAACAAAGCAAAAACTCAAGGTTTCCAATCACCTGCATGATTAACCACGAAGACCACGACACATTGGCTGCTAGAATGACAAGAGAGCCCTTTATCCAGCCATGTTTTGTATAAGTTTGTTTAGATAGATGTAAGATGTCTTTTTCCCTTTCCGAATACATTGCAGGGCCCCGGGCAAAAGTACATAACAGAGCGCCTAAAAGGCCTAGTGTAGACCCGACAACTTTAACCATTCCTTGCCTTTGTTTTAGGTTCAGGCTTTCCATCCTAACAGGTGCAAGATAATTCACATCATATACAGGATGGTATACGAGGACTATTACAGAACTCTCGATGTAGACCTGAAGCAGACGGCTAAGATGAAAGTGATGACCGGAATTGTGTTGGTTAAGGCAGTGGCAAATGTTGCAGAGACATAATTGAGTGCAAAGTAGAAGAGATTCAAACTCAATGTGATCCTGAAATTTCAAAATACACAGTTCGTAGTCGAGCTCCTGCAAAAATATGAAGCAAAGTAATGTGAAGCAAGAATAATGAATAGAAGCATTCACCCCGTGGAGATTGCAAATATTTTTCCAAGCAAGGGGAGCGATAGTGGAGGCGAATCTTTGTTTCTGTATCAGTTAAAAGAAGTTCGACAAATGACTCAAAATCAGATGAACATACAGTTGAGTTAAATTCAACCTTTCTAGGTAGAGGGCGAAAGGCGCCAATGCTAGCGTAGCAAGCGCTTGGCGACAAACAACAAACACGTAAGGATTCATTCCCTCGGTGATTGCTGCCTTGGACATCAATGACATGCCGGCGTAGACAAATTGTATGAATATCATTACCAAGTATGGTTTGTTCCTTTCCATGTTTCTTCCACAAGCTTGGAAGAAAACCATTGCGGATGGTGTCTCTAATACTTTAACTTTCTGCTATGTTAACAGTAGGTCACTGTTACATTGGTTATCCCTCCTTGATGCCTACTGTTCTCCATTGACAGCCATGGATCTCGGGCCTCTGAGTGCCAAGTGGGACACAAAGCTTGTAAGTTATTTTCAGACAAATTAGGGAAGAACAGATACTTCCCTAAAACTTATAAACCATTTTTCTGAATACCTTAGTGTTCGTGTCCTCCCTCGGAGAAATACTGCAATTGAAGATTTAATAAATTTGATTGTCTTTGCGTGTATTGACTTCATTCCAAGTCTTCTTACAACCTTGACAAGCTAATAACATATATAAGTCAAGCATCACAGTCCAAAGCCACCTAATGCACCTTGACTTGATAGTGATTTTGTCGTTCATTATAAACCATATATACAATTACAATCAGGAAATTTCTTGTGCTTGTTTGGCTTTCAATTTCCAACTTTAAAATATATTTTATATCATATATAGCCAAACATGTTAATAAGACAAGGAATGCATGGTCAGACACAAATTCATCATTTGATTTGCATTATTAACCCTTAACAACCATTTTCAAAATTGGCTCAAAAGATGATGACTTGATTCACAGAGTTAAGAGGAATAAATCCAAAGTGCTGAATATGTCAAATTTATATAGAATCTTAGTCCAAGTCCAAGTCCACCCTTAAGATGATGTAAACTGAAGCAGATGATTATATTGAAATATTTGTATAATGGTAGCAAACTTGTGATTGAAAAATACAGAAGCCTCTCAACAAGCCAAAATTTGGACAAAGGGATCAAGTAGTCGTCAGTCAGTTCAATTGTACACTCGGTGTATGCGCGCATATTAGCATGTATGAACTTGTCTGAACTAAATATGTACTAAAATCGAAAGCAGGTTAGATGATTCTATCGAAACTAAAAAAGCACTATTGTAAGACCAACTGCTGCCATTAAGGAGAAGAAGAGCAGCCTCTGCGAGTATCAAATCATCAGTTATAATCTGGTTATATCATCATTCTACCGGGAGGGATCCTGTAATTCGGATGGTTGGTTCTCTCCATGTGCGAAATCACCTGAGGCATCGTCATTCCCACAGAAACAATGATCTCTGAAATATACGAGGAACAGGATTCATTCATATCATCAAGCCATGCAACGATTAACAAATTTGAAATAAGAAATGAAACCAACATCAAGAGCCAGAACTCACCGATGCCTTCTCGAATCGACAGATTGGGCCTAATGATTTCTTGGGAGTTAATGAGAAATATGTCTCCAATGTATAAATGATTCGTAGGAACATAGACAGAACATAATTCTTCGTCCCCATCATCTCTCTGAAACCAAAAATATCATCAATGTTTCAAGTTGCGGGCGCCTTGCCTGAACTTGGATCGTTACAATCTACTACAGAGATTGTAAGAAGTAAATGATGTTATGACAATAAATTCTAGTTTCTGAATCCGGCAGTAATGCCAGCAATGCTTCTAACAAATGAATCATGCATAATCTTGTAGTTGAAAACAATTTCTTTTCACAAATATAAAGATTAATAAGCAGCTTGGATATTCGTTATTAAGGAGATCCTGGAAAAAAGTAGACTGAAAGTACCTGAAGAATTACTGTTGACGTAATAAAGCCAAGAGCATACTCTCCAACTCGAGGATGACGGATAATAGCAACCTCCTTAAAAGCAGTAGTATTCTGGTCTGGAACAAAATAGATACAGAAACAATCAGTCCATCAATAAATGTTTGATAATCAAGGTTGATTTTTTTAAGGATTAGATTCAAATGTCAAGAGATAGATAATTGGGACTCTCATAGCAAAGTTGAACTTGTGAAAGATGCCTCTAGCAACCAAAACTAGATGGGTACAAAATCTAAACAGCACTTAATGAAAAGTCCCCAGTCAATAATTTCCTGACATTGCCATCGAGTAATCGTGCAGCTTATGTATAAGGGAATAAATGAAACAAATGCTATGTAACAAAGGTATTAATCAGTCTTATAGCCTATCCCAAGAAAGTTCTATAAACTGACAAAATGGCTACTCTTACACTATGTTAAGGAACAAAAAGAAAAGAAAAGGGAGAATACTGATTGTACTGCTCCAGATTCATGGAAGCAATTTATTGAATATGCAACAATAACTTTTCTTCCTACATAAGCAGCCATGAAAATAAAATGGAAGAGCAAGGTATTTCCATATAACCATTTCTCCAAAAATTAGATTCTGTATTTCAATAGCACCGCAGGAAAACCATATAATAGCATTCACCTGGAGAGATTGCTGAACTAATTTGTTTGGATGCTGAGTATATATGCTTCACAAAGGGCATTCGCTTGATAAACCATTCTCCGATCCAGAATACTGTTGATCCCAACCATGATGAAGCAAATATACCAATAAAGAAAATAAATATCAACGATGTTATGAATCCAAGGCCTGCAACAGATATGAAGACATATTAGATAATATAGGTCATACCGAAATATAGCCCTGGTTAGCTATCAATGGATCCACAGATCATGGTCCCTCAGAAACAACAATAAATAAAAGTCAAGAGGACAAGAAGATAATTAGTTTGAGCTTTAGATGTCAGCTACAAAAAAAAATTAAAATTACAGAAGGGAGGCAACATCAAAATTTGCTTCAATGATTGAAATCGCAAATACTCAGTTAGTCTGATACCACAAATACTGTGGGGGGGGGGGGGGGGGGGGGTTGGCGGCGGGGGGCGCATTTCACCAGGGATAAGTGAAACAAAAGGAAAGGAGAAGTTTGGGCACATGCCAAGCCTGATGAGCATCATGAAGGGATGACTTACCAAATATGTCAATGCCTAGTCTCTCATATATAGGACTGAAGAAACCATCAACAAACTGAATAAACCACCAAGTGATGAAGAATGTAACAGCAACTGGAAATAGAACAACACTGCAATTTAAAGTTATCAGTCAAAATTGAGCATTTGAAAGAAAAACCAGGATTCATTATCAGATCTTATATTAAACCAATTACCATCCAGTCATGAACTTCTTTGAAACCCAGCTCTGAAGAACGGCATAGCATGCCTGAAGAAGTAGATGTAATACAACTACGTAAATTCTCAGGACATCAACAATTTATGAGCACTTTCACACAAGTCACAACAATAAGTAAAACTGCTTCACTTCCTAGGTGAGTGCTTTCACACAAACAAACAGCAGTTCATAAAATGTCAGACTTCAGACATTACAGTACATCTTACTTAAAATTAATTAACTTTTCATCAATCCCTTCAAAGCTAAGGCAATTTACAGCAAAATCCTGTGGGTGATCATATTTTGTGACAAAGTGTGTCATCAAAGCATCCAAACATCAAGGCTTAAACTTACAAACATCACTCCCAACACAAGCGCGCGCACTTAAAGGAGACGACATTTCATCACTTTCTTAATATAATTGTCTGAATTTCAACGCATATTTGCAGAAATTACCCAAAACTTCCAAATTCCGAAAATAGAACGTTCAACTTTCAAGCCTAGGTGGTAATAATAATAATAATAATAAGATCAAGCAATCGTTCTGGGGCAGGGGTTCTGGATACCGAACTCTGAAAATCGACCTTGCGGGTAGATGAATTGTTGGGCGAACGAGGGGTTTTGACGTAGTCTTCACCATCGTCGTCTTCACCAGGCAAAGCCGTCAATGCAACCGCTAAGTCTCTCTTCCCCCGACCACCACTATTGTCCTCCGCCATTAATCCAGCAGCCTCCGCACAAAATTACGAAGATTTACAGCAATCCGAAGCATCAAAAGGTGCGACTTTTGGAAGCCGCTATCGTAGTAGAGCAAAATTCGGGAGTTTCGTCAACTCCAAGCTGTGGGCTAGTTTTGCCTAATTCACACAGAACCCCCCAAACTATTCCATATTTCCCAATTCACCCCTAAACCCAACAACACGTGCCGAGTCTTCAGGCCCAGAATTCGGCCCAAACTGTTTATCCACCACACCCGACCCATATCCGCTCAAATGCCCCAATTAAATTAACCCACACTCTTATTATTTTTATTTTGTTAAAGGTAATAAATCATAGTAAAATAAATTAAATTAAGGTAAATTTTATAATACTCTTTTATACGTGTAAAACTAGTAAATATCTTAATTGTCTTCTTAAAAAGACGAACTATAACCTAATTTTAAAAAATAAAGATTATAAAAATAAATAATTAATCATATATTTTATAATTTAAAACAAGATTTTTACGTAATAAATGAAATGGTTTGTGTACTTATAATATGAGATATTATACAATTTATCCATTAAATTAAATGAATTGCATATTTAGGGTATGTTTGTTTGGAGGATTGGATTTTAAATCACTGTTCATCTCGTTTTTTCAGCAAAAATTATCAAATCAAATACCTATTTTTTATATTCAAAATTTTTTCTGTAGTCAAAATCCAAACCCCTAAAAAATTTTAGATGTTTTGTCGTTATTATGTTATTTGAGTGGAATTAAGTACACAAATCTTTCGGCGCTGCTCAATTTAGTAATCAATCAGTTGCCAAAAACTTTTCCTCACAGTTTCCCCATTTGGGATCAGAATCGATTAATTCCCAAACTTACTTTTACAAATTAAATGAACCAACCCACAAGTGTCTGTGCACTCATGGGAATGATTACACTCAATTGTATATATGTGAATGCATTATTATTATTATTAGCTACTATTAATTATTTTATGTGTCCAGATTGTGACAAGATAGTATTTTGTCCAATTCTTAAATCTCCAGCACCAAATTGTACGTACGAGGATTAATTATGCATATTATAATAATAATAGTAATAATAATTACGCCTTTTTCTGGTCCCATCGCCGCTTGCAATGCAGTGCAATAGAAAAGAGCATATAATTTCAGTGACTGAGTGTGTGTATTCGCTATTAAGTGAATGTGGCAAAAAGGCTAAAAGCGGGTTTTATGCCATGTGTTACAATTGCGACTCTTAATTAATGCCGTGAAATAAAAGTCGTGCTTTTGACGGCCGCAATTTATTTTATTTTATTGTTATTGTGTCGAATATTTTTGGCAATTATTTTAATTAAAATAATATATACGTGTCACGCTTAAGATTATTAATTTAACCAAAGGGCACAACATTATTATGTGGATTCACATGAGATGGAAAGTTAACATTTTTGTATCGTCTTATGAACAGAGACAAGGAAATATTAATTAAAACAAAATTGTAGTAAAAAAATATGGCTAAAATGCAACTTCAACTATTTTTCCACTTACCAAAGTAGTAATAAATAATAGCCTTAAGTTTCTCAAATTGTTATCTCGATTTGTCTGTTCTTGTCTGACATTGTTTGAATTTGTCAACTCAAAATAATTTCTTGGATAGGCACATCTTATTTTAAAAATAAAAATTCAAAGTCAAATGACGTGCTTTGATCACATGCTTGCACATTTATTGTGTCTATTTTTGCTGCATTTTTTCTATTATAATTTTTAAAAATAAAAAACATGATATTGACTATATGGGTTTAGTTTATTTTGATTCTTGGTTGGAGTTTTTATTTAAATTTTGATGTAAATATTTTTTTTAATATTACACACTCTATCATTTCGTGTGAGTTTTTTTTTTTTTTTTTTTTTCAACCTCTATTGTAATATTGGGTTGACTTTGGATATTCTTGAAATTGAAGGTTAACTTTTGTACTAAATAAAATATAATTAGAATTACATGAACCCAAGTTGCAAAAGGAAGACTAAAATCTACATTTGCCTGCAAAATAGGTGCTGAATAATTTGATATATTTATTTATTTGTTAAATTGCTCAAATTTATGATGACCATCTTCGTTGTTCACACCCATTTTTTGACCCTTAAAATAACATGAAACATGTAAAAGAATAAATATATTATCCTAATTAATGAATAAGTAGGCTGAGTGGCAAATAACGTGCCAAACTTGTCTGTATGCACCATTTCTTTATCAACAAAATAAAATAAAATAAAATAAAAAAATCAATTTTTTACACACACACACACATTTCATTACCAAATTCTCTCTTTCAAGGTTACTACCATTGAATTGACTATATGATGTAATAAATAATTTATAATACACTTATTTGTTGTTCCATTGAGAATTGATTTCGTAATTTAATTGCCTACAAAAGAAAATTCGAAGATGAAGACATATATATATATATATAAGATGGTTATGTGGGTGTCTACAGATTGTGTTCTATTCTAACTTTAGTGAAATTATAAGACGAGGTACGCAATATACAAAAGAATAAATAATAACATTAGTTATTACAAACGTGTGTACTATGTTGAGTATAACATTGCATTAATGGATTGATATGTTTGACTATAATTCTTTAATTTAATTTCATAAAGAAAGTAAAACAAGGGAGGTTACTATTTAAAAATCGTGATCACCAATGGGTGCCAAATACATACAAAATTAAAGAACAAGAAAATCGAATTTGTCATTATCACCGTTGACAAATGTTGATTGCCACTACAGAGATTAATAGTATTACGGTATATTTGGAAAACAAATTTGTAAGATTTTAACTTATTGAGTTACTTGTAAGTCATTATAAATATAATTGAAATAAAAAAAAGTATAGTTTTATATTTTATCAAAGTTTTCGCAGCTAGTTAAATTATCTCCTAATACTTCTATAATTGATTTATATTTTGTATATATTATTGAAAAATTATTGATGTAAATAAGTTTAAATGTGATGATATTTATAATGTACAATGAACTCATAAAAATTAAATATATATACTATTTTTTTTTTTTCGAACAACAAAAATGACAAAATATATACTTAGGAATAAAAAATATATTTTTATTAAATAAAGTAGAGGTGCAAAAAAAAATAGTATATTTGTAGCAGAATTTCGTTCCTGAAGATCACGTAGCTAACGTAATTCTATCATTAATTCCGTCTCTAATATCATTAGTAACAGAAAAAATAAATTTAAAGATAAAAAAATCTCGTTACAAAAATGATATTTTCTTGGAGTGTATAAAGCCTTTAATTTAACTTTGACGACACATACACCCACGCACATATAATTTTTGTATCTTCGTTTTATCATTTTCATCGTGTGATAGCCTCCCATCAAATTATTACACGAGATTAATAATTAATTTGATTATAATAGTATATGATTTGTCGTGTCATGATGACATGGCTGGTTGGACCGCCCAAACCCCTGCCCAGCTCAAAACAGCAGTAATAATTATTATTATGATTAAATATTAGTAACTATTTGCACGAGGAGGTTAAGCTTCAATTAGCTCCAAACCAATCTCACAAAATATAATATAAACCTCTAATCATGTCGCCAATCAATTCTTTCTTTCTTCTTCTTCTTCTTCTTTTTTTTTTTTTTTTAATTTTAATAATAAATAAATAAAATAAAATAAAATAACCTTTTGACATATTCATATTCATGCACTCCAGCATAAACATATATATATATATATATATAGTGATGATGCAAAGCAAAGCAAAGCAAAGGAACTCAATTCAAACACAACCATCTCTCTGAAACTACTACTAAGGCAATTAAGGAACTAAACCGACACTTCATTCATAGATCCTTAAAGCACAACGTACATCGATTTAATTAATTGTATCTCTATCTGATTTTATTAATCTGGTCAAATCCCAGTGTGAACATCCTTGCATCCTAAGTCGGCCATGCTCATATGTATATATATATATATACATAGATAGAACCTTTTCAAAAATTTATGTGATAGTTATCCGGATCCCATAATTAGAATTTGAGGGGAGTATTTATATTGTTCTGACAACTGTAATTTCACTGTTGTCCTGGCTGCTCTTATCTCTCTGTTTCTGGTTTTTGTTGTTTTATAGCCCCTCTTTGACGAGGGGAAAATACAAATAAATAAATAAATTATTAGGATTGCATCATATCAGATCATTGAATTGAATTGAATTTATTTGATTAATTATTATTACTGTGTCATACGTGCTCTACCTATCCTTTTCCTTACTTCTTACCAGTTTATCTACTCTTCTCTCCCACTGGTTCGGTTCTTACATATTTTCAACTGGATTTCTGAAGAAAATTATTCTTGATCGATTTGGATTTTCACTTGGAGCTGTTTGGTTTGGTTTGGAGAGTATTGTAATTAGCAGAAAAATCGTGTTGGGGTTCTCTCGATTAGGGATTGATTGGATTTAGGGTTAGGAGAGATTAATTATTGATTGAAATCGGGCTGTACATGTGTTTATTGAAGGTGGCGAATCAAGGGGACAGAGGTGATCGCTATGCTAGGTTACCGGCAACCGGAGATAGCGGCGGCGCCACCACCACTTCCGCCACTGCTTCCATTCCTTACTTCGACATGCAGCAACCGGATTACCTGCTATCCGCGGTGGTGTCGCCCCCTGCCCGGGGCAGTCTAACTGAGGAGAATATTGCCGCGGTGGTGACCGGTCAGCTACCCGGCGCTTTTACGACGCCGTTTGATTCTCCTTCCTCTGCTTACTCTTCGTCCAGCTCCGGCTCGTGGCCCGGCCAGAAACGGCGGCGAGATCACGACGACGGCCAAGATAGGGTTCATCGGGGATCGGGCGTCGCCGGAGAGGCGTCGCCTTCGTCTTCGATTCAACCAGGTAGCCGTAATTTTGAATCCTCTGTTTCAAATTTCAATGTCTATCTTCAGATTTTTATTTTTATTTTTAATTATTTTTTTTGTGTTTATGCATTTTCAAACTCTTTCGTCATCAGCTTTTACTTGATCTCTTCTTCATTTGAATATTACTTTCTTCAATGGCGATAAGCATCTGAATCATTCTCGAAACCATTTCTAAATTTGGTTCTGCCTTTCTTAAATTATTTTTTCCTGTCAGTTTCACCCAATTTTCTAATTCTGTCTTACTTTGCATGTACTTGCAAACTGTGCATATTATTTTTTATATAAATACGGATCCATCATCTAATTTCTTATTTCTCAGAACCGGAATCACGTACGACTGCCGCACCACCCGCCGGCGCCACCGCCGGACCGCCTCTGCAGCCAGAGTCCTCCGCCCTTTCCACCCCCGACGACACCGGAGAAAGGAGGAGACGATACAGAGGAGTTCGGCAAAGACCGTGGGGGAAATGGGCGGCAGAAATTAGGGATCCGCACAAAGCGGCTAGGGTTTGGCTCGGCACATTCGACACGGCGGAGGCCGCCGCCCGAGCCTACGACGAGGCGGCGCTACGTTTCCGAGGCAATCGCGCCAAGCTCAATTTTCCAGAAAACGTCCGAATTCTGCCTCCGCCACATCAGACTTCTCAAATCGCCATTGCACCTCCTCCTCCTCCTCCTCCGCCGCCGGCGCCTCCGACCACCGCTCCCCATTCTCTCCTCCACAGCTCCGCCGCGAGAGACTACTTCGAATACTCGCAATTGCTCCGTAGCACCGCGGAATTCCAACCTCAACAATCTCAATCGATGCTGCAGCACATGCTCTACGCTTCCTCCATCGCCGGTCTGTACCCTCCGCCGCCGTCGTCCTCCTCCGCGCCGCCTCCATTTTCCTCTCCATCGACCTCACCGTCTCCACTTCAATTCTCTAGTGGTCAAATGATATACTTCACGCCGCCAGGAAGTAATCCGCAAACTGATCAAGGCGGCGGCGGGGGGAGTAGCTCGAATTTTCCGGCGCCGCCATGGACATCCGGTCAATACCCTCCCTCTTCTACTTCCTGATTATTCTTTTCCCTTTTTTTTTTTTAAATATAATACACACAACAAGTTTATACATTTATTTTTATATTTTAATTCGAAATATTTTTCTGTACTTTGTACTTGCATACTTAGGTTAGGTCAGGTTTTAGGCGCATAATTTTTAAAAATTTACATCAAATATTATTTCTCTCTCTAGATATATATATTATTTTGTCGTCATTCGGATACAAGAAAACCAAAATCTGGAGTTTGTGTGGCACTTGGAATTCGAAAGCTCCCGGCCCCTCCACTCCGGACGAATCTAGACCACACAATGACGTGGACCCTACTCAGATGGTCGGAATTAGGAAATGTGTAGAAGCCCACCCAAAATCGTCGGGTTTCCTTTTTTGTCGAGTATTCTAGAATTAATTAATTAAAAAAATTAATTTAAGACGTGAATTGTCTGAAATACCCCGAAAATCCCATGAATCATAATGCATGCGTGTTAGGAATGATTTGCAAGTGCTTGGTTTGGTAATGATCTGACCTACCCACTGCGCTTGTATTTGTACACATATGATATACATATGTATATATGTGCGTGAATGTCTTAGTTACGTATGTTTTTTATTATTATTTTCTTAATAGTGACATGGTTCGTAATTAAATAAATAATTGCAAGATGTCGCCAAGTTGTTTTGTATTTGGTGGTACGAAAATTGTGTTCTTATGCGAATACAAAATACAGACACAAACTATAGAAGCTCGTAGTTGTTATTTTTTTAGTGTGTATAGAGTAAAAGATAATTATTTTATGAAAAATAATAATAATAATAACAAATTTAATATAGATTCTACTTAACTTAAGGGTACGGAAAATGCCGAGTCTAAGCCATTGAAAATTAGACCTCTAAAGGCGTTGATAATAGACTCCAAATTTTATTTCATTTACTTTATTCTTTCCACACACATTTACTATTACTATATTAATTATTATATTCCTCTTCTTAATTTAGTTAAGTTTTGATAGCAAGTGTCTGCTGAAGCAACTTCTTCGAAGTTACTTGACCATTTATTAATTTGGGCTCTCCATTTAGACAAATTTTTTTAAATGATATAAAAAAAAAAAAGACCGAATAGTTAATATAATATTTTAAAATTTTATTATTAAATAATATCAAATTAGTCTATAAATAAATGCTTTGTTTTCTTATTAGTAAAGAAATTTAGAAAAAAATAAATAAATTATTTGATATATGATATTTTTATTATAAATTTAATTTTGAATATAATGTAAAAAATTTGATATAATATATATTTTTAAAAATACATAGATAGTAAAAATATTGAGAAAAACTCCAACCAAACAACCTTAATAAATTCCTAATAAACAGCTATATTAATAATTTATCTTTCTCATTCTAACTACTTACTATTATTATTATTTTTTTTAAAAAAAAAAATATTAGTGGCCTTTTATTATAAAATTAAATGTATATCCACAAAATAAACATTTACTTTTGTCATACTGAGTAGTTAAAAATAGTATAATGATATTTTTATTTTTTTTTATAAAAATAATAATATGATATAAAATAAAAATACTTATAAAAAAATAAAATATTTAAATTATAATTAAACGTGACAAAATAACAATGTATATGCCTTTGATTTAATACCTTCAAAAAATAATTATATACTGTACTATATCAATATCAAAAGTCATGACAAGAACTCACAGCAGGCGGCAGATAAACTGACTCCACTCACCAAACGACGCCGTTTCATTCGTCGTCGATCCGTTTCTCAAAATCCCCAAATTCTTCGACTTCCGCCGCAGGCGGCGATCCCGATTTCGAACCCTAAAAAAAATCCAGTTTTGTTACAAAAATTGTGTTGTATATGTAATATATGTGTGCGGTGGAGGTGAGCTATGGGTTTATTTAAAAGACTCGCGGGGTTGCTAGGGATTGCGAGAGACGAGAACCACCATGACGATGCCGCTGCTCCGCTGCCATCGATACCGCCGGGGGTCGATCCAGCGAAGGTTCTTACGCGTAAAGGGTTCAGTGTAGCTGTTAAAGTCCCGGTCGAGCGGAAGCCGCCTCCGCCGCTTCTCGTTTTTTGCCCAGACGGCGACGGAGGGCTTCAGGTAATTTGACTAGGGAGAATTCTAGAAAAGGAGCCTCCCCGCTCTCTAATTTTCGGTGCTTTTGTTGAAATTGAGCGATGATTTTGCGTTTGAGGTGTTGCCTTTTCTTGCGTAATTCTGTTAATTGGGCTGGAATTGACTTAGGGTTTAATGATTTTGAGCGTTTTAAGTGTTTACTGCACGTTTAGTTCCTTCCGATCTGTGGGTTGATGATTGATTGGATGGCATTGGCTTCTAAAATTCAAAATGATTTCCAAAAATACTGTGATATCAATTAGGTTTTGATGTCAACCGACGATGATCTGGTGAATGCAATTGAATGAATTGTTTAGCTGCTGTTAAGATTACAACCATGTGATGAAGAACTTTTTTGAAGGGCTTAGGATGTGTTATGCAGTGTAGAGAATGCCATTAACAATAAAAATTCTGAATTGATTTTACAATTGGGAGCCATATACCTAATGGGCATGGCCCGTTTCTGCAATTCCTACCCATAACAGCCAATAAATGGTTACTGTTGTATTTGTTCGAATCTTTAAGTGTTCCTGAGTTAGAGCAGGCATTGGTTGAACTTAGAAATATAAATGGCAGTCATTTTAGTGCCTGTATGAGATTTGTTGTTTCAGATAATGGTTCTACTGAAATCTACTGAGGTGCCGATATTGTGTTCTGATACTACTATTTATCTGCTAAATGGCAGTTGAGAGTGAGTTATGGTCTTAGTAGTATTTCATTTAGCTTCTTTACAAACTGGCTTTGGTGCTGCCATTGTAGTTACTTCTTGTTATATTCTACTGGCTCAATAATTTCTGTAGCAATGATGCTCAATCCTCAGGGCCTAAGATGGTATGCAAGGCGCCTTAGAATGGATGAAGATGGAGACATTGCTGATGAATTCCTCGTCGAGGTGTCACCAGATACAGAAACAAGCATGGTAGAGCCTGATGATAGATCCATGCCAAGATTCAAAGTGAAGTACAACACGGTATCCGCAAAGGTGAGGAATCTTGCCCTCTTACCCAATGGCAACATTCAACATCTTGTGGAGCTCCAAGGCAGGTTAGAATGGTTGTAAATGACCTGATTGATGCAGCCAGCCAGCCAGCAGCTCATTACTTTCTGGGACAGTGATTTTCATCCACTATTGTTTCATCCATTTAGGGGGAGGGGAAGGGAATATGGAACTATGGTGTGACAAAGTTTTCAATATTTTTTTGCTGGATTATAGTTCTTTACAGCAGCCTTAGAATTGTACCATAACCTTCTACATATCATTACTTACCACACCAGCAAATTCAAAGTTGAAAATTTTCTTGTGTTTTCCACTTGCTGTCAGTGAAAAAAGCTTCCCTATAGGAGGAAACACGTCACAAACCTTTTCTACCCATAAGGGTCATATGTAAGTAACATAAAGACATCATGAAATAAGTAATCTTACCCAAAGAAGTTAATTACACAAAGAATATCGATTCAAGAAATCAGAACATAACTCTGCACATGCTATCAATAGGAGACACAAACCAAGTCGAAATAGAAACCAAGAGGAGGGTATACAAGAAGAAAAGGGACATTTTCCCCAGCACAGCACAATTACATAGGCTTTGTAGTTTACTAATTTCACAAAAATATAGAAAAGGGAAAATCAGAACAAATCCAAGTACTAGACAAGAGAAGAATATGGGGATCACAAAATTCAGCCTAAAAACGGGTAATAAACTTGAGCAGATCTTGCCCCGACTAGTCTTCCCTCCCAAATCTAAAATAGCAACAACAGCAGCCATCAGATATTTGCAGAGATCCATACAATTAATAGGCAATCATGTCGCGCACCTCATTGGTGTGCTTCTTTTGGAGCAGCATCATTCGCAATTTCCCAGCTCCCACTTTGCCCCCAATTCGACTGCACAGTCCGTCTGTCAGAACCTAAGGCGGAATCAGCCTCGGATGAATTATGATGAGGCACGTCGCTCCCTCTACTCCGAATGTCTGAGTCGATATCTTCAATGTTATGGCGCTGTGAGATTTTCAGAAGATCCCCACCAATGTCTAGATCATCTTCCACCTTCACCCGCCGATCGTCTCCCACATCCTCAGCTCCAGCATCCCGGGGGGTTGCCATAGGAGGCCTCTGGGGTTCCTCTTGTACTAAAGCTCGGAAGTTGTTCCTCGAATCCTTCACCTTTGTACAGAATACTTCGAGAAAATTATTAAAACAACCACGATCGTAGACATTGAGTCTATTGTCAGCTCTGTAACGGAAGTTCTCGTAGGTGGTCTGCAAAAGGAAGAACATAGAAGATAATCTTTATTAACTTAATATACAATGGATGAAAACTATAAATTTAAAATGATTCTTGATATCTTAAACGCTACAGGTAGCAAAAAAATGCTTAGACTCAAACATATGAAAAGTGAATGCAAGTGTACTATCTGCAGCAATGCTACCGGGAGCCATTACCAATATTAGGGCTGTTATTCCAACTCCATCTTTTTATATAGCTTGGGACCTAAGTGGTATGTTTACAGTGATACATGTTTATTGATAATTATCCTTAGAGATTTAAACACCGGGTGGCTTGCTAACAAGTTCAAATTAGGCAGAGAAACTATCCCTTCAATTTCCACTGATAACAATATGCTAACCAACAAACAACACAATAGCACAAATGCACAAGCACAATTGGATCATATGTACAAGGATCAGAGGATGACCTGATTTGTGCTTATAAGGTAAAGGTGAAAGCCAGTGAGCCCGCCGACAAACCATAAGGCTATAAAACAATAGGCCATCAAAATCACTGATGCTGGTGATTCTTTCATAGCCCTCCACACAGTACCGTCATGATCATCCATTAGAAACTTGATGTAGAAGGCAGATATAGCAAACACATAGATGCAAAGAAGTGTTGCCGAAAAGACGAAACAAAAGAAGTAGCGATAGTTTCTCTGCACATTAGTAGGGGGAAAATGGAAGAATAAGAATGGGTTAGGCTTATAAATCAGCAATTCAACCAACAATTAAATAGAATACAGCTGAAAAAAGATCTTGAGAAGGGGAAAATAATTTAATCAAAGTAAACAAACTGATGATGGAATAGCATACCAATCCTATGCACTGGCCAACCCAGGGACAGTGATGATCGAAACGCTCCACGCAGTTGTTGCAGACAGAACAATGTGAGCAACGAGGCGGACGGTATAGCATACATGTATCACAATATTTAACACGGACAGGTAGCCCATTAACAATCACTTCTTTTGTTCGAGCGAACTGAAGGCTAGGTGTCTGCCGACCACCAGCCTCCATTGATGCTGCACTCTCATAACGAAATTCTTCTTCTGGTGGGTGTGAATTGCGGGGAACAATTCCAGGATCTCGAGCTGAAGTTAGAAGAAGCAGCACCAGCACCTGCCAAAAGCAACAAGGAGAGAACGGTAAACCACTGAAAGATCTGCAATAAAACATCACTCACAAAACAGTACTGATGCAAAGATGAACAATATACTAAATTAGAATTGCAGGTTCATTTTCCCTGATTTCCAAATTCAAGAGTAAAAGTCATAAGAATAGTACAAAGAGGAAGGATGATGGTTCAGTCTTCAGTCAAACCAGTCCATGTAAAAATATGTCTTCCATTTAGATTTTAACAGTAATTATGATATATGAAATAACTTCCAAAAAAGTGTTGGTCAATGGATAAAAAACCAATAATTATAATAAATGCATCTTTAACAAAATGACTTTATAGTGCTGATGTCCTTTTCAATGAAGGATAGAAGAAACTAGAAGGAGCTTATGTCCACACAAAGATGGATTTCAGTATTTAAAAATCCAGAACCATGCGAATGAGTACTTAAAGACCACCACTTAGCATGGTATTGAAAATTAAAAGATTCATTAGCATATTCACTAGCATGGAAATATTATAAGCTGAGAGCTAGTATTTAATACATATTGCAATGCTTGTAATATTTATAATAAGAATTCAGCCCTCCACTCTTTGAATTACTATGGTATCTTTTGGTGCGAACTATATCGAACTATATCCCGTAATGTTATGAAGCACAGCCAATAACAACTAAGGAAACAAATTCCAAGCAACTGCCGAATATAGAAGTTAATCCAGATAAATTAGAAATATAGCTAAGAGTCCTTACACCTTTACAAATGGAAGTGAAAATAATTAAGTGAAAAGTGCTTGAAGCAATTAGGAAAAGAAGAAATGACAGAGTAAAGGATTTAGGAACTAACATGAACAGTGAAGATCACAGCAACTATCATAATTGCATATCCCGCATTGTAGGATGGAAACTCATGACGAAGATGCCTTGCAACAAATACGCAAAATATAGCAACTGGGACAGTTATTAACAACAAGGTGAGAAGCAATGACCTTGCATCAGGGCCAAATATCAACCTACCACCAAGAAAAAAGATCTGCAAAATATATAGACAACATACCGCATGATTAGCACATAGCAGAGCATTCAGAGTGCTACTAAAATTAACAAAATGTTCAATTGTCACTTTGCGAATACAATGCATGTAGAGCAAAATATAATCAATATTATATGAAATCCTCGAACACAGTTATATTATATAAAGTGTCTATTTGTACTTTTGTCTTGTTTTTAGCACTTGTTCATATTTGTTTTTTGTTAAACCCCTTTTCATTACATAGTAACACCATCAGAATGAAATAATTCATATAGATGTAGTATTCACAGAAACTATTGACAATTTCAAGAAACATTTCACAAGAAAAATCTGACATCCTATTAACAGCAGCAGTCAATATTGAATAAAATCTTTGAAGCAGGGCATTCTTAAACAGTTAAATGTCTTTCAAACAACTTCCACAGTTGCCAAAACAATTCATTTAACTATATTCATGAGGAGAAGAGAACTCCATATATTATAATTCTTCTCAAAGAAGTTCATCTCATTTTTATTTTATTTTATTTTATTGTATTTTTAAACTTTAATCCCAATAAGAGAGAGGGAATCCTTTCTCAGTGCTCAGACATGTCCCGATGATCCTGCTGGATTGAGCAATAGAAACAATTTTCAGCAAGCACTCAAAAACTTGGGCCTTATAATTGTCTTTACCGTTCCAAGTTCTGAAGCAAGGTACGAATAGAAATTCAAAGGTAAGAGAAACATAATAAACACATTGCTATTTCTTTTAATGTACTGACTTTAGCAGTCTACAAATTAGAAGACAATAATTTGCAATAGTCTGCCATTTTATACACGACCATTGAAACAGAATTCCACCAGCCATTCACACTCAGAGGTAATAGAATCTCATCAAAATTTCCATACTTCTTAAATAGTAACTAAATTACAATCTAAAATTTATTTGATCCCATCTCTAGAAAAAAATGTGGCCATCAGATATGGAAAATCGATCTTATTGACATGTAGGTAAAGATACATAATTACATTTCTTTCAATTAATTAAACTCCTGTCAACCATAAATTTACTTATTGGTACTTGATCAAAAACCTTGCGAGGAACGTGTGGTTCAATTACGTTACCATATTGGTAAAACAAAGTTGTTGCCATTTATAACACTAGTCTTTTTGATCAATTAAATAATAAATTAGTCTTAGATGCTCGACATAAAGTATACAAGTTATCTCCACCTCGCAACAGATACGTCAATATGATAGAGGCATATATTACTATAATATTCATAACCAAGATATTATGGATAATTAGTTCCATAATGCTCAAACATGCACATCATTTATTGTACCGAACTTGAATTCGGAAGCCCTTAAATGAGGCAGGCATATAAGATGAAGTAAAAACAATTTGAACACATCCTTGCATTAAGTAGAAACATCTGTATTTTCCATTGGTCTCACTAGATAAAAGAAATGCATTTTGCACCAGCACAACATAGCAATCAACCCCTTAATTCCAAGAACAACGTGCATTTGTTCGTCAATCAATTTAACATCTAGTTTGTATGAAAGTGTTGCCCAACATTTCCCAAAATCAAGGAACTACAGCATTAGAGACTGCAACACACAAGCTCGAAAAAATCTGGAGTAATTGTTCCTTATGGATAGGAACCATGTTATGTCATAAGCTTCCAAGTTCATCAGGTTAACCAAAAAGAATTATTTCGGTGGTGCCGCTACAAGGTGATTAAGCTTAACTTGAAGAATGAAAGCAATAGGTAACCAACCACATAAAACCCTAGTTTCACTTGTTCAACGAACAGGCAGGAACAAGACATCCACTCTGCGTATAGCCCTTCGCAATCTATACGATTTTTCAAAATACATCAAAGAAAAGTTAAGCAGACAAAAGAATATCCTTCACAGCGCCATTAAGTCCAAAACACCTACGATGTTCAGCTGGACAGTATTCACTCACTTGAGAAAAAAACTAAAGGAAACATAAACAAACTGAAAGCCCTGAAATTCACTGGCTTTGATGCTAAATCCAAACAAAAACAAACAAGCCGAAACAACACAGTCAATCAAACTAATACAGAAGCACAACAAAAAACTCAACAACAAAAAAAAACGAACAAAACCCATAAGATGAAAAACAGTCAATTAGAAAGAAAAATGAACAAGAAAAACAAATCTCACATTGTTCCCCTTCCAAACCTCGTGCACGCGCTTAGCCATTCAGCGAAAGAACACCAGCACCAAAAAATCAAAAAACCAGAAGCAAAGAGCCGCCGCAGCTACCCTGGAAACGAATCGGAATTTTTAAACTTGCAGGCAGCACTGTTCATCGCATTTACACACGGATATAGAGTAAAACCTTCCAGTAATTAATTCCCCCTGCAATAATTATAGCGGCCGAATTCGAAAAATGCTGCGGATTAAGATGGGGGGTTTTTAGGGATTTTGAAATACTCCGCCTCCCCTTTGTGATCTGGCGAGTGATGATTGACAGTCTGGACTCTGGAGGGAGAGAGGAGAGACACACTGAGGTTTTGGATTTGGAGTTTCCACTCTATCACAGACCCAACCTGAATCAGGATTCCTTTTTTTCTTTTTCTTTTTCCTTTTATATTACTACTATTTATTTTTTTGTTTTTATTTTTTTTTAAAGAGAAATAAAATTACTTATTTTCTTAATTTTGGAATGTTCTTAGGAATTAGTAACTTAATTCCTGATTAAAATAAACACCCATTTTCAATACTCACTAACCTGACAATTGAGCAATAACATAATAACAACAATGGTAACAATACAACCCATTCTTTAATTAATTTCTTATTCAAAATAGTTCCAAAATCGAAGTGCTGGCCATGTCACTGATTACTGAATAATATTATTATAATATAACATTGTCCCTACACAAATAAAATTATAGTTATACGTAATTAAATTGTAATCAACCCAATACTTTTTCTCAATCCTTGTGTTTATGTTTTGACTGGAATGAGACAAAGACCGATGAATTAAAAAGGGGTGCCGTCTGCATACTTTCTGTACTTATTTTTCCCTCTTTTATTGTTCAAATATCAATTGTTACATTTTATTTAAATTTCAAAAATAATGTAACATGTTATGTGCATCACGTTCGGCAGGTGCAGTTTCCATGTGGTACATTACCCCTCCAGTCACCATTTACTTGAATTATTATACTAACGCTTTAACTCGGTTTTCTAACAATAAATTCACACATAATTCTTGAATAATATTAAAAGAATTACAATATAAGTATACAAAATAAAACAAAAGTCTACAAAAATATTAAAAATCAAACACCATACGTTATGAGTAATTATTTTTTATTGTTTTGAAAATTTCACGTAATTTCAGAAAATAATAAAAAATACTTTTTTTTTTCAGTCAACGGAGCCGTTGACTCGACGGCTCGGAGAACACTGCAACGATAACCCAAGTCGTCGTCTTTGAACAACTCTTCAAACCCCACCGTTAATGGCGGCCATTTCCACCTTCTCTATCGAATTTCATTTATCTTAATTGCATCGATCTGTTCGATTCCTGAATCTGTCTGCAATCAGAGATATGAACGGCGCCCTCCAATCAATTCTAGCAGCCCTCGCCAGTTTCTTACTAGTTACCTTAATCTTCGCCACGATCTTGTACTTCTGCCGGAGAGGCGATAAGCGCCGCGGCGGCGACCGGTCGGAGCTGCCGGCGTGGGCCCGGAGGAGCTCAGCTCCGCCGAAGCCAAACCCCGCCGCCGATTCTAGAATCTCTTCCGCCTCCGTCGGCGAAAGCGCAACCTTCGACCGGACTTTAGAGCACGTGTCGATGAAGGAGCTCGTCGAAGTGACACGTGGCTTCTCATCGGACCTGATAATCGGCGACGGGAGCTTCGGGCTCGTGTACAAGGCCCGACTGAACTCGGGCCCTGTAGTCGCTCTCAAGAAACTCTCCGCCGACGCCTTTCAGGGCCTGCGCGAGTTCCGGGCCGAGATGGAAACTCTGGGCAAGATCAAACATCCAAACATAGTCAAGATCCTTGGATACTGCGCAACGGGCAACGATCGTGTCCTAATCTACGAGTTCATCGAAAAGGGTAGCCTCGACCAATGGCTATACGACACCTCATCGTCGTCCCCGGAAGATCAAGGCCATGATTCGGGCGAATTAAGGTTGCCCCTGTCATGGCAAAGTCGAACAAAGATCATCAAAGGAGTGGCTCTTGGACTAGCCTATATGCACAATTTGGACATCCCAATAATCCACAGAGACATCAAGGCCAGCAACATCTTGTTAGACACAAGTTTTGAGGCCCATATTGCGGATTTCGGATTGGCACGTCAGATCGAGGGATCGCACTCCCACGTGTCGACGCAGGTCGCCGGAACGATGGGTTACATGCCGCCGGAGTATCTCCACGGCGCGGCGGGAGCGACGGTGATGGGTGACGTGTACAGCTTCGGAGTGTTGATGTTAGAAATCGTTAGCGGGAGGCGCCCGAGTTTGCCGTTCCTTGGCGAGGACGGGAAAGAAGTGAGGCTTATGGATTGGATACGAACAATGGTCGAGCAAAATCGATATATGGAAATCTTGGACATCGCCATTTGTAGGGATGATCTTAAGGAAAATATAGTTGTCGATGTTTTGAAGATGGGATTGAAATGTGCCGACGAGAGGCATAAAGTGAGGCCTAATATGATGGAGATTGTTGGGGAGTTGGATAAGATTTTGCCTCAAGATTCTGCTGTGGTTGAAATAATATGATTCCGAATGTGTCCATAGGTTCGAGTACAATGTAAATAGCCCATAAATTGTCAAGTTCCGAAGTATCCGTTTGCTGGTTGCGCGCGTTCTGAACATGGGTTTTATTGCATATTACATTGCATCGACACAAGTAATCTATGGGACATGTCTTGTTTTACTTGGCTCTTTTTCTATGGTTTTTCTTGTTCTTGAAATGGGCTTTGTGCATTGGTTCGATGAATTAGAATCTTGATTGGAAAAAGATGTGAACTTTACTTGACCATTCTTTTTGGGGGATAAGAGGCACGCGTATGTAATAATTTGGGGTGAGTTGCCTTGCTGACCATGGCCAGACTCCATAGACAGGGTGGCGGCTAGAAATAATATAATAATAATAAAAAGAAAAGGCTTGGTCCTTTATCTGTAGTTAGGCTTTTACCCAATAATTGTGTATGCTCTTTAATGCACATTTATTTCTGAAGGTGGATGAAATGAATACGATACGATGTTGTTGTAATAAATAAATTAAAGAGGTTCAAGAATGGTTTTTTTGTTTTTTATCATCAAATATGAGGAATTAGCAGAAGCATAAAAATCAGCAGATTCTGTTTTCTTGATAATCGTATCTTTACTGGGAAATGAGTGACAGCCACTAGTTTAATTAGGGTTTGTCGAGAGGATTAGGATTAGGTGTAGTGTGGGTAGTTGGACCTTTCTGCCAGGACGACGATAAGTATGCTTAACCAGGCCCCTTCTAATGCACAGCCATGGCAAGTTGAGCTTGCAGACAACAATAGGGAAACAACAGGCGAGAAGCTCCAATCTATGCATTTATTCATCAAAGGCGACTGTTGTGGCATTTTATTATTATTATTATCATTATCAGGCGGCCACTTTACAGTGGGGTTAAAGAGTAAAGAAAGAAGAACAAGCAATGAAGAGGGCACGTGTACTGAACACACGACATTATCCATTTTCAATAAGTTTAGGACATGAGATGTAATACTGTACACCTCATGGATCGGGTTAGGGTTGAGTCTCTCAATTCGAATCCGATACGATAATTCGATTATAATATATTAATATTGATTAATATATTTATTATATACGTAAATAATCATAATTTCATAATTTTTTTATAAATTAATTTAAACTAAATTTAATTTTAAATAGTTCAATTTAATTTACGGTCAAACCAATAAAAATTAATATAACACGACAACATAAGAAAAAATTATTTAATTTAAATCAATAAATTCGATTTAATTATATATACGAGTCAACACGAGTCAATTCGAACCCATTAGGATTATAAACAAATCGAGTTAGAGTAAGACACAAATCGACCCAATGACCAACTCTATCACTCTATCATCACATATATATATATATATACACACGTGTCCGTACACTGAAATAGGGCAACCTTTGTCGGCCAAAAGTCAGGATGAGGTGAACAAACTCAGCTCATTTATATGCTGCGTGGAAATTCAAGACTATGACTTGTTGCTGTTTGTTAAATGTTAGTCTAAAGTTATTTAGGTACGATTTAAAATATTCTAGATGAAATAATGATTTAATAATAAAATAAATATATTTTTAAATTTTTTATGTAAAATTGTTATTTAACCGTTGCTCTTCTTCCTCCTCCTATAAATGCTGTCTTTGGATGGTGTCAGTAAGTCACGAGCTTAACTGCCATTGATAATCAATAATGGCGTCTAGCATTCCGCTCCTGGTTTTTGTCGTCGTCTTCTTCCTTCCTCGTTCCGCAGAGTCTCAGGGAGGCACGCCGCCGCTCGTCCCCGGCCTTTCCTGGAACTTCTACGACTCGTCGTGCCCGCAGCTTGAATCGATTGTGAGATCAGAGATCAGAAGAGCGTTCCGGCGCGACGTCGGCGTTGCTGCCGGAGTTCTCCGCCTCCATTTCCACGACTGCTTTGTTCAGGCACTTCCATGGCTGCCTGCCTGCTTCTGTCGATTTCGATTTCGTTTTTTTTTTTTAATTTTTTTTTTTAATCAACTGCACAGGGCTGTGAAGCTTCAGTCCTGCTCGACGGCTCCGCCAGTGGCCCCGACGAGACCGACGCGCCGCCCAACCTGACTCTGAGGCCGTCGGCGTTCCAGGCCATCGACGCAGTCCGCCGCCGTGTGAATCAGCAGTGCGGCACCGGAGTCGTCTCGTGCTCCGACCTCCTCGCCCTCGCCGCCAGGGACACCGTCGTCCTGGTAAATTAAATTAAATTGATTAATTTTTTTTTTTTTCTGGTGACAATTTTCGACGTGACCTTTTGAATTCTCCGGCGGGCAGTCCGGCGGCCCTGACTACGACATCCCACTGGGAAGACGCGACAGCCTGGATTTCGCAACCGTTAACGAAACGCTGCGGAACCTCCCGCCGCCGTTCTTCAATTCATCTCAACTGGTGACGTTCTTCGACGCCCGGAACTTCACCGCCACCGACATGGTGGCGCTCTCCGGCGGGCACACCGTCGGAATCGCCAACTGCGGATCCTTCACTCCCCGTCTCTACCCGACCCAGGACCCGACATTGGGCCAGACATTCGCCAACAACCTCCGGCTGACTTGCCCGGCGGCTAACGCGACCAACACGACGGTGCTCGACATCCGATCCCCGAACGTTTTCGACAACCGGTACTTCGTCAATCTGATGAACCGGCAGGGCCTGCTGACGTCGGACCAGGACCTGTACGAGGATCGGAGGACCAGGGACATTGTCACAAGCTTTGCAATAAACCAAACCCTGTTTTTCGAAGCTTTCGTTGTGGGCATGATCAAGATGTCCCAAATGAGAGTCCTGACGGGGACTGCCGGCGAAATCCGGGCGAATTGCTCCGCCAGGAACTCCGGCGGCGCTTTCCTTTCTTCCATGGCGGGAGCGGACAAGAACGCCTGGTCTGCTGTATAATTTAAAGTTTAAACACTCGCTATCTTGAAGACGATGATGTAAGATAAGATACCACTGCACGCTGTAATCTGCTCGCTTGAATAATCACGTTTCACCAATAATGTTTGAATCCAATCATCTGTTGTTTCTAACGATCGAAGATTCAAGAATTCGATGATGATTCAGACAACAATGGCGACAAGTGGGTTCTTACTACTTCTGAAGATCTCCCCACACGTCTCAATCTATGAATTCTCCCTGCAACGGCAATCCACGATTCATTAATTCGAAAGGTACAAAAACCCGAAAGATATAAACAAATAAGAAAAAGAGCAATGAACAATTGCAATAAAGTTCAACGTGTGCTGAACACACACAAAATTGTCGTCTCATACTACGACTATCAGCAAAACGACAATCTGACTTCGCAAAAAAATCCATGTTCCAATTGCATAAGTTTCAAGAATGGTTTACAGTCAGTTTGTAAGATTCAGACACACAAAAGTCAGCATCTCCATCTTGCAACTTTGACAAGTTTTTCATTTTTCAGATCTTCGGTACTCTCTGGAGGATGCAGACCTTTGCACCATGTCCAATCTGTTAGTACCATCAGGAAGAATGTGTTTTCTAGCAGCCGGCATCGGCGGCCGGAAAGTTTTCACAGGATTCGGACGAGCTTCCGACTTTGTGAACATTTGATGAATCCGAGGTGGGCTAGTTACTTTCTCGACTGTCTTCCCACTCGCAGAGGACGTGCTCGTTGCGCTGCTCCCCGGCAGGCTGCTAAAGACCGATACCTCGGCTGTCTTCTGCTTGCCCTGGCACAACAATGGCAGATTTTCAGAGTGATAATTAATGACTGAAGAAATGTTTATACCACAGGTCATTACATAACCTTAGAACTTTCAGCATCTCCATTCGGTTCCTCAGCATCCTTGTCGTTCTTCCTCCGCCGTCTCATTCTCCTGTGTCTGAATACGGCATGTGAGCTCAATCAAAACTCGGGCTTCGCTAATTAACGAATAGGCTGACAAGAACTTACCTTCGCTTATCAATCATCAGAGCTTCATTCTCGTCGTCCTCAACATGGATTACTGGTAAGCCAGAAAGGTCACATGCTAAAGGGCTTGTGTGAAAGAACTGCATCCATCAATTACAAGTTTTCAAGAACAGCAATGGTGGTTCATTGATCTTAAACTGTTACACGAGTTAACATTTGATACCTCGTTTTGGAGCGCAGATCGCGCGCTTCCTCGATGGCCGGGATCCATGGCTAGCAGTGTGTGCAGAAGATCCCAAGAAGATGGAGGGAAGAACTTCAGAGCTTCGCGGAGAACTGATTTGTACATCTGTGGAGGTTTCAGGTCTGTCGACAGTCTCAATCTCCGGTAATAATCGTCAGACGGCGTGCCGCAGAGTTTGAAAATCCTATGGAGCTGTTCAACCTGAATAATTCATAAAACAACACAAGAATCAGTGACTTCAAATGACATTCCATGATTAGTACATACTGCATTGCATTACCTCTGTCCGGCCGGGCAAAATAGGCCTGCCGGCGAACATCTCAGCCATGAGGCAACCGACGCTCCAAAGATCAATACCCGCGCCGTAATCTGTCGAGCCCAGCAGAAGCTCCGGGGCACGGTACCAAAGTGTCACAACCCTGTTCGTCAACGCGCACCTTCTTTCTGAGTCAAAGAAATTCGCCAGCCCAAAATCTGCGATTTTCAGCATTCCATTTCTGTCGATGAGCAGATTCGATCCCTTAATATCCCGGTGCAAAATGCCGCGCTCGTGGCAGTGTTCCAAGCCGGACAGCAGCTGCTGCATGTAGCATTTAATCTGCACCGAATCATTCGATATCACAACCTGTTCGACAGTTAAAAAGTCATCGATATAAGCAGCTCCCAACCTGTGGCTCCGTGAGCCTCTCATCCGGCCGGGACAGGATTCTCGCAAGATCCGTCTGCATATAATCGAAAACCAGGTAGATGCTGTACTGCATTCTTGAAGTTGCCAAGCCTTCAAGCTTCACAATATTGGGATGGTCCAGTTTCTGCAGAGTCATGATCTCCCTAGCCATGAATTTCACACTCTCCGGCTCTGATGTGTCGAACCGGACTTTCTTCAGCGCAACAATCTTCCCCGTCCGCCTGTCCATCGCTTTGTATACGTTGCTGTACGTCCCCTGGCCTATCTGCAACGCCGAGGATTCTTGTTAAAATTCTAAACACATACATTTTTCTCCCATGATCGCAATCGAACAGATGAAAAAAGATCTAAACCTTATCTATCTTGACGAAAGCATCTGCGCTTTTCGGAACAATACTCTTTAAAACTTCCCGCGGAATGTTATCAGTTAGCCACTTGGGCCATCCATCCACCAGTTCATCTTCCCCGGATTTCTTCGCTGATTCAGCCCTGTTGGAACCACTCTTTCGCCCTGCTGCTTCCATGGCAGCTGCTCGATCTTCTCCACCATTCCCTTTCTCCCCAAAACTTGCCCTGCCAGCAACGACGCGGCGCCTGGTTCCATCTCCATTCAGCTTCGTATCCATGGCACCTTCTGGCTTGACTCCGACCGAAGCTGACCTCCTCACCTCAATCTTCCCTCCTTTTGTATTTCCATTGTCTGTCGATCTTCTTGCTCGTGCACTGCCTCCTTTTGCAGCCTCCGGCCTTACGCCTGTCGACCTCCGTGGCCTGGCCTGTGCTCCTTTAACGTATCCATTTTCGAGCTTCAACCTGTCGAGCCCATGCGGCGGAGAATCCCTGGAGAATCCATTACTCTGAGCACAACCCATGTCTTAAAAACTGTCACCAGATGCCTTTTTAATCAGGTTTCATGAATAGTACAACACATCGATATTACTAGCTATAAATTATTAAAGCGGACTGAGCAAGAAGACATAGCTTTATGCAGATGAAGACAAGCTTTTGAAGGAAGCGGTCTGAAATCGGGCAGGACTCAGCCGGCAGGCCGGCAGTGAGGATGAGGGGAATATTTAAGATAATATTCCTAGGACACCTGGAGACTTGAATTTCAACAGCCATCTGAGACATAGCTACTTCCGCTAGTACATCAAGACTCATCGAAAACTATGATTGTTTCCCACACTACAAAAGACCACTTTTTTATCTTCACATTTGTACGATGAAACGGAAGTGTCTGAAATAAGTAATTAGCAATGTTTCCATGGATCCTGGAAACTGTGATATAGCATATAGTTTTCAACACTGGCAAAAATTTTAAACCAGCATCTTGTGTAATATGCAGATCATCTTACAAGTGGTGTTCAAGTGATACATAATCAGCAATGTCGAACACTTGATATAAAGAAAACAACAGAAGTGCGCCGTGTTTAACACAATTTCGAAGTGCTTTGCTTTGTATATAATGAAGCCAGGAGTGTTTTTTTTTTTTTTTTTTTTTTTTTTTCTGTATTTCCAGACAGGAGCTACAACAAACTCTGTAAGCTACACATAGCTCAATGGAATCTCCAAATTACAGGTGAGAATGTTGATGAAAAAGACCAAGAAATGTATCAATCGAGATCTAGTACTCCGAAATTGGAGAGAAGGATTTTGACTTGATCCACAAAGTCGGACCCCGTTGCATACTCTGTTAGCATTCCAACTGCGAAGCCAAACATTGCCCATCTGCTCAACATAGCAACAAATTTATATTTAGTGAATATAAAATCAAGACAAGAGCTAAACTAATCTTGTATTTATAATCATATGCCAAGATACGGAAATAAACTCTTAAGAGGGCTTTGAGCAGAACAAGTGAGCAAAAACATAAAGCGTTCTTGGCTTGCTCCTCAATTTGCCATGTTTCATGTGAACATCCCATGTTTCTCATTATCTGATTCTCACAAAAGGAGGTTGCAGATAACAAAAACTTGAGAGTGGAAACAAGTTTATGCTAGCTGATTCAGCAATGTTTATAAAATTTTATGATCAAGATTCAAGATTGAATCATAGAAATTATACTTATGTTAAGGCACAATCACAGACTAAATACATTGAGCCCTTGTCTTGCAGAAATACAAGTATTATATTTCCTAACAAAATAAATAAAATATTTATACACCGACTGTTGTCTGCATTCTCAGCAATTGACCTAAGTTCAACCCAATATATAATATTAGACGAACTGTAAAAGCTTTCTTTATTGAAAGTTGAACTGAATATTTAAATAGGTTCTAAGAAGAACACCTAAGCATCCAGGCTTCACCATACAATTCCTCTTCAAATCAAATTTAAATAGCAGTTTACCCTGAAGGGGGGTTGTTGAATACCTGCCATTGGCGATCTCATTCTTGCCAACGAAGCCAAAGAAAGGGCCCTGAGCAGCCTCCTCAATCTTCTTTTGTTTGAAATATTCTTGAAGCTCTTTGGCCTTCTGCCTCTGAAACTCCAAGGTAACAACATTCTTGTCCTCCACAGCAGCCGCCGGAACCACCGGTGCTGGTGCCGGTGCCGGAGTCGGCTTGAGAGAGGGGTCAGGTGGAGGAGTTGGGGGCACAGGCTTTACTGGGGTAGGAGCCACGGGTCTTCTGAAAGGGCCTTCGGTTTGAGAGTTCCTTACAGTAAATTTGAAGATGGAAGAAGAAGAGGGAGCATATGAAGCATATGATGGTGGAGATGGAGTAGAAGGGTTAGGGAATCTTATGCGGGGGAATGAAGGGGATGGTGCCACAGACATACTTTCTTTTCTATTAGATTGATGATGGTTCTGTGTCTGTCTGACTGCAGATTTCGTGTTCTGGTTTTTCTAGGGAGAAGATTGTGAACCAGTGATAGTTTGGAGGTGAGGGAATTGTGGATAAGATGCAGCCAAGTTTCATTGCAATACAGTGGTTGAGACTTTCAGTCAAGTTCCCTTATTTCTGTCACAAGAAAAAGAGCCAAGTTAAAAAACATACTAGTATGGATTGAATTTCTTTTTTCATACAAAAATATAAACAAAAACAAAAGTGGGACTAGTTTATCAAACAAGATCAAGAAAGTATCTGTTATGAAAAATGTATCAATACATACATTGGACTTGGACACATTCTCTGGAGTGAAAGAAGTGGCACACATTGTCTGTATTGACTATTGCTGTTAAAATAGGTTGTCCTACCCTCGGAGACCTGTCTTAAGTGTCTTGATCTGATATGCCATGTGTGTGACTTATCCACAGTTATAAGATGTACAAGAATAATTCAATGTTAACTTTACCTGGCTTGAAATGAAATTCTATTCCATATAGACATCTGATTTACAAAATAATAAATACTTTTTCCCATCCAATCTCTTCAAAGAAGCAATAATTGGGAGAGGGAGACCTCTTCACATAAAATAGAGCAAACTAGAGTAAATAACATACTACAGCAACACAAAATTAAATGTGAATATTAAGTAGAAAACAGAATAGCCCATGCACCAAAATTGGACTTCAAGCTAGAATGATGGCATGGAATGACAGAGTAGATTAGCAAGCAGCAGTTGAATCTCGCATTGCCTTAATTCTTTCTTTACGGACATTCGACAATAGAATAAGTGATGAAGAACTTGGGTGTTTTTGCCATTGGAATGTCAAGCAGCACATATTAGTCGCTGCCTTGTGAACAAGAAGTCCAAAAGAGGAATCCATGGAGAGCTTGCCCTACATTATTCCGCACGAACAAGTTTTTCCATTCCCATGCTCAAATTCATCATCCGATTCAACTTCACTGCAATAAAGGAAATTTGTGATTGGTGAGGACATTCACATGAATATATATATATTTTGTTGTTTCACAATCAACTACTACACATGTAATCACATAGATTACATTGTGTGCATTGTAGTTTCCAGAGAGCACTGAGAAAGTAAATTGAATATACAACTTTCTACATGATCAACATTATAATCAGGTCGAGAGAATCTGTGACAAGTATCATCCAGGTAAAAGCAACTGTACCTCTTATTTATTAGCAAATTATTCGCATTCCTTTTTGCTAATAAGACAACATTGCATTGACTGCTATTACAATTTTAAAATCCATTAAAAAATATCACAGCTCATTTGTAATAATCCATGCTCGCTAGAGTGACATTTTCACTAGTCTACTAGTATGATTGCAGTCCTCAAGGACATATAAATGAGAGTTTAACAGCCCTACTCATATATCAGCTGTTGCATTTATAGAAACATATAAACTCAGCAGTAAGCACATTCAGAAAGAGATATGGAAGTAACAAGCATGCATGTAAGCCGCTGGACGAATTTAAAGCATCACGGTCATAGTTGAGCTAGTAAAAAAATCTGATCAACATTCTATTCATGCTTACAAAGAAATTACACATAGTAAGTTCCCATACCTCATCTCAAATTCTCGGATCTCAAAGAGTTCTCCACCGCTGTTATCTGTCCACTGCACTTTCCTTCTTTCCTTTATTTGACAAGAATCGTCACTATCCTTCTCACATGACGTCTCAAGTTTGTTGCTGCTTTCGTCACCACCATTAACAGGATCGCCTGTAACTGGAGCATTATTCACCAATTTCTTCAAGCTACTCTTAAGACCAAAGCTTTTCCTCTTGCTAGCATCATCATCTTTAATAGAACCGACTGGATGCGGTTGATTTTTACACTGATCAAGATCCTGAGGTTCGGGCAAAATTTCTTGCTTTTGAGCTGGTCCCACTTTTAACGGACATGGGCTCTCGGTCCCCGCGGCATCTCCACCAAAGCAGACGAAGGAGGCGCACCCGCGGATAATCCGGTTCTTTCCAGAAGCCAGCTGGAGATCAGGAACAGTCTCTTGGTTCACCGGAGTCACTCTCATCTGTTTCTCTTCGTTATTCTGCCCCAAAAGGAGAAGGTTGAGGCCTTTAGAAGCTGAAGAAGAAAAAAATCCACCTTCTACAGCCAATAACATCAGTTCTTCTCATCTGAGCTCCACCTACTTGTTGTATTTTCTCTATATCTTCACCCAGAGAAACTCATCTGCCGGGCAGAAATAGACATCAAATATGATCAAGATGACAGCAATAACACAACCTTATTGTTTGCGCAGACTTCAGATTCTGTTCTTTGTGATCCAGATTTTACTAAACAAGAGGATCTCAGAAGAAATAAAAACTGATCATTCAAAGGGAAGGAAATAGGCATATAGCTCAAAATGCTCACAGCTACACAAATTGTCCAAACACAGAATCCTCCAAAACAATAAAAGCCAAAAAATCCTAATTGTGAATTAAGTCCTTCAACGTATCCATAAAATTTAAGGTTCACATCACCATAAAAAAGGCATATCCTACTATCCAACTCAACACTGCAAAAATGAGATCGAACCAACTGGGTTCACAAAATTTATAGCCATAAATAAAGGAGCCAACATTACAGTGTATTCATAAATTTATTACTAAAGTTGTACTCCTTCAAACAAATGGATCATAAATTGCTACAACCAAAATTTCTTGACTAATTTAGCATGCATATACCAAAAAGTCACCAAAACATTCTTAAGTAGTCAAATAAACAGTCAAAGATCTCACCAGGCCATACAGTAGAGTGCCTACTAAACCAACAACACATCAAAATATGGGAAATCAATTAAAGCAGGCGCATTCACCACCACCTAAAATACTCACAGCATCGCATCGCAAACATGAACATACGAAAATAGATTTGCCAAGACAGATCTGAGAAGCGATTACCGGCGACGACAACTCCCCGGACGCAAAAACAAAAGCCGCGAGACTGACTTTGATTCCAAAGAAAAGCATAAAGTTTACACACATACAAGCTGGAGGCGAATTATTATCCCAATTAAGAATGGAAGGGAGATTTTCTTCTCCTTGCGTATGTGTACGCCTTCTTCACAGTGAGAGAGATAGAAAGGGAGAGTGGACGAAATAAATAATTGAAAGAAATTTGAATATAAATAAATAATTTAGATGAAGGTGGCAGAGGTGAGAGAGAGAGAGGGAGACGAGAGAGTGACTCATTTGGCGCATGATAGCAGCATTGGGCCCCACACCAAATGTCAGGCAACGCAATGGACTGATGTAATTCATAATGGTATACAATACGAAAAATAGGCTTTAATTTAGAATTTTACGGACGGTTAACGTGATCTATTTTTATTTATCTATTTTTAATATTTTTTAATATTAATATAATATTAAAAAAATAATTAATTATATTCAAATATTTCGTAGAAAGATACAAATATTTTTAAAATTAATCAACTATTAATAGTAAATTTACTATGTGACAATTTATTTTATTATGTCCATGAAAATATAGTTAGTATTATATATATATATATATATGTAAACATAATCTATAAATGTGTCAATTATATATTTATATGTGTAAAATATGTCTAATATTGTAAATTTTTTAAAATAGAATAGTTGATATCAAAAGATAAATTAAGATTGTTTGTGAGACAATTTTAAATTCATACTTACGGTATCGTCTTTTATTGTCAAATTAGCATTATATCCACATTAAAAATTTTTATATTAAATATAAATAAAAAATTGCGATGTATTTATAGTTATATAAACATACAATTTTTGCAAAATTAATTTCTAGATTCACCTACCACACATGATTCGGGCGATCTCGGGGCTCTAGAATGTTCTCTAGGAGGTTCCGGAACATCTTGAAGGATTTCCGTTAGCCTTATTAAAATAATAAATAATATTTATATAAAAATTAATTTTTTAAATAGTAACTATATGTTTGTGCTATAATTATATAACAAAAACATACCATCTTTTGTAAAATTAGTTTTACTTCTTGAAAAAAATAATTATAAAGTAAGTATATACTGTAGGGTAATTATGTAATAATTTTTAATATAATTATTATATATGACATAATTAAATTATTTATACACATCAGACCAACTACTTAAATAAAATAGAAAATTTGTTTTAAAAACTTATTTTTAGTATTTTTTTAAAAAAAATTTATGGATAATTATTTTATCTTAATTTTGTATTGCAAATTTAATAAATAAGCAAAATGTAATTTAATTCAATAAAAAGTATAACTGAAATATCAACTACAATTATTCATACTTATTTTTTAAAATAAAACTATACATTAACTTATACATAAAAATATTATATTAAAAAAAAAACAAATTATTTAAAATTTAGAAAATTGACTAAAATTGTTTAAAATTATTTAAATATATATTAATTGAATATGATATACATGATAGATAAGAATTAACAATAAATTTACATATTAAATACAAATCACTAAAATAATATTTCATTGGTCCTACCATAAATGACTCATTTTCGTTTTTTTTTGTCCGTTCTATAAAATATGATATTTTTCTATTTTTAATAAATTTATCAATCTTAAATATATTTAATAAATATAAATAAATTTTTAATATTTTACACGCATGACCCACTCAAAATCCTTCATTTATGTCTCCTGAATTAACAAATATTTTATTTACCTTTAAAACTTTCAATTTTTTACAAAACTAATTTAGGTTAATGATAAATAAATAAATAATATTTTTTTTATTAATAGAATGTATTCTCTAAAATATAATATTTATATTGTATATATATTTTATTGAAATATATAATGTTTAAAATATTCAAACACATATTAAAAAAATAATAATCATTAAATAATAATATTCACTATTTAAATAACTAATTTATACTATATAAATTCTCGTGTCCAAACAAAATATTTCATCTTTTGGCGGGACGAATGAAGTATATTTTAATACTATCGAATTCAATATTTTTGGAAAGCTATAAAGATAAAAAAAAAAAAAAAAATCATGAAAAAAAAAATTAATATAAAAATAGAAAATGAAATTTAAATAATTTAAAAATTATCAATTATAAATATTATTAAGTTTACAAAAAATAACTGTAAAATAAATAAGATCTTATAAAATATAAATAAATATCATATTAAATTATATATACACTATAGAAAAGTATAAAAATAAATACTGTGATTAGATATCTTCTCCAAAATAGTAAAATAAAAAAAAAATTATATAAGAATGATGAAACTAATTAAAAAAAATCATATAATAATAATACAATATAATTTGAATGTTTCAGAATTTGACACCAAAATATATACAGATCACCAAAATATATACAGATCAAATGGAAATAATTATAAAAATATAATATATAAAACTAATGATTTTTTTTTTTAACTTAAAAAAAATCGAAATTAAAACCTACATACCTTGTACATTTTCATCTTTGTCTTTTTTTTTTCTTTTTTTTTAAAATCAAAATAAATATAAAATTAAATTCATTGAGGGATATGAAAAAGAGATGAGAACATGAGTTTCAACCAAATAAAATGTAAATTAGAAAAAAAAAATTATAAAATTTAAAAAGTGTATATATATCAACTAATACTATAAAAGAAACTATAAAAAATATATAAATTTTAAAAACTGTAAATATCCCACTATCATATGATACAAAATTGTAAAATAAAAAAAATTAAAAAAAAAGTCTAAAAAATCTCAGAATTGAATAATCAAAGATTGATCTCAAATACATAATATATAGAAAAATCAAAAAATAAAAAAAAAAAGTCTAAAAAATCTCAGAATTGAGGAATCAGAGACTGATATCAAATGCATAATATATAGATAAGTACTTACTCCAGAACAATACTCTTGGTTGTATTGGAAAATATTGATATTTGGACAGTGGATAAAAAGTATGGGTAAAAGATTTTTTTTTTGGCCTTTCTTGTGAGTATATTAGTTAATAATAATAATAATAATAATAATAATAATAATAATGTAATAGTATTTTTATAGTGATATAGTTATTTATGAAAATAAAACTATTGTTTTGGAACGGATATAAATAGTAAATAACACTATTATATTAGGACTGATGTGGTATTATTTATTTTTTAACAAATATATTTATTTAAAATTTAATTTTTTTTCCAAAAAAATTCAGAATAAATTTAGCCAAAATTTTTATCAATATTCCATCTGGATTGATTTTTTATTGTTTATTTTTTTATATTTTATTTAAATATAATAGATATATTATAAATTAATATAAAGATACATTAAATATAAAAAATTATATCGATAATATAAAAAAATAAATATATTCCCTCTGTCTCATTTAGGTTGCCATTTTTTATTTTCGTACGTCTTAAAATAATGTTACAATTTTCTAATTTAGTAATTATGCTACGTACCTAACATAATAAATATCCTTCCAACGTACACTATATTACACAAATATCATTATTTTTATATTACACAATGCTGATATTTTCGTCTTTTTCACTATAACTCATTATAATATTAATATTAAAAATCCTACGTGCAAAAAGTAAACAACAACACCGGGACTCTGAGGGAGTATATATTTTTCGGTAAGTTTTTTATGACATTTTAAAAATATATTAAGGTAAATTAAATTTTTATTTAATATATAATGTAGTTAATTAGTCTAATGTCCACGAAGGTGTGTTTGTACGGAGATATGAATTTTGAATTGAGATTCGAATAATAAAAATTTTAATTAGAATAGTCCTATAATGTCGTTTAAATAGATATTAAAAAAATATATTTAATATAATATTTTTGGATAAATAATAAATTTTTGACAAAATCTTTCAAACAAACCCACTTTAAAAATAGAGTTTAGATTTGAACAAATACTTTTTGATAAATGGAGTACTATATATTGAAATTGAAAATAGAATAAAAAAAAAATTGAACAAATAAATGCAAATAATGACTTTTCAACTGTAGTTCCAAACGAAAGCACGTTTCCCACAGGACAAAATGCAAAACAAGACTTAGTGGGATCTTCCAAAACAATAGTTCCATTCCAGTTAAGATTGTGCTGATTATAACAACTACAGTTCCAGTCGAAAATTCTTTGTGGATAAGACAAAGATTTGGACCATCTTCCTACCGCATCTTCTTTATAAAATCCTCTGCTCTGCGTTGCATTGTGATCTCCAAATCAGTCCCTCAGAGGTAGAAATGGTCCTGACAATAGACATCCTTTCGAAGGAGAGGATTAAGCCATCCTGTCCGACTCCAGATCACCTGAAAAGATTCAACCTTTGCCTGCTCGATCAGCTCATTCCAGCTGACTTTGCTCCAATTATCATCTTCTATCCCCCCAACAATGGCGATTCCATTACCTCGTCGGAGGTTCAAGGAAGACTGGATATCCTCAGGAGCTCGCTGTCGGAAGTCCTGAAACAGTTCTATCCACTCGCAGGCACGATCAGGGACGATGTATTCGTCGATTGTGACGATCAAGGAGCTTATTTAACAACTGCTAAGGTTGGATGTTCCCTGAGTGAATTTCTTACAAGCCCTGATCTTAAAACCCTGTCTCGATTCCTTCCCTGTGGTCTGAACACCGACGAAACTTGTGTGACTAATGTGCAAGCAAGTGTGTTTTCCTGCGGCGGGATTGCCGTCGGGATTTGTATATCCCACCGGATTCTCGACGGCGCTGCTTTAGGCCTGTTTTTAAAATCTTGGGCCGACACTGCAATTTCAGACAAAGAGAAGACTGTATTAACGTCCCCTGATCTCTTATCAGCTTCTTCCCTTTTCCCTGCGCACGCCACGTGGCTGAAAGAAGCTTCGAAGGCTATGTGGAGCTGTTTGTTCAAGAAAGCCCAGTTCGTGACGAAAAGATTCGTGTTCGATGGTGCTGCAATTGCCACTCTCAAAGGTAGAATTGGATTTGGGCCTACAAGCGTGGAGATTGTGTCGGGATTCATATGGAAACATGCGACGATGAGTGGATGCAAGAAATCATCACTTATTACACATCTGGTGAACCTCCGGAAACGGGCAGCCCCGAATTTCTCCGGGCAGTCTCTGGGGAACCTTGTCTGGATAGCAAGTGCGAAACTTGGAGCTGAAAAGAGCAGTCTTGAACTGTTTGGAGTGGTCGATGAAGTGAGGAAATGCTTGTCGAGAATCGACGGGGAATATGTAGAGAGCCTGCGGGGTGATGGTGGGAGTCACGTTATGCAGAGGGATCTTACAGAGATCGGAAAGTATGGCGGCGGGGGGGATGTAGATCACATTGGGTTCAGCAGCTGGTGCAAGTTGGGATTCTACGATGTTGATTTTGGGTGGGGGAAGCCTGTTTGGGTCAGCAGCATTGATTCCAGTGGGCCGTTGTTTATGAATCTTGTTGTCCTGATGGAGACCAGATTTGGCGATGGAATTGAAGCCTGGATAACAATGGATGAACAGCAACTGTCTGTGTTGGAACACAATCAAGAATTCAGAAGCTTTGCTGCGTTGAATCCGAGCCCTTTACTGTAATTCATTTCATAATTTGATGGTCCAAGAAAGAAGTGTGTTTTGTAATTGTTATTGCAATATGGAATATGTCCAAACAGGGCCTTGACTTCTTATAATTACTTCGTTTGACGGGTGTCTTGGGTTTGACTTTTTTACCGCTGATTTTTCTCGTGGGGTAATCGTGGCCGTCCGATCGAGCACAAACGTGGATGGATGGATGGAAGAATTATTAATTACCGAGGCCAGGGCAATTGATCGATGCTGCATCTGCTTCTGCACATGGCAAGTGGGATCTGATCGGAGGTGTTGGGGCCGTTAACATCAACGACGTCGTTTTCTACCAACAACTCTGCAATCTGCAAAGGAAAATCGAGCTCTTTGAATCCACCGCTCAAATCGATTTCCGCTCTTCCTATTTTGCTCGATGATGAGATGAAAATCCTGCGAACTCGCGGCATTCTTCGGATGTTAAATCGCCGGTTTTAAATGGGATTTCGCCGTCGCTCGGACTGCCTTTTACATCTCCTGATTTTTGCGTACTGCGTTCTTGTTCCTGATTATTTTCCCTTCGCGTATGGGCAATCCAATGGCACCACTGTCACTCCCATCAATCGCGATCTCTACCACACCAGGTGAATTGTTTTCCCCCTTTTCGAGTAAGGTATTCCGATTTGCGTGATTTGATCTGTAGTTTTATTATTATTAAATTTTATTAGGGATTACGAGTCGTGACTTGTAGTTCTCTCGACATTGCTTAATTAGAATCAGACACGGAAACTTTTTATCTCGTATGATTCCAACCATTGACTCGTGTGGATTGTACATTTCTATGGTTTCTTGTATTTGAATTATGCATTTCTATAAAAACTGTCGAGTTCTTCCAGGATGTTTGATTTATCTCCATCACCAAATAGCTGGAATCTGGAAAAGCTTGAAGTTCAATAAACTTCGGTTTCTAGGTTTTACCCAAGTCCTTGCTATGAATTAAAATTATGAGTGAAGAAAAGATTTTCTGTTTATGCATTTTTTTGTCACTATTTTTTCTTTTGTAATTTGTCTAGATAGAAGAAGATAAAAAGGTTGCATGATAGCTTCGTAACTTTCTTCTATGTGTTTGTTCTCTAGCCTTAAGAATGCATTACTTTCTCAATTCGTCCACCTTAGGAAGTTGTTTGTTGCTGTTCAAATTCTTTTACAGGGGGGCCTTGCTTGAGGAAATTGAATCATTAGTTGATCGTCACCCAGATAAATTCACGGTACTAATTATGTTCTTCATAATTATATTAATAATTTCGGCTTCAATATCTAGGCTTCTCGCCTTATTTCTATTTTCCATTTAAACAGATTGATAAAATTTCTAGTAAGAACAAAGGCTATGAGGCACAGATAAGAGTAGTTAATTATTGCCGGAATCAGAAACACAATGATGAAGGGGCTAAACTTCGGATTCTATTTGTAAGTATTTTTTTACTTACTTCTTTGTATCAAAGTTTTTCTTTTGGCATTGTGGGCAGGGTGAAGGCTATGGATGTAAGTTTCATCCATAACCTTTTCTGAACTCAGTATATGGTGCAGGTTGTTCGCTAAAAAAATGAAAAAAGCAGGCGTGTTTTTAAGTTGAAATAGTATGTAAATGTTCTCAGGTTGGTTATTGGTGGTGTTTTTGACAGATGATTCCTTGTATTCCAGAGTTTTGGACAGCATGCTAGGGAGCTTATTACGACTGAGTTGGCTCTGCGGCTTCTTTCTATTCTAAGCGAAGAGGAGTTTTTACCTAATGCTGATCGCGGAACTTTAAATAAGACACTTGATAGGGTTATTATAAAGGTATAATTATCTCTTGAATTGTTCTTTTGAATATTTGCATTCTTGACATGCAAACAGATGAAGAATTGTGTGATTTTGAAATAGATTGTATTGCTTTCAAACCTGCCGTTGAAGTAATTGTATCTATTAAGTTTAGAGCTAAAGCTTTGAACTTTTAATTAGTGCTTTCCTTGTGTCTACCCAACGAGCCTAACTGAATTCAGAGCTTATAGTTTATACCCAAATACCATAATCAAATAATCTTATTAGTAATTAGATAAGAATGCTAGGTGAGATTATGGATTAATCTTCCGAGTAATATAATGAGTCCATTTAATATGGAAAAACTAAATTTCATGACTAATGTTCTTTGGATGCATCAAACAGGTCGTACCAATTGAAAACTTAAATGGCCGCAAGCTTGTTGAAGATGGAGACCTCTGTGAGAGAAGAAATGGTCTGATGAATGATAATTGATATAACTTCCTTTTGTAATTACGATCTCCTTGTTAAAACAGACAATGCTCAAAGTTTAAGATTTCTTTCAGGAAGAGGAGTTGATCTTAATCGGAACTGGAGTGTTGATTGGGGCAAAAAGGAGAAGGTATGCTTGTGTTTCCCTTCGTCATGAGAAATTTAATGTCCGTCTAACTATATTGGGCTTCGTTACATGAACTATCACATTGCAAATCGTCATAATTTTCTATATGGAACACATGTAAAGCAATTCAAGGGTTTAGAAGAACCCACAAATGCCATTATATTTCAATGTCTCTCTCCATCTATTCAGGATTATGATCCGTATGAAGAAAATCCTGGACCAGCTCCATTCAGTGAGCCAGAGTCCCAAATTATGCGGAAGTTGGCTGTATCATTTGAACCACATATATGGGTTAATGTGCACTCAGGGATGGAGGCAAGTCTTTGAAGCTTCTCATTTTCTACTGCCACTTGTTTGTGTTCATTCTGTGATGTGCTGAAATATTTGATAGGTTGCATAGAGTCCAGTCATTATGCATTGCTTTCCTTCTGTTTGTAGTTTGAATTTGTAAATTTAGTGGGCCTTCAATCTTCCAAGCCAAAATTTGCTTTAGGTTTGGCTAATGTTCATGGGTTTGCCTTGAAGTATGCATGATGTATTTACTTCTGCATCTTTTATGACTAACTGTACTTTATCCTCTCTGTCGTCCCTTATGATTTTTTTTGTTGTCCTTTGTTTTGTTTTGTTTAGGCTTTATTTATGCCATACGATCACAAAAACACAACCCCAGTTGGAATGCCATCTCAGATAATGAAATCAATGCTTCATGACTTGAATCATTTTTACCTCAAAGACCACTGCTTAGTTGGATCTGGCGGAGGCTCTGTTGGGTTTGTACTGCTTCTTACAAATCTTGCTGCTTTAATTTACTTTTTATGTTAAAAGAATTTGTTGCTTGTGTATCAAAGCCTTCAAAATGATGGTCGGTATCTGTTTTGTATAGCAATCAATTGTTGCATCTAGGTTTTTGAATTCATCATGTTTGATTATTACTAATATTAGTATTAGTTTGATAGAAACATTGGTACCGTTCATTCTGTGTATATTCACCTACCTATTTGTGTGGAACATTAGATCTGAATTATTCAAAATTTCTTACCAAGGTTTAAAGGTTTTTGAGTGAGTGCTTTGTGTAATTGAAAATTATTTGCAGTACTAAATTGCTTCTATGCATTCAGCTTAGAATTTGTCAAATTACGAAAGTGTCTTCAAGTTAAACTGGAGGGTAAAATCTATTCAAGGAAAATCTTCATGTCTTTTTCTTCCTCAATGAAACTCTTGTTTGCAATTGCATCTTTCTATGCTGTTGTATTCTCCTCAGTCATTCCAGTAGCTTACAAATACATATCCTCCTTATAAGGAAATAGGAAGCCATATCCTGTTAAGGTTTTTACACAATTTCGTGATCCAGGGACTCATCATGAAATCCTTTACATACTTATTAGTTATTTATGATATATATTGTCCATTGTTGTCTTTTACTCTCTAGAAAGAAAATACAATAGCCCCGACAGTAGAAAAACCGATTTTCCTTTTTGATCATCTACCAATTCCTTGTGCTAATTGCGATATTCCTCTATAGGTACCTGGCTCATGGGACAGCTACAGATTATATGTATGATGTCGCCCGGGTGCCCATGGCTTTTACCTTTGAGGTTTGGAAATGCTTCACAGTAATTGGCAGTTTTATTCTTTTTATTGGGACCTAAAAAAGCAAGTCATTGTGCTCATATTGTTGCAGATATACGGAGATCCTAACGCCTCCTCAAAAGACTGCTTTAAAATGTTCAATCCTGTAGACATCAGCTCCTTCAATGTAAACCATCTAATCCTCTCGCACGCTTTTCTTAAGGCAATATTCTCTTTTTTTGTTTTCTTTCTAATTTCTCAACACGAGTGATCTTTTTCCCGTGACAGAGAGTTCTGAACAGCTGGTCAGCTGCATTCTTCCACATGTTCAGCGTAGGCGTGCATCATTTGGACGGGCTTCAGTCGAAGGCAATGGCATCAAGTTTTGACAATTGGGTGTCGATAGACGACTATCTCAACGGATATCTAATGCAGAGGAAGAGCAGGTATGGGAAGAAAATCGAGGTTCTCGACCTCGGGTTGCAAGAAATTCGAACATATTTCAGGCTATTCTTGCTGTCCTCTGTGCTCTTGCTGTTCATGTTTTGCTCCAGAATTTCAAAGAGCACCCGGCCTCTTGTTTCCGCCATGACTCTTTAACCTCGAAACTATATTGCTGATCCAATGAAATTAGATTCCTCATATTGTATTTATCTATTTTTACATCTCCAGGAGATGAGATGAGATGAGATGAAATGAGATGAGTAGCATTTTTCACTCGCCATGTATATTAATTATTTCCCTTAAATCACGAGATGCATTTTTTGAATTCATGCTTGTACTTGATGCCACTCTCTGCATCACCATCGATGTGTATTTGTCTTAATAGTATTTTATACTGATCCAGTAAATTTTTAATATATAAAAAAAATAATATTTTGTATTTATTTTTAAAAATAACACTTGTTTGTGTTTTGAAATTTTAACCCTAATCACCTGAATAATTTAAAAACAGTCCACTTTACCTACCGAAGCAAGAAAACCATTTTGTAGGTGATTTTCACAATCAATCTTACAAAAGCATCAATAATAGTATTTCTCCATTAACTCATGACATTAATCAAAAACAATAATTCTCAAACTTTAGGACACACTTCCAACTGTAATAAATCTTTCCAGGCCACAAATTCTTACTATATTAATAACGTGGTCAATTTGCAGGCGGATCAACGGAAGCAAAATCACGAATCTCCTGGATTTGATCAAAATGAGCAAAGTAAGATTGATCAAGAGTGAGCCAAGCCTCGATTCCATCCCCCTCTGGAGTGTCCATCAGCCACAGCACATTAATAAACGGCCACTCCACCTCACTCCCGCCGTCGCATTTCGTAATCCAGGCGGGCCGCCCGAACCCAAAGTCAATACCGTAAAGCCCGAAATTGCACCAGCTGGTAATGGCCAAGTAGTCGGCCCCCTCAGGGAATCCTTTCCAGGCATCCTCAACATTCTTACAATACCCTAAGAACCCTTCTCCATTACCATCCTCCATTCTCTTCACGAACTCCGGGTCCACCGTGCCAATGGCGTCCCGGACTTTCCCGAACAGGCCCTTCAGCCCCTGCCCGGCCTCGTCGCCGCCGCTCGACGCCGTCACCAGCCACAGAAAGTTGCCGAAGCTGCCGTCGGGGTATCGGGGCTCCGCCTTTCGTCTCATGTTCACTCCATGAGTCACCAGGGACACTCCAGGTCCGGGACTACCATTTCCAGGCCTGGCTTTGTCCGCCGCGATCATGAACCACTTCCAGATCAGGGCCGACACGATTTCGACACGTGTCGGCGGCCGATCGAGGCCGTCGGAGAGCTCGGCTCGCAGCCTCGATATTCCGGGGGATTCGAACACGTAGCGTCTCATTACAGTCTTGCCGGATTTGAAGTATCCTCTCATGGCGGAGAAGAGATGTTTTTCCCTCTGCATGGCTTCGTTGTGCGGGAAGAAAGACCGGGCTTTGTAGTCCGGAAGCATCATTTCCGTCGGAGTCCGGGACCTGGAAGCCCAGGCTTTCATGAACGTGGCGACGGTGACGCCGTCGGCGATCTTGTGGAGGAAAAGCGAGCCGACGGCGAAGCTGCCGCAACGGAAGAAAGTGAGCTTGACCATGGCAAGTTTGTCGCCCGGGCCGGGCTCATCCCAGGTGAGGTCGCTGGGGATGTGGGTCCGACAGGCTTTGGGGTCGGGTTTTCGGAGGATGTCGGAGAGGGTGGAGTTAGACCTGGAAACCAGGAAGAGGACTCCTTCATCGTTGCAGTCTATGGATAAGGTGTCTCTGATTCTTCCTGCTAATGGATAGAAATGGGACAGGGTGGAGGAGAGTGATTCCTTGAGGATTTGGGAGATGGAATCTTCATGGTGGTTCTTGTCTGAATTTGGATAATATAAGACTAGAGGGACGTAAATGGGTGGGACGATTTGATCGAGTAAAGAAAGCTTGTAGATTTTTTGGGAAGGGGGAGTTGGGGAAGACGGTTTGATGAACTCTCTTGAAATCATTTCCATTTCCATTTCCATCTCCATTTCTGTTAATATGAGTTGTGATGATGAATTCTTGATATATATATATATATATACATGACGTTGAGTGGGTAGGTGATGAAATCATACTAGTGTCTCATTGTCAATTATAGTATGACAAAGAATGAAAGAATATTACAGTAAAGACAATCCTCAAAATCTTGATTGATCAAATATCAACCCACTAAATGACTAATGGAAAAAAGGGTTCCTACTTGATTTATTTAATATGCCCTTTTCGTGAGTGCTCTTACCTACCAAACTATCCAATTGGGTTTGAGAATAAAATCTAGCCCCTTTCTTTTTTCTAATTGCATGAAAAACACAAGTGATTTCCAAAATCATAAAAATATAGCAGACAGGTCACAAGTAGTAATGGAATGGAATATTAAACCTAACTATAATGAGGTTGTGCATAAGGTTCAAAATTCCATACAGGCCAATCCAATAAGTAGTAGACAACTCTGATAATGTAGTGAGAAAAGCTTGAGACCTCAAAGGCACTCATCTGGATGAATTACAGAAGATATTTTAGATTTATCACCAAAAGAGTTGCAGCTATTGTGAAACTAATGAGCCTGTATAAACTTTAAAATGAGTTAGAAGCTTTACCATAAAATTTCTATCATGTCAGTTTAATCTATGGCTTCCAATTACACATACCATGGGTACAAATACGGCAGACATGCAGCAGTGGTAGGTAGCACTGGATCTTGCATCAGCTTGTCCATCTTCGATAACATGAGGACTCCACTCCACTAATGCAGTGCTGTGTATGATGCTACTTTGAATTTCAGACTCAGATTGATGAGAAGATCCAACTGGCCTAGATGTTTTCGCCAGGGGGGAGTTCTGCAAGTTTTGGGGGAGTACCGAGCACCCGTTCCATGTCAAAGCGAACCTCAATATTCCGGATGCTATAGCCGACCACCATGAGCCAAAAGAGCAGCTTGGCAAGTTCTTGAGCATTTGTCTCTGTTACACTAGTCTGTAAAATGCCAAATGATAATAATGTAATTAAGGAATTGGTCTCCAACTTGCTTAACTGTCATATGGAAATTATATTCGATAAGCAGTACACTGCTGTGATCCTAGGTTAGTTCTGAAACTAGAACAGGTTGAATTGTGATTTGTACCACTGACATCATTCTGTTATAGTATATAGGTTGAAAGACTAGCATCACAGGATTAAAGATCAAGTTACAAGTGCTAGAGCGATGATTATGAGAGTGCAGTGGCAAGTGCAGGTAATGGAATTTGCAGCATTGGTTAACATGTACCTTCATTTGGCTAGGATCAGAAACAGCCAATAACCGTTTTATGAATGTGTTCATTGCAAGCACAACATCATCTCCAGCTGTACTGGTTAGCTCCTGATAAACAAGCCCCAGATAACAATTTAGGGACACTATGTAGCCCAAACAGTGATACTTTTGATGTAAGGACCAAGGAAGAAAAGTTACACTACAATCCCAACCACTTCTCACTACCACCTAAAGAACTGGCAAACAACACATTGCAAGATGTTCATATTCTCATGCTTGTTTATCTTTATAAAGTTATACCACAACCCTAACCACTTCTCAACACCAATAAATAAGACAGCTAATAAACAAGCATACATCACATTGTATGATGGTTACACACTCTTGCTTATTTATATTTATGAAGTTATCAATCCGCCTCTCCACAAAATAAATTGCAGTCAGGTTTCTTACCTTGAGATTTTGAGGCTCAAGAGATTTCAAATATTCCAACAATTCATTCTGTCCAGTCGATGATTTTCTTTCTACTTGACGGTTAAGTTCCTCAATTTCAGCTTCAAGTAGCTCAATGTATTTCACTGCTTCAATTCTTTCTGGGCCTGAAACATTGTTCCACCTTATAACTTCACCAGACACTTTTTTCTGTGTCCCTGGGGCATAATCTGACCCGTCCTACACTAGTGCAAGGTCAGTAAACTGAAAAACCAAATTAAAGTAAATGATAAAAACACCTTCTTATCCAATATAAGTTCCTTCAAACAATAGGACCACAAGAAGGAATATGATTAGGCAATATGGTTATAAGGGTTAGAAGGGTCTCCATGACTACTTCTAGTTCAGATCAATACAAGCACGCAGAAAAAATTAAATCTTCAACAAAATTTTTTTCCTTGATGAAATTTGATACACACGCTTGAACCATTAAGCAAAACAATTAACACGGATTTTAACAAGTTCAAGTGGCATCCATACAATTATTAATGTACATCACTGGCTTTGCAAGTGCACAGTGACATATTCCTTCAGTGCTTACAAGCTATGCATCAGAACTTGCCAGTGCACATCAGCATTCCTAGTTTCTTCTCTACCAATACGGTACATATTCAAAGCTTTAATTGCTGTATTTAACATATCAAATCCTTTATAATTCTGCATCCTTATTCTTTTTTATGCCAAAATCCAACATAAAGAGGAAGATGTGTGGGACCAAAAAAAGAACGAGCTCACCTTTCGATCTTGTGGTTCCGGAAGAGCAACTTGCTCCAAGCTTTGTTGAAACTCCAGCCTGTTTTGAGCATTCTGAAACATATATCCAGTCATCAAGACACTGTACATTAGCTGTGCCAAATTTTCAGCAACCTGCAACAATGAAAGATTCATAATTCTCACCAATAGATTCCAGAAACATGGCTCCAAATCATCTCTTTATCTACCTAAGAATAAGTACTTACAGTGGTAACCGTCACAGCGAAAAATTGTGGAGGCAGAGTTCCAATCATATTTGTAACTGTTTGGCGCATGGCATCAACTACCTTCAGTAGAGTCAACAAGCATTCTTCAATCTCAAAGGGGGTTACTTAAACTGCATTCTAGTTAAGAAATTTTGTACGAATTGGAACATCCCATGTAATACTAAACCACTTCCACCGCACCACTTTGCGAGAGTTCTTAGAGGTCACAGTGGAGGGGAAATACCTGCTGAGGCGCTCTTTTAACAAACAATTCCATGAATTCAGGCTTAACATTCTGCACATACTCCAGAAGAATCTCTTTCCTACTCTTACTCTGCTCATCAACAAGAAAATTCAATAGATAATCAAGTTCCGCCCAAAACAAACAGAGATAGGGCACAGTTACCGTAGTGCCGTTCGGAGATTTAGAATCGCCGCCGTTAGGTGAACCTCTGTCTCCATTTTCTCCGGCTCTGGCGAGTGTCAATCTCCCTCTAAAATTGAAATTTTTCCTCGGAACTCTGAGCGAGTGACGCGGCGGAATACAGGCCGTCCGAGAAGAAGATGACGACGGAGTATATGAGGATTGAGATGTTAATAGCAAAGTGGAAAGCTTCAATGTCAGGGACGACATTTCCTAAGCTCCGATTGAATTGGAATAGCAGTTGGAAGAATCAAGAATGAAGCTTTCTTCTCCTTGGCGTGTCGTCAACTTCGACAGAATCAATCGATGCCCTGCCCTTTTCCGCTATGAAAGTCGCTGTTTGTGGTTCTCATAAATCGCATTTTACAGTGCGTATTCTTTTACTATTTACCATAAAGTCGCGTTTTCAAGTCTGACTCTGCTTTCTTCAGTTTTATTTGTTGTTCTAGTGATGTTTCTCGAGAGTTGAATCTGCTTTCTTCAGTTTCATTTATAGTATTTTTTTAATATATATTTTTTTAATCCGACATCGATATTTCTTCTACCATTTATCCGAAGAATGTGTAAAACTAAATTTTTATATTAAATATTTTTTATTATTATTTCTTTTTTAAAAAAAAAAAATCCAATTAATAATATTTTAAATTTTAAATTAATTTATATTGTAAAGTTGATCAAGTTGACCAAATTGACAATAGATTGGATTGAATTAACTAAATTTTATCCGGCGCATGGGTCGCGCCACCGACAACTCATTAATTGCAAATTATAATGAATTATAGGCTTCATTTATTTTACAGTTATAGTTGTATTGTTAAAGGCAAGGGATCTTAGTTTAAAATTTAAGCAGTTTAATCAGTTTAATCAGTTATTTTATAACATTTGTTCTGACTTTTAATATTTTTTTAAAATAAAAAAATAATTAATTTAACTAAAATTATAATTTACGTATCCAGTATTTTATTTATTTTCTTCTATTCTTATTAAATATTCTTACCAAATTTATTTTTTCTCTTTCAGCATACTTTGGTGAAGAGAAGAAGAAGAGGGGGAGGAGAGATGACGGCCGCTTCGGTGGAGCAGACCCCAATGGCTGGTGTCGCGGTCGACGACGAGTAGGAAAAAGGCTGAACGGTGGGCGGTGGCTTGGAGAGCGGCGCAGGGCGTCGTCGGGGGTGAATCGATGATCAATGAAGGGGAAATAAAATAAGAGAGAGTTGTGAGGAAGAGAAAGAAACAGAAAATAAATGCAGGTTTGAGAAGTTTAATTTGAGAATTATGATGAAATATGGATGGGCATTCGGCATCACGAGAAAATTAGGGTTAGAGTGTCGATGATATTACGGGAGAGAAATTTAGATGGAAGTGTTTACGAATGAAAGAAAAAATAAAAAATTGGAGGGTAAAATTGTAATTTTAGTTAAATTAATTGTTTTTTATTTTAAAAAAAATATTAAAAAGTCAGAACACATGTTATAAAATAATTGGTTAAACTGGATAAATTTCATTGTTTTCCATAGACCATCTAAATGAAATGGTTGAGTGAGAAATTCGATTTTTTTCATTTAGTATTTTAAAATAAAATGTTTTCCTATAAATATTATTTTAAAATATAATATGATATTAATATTGAATTGACGACATTGATTGTGAGAAGCTCTCGTGAATAAATCTATGGTGATCCCTTTACAGGGATAAGTAGGCCAATAACGTGTCTGTGATTATTTAATTTATTTCCCCATTCAGCAGCATTGCTGGCATTGCTGTTCTCCCTTGGAAATTATTAATTCAGTCATCATCAGCCCCATTTTTTGGTGTCAACCTCAAATTAATAAATAATAATTTTGTCAGGTTTTCACAAATGAAATTAGGATTGGGTGATTCATTACAGGTGTAAATGTAATTCTTGAAAATGGGTGGTCCGGTCCACCCAACCCAACTGCTAATTATTTTGACTTAGATGGAAAGTTCCACCCATGTCTTTTGATCTTTGTCATCATCATTGAATTCAATTAAGAAACTGTTTTTATTTTCTCTAATTTTTAAGCATACAATTTATATGTAAAAAATTATTAGCAGGTATTCTTGAAATATACTAGTATATTAAATTTTGTAGAGAAATAAATAAAAATATATATATATTTATAAGATGCAATTAATCAGCATATACAATGCAAATTAATCCATCCAGATCAATTACATCATTAACATTTGACGAGCTTCATTTAATTACATCAATGTCACAGGCACACCAAATTGGTTGACAATAAAATCAACTTAGGCATTTTTTTATTATATATATAAATAAATACTATATAAACCCAAAAATCTTTTACCCCTGGTTCAATCGCTTTCCACGTTCATCGTCATCATCTTCTTCATCGAAACCCTTCATTTCGTCACACAGAAGAATTCCAAAAACCAACCAACGAGAGCCACGCTTCCATTCGAACAGTCCTTGAGAAGTTGTTGCTACTTTATTGCACCTTGTCTCCTCCCTCCCCTCTACTCTCGTCTTCCATTGAAAGAACTTCCCAAGCTCCGAGTTAAGAAGAAAAATCAACTTTCTTACATGCAGCAGCAGCAGGGATGAGGAATCCGGTAAAGATCCTGACCCGATTCCCCAAACGGGTCCTGGATCTCGACTGGAGGCTCCTCCTTCTCATCCTCTTCTCCCTCACACTTGTCGCATATGTTTCACTCTCTTCCTCTTCCTCTTCCCCCACCACTCTGCTCGTCTCCGTCTCCAACCTTATCCCCTTCAAATCCCTAATCCGAGCTCGCCCAATTCAACCTAAGCTGCATCCGCTGAATAGGTCCCGAATTGCCGTCTGTTTGGTGGGCGGCGCGCGGCGGTTCGAGCTCACCGGCCCCTCCATTTTGGAAAGGATCCTTCGAGTCTACGAGAAATCGGATCTGTTCCTCCATAGTCCTTTGGATTCCAATTCGTATAAGCTTATGTTGCTGAGCGATTCCCCCAGAATCGCTTCTGTAAAGATTTTCAAACCCAAACGCATACCCGAGACCCCGCAGGAGCTCCGAGTCCTCACCGCGCACACCTCGCCGAACGGTATTCAGGTGCGATGCTAATTTAATAAGATGCTTTTTTAGTTAGATCGTACCATTTTTGGTGGGAGATTGATTCTGTTGTCTTGCTGTGGATGTTGGATCGGATTGGTGAGAGTGGAATGTTTATTGTGCATTGTTGAATGGCTAAAATTAGGTTTTTCCAAAATTTCTGGCGTCACGGCTCTTCGTTCTTACGCGTCTGTTTGTTGTTGTCGTCATCTTGTTCGAAATTCCATTAGGGTTTATTTGTCTTGAGGTGAATTTTCTCCAGCTGCAAGTTTTGAAGATGAACTCTTTTACGTTTGGACTTTTCAATGAGGTTGAAACTTGATAGTCATCATCATAACTGCTGATTTTTCCATTAATGAGGTCATCAAGAATCTATTGCACCAGGCTGATTACTGTAATTAGGGTTTGAACTTAGTTGCTACTTGCATTTAATGAGGTCAAATTGATGGCCCCCCATCTTTTTAGGCAACAATAATAAGTTTAGGCATATAATTTTTGCCAAAATTTCACCATTCTACATTCTGCCCAATTTCTTTCTTTTGCAGGGCTTATTGCAGTACTTCAATCTGGTCGAAGGATGTCTAACAATGATCAAAGAGTATCAAGAAGAGCACAGCTTCACCTATGATTGGATAATCCGGACCCGGGTAGACGGATACTGGGCCGGCCCATTGGGCCCAGAGAATTTCATCCGGGGTAAATATTTGGTCCCGGCGGGCTCGCAGTATGGTGGGCTGAACGATCGGTTTGGGTTAGGGGACTACAACACCTCGGTCGTAGCACTTTCGAGGCTATCCTTAATTCCGAAGCTCGACTCGGCCAAGTTAACGAAACTTAACTCCGAGGCTGCCTTCAAGGCCCAACTCACCACTCAAAATGTCGACTTTGTTGCCAAGGCCTTACCTTTTTGTATAGTGACCGATCGTTGCTACAAATTTCCTCCGTCCGGCTTCGGAGTGCCGGTCGCAGCCATGTCGAGCCCAGGCCCATTGAGCGGCGCTAAATGTCGACCTTGCAAGCCCGTTTGCACTGGGCCCTGCGTTGGGCCTGTAATGAATCGGCTTTATCGAGGGTGGAGCTGGATGGAGTGGCGAAACAACACTATAAATCTCTGTGATGCTCATAGGGAATGGGAGGAAGGTTGGCAAGGTTTATTCGATAAGGTTGCCGGGACTCGCCTCGCGGGTGCAAGAAAAAAGGTTGCGACTTTGAGTATGGATCGATGTGTCCAAGGAATTAAGAAGCTGAGGAAACAATCGGCCCACTGGTATGGGCCTACGGCCCAAGAAATTTGCAGGCTGGGCCTCGAATCAGGTCGATGAAAGTTAAAGGAGATACATTGTATATGTAAAGTTATTCTTTCAAATAATGCAAACTATAGAGGATTAGGGGTATTCATTCTTTTGGAGTCTATTTAGTTTTGATCATACAACACTGTACTGTACTGAAAATTCGAAGACTATATTAAACAAATATACACAGCAAAGTTTCAGGCCACAAAGAGTTCAGCTTTTCCATCAATGAACAGGCTCATGAACTCTTCTCCATCAACTGTTTCTTTCTCGACGAGCAGTTGAGCAAGCTTGTGTAGAATGTCGATGTGGGTCGTGATTATAAGCTTGGCTCTTGAGTATGCTTTCTCGACGAGCTCTCGAACTTCGGCGTCCACCACGTCTGCCGTCGCCATGGAGTAGTCTTTCTGCGACGACATCTGCAGTCACAGAAGGCCAGTCGTGCTCTTTTTGTTAATCGATAGCGCGCTAATGTAATGATTTGCTAAGTTAGTGTACCTGCTGGCCAAGGAAAGGATTTCCACCGGGGCCGCCGATTGCCACCTGTCCGATCTTCTTGCTGAACCCGAATCTCTCGACCATCTGCCTCGCAACCCTCGAAACTTGCATGAAGTCGTTTGATGCACCTGTTGTAACATTCTCATCGCCGAAAATAACCTCCTCGGCAACCCTGCAATGATTAGATTGGTGATCGCTTGCCTTTTTCGCTCAAGAACTGTTAGATTATCAAAACCGAACCAACCTTCCACCAAGCGCAACAGCCATCTGATTTTCTAAGTAGTTTCGACTGTACAGCCCCGACTCAAGCCTCTCTTCGCTTGGCGCGAAGAAGGTAAGGCCTCCGGCTTGGCCGCGCGGAATTATTGAGATTTTGGCGACCGGATCGTACTCCGGCATCAATGCGCCAACCAATGCGTGCCCCGCCTCTACAATCAACGTTACGTGTTAAAGACAGCCAAATTACGAAAGCCCCAAATCGGTTTTCGAATAATTTCATACCATGATAAGCTACCAGCCTCTTCTTCTCATCAGAGACTACGGCGTTCTTCTTCTCCGGTCCAGCGATAATTCTTTCCAAAGCATCAGAGATCTCATCTTTGCTTATTTCCTTAAGTTCCCGCCTCGCTGCAAGTATGGCAGCTTCGTTCATCAGGTTTTGCAAATCCGCACCCGTGAAGCCTGGCGTCCTCCTCGCAATCTTTTCAAAATCGACATCCTTACCCAGTGCCTTGCCTCTCGAATGCACCTGCAATGGCAAGAATCTCTGGTTAGCAAAACTGCTGCGCCGAAAGTAAGGACTTCAGAAAAGCTCAGTAACCTGGAGAATCTTGACTCTGCCAGCAACATCAGGCCGGTCGACAGTAACCTGTCGATCAAACCTCCCAGGCCTCAGCAGCGCCGCATCAAGAACATCCGGCCTGTTAGTCGCAGCCAACACAATGACACCAGAGTTGCCGGAAAATCCATCCATTTCAGTCAAGAGCTGGTTAATGGTCTGCTCTCTCTCATCGTTGCCACCGCCAAGACCCGCCCCTCTCTGCCTCCCTACAGCATCAATTTCATCGATGAACACAATGCAAGGCGCTTTCGACTTCGCCTTCTCAAACAAATCCCTCACTCTTGAAGCCCCAACGCCCACAAACAGCTCCACAAACTCTGAAGCTGCACATGAAAAAAATGGCACGCCGGCCTCCCCGGCCACCGCCCTCGCCAAAAGGGTCTTTCCGGTGCCCGGCGGACCCACCAAAAGACAGCCTTTGGGGATCTTTGCACCCAAGGCAGTGTACTTGTCGGGATTCTTTAAGAAATCAACCACTTCTTGCAGCTCCAGTTTGGCCTGATCGGCTCCGGCCACGTCAGCGAAGGTAACACCAGTCTCCGGCACCTCCTGGAACTTAGACTTGGACCTGCCGAAGTCCATCGGCCCACCAAGTCCTCCGGGCCCTCCGGGACCGCCCTGGGCCCGTCGAAACAAGAAGAAAAGCCCTGCAAAAGCGAGAAGAGGAAACAGCAAATTCCCAATAAAATTCAGCAGCCCATTTCCGGAATCGCCCTCGGAGACCGAAATATCGACGCCGTTCATCGCCAAGATGTCGATCAAATCCGGATCGTTGGGGACAATCACAGTAGCCCGACGCCCATCTATGGCGGTCAGCTGAAGGGCGCTTCCGTCCTTGCTGAATCTCACTCGCTCAACCTTTCCCTTCTTCACCGCGTTCAGGAATTCGCTGTATCGCCATTGGGAACCGTCGGGAAGATCAGAAGCAGGTTGGGCCTGAGGCTTCGGAGCATTCAAAACAAGGTTTTGCCCAAACGGCGACGAATTTCCCAACTTCTGCGCCTCCATTTCAATCACCTGCGGGGGAGGAGTCGGCGGCGATGCATTATCCAATGCTAATGCTTGTGGAGAGATTGAAGAGAAGAGTAAAGCAGCTAGAGCGGCGTGGCTGGGGATGTTCTTCGGTTTCTTGGGGCTCTTATTCTCAAGAACTGATTGTGGAACAACTACTTTTCTTGGTATCGTCTTGGGCGTCGGAGGAGAAGCGATTCGGGCACCAAAAAAATTGGATAGCAAAGGATTCGTTAATGACGACACCATTATTAGACTTGGCGAGCTCCTCTGCTCTCGCTGCAATTCTCAAAATTGTAGAACGAATTGTGTAGTGGGTACTGACCGGGGAAGAGATATTAGACGAAGGTAACGTGGAAATGCGTAATGGACTTGAGAAGTGCAATTAGGGCTTGTGGTGAAATGGACGCCATAGATTGCAATTGTCGTCTGGATTGGCTCTACGTGGGCAGGGTAATATCCACTCATGATTTTCCTTTTTTTATTTTCCTAATTTCTAGTACTTTCCAAAATACAGATATTATTCAGATTCAGAAATAAGAGCAAAGAAAACACTCTTCTGAATATTTATTTGCATCACTGTCTGAAGATCAGAAACCTCCAGCCTGACCATGTACATTTAATCGTTGATTCCCAGAAACATTTCTGCATTTTCTTACGGTTCATTTGTTCAAGATCCATGGGACAAGGAGCCCGTGTGCAGGCATCTTATGCATTATATATTTCAGCATTTGTGTGACAATACAGGTGGAATTTATTCCTTTTGTTTCTTTAATCTGCTTGCCTCTCTGTATATCTCTATATATATATACATGTACATTTGCTCATTTGGGAGAAAAGGCAAGAAGCACTTGACATCTTATATCAAGAATTCGACACACTTTCAGTCTTTAATTCTTCTGCTAAAGATGGCTACTTTCCACACTCGATCAAACAGTTTTCCATCACAATCTCATCCTGCGATGGGATCCGTTGAGGATCAGCTGAACAGGTTGAAGTCCTCGGAAGCAGCATCGACATCAGCCTCTTGTATATGTGTAAACTTAGATGGCCTCAGAATCTTGCATGAGGGCATCGATGACCTGATTCAGATGTCTTCAATCCAACAAGCTCTTACCCACGAGAAAGGTCAAGAATTGATAAATGGGCTGCTCGAGGGATCTCTCAAGCTTGTGGATCTTTGTGGATTTTCGAAAGAGATTGTAGGATCAATCAAGGAATCTATTCAAGTTCTCGAATCCTCATTGAGGAGGCATAAAGGCGAAGCAACCTCAGCAGTTGACTTCAATTCTTACGTCGCCTCAAGAAACAAGATCAAGAAGATGGCCATCAAGTATGCCAAGAGTTTGACGAGGTTCAACAAGAAATCTACAGAAGTCGCAGCCTCAGATGGTGATCTTAATGCAGTTGGAACTATGCTTAAAGAAGCAGAGGCTCATGCTTTCTCGGCGCTAAGATCTGTATTGATGCTTGTGTCCGGGGAAAAGGAAAAATTGAACCAAAGAAACTGGTCATTCCTTTCAAAGTTAACAAAGACCAGCCGTGTGCATTCAGAAGTCGAGCAAGAAAGCAGCGTCAATGATTTGTTTAACATTCCCAAGTCACAAAAAGGCGTAGATGGCATTAATCTGCAGAATACATTGAAGCAGTTGAGAGCATCAGAATTAATGATTCAGGAACTTGAAGAGGGATTGGAAGCCCTGTTTAGAAGTTTAGTCAAAACTCGGGTTTCTCTCCTCAATGTTCTTAGTCATTAGACCTGTTTATACTCCTGTACATATCCAAAGAATCAATACAGATACTTGATCAATACAATTCAGTACTTGAATTATTACCTCAAAACTTATTCTCTATACAATAACCAGTCAGTATACTTCTTTTTACATCAGTAATTTACCATGAGATGATACACGACTGTATGACCAAAACACACATTATTTGCAGTATGACGCAGCAACCATGTGCTTGCAAAACGATTAGCCAAAGTGAACGTGCATCAACTTGGCCATTAGCTTAATTACTTGCCCTGCTGCACCATGTTTAACAGTATTAAATACTCCACTAATGGTTGGTGACGATGATAATTTTATCTAAATAATTGAAACCGTGGATTAAGGCCATGTTTGCACCTTCTCAGCACAATCAACTATAGGTTTTGCATATAATGGTGGTTTTGGGTATAGTTTATCTAAGTAATTCAATCCGGCATGCTGCCTCATGTTTTATTTCAAGTCACTTGTCTGAGTAAGACCAACATGCAGCATTATTATATAAACTTCTTCCCTGTCAAGATTCTTAATGCATTGTGAACAAATAACTATGATATGGCTGAGATCTGAGATCTCTACGATTGGGATTTCATCTCCAATTTTAAATGATTTGGCGAACAAGGAACCCGTGTGCCGTATAATTATTTAGTTCAACTTGCAGCGGTTGTGAGCAACTTGAGGCGGAAAAGATGCTGCTTTTCTTTTGCCAATCTCTCTATATATAGTGAGTTGAGAGAGATAGCTTCAAACCCTCAAACCTTCTCATCTTCTATTCTCAAAACTTTCTTAAAGAAGCTCTTTCTGAAAAAAAAAAAAAAAAAAAAAAAGCAAGATGGCAATTTTTCATGTTAGATCAAACAGCTTGCCTTCGAAATCTCATCCTTTGGTCAATCATGTTGAAGATCACTTACAGAGGTTAAAGTCCTCTGAAGAGACATCAACATCAGGCACTTCAGTAAGTGCAAGGTTGGCGAGCCTCAGAGAATTGCACGAGGGGGTTGAAAATTTGATGCAGATGTCTTCAATCCAACAAGCTCTTGCTGCGGAAGGCAGTGAGAAATGGACTAATGAGTTGCTTGAGCAGTCCCTTGGACTTGTGGATCTCTGCGGATTCGCCAGAGAAGTTCTGAGTTTAATAAAGGGATCTGCTCAAGAACTTCAATCCTCTATTAGACGAAGCAGAGGCGACAATGCTACCACAGGTGACATCAGTGCTTACCTAACCTCAAGAAAGAAGATCAACAAAATGATCAGCAAGTTCATCAAGAACTTCAAGAGCTTCAACAAAAACTGGACGGCTCTCTTGGATGATGAGTCTGATCTCAAGGTCATCATGGAGATGCTGAAACAGACAACGGAGTTTGATTTCGCAGTCTTGAAGTCTGCACTAATGGTTTTGTCCACTGAGAAGGGAAGATCAAAGAAAAGTAGCTGGTCATTGACGTCCATGTTCACTCAAGGCGTGGACACTGCAGATGTCCAAAATGTTTTTGAGCAACTTAAATCTTCGGAATTGGCTGTTCAAGAACTCGAAGAGGAACTGGAAGCCTTCTACAGGACATTGGTGAAAACTAGAGTTTCACTTCTTAATGTTCTTAATCATTAGCCTATCAGCTAGTGCTAAATTGTGAAAAGTTGTATACTTCTGTACATGATCAAAACAATCAATGAAACTTGATTACTACAAATTGCTGCGCATAAATTCGTCCACAATTTCTCTATTTGTTTCTTCCTGCCTTATATAAAACAACTCATCAGTTTTAACACCACATATCTAATACAACATTGGATTTGAATTACAAGAACATGACAGTAAATTGCTATGTTAAAAAACAACAAAGTAACTAACATGCATGCCTATCTTTACAGTAAATCAATATGACTGAATTGATGATAGTTGAATTCAACCTGATCAATCAATCGATAACATTGATAATTTTTGTGTAATATGAATGTTAAATCTCCATCACTAAGCAGTAAACTTCATGATTGAATATGGCATTTACCCCAACCTAATTTATTGCTGAAAACTGACAAATGGCACTATATTATTTCCAGTTGCACATGCAACAGTTTATACTTTTGTCTATCATTTTCCTCGTGTTATTACCACAGACTGTTTACCATGCTGCAGCTAAAAAATGATACCACGTTCAGGCCTTAATTATACAAGCACCATCTATTTTATATTACAAATCCCTCAAGTGGCCATCCCTGTGCATGTTGCATTATATTTAATTGTGTACAGTGTACTGCTGCATTCGCCGTAGGTGAGTCCTTTTCCCAAGTAAGACAAAACAGCCTCATATAATTGTATAACCCTCGTGCGAGGCTGTCGAGATTCCTTGCATTTCATGAAGAGAGATTATAATAAGCAGAGATCTCTATGTAGGGATTTCATTAATTTTTAAATATCAATGGAGCAAGAAGTTCGTGCACAAGATAAAAATATTCCAACTTGCAGTGGTTAGGAGGTAGTTGAGCTGGAATGGATGGATTTTGTTTTTCACCTTTATATATGTGCTGTGGAAAGTATATGGCATCAGCCCACGAGAAAAGTTCTGAGTTTGAATAAGGGATTCATTCAAGAACTTCAATCCTCTGTAAAATGAAGAAGAGCTGAAACAGCTGCATCAGATGGCATCAATGCTAATATCATCTTAAGATCGAAGTTTGCTAAAATGGTTAAGAAGTACATCAATAATTTAAACGGCCTCTAGGATTGTAGGAAATTCTTGGATGAAGATATATATGCCAAATGTAATAGGATATGAACTAATATTTACTATGCACACGTGTATGATTAGATTGCAAATTTGTCTTATATGCATCAAGACAGATTTAAGGACAATTCTTATTGTTTGTATATATATAGATAATTATCTGATACACAGGTAATCTCGAACATAGAGAAACATTTTTGCACGGGTTCATTGATTAGCCAGCATTTAAGACTACAGAGCTATTTATAAAGTGAATTTCATATCTGTCAGGATTCCTAATGCTCCTGGATGAGCGTTAACATGTGGCAGAGCTCTGTGTTATTGGGTTTTGTTCTTTGTCATTTTCATAAGATCCATGGGACATGGAGCTCGTGTGCAGAATAATAATCTTAAATCCAGCAGTATGAGACTTGACAGGTGGAATATATTCCATTTGTTTTCTTTATCTACCTCTTCATATAAATATACAGCTGAGGCTCATACCAAAAAAATACATTGAAGAACTTGACATCTTTACCAAGAAGGCATTCTAACTTCAGTAGTTCTTTCATAGGCTAAAAAGATGGTGAATTTCAAGTCTCGATCCAACAGTTTCCCAACGCAATCTCACTCTGCAGTGGAATCCCTTGAGGCTCAGCTCTGCAGGTTGAAGTCCTCAGAAGCAGCGTCAACATCTGCCTCATATGTCTGTGCAAAGTTGGATGGTCTCAGAGTCTTACATGAGGCTATAAAAGGCAAAATTCCGATGTCTTCAATCCAGCAAGAGCTCTCTCGCAAACAAGGTCAGGAGTTGATAAACGAGTTGCTCGAGGGATCTCTCAGGCTTGTGGATCATTGTCAACTTTCCAGAGACATTGTGCAACTTACCAAGGAATCTGTTCAAGATCTTGAGTCCTCAATCAGGAGGAATAAAGGAGAAGCAGCATGCGGAGTTGACTTTAGCTCTTATGCCACTTCAAGAAACATGATCAAGAAGATGATCAACAAGTGTGTCAAGAATTTGAGGAGCTTCAACAAGAATTCTACAGAAGTCACAGGCTCAGACTGTGACCTTAATGCAATTGGGACTTTGCTTAAAGAAGCAGAGGTCCAAGCTTTCTCAGCACTAAACTCTGTATTTATACTCCTGTCTGGAGAAAAGGAAAGATCAAACCAAAGAAGCTGGTCGTTTCTTTCGAAGCTCACGAAGATCAACAATGTACATTCAAAGGTTGAGCAAGAAAACAATTTCGAGGAGTTGTACTCCTTGGACTTTCCCAAGTCACAGAGAGGCATGGACAGCATTGCCTTGCAAAATGTATCGAAGCAGCTGAGAGCATCAGAAATGATAATACAGGAACTTGAAGAGGGATTGGAAGCCTTCTTCAGGAGTTTAGTTAAAACTAGAGTTTCTCTTCTCAACATTCTTAGCTATTAGCCTCGTGCTAATTTTGGGATTTTTTGATCATGCATATTCTGTATAAATCTGTAAATGACCAAAAGGAATACAATAAAACTTGATTACCTACATGTTCAGTGCTCAAATTTATATTCAATGTCTACTTTCACATTGGTCACAAGAAAAATGGCTATTTGTCTGTTATAACTATACCAATGGAGTCGCTGCTTTTTATTTCTATGGAAAGGTGGACTTATGCTTTGGAGATCAATTCAAATACATATACCTATCTGTGTTCTTTCCATTACTTCCATGTGATATTCATGACAGAAAGTGTCAAGACTTGATCTTTTAGTTCTTACTGTTGTGCACAGACAACATTGTACACACAATTTGAAATTGTACTTCACAATATTTTACAACTTCTTCTTTAACCTGTCAGTTATCCTAATCCCACATCATGTTTAGCAGTATTGATTGTGATGGCCTATTGATCTTATCTGGTCTGGTGTATAATAAGATTTCCATCATGCAACTTCAGGATGAGACTGTATCTGTGATATTCTAATATAGAGGAAGCCATTTCATCATTTTTTATTTCTCAATTACAGATTCCTTTTAGAATGGCAAACTTCAGGCCTATTTCAATGCAAATAATTCCTCCCCGTGTGCTACTGCATGTGGTTTTTGAGTCTTTTGTCTGATCAAGAGGAGCACTGCAAAATTAATATACTGAAAACATGGCTGTCACGATTCCTTATGCTTCATGCAGAGAGAATTGTAATGTGGCTCAGATCTATATGATTGAGATATATTATCTCCAAATGTTGAAGAAATGGGGTGCAAGGAATTCGTGCGCACAAAATAATTATTTCAACGTGCAACTATTGGGTGGCATATTAGGTGGAAAAGATGCCTTCTGGTGGCCATCTATCCCAATATATATGCATGCATAGAATAGAGAAGTCTTCAAGCCAACATCAAGCTCCTCTTTAAAATTCAGCCCAAAAGCACTCTCTAGAAGAGAAAAAGAAAAAGAAAATGGCAAATTTCCATATTAGATCGAACAGTTTGCCTTCTAAATCTCATCCTGTGACAAGTGATGTTGAAGATCATTTACGCAGGTTAAGGTCTTCCGAAGGGACCTCAACATCAGTATATGAAGACTTGTCTATCCTCAGAGATTTACAAGAGGGTGTTGCCAGCTTGATTCAGATGTCTTCAATCCAACAAGCCCTCAACACAGAAGGCAGTGAGAAATGGGCAAATGAGTTGCTGGAAGAGTCTCTTCGACTGATGGATCTCTGCGGATTTTCCAGAGACGTTCTGAGTTTGTCTAAGGGATCCATTCAAGAACTTCAATCGACCATAAGAAGAAGCAGGGGTGAATCATCTATTGCAGCTGTCACCAATGCTTATAAGACATCAAGAAAAACTATCAAAAAGACAGTCAACAAGTTTTCCAAGAACTTCAAGAGCTTCAACAAAACCAACAGTCCATTCATGGGTGAAGACTCTGATCTGAAGGCTGTTTTTGAGATGCTTAGAGAGACAACAGGATTTGGATTTTCAATCCTAAAGTCTGTTCTCATGTTTTTGTCTGGTGAGGAGGGATCATCAAAGAAAAGAAGTTGGTCATTGCTTTCCATGCTCACTCCAACCAGCCGTGCAAAAGAAACCGAAGCTGCTGATATGCATAATTTATTGAAGCAGCTCAAATCAACAGAAGTAGCCATCCAAGAAATTGAAGAGGAATTGGATACATACTATAGGACAGTGGTGAAATCTAGAGTCTCTCTGCTAAATGCCCTTAACCACTAGAATTTTTCAATACAAAACAGAAGATTATGTACTCTGTAGATATGTATACTTGTACAATGAATGACATATAAAGAAAATATTCAATCTTTATTCAGAACTGTTCATCCTCTCATCTTTACACTTTCTGTTTTTATAGTCAATATGGTCGCCAATCCAAGGCTAATTGTTTCTTACATTTTATTTTCAAAATCTGAAGCATTGTTGAAAGTATCATGTTTTAACTTATATTAACTACGACCTCATAATGTATTCTTGAACATAGATCCAATTTCCGAAATAAAATGAACAACTTCTGGTCATACAACTAACTTGTATATATCAGAAAAGATTTTGATCAGCTTCTCTATTCGTAAAAGGTATTACTAATGTTATTTCAACCCAAAACTGTGCCGTAAAAAAATGAATAAATAGTATTTCACTTTTTCTAAGCTAAATTGCAGTATCTAATTTTGGAACTTCTTAACCATACCTATATCTGTATAAATCTGTAAATGAGCTAAAGGAATACAATCAACAATACTTGATACCTACATTTCAGTGCTCAAATTTATATTCAATATCTATTTTCACTTTGGTCAAAAGAAAATTGGCTATTAGGCTGTTATTACTAAATCTTTGGTGTTGCTGTTTTATATTTCTAAAGCAAGCTGCACTTTGGGATTGGAGTTTCCATTTCTTCCCTGTGATACATGATAGGAATGCTCAGGACTTGATGTTTTGATTCTTACTGTTGTGCACAGATAACATTAAACACATTCTTAAAAATTGTACTTTGCAATTTTTTTTACAACTTCATGTTTAGCCTATCAATTATCCTAATACCACAGTCTATTTAGCAGTATTGATTATCAATTCTTTGCATGGGGTGGTGAGTGGTGATGACTTATTGATCTTATCTGGTTCTGGTGTAATATACAATTTTCCATAATGAACTTCAGAATGAGACTGTATATAAGATATTTTAATACAAGAAGCAATTTTTCTATTTTTTTTTTTTAATTACAGATATCTTACAAACTTCAGGCCTATTGCAATGCAAATAATTCCTCCCCGTGTGCTACTGCATGTGGTTTTTGAGTCGTTTGTCTGATCAAGAGAAGCAATGTAAAATTATTATACTAAAAACATGGTTGTCAAGATTCCTTATGCTTCATGCAGAGCGACTTTAATGTGGCTCAGATCTATATGATTGAGATATATTATCTCCAAATGTTGAAGAGATGGGGAGCAAGGAACTCGTGGGCACGAAATAATTATTTCAACGTGCATTGGTTGTCTGGCATATTAGGTGGAAAAGATTCCTTCTGGTGGCCATCTATACCAATATATATATGCATGCATAGAATAGAGAAGTCTCCAAACCAACATCAAGCTGCTCTTTGAAATTCAGGCCATAAGCATTCTCTCTAGAGGAGAAAAAGAAAAAGAAAAAGGCAAATTTCCATATTAGATCGAACAGTTTGCCTTCTATATCTCATCCTGTGACAAGTGATGTTGAAGATCATTTACGCAGGTTAAGGTCTTCCGATGGGACCTCAACATCAGTATATGAAGACTTGGCTATCCTCAGAGATTTACAAGAGGGTGTTGCCAGCCTGATTCAGATGTCTTCAATCCAACAAGCCCTCAACACAGAAGGCAGTGAGAAATGGGCCAATGAGTTGCTAGAAGAGTCTCTTCGATTGATGGATCTCTGCGGATTTTCCAGAGACATTCTGAGTTTATCTAAGGGATCCATTCAAGAGCTTCAATCCACCATAAGAAGAAGCAGGGGTGAATCATCTCTTGCAGATGTCCTCAATGCTTATAGGACATCAAGAAAGACTATCATAAAAACAGTCAACAAGTTTGTCAAGAACTTCAATAGCTTAAAAAAAAACAACACTCCATTCATGGGCGAAGACTCTGATATGAAGGCTGTTTTTGAGATGCTTAGAGAGACAACAGGTTTTGGATTTTCAATCCTAAAGTCTGTCCTCATGTTTTTGTCTGGTGAGGATGGTTCATCAAAGAATTGAAGTTGGTCGTTGCTTTCATTGATCGCTCCCACCAGCCATGCAAAACAAACCGAAGCTGCTGATATGCACAACTTATTGAAGCAGCTCAAATCAACAGAAGTGGGCATCCGAGAAATTGAAGAGGAATTGGATGCATACTATAGGACAGTGGTGAAAGCTAGAGTGTATCTGCTCAATGTGCTTAACCACTAGAATTTCCCTGTTACAAAACAGAAGATTATATACTCTGTAGATATGTATACTTGTACAATGAATGAGACATAAAGAAAATCTTCAATCTTTATTCAGAACTGTTCATCCTCTCATCTTTACACTTTCTGCTTTGATACTCAATATGGTCACCAATTCAAAGCTAATTGCTTCTTGCATTTTATTCTTAAAATCTTAAAGCATTGTTGAAGCATGATGTTTTAACTTATATTAACAACGAGCTCATAATGTATTCTTGAACTTAGATCCAGTTGCCTAAATAAAATGAGCAACTTCCTGTCATAAAACTAACCTGTATATATCAGACAAGATTTTGATCAGCTTCCCTATTCGAAAAAAGGTATTACTATCTTTATGAATGCTATTTGACCCCAAAACTGAGCCTGAAAAAATAAATAAATACTACTTCACCATTATAAATTCAGTTCTCTGTAATTTTCCAATAAGCTGTACAAATGATAGATGATGCCTGATTGATAGTGCCCCTTATTGCTGCTAGACTTCAACATTTTACCAACTTAATTTTTACAGCAGAACTTGCAAACTTCAGGTCTATTGCAATGCAAATAATTCCTCCCTGTGTGCTACTGCATGTGGTTTATGAGTCTTTTGTCCGATCAAGAGAAGCATTGCAAAATTAATATACTGAAAACATTGCTGTCAAGATTCCTTATGCTTCATGCAGAGAGAATTTTAATGTGGCTCAGATCTATATGATTGAGATATATTATCTCAAAATGTTGAAGAAATGGGGAGCAAGGAATTCGTGCGCATAAACTAATTATTTCAACGTGCATTGGTTGTGCGGCATATTAGGTGGAAAAGATGCCTTTTGTTTGCCATCTATCCCAATATATATATGCATGCATAGAAAAGAGAAGTCTTCAAACCAACATCAAGCTCCCCTTTGAAATTCAGCCCAAAAGCATTCTCTCTAGAGGAGAAAAAGAAAAAGAAAATGGCAAATTTCCATATTAGATCGAACAGTCTGCCTTCTAATTCTCATCCTGTGACAAGTGATGTTGAAGATCATTTACGCAGGTTAAGGTCTTCCGATGGGACCTCAATATCAGTATATGAAGACTTGGCTATCCTCAGAGATTTACAAGAGGGTGTTGCCAGCTTGATTCAGATGCCTTCATTCCAACAAGCCCTCAACACAGAAGGCAGTGAGAAATGGGCCAATGAGTTGCTGGAAGAGTCTCTTCGACTGATGGATCTCTGCGGATTTGCCAGAGACATTCTGAATTTATCCAAGGGATCCATTCAAGAACTTCAATCCACCATACGAAGAAACAGGGGTGAATCATCTATTGCAGATGTCACCAATGCTTATAAGACATCAAGAAAAACTATCAAAAAGACAGTCAACAAGTTCACCAAGAACTTCAAGAGCTTCAACAAAAATAACAGTCCATTCATGGGTGAAGACTCTGATTTGAAGTCTGTTTTTGAGATGCTTAGAGAGACAACAGGTTTTGGATTTTCAATCCTAAAGTCTGTCCTCATGTTTTTGTCTGGTGACGAGGGTTCATCAAAGAAAAGAAGTTGGTCATTGATTTCCATGCTCACTCCAACCGGCCATGCAAAACAAACCGAAGCTGCTGATATGCACAACTTATTGAAAAAGCTCAAATCAACAGAAGTTGCCATCCAAGAAATTGAAGAGGAATTGGATGCATACTATAGGACAGTGGTGAAAGCTAGAGTGTCTCTGCTAAATGCCCTTAACCACTAGAATTTTCCCATTACAAAACAGAAATTATATACTCTGTAGATATGTATACTTGTACAATGAATGACATATAAAGAAAATCTTCAATCTTTATTCAGAACTGTTCATTCCCTCATCTTTGCACTTTCTGTTTTGATAGTCAATATGGTCCCCAATTCAAAGCTCATTGATTCTAATATTTTATTTTTAAAATCTTAAAGTACTGTTGGAGTATCATTGTTTAACTTATATTAAAAACAACCTAATAATGCATTCTTGAATTTACATCCAATTGCCTAACATTTTCATATCCTTTCGGAAAAAAAAAAGAAAAAAGAAAAGAAATTGATATATAAGACAAGATTTGGTTCAGCTTCTCTATTTGTAAAAGGTATTACTATCATTTATAATGCTATTTTCATGTCCTTTCAAAAAAAAAAAAAAAACAAAATGATACTAATAATCAATAGTACTTTACCTTTTCTATTCTAAATGATAAATTCAGTTCTCTGTATTTGTCCAATAAGCTGTGCAAATGATAGATGATGCCCGGTTGATAGTTCCCGGTATTGCTGCTGGACTTCCACGTTTTACCCACTTCATTTTCACCACAGCTTGTTAACTTGTTTAAAGTTGAAAATCAAGTCAACTTTTCTATCAAATGGATATCAGAGGTGAAAAACACAGAAAATGTCAAACCATCCATGCATCTTACAACTTATAGGCTCACCTGTATAGATTGCAGGTTTGTCAAATGTGCACAGGCTGACATATTTTTCCAATATGCACATGAATCTTACAATTAGTAAGCTCACCGTGTGCTTCTGCATGTTGCATTTAAGCCTTTTATGGCAATGGGAGCAATTATACATGGAGAGAATGGCTGTCACGATTCCTTATGTTTATCAAGAGATAATTATATATAATATGGCTGGAATTTGAATAATTTCGAGTGTGTCTTCAAATGTTGATGTTGTTGGGGACAATGAATTCGTGCATAATACAAAAATTATTTGAATTTGCAGTAGCTCCATGACAATTGAGTTGGAAAAGATGCCTTATGTTTGTCTTCTATTTCATATGTATATAAGAAGTGGAGAATAGATGGATTCAACCTCATACTTCTTTTCAGGACTCAATTTCCACTTCCTAAACCAGCATCAGTTCTTTGAAAAGGAAAAGAACAGGAAATGGAAAATTTGCATATCAGATCAAACAGTTTCCCCTCAAAATCGCACCCTGTGATAAATGATGTTGAAGATCAACTATGCAGGCTAAAGTCATCTGAAGGGACATCAACTTCGGCAGCTTCAGTATGTACAAACTTGGCTAACCTCAGAGATTTGCACGAGGGCGTCAACAATATGATTCAGATGCCATCTTTCCAGCAGGCGCTCTCTGCAGAAGGGAGTGAGAAATGGACCAGCGAATTGCTTGAGGAGTCTCTTAGACTTATGGATCTCTGCGGATTTGCAAAAGATGTACTGAGTTTATCCAAGGGGTCCATTCAGGAACTTCAATCCACTCTAAGGCGAAAAAGAGGTGAAGCTGCTACAGCAGATGCCATTGAGGCTTTCATGATCTCCAGAAAGAAGATCAACAAAATGGTCAAAAAGTACATCAAGAACTTCAACAGAAGCAACACATCATACATGGGCGAAGACTTTGATCTCAGAGCCATACTAGTGATCCTCAAGGAGACTGGGGATTTGGATTTTTCAATCCTTAAGTCTGCCCTGAAATTTTTATCCGGTGAAGAAGCATCATCGAAAAAAAGGAGCTGGTCATTTTTTTCCATGGTAACTCAATCCAGTCAGATAAAAAGCATGGACTCTGTAGACATGCAGAACTTAAAATCATCAGAGATTGCTATCCAAGAAATTGAAGAGGAATTGGAAGCCTACCATAGGACATTGGTGAAAACTAGAGTTTCATTGCTTAATGCCTTGAACTACTAGAATGTCACTTTCAGACAGTGAATACTGTCTTGTAGATGATTGTAAATATCTATACTTGTTCAGTGAATGAAAGTATAAAAGCAATATCCAACATTTATTCTTATCTTTGCTGACTAGCTCTCATCTTGGCACTTTCTATTTCGGCTGTTAGTATGGTTGCAAATTAGAAATAGCTTTGTTTCTCTACATATTTCTTTCAGTATTGGTTTGTATTTTCAACTTAGATTATCATTGGATTTGCATATTGAATTGCTGTCCCTGCAATAAAAAATAATTTCTACTTGTAAACTAAATTTGATGTATGCAGTGGAATGATGAACCACCTCAGTAGCACACATGCAGTAAATTTTTTCCTAATCCCAAATGCTCTTCAGTATCTCTGTAATTGCCACCTCAGCTTTGTTAATGGTGAATAATGACTAATTTCGGGTAATTCTAACTTGTTTATTTTACAAAATAAGTCTAACTTTTGGGACCATGCAAACAACTAAATTTCCTCTATGTGAAAATTGTGCAACAACATTGACTATTTTTTCCATCAGTGTCTGAAGATGGGTGACCAGTCACTTAACCCTGCTTCACTGGTGAGTTTATTAAATGAAATTCTTGTCTGTCAAGATTCCTGTGGTAAAAGATGAGTAATTATAATGTAGCTGAGATCTGTATGATTCAGTTTATAAATTTCATTTGTTCAAGATCCATGGGACATGGAGCTCGTGTACAGACGTATTCTTTTAATTCTAACAGTAATGAGACATGACAGGTGGAATATATTCCTTTTGTTTTCTAGATCTACTATCTATATAAGTACATCTTATGTTCATACCAAACAAATGCATTGAAGAACTTGACATCTTTTATCAAGGATTCAACACATCTAGCTCTTAAGTGTTCATTTTCTAGTTGACAAGATGGCTAATTTCCACATTCGATCAAACAGTTTTCCTTCACAATCTCACCCTGCAGTGGAGTCTGTTGAGGATCAACTATGCAGGTTGAAATCCTCAGAAGCAGCATCAACATCAGCCTCTTCTGTATGTGCAAACTTGGATGGCCTTAGAGCCTTACATGAAGGCATCAGTAACCTTATTCAGCTGTCTTCAGTCCAACAAGCTCTCTCCCATGGGCAATTCATAAATGAGATGCTCGAGGGATCTCTCAGGATTGTGGATCTGTGTGAATTTTCAAGAGACATTGTACGATTGACCAAGGAATCGGTTCAGGATTTTGAATCCTCGATCAGGAGGAATAAAGGCGAGACAGCCTCGGCAATTGACATTAGCTCTTATGTCAACTCAAGAAACAAGATCAAGAAGATGATCAACAAGTATGCCAAGAATTTGAAGAGCTCCAACAAGAACTCTAAGGAAGCCACAAGCTCAGATTGTGATCTGAAAACAATCAGGGTAGTGCTTAAGGAAGCAGAGGCCCACACTCTTGCAACACTAAAATCTGTATTGACACTCGTGTCTGGGGAGAAGGAAATATCAAGCCAGAGAAGCTGGTCACTGATCTCAAAGTTCACAAAGGCAAGCCGCGTGCATTCAGAAGTTGATCCAGAAAGCAGCATCGAGGATCTCTGTTTATTGAACATTTCCAAGTCACAAAAAGGCATGGACATGCAAAACATATTGAAGCAGCTGAGAGCGTCTGAAATGACAATCCAGGAACTTGAAGAAGGACTGGAAACCTTGTTCAGGAGTTTAGTCAAAACTAGGGTTTCGATTCTTAACATTCTTAGCCACTAGCCTCTTGGCTTGTGAAGATTTTGAGATACTTTCTTTTTTACATAAGTATCTCTGTATATGATAAAGAATATAGAAACAATAATACTTGATTACCTACGAAATTCACAAATTCAAGTGTGTAAATTCATACTCAAATCTTGGGTTTGTTCAACCGTAAAATATTTATACAAACTTGCACATTTTAGATAGAACCTAGAAGCATTGTCCACTTACTTGAGGATCACACTTAGAATTTACAAATATTAATTTGCACTATCTTATGTACAATTTGAAGAGACAACAGCTTTTCCTTTACCCTGTCATTTACCATAGTCTAATTACACAGCTCATATAGCAGTATTATTATTGTTTACTAGCGTTCTGGAGAGTATTGTCTTATCTGGATCTGGTCCAATATATAAATCCATCGTGCCACTAGAAATAAAATGTTCAGAAAAATTTTGAATTACAAGAAAATAGGCTCTTTTTTTTTTTTCAATTACAGATTCCTCATAAAATGGACATCTAAAGGTATGTTGCAGTTTATATTATGGCTACCGTGTCTTCCTGCAAGTTTTATCTCAATACATTGTCTGCACAAGAGCAGAAACCCAGGAATTTAATAATGACACCACATGGCTGTCAAGATTCCTCTTTCTTGACGAAGAAATTATTATTGTGCCAGTGCTTCATATGATAGATATTTCTTATTCAAATGTTGATGTCCTCGGTGACAAGGAACTCGTGCACAATATTAAAAATTTCGAATTTTCAGCAGTTTATGACACTTGAGGTGGGAATGATACCTTTTGTTTTCCTTATATGAAATTAGTGTATATCAAGGTTCCTGTGCTTCAAGAGTAGTAATTATAATGCAGCAGAGATCTGTATAATTAAGTTTATTGTATTCATTTGTTCATGATCCGTGGGACATGGAACTCTTGCACAGATGTATTTCAGCAGTAATGAGACATCACAGATGGAATATATTCCTTTTGTTTCCTTGATCTACCTATGTATATAAATACAGCTGATGCTCATACCAAACAAATGCATTGAGGCACTTGACATCAAGGATTCAACACATTGTAGCTCTAAGGGTTCATTTTCTAGCTGACGAGATGGCTAATTTCCACACTCGATCAAACAGTTTTCCTTCACAATCTCACACAGTAGTGAAGTCAGTTGAGGATCAACTATGCAGGTTGAAGTCCTCAGAAGCAGCATCAACATCAGCCTCTTCTGTATGTGCAAACTTGGATGGCCTTAGAGCCTTACATGAAGGCATCAGTAACCTTATTCAGTTGTCTTCAATCCAACAAGCTCTCTCCCATGGGCAAGGTCAGGAATTTGTAAATGAGATGCTCGAGGGATCTCTCAGGATTGTGGATCTGTGTGAATTTTCAAGAGACATTGTAAGATTGACCAAGGAATCTGTTCAAGATCTCGAATCCTCAATCAGGAGGAATAAAGGCGAGACAACCTCTGCAGTTTTCATTAACTCTTATGTCAACTCAAGAAACAAGATCAAGAAGATGATCAACAAGTATGCCAAGAATTTGAAGAGCTCTAACAAGAACTCTAAGGAAGCCACAAGCTCAGATTGTGATCTGAAAGCAATCAGGACAGTGCTTAAGGAAGCAGAGGCCCACACTCTTGCAACACTAAAATCTGTATTGACCCTCGTGTCTGGGGAGAAGGAAATATCAAGCCAGAGAAGCTGGTCACTGATCTCAAAGTTCACAAAGGCAAGCCGCGTGCATTCAGAGTTTGATTCGGAAAGCAGCGTCGAGGATCTCTGTTTATTGAACATTTCCAAGTCACAAAAAGGCTTGAACATGCAAAACATGTTGAAGCAGGTGAGAGCATCTGAAATGACAATTCAGGAACTTGAAGAAGGACTGGAAATCTTGTTCAGGAGTTCAGTCAAAACTAGAGTTTCGATTCTTAACATTCTTAGCCACTAGCCTCTTGGCTTGTGAAGATTCTGAGATACTTCTTTTTTCCATAAGTATCTCTGTATACATATCTGTAAATGACAAAGATATATAGATTCTATAGAAGTAATGATACTTGATAATACCATATTTTTACTACATCATTGTGTAAATTTATACTCTAATCTTGTGCTTGTCAACATTAAACTTTACCATCTGTTCTATACAATTTAAGTTAACATGATAGAACCAGTAAACCTTATTCAACTCACTTTGCGATCAAAGCCTAACTAATGAATTCTGATATATCGAGATCTGTCATAATATAAATTTATCATTGTGAAACTATATTATGATGTGGCATATAAGAAAACTTAATGCGAGGAACTATGTTATTTGAATTAAATATTCCTTATAAAATGAGCATCTCTGTGCATGTACTATCGCTCACAGTGTGCTGCTGCATGTTGCATCTAAGCCTTTTATGTCAACGGTAGCAATTATACATGGGCAGCGTAGCATGGCTGTCAAGATTCCTTATGCTTAACAAGAGATAATTATATATAATATGGCAGGAATCTGAATAATTTTGAGTGTCTTCAAATGTTGACGTCGTTGGGGACAAGGAACTCGTGTACAATACAAATATTATTTGAATTTGCAGCATTTCCGTGACATTTGAGGTGGAAAAGGTACCTTATGTTTGTCTTCTATTTCATATATATATAAGTGGAGAATAGATGGATTCAACCTCATACATCTTTTCAGGACTCAATTTCCACTTCCTAAATCAGCCTTAAAGATCATTTCTCTCAAGAGGAAAAGAACAGAAAATGGCACATTTGCATATCAGATCAAACAGTTTCCCTTCGAAATCCCACCCTGTGATAAATGATGTTGAAGATCAATTATGCAGGCTAAAGTCATCTGAAGGTACATCAACTTCGGCAGCTTCAGTATGTACAAACTTGGCTAACCTCAGAGACTTGCACGAGGGCGTCAACAACATGATTCAGATGACATCTTTCCAGCAGGCCCTCTCTGCAGAAGGGAGTGAGAAATGGACCAGTGAATTGCTTGAGGAGTCTCTTAGACTTGTAGATCTCTGTGGATTTGCAAGAGATGTACTGAGTTTATCCAAGGGGTCCATTCATGAACTTCAATCCACTCTAAGGCGAAACAGAGGAGAAGCTTCTACAGCAGATGCCATTGAGGCTTTCATGATGTCCAAAAAGAAGATCCAGAAAATGGTCAGAAAGTACATCAAGAACTTCAACAGAAGCAATACATCGTACATGGGTGAAGACTTCGATCTCAGAGCCATTCTGGTAATCCTCAAGGAGACTGGGGATTTGGATTTTTCAATCCTTAAGTCTGTCCTGACCTTTTTATCTGGTGAAGAGGCATCCTCTAAAAAAAGGAGCTGGTCATTTTTTTCGATGGTAACTCAAACCAGTCGGATAAAAATAATGGACTCTGTAGATATGATGAACTTGAAATCATCAGAGATTGCTATCCAAGAACTCGAAGAGGAATTGGAAGTCTACCATAGGACATTGGTGAAAACTAGAGTTTTTCTGCTCAATGCTTTGAACCACTAGAATGTCACTTTCAAACAGGCAGGGAATACTGTCTTATAGATGATTGTAAATATCTATGTTTGTTCATTGAATGAAAGTATAAAAGCAATATCCAACATTTATTCATATCTGCTGATCAGCTCTCATCTTTGCACTTTCTTCTTTGGCTGTTAATATGGTTGCAAATTAGAAATAGCTTTGTTTCTCATCATATTTCTTTCAGTTCCAAAAAGTCAAAACGTTTCAAGAGGTTCATATTTCAACTTAGATTATCATCGAATTTGAATATAAAATTTTTGTCCCTGCAATAAAAAATACTTGCTACTTATAAAGCTAAACTTCATATACCATTCCAATCCATAGCATTTATTCCAGACACCGAAGGTCATAATGACCACGTAAAAACTGTCAAAGATGCAGTAATTTTTTTTGCTAATCCTAAATGCTCTTCAGTATCTTTATCATCTCCACCTCAGCATTGTTGATAGTGAATAATGTATAATTGAGGGTAATACTAACTTGTTTAATTTACAAAATAAGTCAACTTTTGGGACCATACAAACATCTATATTCTTATATGTGAAAATTGTGAAACAACATTAATTATTTTTTCCATCAGTGTCTGAAAATGGGAGACCAGTCACTCAATCCTGCCTCACTGGTGGGTTTATTAAATGAAATTCAGGTCTGTCAAGATTCCAGGGCTGCAAGATGAATAATTATAATGCAGCTGAGATCTGTGTGATTCAGTTTATCAATTCATTTGTTCAAGATCCATGGGACATGGAGCTCGTGTACAGACGTATTCATTTCATTTCAGCAGTAACAAGACATGACAGGTGGAATATATTCCTTCTGCTTCCTTGATCCACCTATCTATATAAATAGAGCTGATGCTCATAACAATCAAATGCATCGAGGCACTTGAAATCAAGGATTCAACGCATTCCATCTCTAAGAGATCACTTTTTAGGCTGATAAGATGGCTAATTTCCATGTTCGATCAAACAGTTTCCCATCGCAATCTCACCCTGTAGTGGAGTCTGTTGAGGACCAGTTATGCAGATTGAAGTCCTCAGAAGAAGCATCAACATCAGCCTCTTCTGTATGTGCAAACTTAGATGGCGTTAGAGTCTTACATGAAGGCATCAGTAACCTTATACAGATGTCTTCAGTCCAACAAGCTCTCTCCCATGGGCAAGGTCAGGACTTTGTAAATGAGATGCTCGAGGGATCTCTCAGGATTGTGGATCTGTGTGAATTTTCTAGAGACATTGTACGATTGACCAAGGAATCTGTTCAAGATCTTGAATCCTCAATCAGGAGGAATAAAGGCGATACAGCCTCGGCAATTGACATTAACTCTTATGTCGATTCAAGAAACAAGATCAAGAAGATGATCAACAAGTACGCCAAGAATTTGAAGAGCTCCAATAAGAACTCTAAGGAAGCCACAAGCTCAGATTGTGATCTGAAAGCAATCAGGACAGTGCTTAAGGAAGCAGAGGCCCACACTCTTGCAACACTCAAATCTGTATTGACACTCGTGTCTGGGGAGAAGGACATATCAAGCCAAAAAAGCTGGTCATTGATCTCAAAGTTCACAAAGGCAAGCCGCGTGCATTCAGAGGTTGAGACGAAAAGCTGCACCGAGGATCTGTGTTTATTGAACATTTCCAAGTCAAAAAAAGGAATGGACTTGCAGAACATGTTGAAGGAGCTCAGAGCATCAGAAATGGCAATCCAGGAACTTGAAGAAGTACTGGAAACCTTGTTCAGGAGTTTAGTCAAAACTAGAGTCTCGATTCTTAACATTCTTAGCCACTAGCCTCTTTGATGTGGCTGATATGAGATACATTTTTTTCACAAGTATCTCTATCTACATCTATGTAAATGACAAAGAATATAGAAACAATAATACTTGATTATCTACGAAATTCACTTATTCAGTGTGCAAATTCATACTCCAACCTAGTATTTGTTCAACCTTAAAAATTTTTATACTAACTTAGACATTTTTAATAGAACCTGCAAGCATTATCCCACCTGCCTGAAGATCGTTATCATATACAAATATCAATTTACAATATGTTATTTACAATTTGAAGAGACAACAGCTTGGCAGCCCTGTCATTTTCGATATCCTAATTCCACAGCTCATATAGCAGTATTAATCGTTATTTACTAGTTTTCTGGAGAGTATTGTCTTATCTGGATCTGGTCTAATATATAAATCCATCATGTTACTAGAAATGGAGATGTACATAAAAGATCAAAATGCATGAATTTTTTTTTTCCTTTTTTTTTTTCAATTACAGATTCCTCATAAAATGGCCATCTCAGGGTATATTGAAGTTTATATTATTGCCACCATGTCTTGTTGCATGTTGTGTCTGAATACTTTGTTTGTACAAGTGCAGAAACCCAGGAATTTAATATTGACTACATGGCTGTAAAGATTCCTCATTCTTGATGAAGAAATTATTATATTGTGCCAGTGATTCATACGATAGATATTTCATATTCAAGTGTTGATGTCCTCGGGGACAACGAACTCGTGCACAATATTAAATTTTGGAATGTGCAGCAGTTTTGTAACACTTGAAGTAGGAATGATACCTTTTGTTTCCGGTAATGGAACTCATGTCCATCAAGGTTCCTGTGCTGCAAGATGAGTAATTATAATGCAGCTGATCAGATCTGTATGATTAAGTTTATTGTATTCATTTGTTCATGATCCGTGGGACATGGAACTCTTGCACAGATGTATTTTCAGCTGTAGTGACACATCCCAGATGGAATATATTCCTTTTGTTTCCTTGATCTACCTATCTATAAATAGAGCTGATGCTCATACCAAACAAATGCATTGAGGCACTCGACATCAAGGATTCAACACATTCTAGCTCTAGCTCTAAGGGTTTATTTTTTAGCTGACAAGATGGCAACTTTCCACACTCGATCAAACAGTTTTCCTTCAAAATCTCATGCAGTAGTAGAGTCGGTTGAGGATCAACTATGTAGGTTGAAGTCCTCAGAAGCAGCATCAACATCATCTTCTTCCGTATGTGCAAACTTGGATGGCCTTAGAGTCTTACATGAAGACATCAGTAACCTTATTCAGCTTTCTTCAATCCAACAAGCTCTCTCCCATGGGCAAGGTCAGGAATTTGTAAATGAGATGCTCGAGGGATCTCTCAGGATTGTGGATCTGTGTGAATTTTCTAGAGACATTGTACAATTGACCAAGGAATCTGTTCAAGATCTCGAATCCTCAATCAGGAGGAATAAAGGCGAGACCGCCTCGGCAGTTGTCATTACCTCTTATGTCAACTCAAGAAACAAGATCAAGAAGATGATCAACAAGTATGCCAAGAATTTGAAGAGCTCCAACAAGAACTCTAAGGAAGCCACAAGCACAGATTGTGATCTGAAAGCAATCAGGACAGTGCTTAAGGAAGCAGAGGCCCACACTCTTGCTACACTAAAATCTGTATTGACACTCGTGTCTGGGGAGAAGGAAATATCAAGCCAGAGAAGCTGGTCACTGATCTCAAAGTTCACAAAGGCAAACCGTGTGCATTCAGAAGTTGATCCGGAAAGCAGCATCGAGGATCTGTGTTTATTGAACATTTCCAAGTCACAAAAAGGCATGGACATGCAAAACATGTTGAAGCAGCTGAGAGCGTCTGAAATGACAATTCAGGAACTTGAAGAAGGACTGGAAACCTTGTTCAGGAGTTTAGTCAAAACTAGAGTTTCGATTCTTAACATTCTTAGCCACTAGCCTCTTCAATGTGGCTGATTTGAGATACATTTTTTTTTCATATGTATCTCTGTATTCATATCTGTAAATGACAAAGAATATAGAAACAATAATACTTGATTATCTACAAAATTCACTAATTCAAGTGTGTTAATTCATACTCAAATCTTGTGTTTGTTCAACCTTAATTTTATTTATTATTACTAAAATGCACATTTTTGATAGAACCTTTAAGCATTATCCCACTTGCTTGAAGATCAAACCTACTAATGTGTACTGTAATATATTGTGGATACAGTTAGCATTTACAAATATCAAATTGTCAATATCTTATTTACAATTTGAAGAGACAACAGCTTGGCCTTTACTCTGCCATTTTCCATATCATGATACCACAGCTCATATAGCACTATTAGTTATTTTTTACAGGTGCGCTGGAGACAACCCTATTGTCTTATTTGGATCTGGTCTGATATATGAATCCATTGTGAAACAAGAAATGAAAATGTACATAAATTTTTAAATGTAATAACATTTTATTTTTTTCAATTACTGATTCCTCATAAAATGGCCATCTCAGGGTATATTGCAGTTTATATTATGGCCACATGTCTTGCTGCATGTTGTCTCTGAGTAATTTGTCTGAACAAGAAAAGAAACCCTGGAATTTAATATTGACAAGATTCCTCTTCCTTGATGAAGAAATTATTTTATTGATGTCCTCGGGGACAAGGAACTCGTGCACAATATAAAAGTTTGGAATTTGCAGCAGTTTTGTGACACTTGAGGTGGGAATGATACCTTTTGTTTTCCATAATGAAATTCATGTCTATAAAGGTTCCTGTGCACCAAGATAAATAATTATAATGCAGCTGAGATCTATATGATTACATTTCTCATATTCATTTGTTCATGATCCGTGAGACATGGAACTCTTGCACACATGAATTTTCAGCTGTAATGAGACATCACAGGTGGAATATATTCTTTTTGTTTTCTTGATCCACCTATCTATATAAATACAGATGATGCTCATACAAATCAAATGCATTCAAACACTTGACATCAAGGATTCAACACATTCTAGCTCCAAGGGTTCATTTTCTAGCTGACAAGATGGCTAATTTCCACACTCGATCAAACAGTTTTCCTTCACAATCTCACCCCGTAATGGAGTCAGTTGAGGATCAACTATGCAGGTTGAAGTCCTCAGAGGCAGCATCAACATCAGCCTCTTCCGTATGTGCAAACTTGG